CTGATTATTCAGATTATTTAAATAAATGAAGTAATTATAATTATTTTTATTCTAATAACTATCTTAATAAAAGCTATCTGAGCTATTTTTATATATCTTAAAATATATTTAAACACATTTATTATTCTTAGAATCAAGAAGCTTATCTTCTTGATTATAATCAATCTTGATTTCTTTATTTATTTTTGAAAATCTTTATTTATATTTAAATTATATAGTACAATTATAAGCTCATCTTAAGTATACTTTTTTATAATATATATTTTAAATATTTACTTTTTACTTTGTAAGCTCTACTAGATATTTTTATTATCTATTATAGATTACTGCTGTAGCTATTGCTAGTTATTTTAGATATTTTTTTTGATATTATATTTTAATCTGTGATAGTGATATTATCTTCTGATTCAGTGAACAAGTTCAGTAACACTTTATAAACTGTAATTTTATTTTATAATCAGTGAAAAACTTGCTGAGTTAAAGATTTGATAGCATCACTGTTAATCTATTACTGTTAATTTATTACTGCTAATCTATTACTGTCAATCTATCTATTACTATCAATCTATCACTGCTAATCTATCACTGCTAATCTACTGCTATCAATCTATTACTACTATCAATCTATATAAAATAAATTTTGATTTTATTTAAAATAAAATCAAATAGAATTAGAATTTTTAATTTATTAGTAAAATATGATCTGAGACTAGATTTATAATATAAACAGTGTAAAGTAACTAATTTACTAAATACTATATGAAATCAGAACTAAGATATCTAATAATAAAACTGAGGAAAAATTTGATTTCAGTCTCATATATAATCACACAGTCAGTCTAGTTGTAAGAATGAAGAAAAAACAGAGAAAGAAAGAAAATACTAATAAATGAAAAAAGAAGAATAAAAGAAAGAGAAGTTTTTTAATTTCAGATACTATTGAAGAAAAGTGAAAGTTAAAGATTATAGAGAAGCTTAAATAAAAGAGCTCATTGACACAGCTGAATGAGAATGAAAGTGAGAAGAAGACAGCTTAGTAGAAGTAGAAGAAGATTCATATGAAACAAAAGAAGCAGAATAGAGATGTAATTAATGATATTTTTGAGAGGTTGTAATGTTGAACGATTGGGGGTCCCCCCTCCTTCTATATGCATTCAGGGACGATAAAATGAGGTTTTTCTTCTATTCCGTGCAATATCGGATATTTGTATTCCCAAAGCCATCCATTTTTGTACATACATGTATTCTCTTTATGGTTATAAATAGTGAATCTTGGCTAACAAATTGACTTTAATATGGCCTCTCCAAGGAGGAGGTTGATAGCCAAATGCTGTACTAAACTCCAAGCCATGCTATACAAAAACTTAGGGGAGAAAACCGTCCATATGAAAAGATGAGTCCGCAGCACGGTACAGGCCACCATCACCGCCAGCAGGCTTGTCGTGACGAAAAAGGTCAACAATGCCACGTGGCTGCTACGACGGCGACGATTGACAAACGGAGTCCGCCCGTCGTAGTTAACAAACAGCAATTTCGTCGAAAAAACCCACCAAATAGGGCCTGCCCAGTTGCCTATAAACGTCAGGATGCCGACGACGACAACGTTGTAGTTACTGATGCCGTTGTAGGCGTTTGAGAGGTCGACGGAGGCGATTGAGTTGGAGCCACCCATGGCGAAAAATGCTGCGTATTGCAGTATTAGCGACGTGATGGTTACCCCATTGCCAGATAGCTCCATGGAGGAGAGAGCCCAATGTTGAAGGCGAAATATGAGGTAGAGGGGGATATTAGTTGGTCTTGATTGGGTGACGAGGATAAGGCTGACAATGTCGCGGAGGTCTGCTGGGAACCGCACACTGGTAATAGTGCCATTCAAGTGTTTTGGCAAGTGTGGACCATCCTTGCCCCCGATTTTGAGGAATGCTTTCAGAGTTCGTTTTTCTTGGAAGTCCGTATATATCACATAAACCAGAGCGATGGCGATGCCAGTGAACACGAGCCTGGCCTGGGTAATAAGGGAAACGCCGGTGATGCTTCCTACTAGGTGGCTGTATATTAAGACATTTTGAAGCAGTTCTGGGGAATCGGCTGCAGTAAAGCTGAGCTTAAACAGTAGTGCGAAGCTGGTTAATATAGGGAAGAAAAGCCGCGAGAATGACGCGGCTCCGGCTGAAGATGTCCGTCGCACCATTCCTTGGCAGATATCCGTGTATGTTAGGAGAATCAATATCCAAAGAACATTCGTGTAGCTTGGGAAGAAGGTCCTCGCTATATCAGGTTCTGCCGCAAATTTTTGACCTGTTTGATTCCACCGTCGCATAATTCTCGACGAAACAGCAAAGACCATACATCCCCATATATGCACTGGCATGGATGAACCCTTTCCACCATCTCCATCGCTTCTTTTCACCCCACTATGAATGCCACGCCTTGTGTAGAGATAGAATGTCCAGCCACTGAGGATCCAGTACCAGAATTGCTGCTCCTCTTCCACATAGCTGCTTCCAAAGATCATGCTACCATAGGCTATGGCAATAAAGAGGGCAAATACTTTAGCTCCCGACATGTCGTCAAGGGACACAACACTGGACAGTACAGCGGCCGAGGCAGCAAGGAAAATCCCAATGCAGAGCCTCTCCATGTTGTAGTTACTTGCTGCGCTACTCATCACGTCTTGAGCAGATCTGCAAAAAGTAAGCAGAGCATTTTCAGCTTCCTTGAAATGATCATTGTGATCTCGGGCTGCACTAGCCAACTTCCATGCAATTTGCCAATTGCATTCAAGTGAAGCGAGTTCTATATTCGGTGTAGGTTTGCATACATCTGGCTTGAGGGAATCGCTGAATTCATAAGCGGGGAATGTCGTCCGAACGATATTACGAATTTGCCTAGCATTCTCCATAAGAATACCGAGTCTCTCGGAACCTAGAAAGAATTCAGTACACCTTCATGTCAACTGTTGCAACCAACGACCTTCTTAACTTACCGTTTTTCCACATAGGTAGAAATTGTGGAATGAAAACACCCAGACTGTTGAGGGGGATAGGAAATCCGAGCAATCCGGCTAGGGTAGGAGCAATATCGGACTGTTCAACTGACTGATAGTACGTAAAGTCCCCTGAAGATGGCTCGAGGGAGGATCCTTGATTCTGTATTTGTCGGATTTGTGGGGATATGAATATGAGAGCTGGCGAAGTCTCCCCTGGAGATGCGCCGCCATGATTCCCAGCCTCATTCATACCATGGTCACCGCACAATACGAGGAGGGTGGATGAGAGGTGCTCCTGGCTCTCCATACCGTTATATATATCCCTAACAACCGAGTCCATTTCCCTCTGCTTGGGGAGCATATGGGCGCTAGCTCTATATTAGTTTGATGCAAGAAAAGTCGAAATTGACAGATGCCTTACCTGTTCGGCCCCGATTTATGACCAATGTGGTCCAAGCCAAGGTAATGCAAAATCATTGAAGACCAGTCATCCATCATAAGCTCCTTGGGAACATGACGAGTGACATTATTATCCACTTCAACAAAATCCTACCACAGATCCAAGCTAAATCAGCCATTTCGACTTCAATGAAAAAAAAAAGATGTTCTTGGAGAAATTGTTTGCTTTAAACTAACCGATACAAAGAAGCTTGTTGTGCCATCATGCCTATCAAAAAAACCAGGGAACAATTTGAGCCATGTATCATCCCCATACATTACTAGACGACCACCTGGTCGAGCTCTCAGCTGGGCAAGCCACGTATCCTGATAGACGAGAGTTGATGACGTATCTGTTTCTGCAAGGTTGAGAATCACATCTAAAAATGAAGGCACCGAGCCTGTCGTGATAGCCTTCACCCGCGGCATTGTGACGGTAGGTGCGCCTGCATGGGCCGTGAACGGCAATGCAGCTCCAGATTCAATCAACCTGATGGGATGGTTAGGGCAACATGTACAACTATCCTGCAATTTGGAGGAATATTATATCACTGACCCTCGAGTAAACGTAAAGCCTGAGTGCTTTGCATAGACGAAATCACTGTGTGTTTGATTTGTAGTGAGAAATCTGTCCACCAAGCAAGAGGAAGACCCGATTTACCTCCTTAAGGCATCGACCACCATGAATATGACTCTGTCAAACGGCGCAAATGGCCGAATATCCTTCAGATCTTCACTAAATGTCGCGAGGCCAGGAATAAAGGGTTTATATGGGAAGAAGCCGCTGGCGAACAGCAAAATAGCCAGAGGGAACAGAAAGTTAGCAAGGTAAAGCGGCAGTTTTGTTGCCATGGTGTACTCCAATGACGAAATAGCGACTACTTGAAGAATAAAAATCCAAGGAGGACCGATGAAAATTGCTCTTCCAGGTACCTCTGGCTCTCCATCTCTCAGCCTGCCTGTTCTTTTTTATGTGTGTCTAAGATGGCAAGGGTTGACGGTTGGAATATATAATATTACAATGCAGATTTGATGTAACTATTTAGTTATTGATGTTGAATGCAAGCCAAGACCGAGGGCAAAACGATGAAACAAACATTGAAACTGAACATTTACTTGGACGACATTGTTGTTCATAATTCGGATATCTACAAAGTTGCCAATATTACGTTATTCTGAGATTATTTGACAAACCGATTTCAGGGTGACAGGCCGTCAAGAAGAAAAGAGAACTCTTCCCAGGGCCCCGCCGACGTCTCCGCGTTCAGTTACGTTGATAGAGAAGCTTATTAGCTATTCACCTCTCGCTTCTTTTGACTTCGTTTTTCAAAAATCACTTCCAATGTCCAAAGAATTGTCTAGGTTCCTAACAACTCTATCAGATTTTTGACGACTACAGTATTTAACATTCAAGCATGTATCCAGATAACACCGAAGGAACGCCCAATTTCGACCTGCCACTCCTAGTACGTCCTAGTACGCCAAATCTAGACCAAGTCTATGCCTTTAGGTATGCCATCGTGTATCGCGAGAGGGAATATGACAAATTCAGCGGCCAATGAGTTGAGTTCCCTCACTTCCTTTTGTTAACTCTCTTCACCTTCTGAGGGCGTGCTGCAAATGTGATCGAGGGCCTTGTCTTCCGCCGAACTCTCTTCCGGATTCGTCCCATATTCTCGGCGGATGGCTTGGTTGCTCCAGGTTGCACATCAATATCCATTTCTTGGAAATCCAAATGTTAGCATCATTGCTAGGAGATAATAATGAGATGACTGGGTGAGAGAATTGTGTAATGTAATCTGCATCGAAATAGAATAGACAGTGTACGCACCTTTTCCTGCACCACTTTCTTCTGTTTTGTTCATATCAAGCTTATCTAGGAGGTATATGTTAGTTTATTGGAGGATGGGCTTTCAAGATTAAAATCCGGGCTTGCTCCATACCTGCGTCATTCATATTTACTCCTTTTGGCTTGGCCACCAACTCTTGGAGTTTTGTCGAAAGCCTTTCAGTCCTCCTATCAACAATCGGGACAAACACTTCGGCACGTAGCTTCGCCTTATTGCGTTTCATAACACTGGAGCGGAGACCTTTAGCCATTTCGGGAAATTCTTATATTAGCTCGAAGTCAATGCATGAGAAACGTATCGAGTAGAGCGGTTAGGTATACACTGTACGCGAAAAAAAGAGGTGGGCGTTGACTGAAAGGCAAGGTAGAAGAATGCTCGTTGTTATAGAATCAAATGGCCGAGATTGTAAAATTCTCTTGGTGCGGCTGGCTCAACGCCTGGGCTTATGTCAGCAGGCACCTCACTGTCATCATAGGGGACTTCGACGGGCGCGATGAGATTTGAGAGGCGGCGGCTTGATCAACAGATTCACCCTTCATACACTTTTTTCTGCTGGGCATATATTGTGACTACATTTGCAAATGCATTCTCTTCCCTTTGCGCCTAGCAAGCTCGCTGCCCTTTACTTCGCCTCTAATTCATAGTTGTTAGCTTGTGGAGTTGACCATTCTGGAAAATGGCTTCGACTGGGCAGGATATGGCAGACTTGCAACGAGTTATTGCCCTGGTGAAGTCGTTACTCAACGCCCAGCTAAAGGACATATTGCGAAGTGAGGGCCTCGCGGTTTCGGGTGTTAAGGCGATTTTACAAGAACGAATAATTGACCGTTAGTCTCTAATCCCTCTCGCAAGCCGTCAAAGCCGAACTAACATTGGATATTCTCCCAGGACTTGGACAGTTCTTTCATTCTGGGCGAACCGACAGATATGACGCACTAAAAGGATATATCTATGCCACAGCTCAACATCAAATGCCATCCACTCCAACACAATCTTCAGCTACATACCAACCACCTCAATCTGCACCATCCACATATGCTCAGCAAACAGTGCCCCCATTTTCTCTTCCAATGACTCCAAGTCATTCCTTTTCGACCGGTATGGCTTCCGCTGTAGGTCTCTATTTGCTTTAAAGCTGATTCTGTTCCTAGGTCGACTTAGTTTTAAAGACAGCCCATTTTATTCCATCATAGAACCGCTGACGCCTGTGGTAGAATGCAAAGGTAAGCTTTAGATGTCTTGGAGCGCTTTCAAGTTAGAAAATAACTAAGTCCTCCGTAGTTAGGGAAAGTACGCGTGATAGCGTAATTTTAAAGGTTGTTCTCTCAGCGCTGAATGCAGCGCGGATTCAAAATGACCCATCCTTGCGAGTCATGGTCTATTGTGCAGCGGATAGCGGCCTCACCCAATATACCAAATCTGACATTACATTTCCTCACCAAGTTGAGCTCAAAGCGAACCTGGATGACGTTAAGGCAAACTTACGAGGGTTGAAAAACAGGCCTGGTTCAACACGCCCAGCGGACATTACTAATTTTATCCGAAAGAAAGCTGGCTACGTTAACCAGGTCGCTATGACGTACGCACTCACACAGAAGGTAGACCATAACTTATTTACTATCTCGGTGTATCCGTCCATACAGGAGTTACTTTGTACTGACATAATATGTATAGAAATATTTCATGGTTATAAACCTCGTTCGAAAACACACAGTGGAGGAATTGGTAAATCAATTACAAGCTCGCAAATCATTATCTGCTGAACAAGTTATACGTGAAAGTAAGAGGCTCTCGGAAAACAAGCATCTATCAATACCTACTCATGTCTAACAAACAATATTAGTGAAAAACAAAGCAGAAGATGCTGACATTGTTGCAACCTCTGCCGTAATGTCGCTAAAATGCCCCCTATCGACACTTCGAATAGCGGTCCCCTGCAGGTCAACGATTTGTTTACATACCCAGTGCTTTGATGCGTCATCATTTTTGCAATTACAAGAGCAGGCCCCGACGTGGACGTGCCCTGTATGCAACAAAGCGACAAACTTTGAAGCACTACAAATCGACCAGTAAGCATATTGTTAGTATTCGCAAACATTCACCTCATAACTAATGTATTAGGTACGTTGATAATATACTCAAGTCGACACCGCCGAATCTTGATCAGGTTACGGTGGACCCAGATGGCAAGTGGCATATTGGACGAGACGATGACAATCCGGTACCGGGTGGAAACCCACCCCCTCCTACTGGTGGCGGGGAGGATGATTTAATCGAAATCCAAGATTCGCGACTAGCCACTCTAAAAGAGGAACCATCTACCACCCCAATGACCCTTCACAGTACACCGTCAGTTCAAACAGGGGAATTTTTGTTCGCCCAATCTACATCGCGACCAACACCAAATAATAAACGACCAGCTAGCCAGGTCATTGATTTGACCGTAAGCGATGATGAAGACGAAGAACCTTGCCGCCCCGCAAAGCGCCCACATATACAACCTAGCCCCAATCAATATTCAAATCGATGCTCAGATTTTGCCTCACGGTCCAGCGTGAGTAATGCGAATTTTGGTCATACTAGTCAGAGTTCGTCTAGTTCTCCGGCCGCAAACTCATTTTATTATGATGCTTAAAAAATCTCCGCTGACTGCCTGGAATAATCGAATTGACTTGTATTAACAGCGGGGGCTTGTAGGGGAAATTTTCCTATTTCCAACGTCTCTCTTAGTCGGTTTTCTGTTCATTAACATTATTTAATTCTCTTTTTATTGTTGAAAGAAAGATTTGGCGGCAGAAAGTGGTCGTTGTTCTGCGGGAAGGTGTCATCTACTGCTATACGACGCGCGAATTGCATCGGCATTTTACATAATTGAATTAGGGATCATACAGGAGGCAGCCTGGCAGAGCGAGGCGTTGGGAGTTCCGTTTGAAATGATACATACTTTTTTCTATCTAGATCGTGGCGGTTGAGATGGGAATTGTTACAAGTCCCTCACAACTTTCTCACTCTAGGTGACATTTTTTTCAAGGCGATATGCTTATAGAAACCTCCAAACTCCATAAAACTAACGAAACTGAGGGCTCCAGGCTCTATATTTTACATGCTATGATAGCCTAAGGGCAACGATTTACTCATTACGCGAATCGCTACAACGGAGTTGTTGATCATGTGGGACGTCTAAGTGGTTGTATTAGCATGCAGGCAGCTGAGGCATATATGTGCGGTGCGCTAGTCCGTGATAGGCAGCCTAGGGCCAACAGATCATACTGACGTAACTAGACCAAGGAACAAGTTGATTAGGTAATTAACTCAGGCAATCGAGCTTCCCTGGTACTGTCCTAAAGAGCACTCACTCCTCCACACTTCAATTATTTTGCGAACCCCCCACTGGCCCTAAAGAAAGCTACTGCTGCAAAATCCCAGACCTGCGTCGCCGATAATACTCTTCGAAATTTATAACCCCACCTACCACCAACCCTTTGTCTCCTGTTGCAACCACTGAATTCGGCTCTGCATACAATCCTCCCCTTCATTTCCATCATCCGCGCCTCAGTTAGATGTCCGTCGACACCTCCCTCCCTTCTTTCAACGTGTCGGACTCGTACGCCCGCTTCGTCAGTGTCTCATGCCTGGACCTCCTTCTCATAGAACTAGTGCCAATGGCTGAGAGACTAGCGGAAGAGCTATCTGGCATGGAAGGAAACTTAGACGAAGAAGAGCATCGCGAAGCTACCTTTTATAGATTAGAGGCGTTAGGGTTTCGTGTTGGGCAAGGGTTGGCTGAGAGGTGAGACGATATCACATATCTATGTCTGTATCCATATCTTTCTGAGAAATGGTGTACTCCCTCCCAATCTTCTGAGTTGAGATTGAGCATTGGTGATGAGTGAGATGGAAGTATATACAGTGTGTCAGCTACATATCTTCTACTCCAATTGCTATCTTATATCCCAGACTGGCGAAGCTTTCACGTTACATCCATTTCATACTTGCACACACAGGACTTAGCCTCCTGCCATTGAAACATATTATCTTATTCTCTATATTGGACCAACACCTAGCTAACTGATTTTCGTATGTATGTGGAGCGCCATTAGATTTTCACGAGACAGACCCCGATTTACAGATAATCTTGACGTGATAAAATTCCTTTGCAAAGATTTCTGGACGATTTTATTCCGGAAACAGATTGATAATCTCAAAACGAACCATAGGGTACGGAAGCAAACCTCAGGGAGGGATTCAACTCCCCAATACATCCCATTTCCAGCGATGCTCTATATTCCATGTGCCCTTGTCTGCTTTTCGGTAATTGGATCAAATGAAACACATTACTCACTAGAGTCCCTCGCAAACATTTTTCACTTTTAGGGTGTATACGTCCTAACCGATAATACATTCCGGCCTTTGATACGAATGAGTATGTCAAATCGGAACGAAGCCATCGCAAAAGCCCAATCAGTAAGTTTTCTAGTACAAGGGAAAGAAAGTAAATACACCACTATCAGTCAACCCTCCGAACCTCTTCCCCCACCCCACCTACCAACACAGCAGAATTCAAGATAGAGGTGAGCCCGTCCTAACGGGTTTTAGTACCTCTGGTTCCCCTGTGGCATAATCCGCGGCGGCCTGGCAAGCATGGGCATAAACGCTACTGTTCAAGCTGAGTCGTCGGACCTCCCCAGCGCGACTTTCCAGATCAAGACGGTGCAGATGGCGCAACCTTCGCTACAGCCACAGCAGCAATTACAGCAGCCCAAATCATGAATATTTGAGATATCCCCTAACTTGAAATAAATAAATACCCATGTCCCGCGCTATCTGCATGGTTATTGTTCATTTGAATATATCGCTTCGGAATTAACAGGGCTTATATATACATATTTGCGAAACAAGGGACTTAATGATAGTTAATTTTTCCATGGGTACTTGCGGACTTTCTCTATCTTCTCTGACCTTTTTTTCCTCTTGCCCTTTTCCCCCCTCCTTCCTTGCTTCTTTTCCTCCTTGCTTGGACAATGTTGGGGGAGGATGGGAGGGAGGGAGGTGGTAGAGGAGGAGGAGAAGGTGGAGGCAGAATGGCATTTTTCAAGCACATGTCGTTCTATTCATTTTCATTTTGTATCAAAGATTCATCATTCTCCATTTTCAGATCTTAAGAAACCATCAACCCAGCCCCAACATGCTTGCTAACAAGGCTCTCACGTATAGAAAAGAGGAGGAACGCTGAATGGATTTGTTTTTCCTCTTTGTTCCATATGCCGTCGTCTGATCGCGACCTATGTTGTATGTTTGCGGACCCTCCTCCTGTGTATTGACATGTGTATATGATGACCCTAAAGCCTATCCGTAGGGAAAGGAGGTAGGTAAATAAAAATACCAATTAGTAAATGTGTCCCTTACGGCAGTTGTTTGTGGTTTTACTTCTTTTCTCCTTCGGTACGGACGTTGTCCAGGGTATAGGGAAACAAAATAAAGAGTACGATTCACTTTCGGAGAAAGAACAAACGCTAATGGACGATTCTATTTGAGAACAGACACCGTTTTTCTTGTTTGCATTACTTTTGGCTATGATGATGCTGGTGATAATGATGGGCAACAGGAAGAGGATAAGCAAATGGGCGGGTTGGAGTTTACTTTGTGGGTGGGTTCTTGACAAAGTCGATGCCTTTCTCGATGTTGCCCTTGAGGCCCTTGGTGCAGACTTCGAGGAGTTTCTTCTCCTGTTCCGTGATGCTGCCTAGGATGTCCAGGGCCCTTTCAGCGCCGGATTTCTGTTTTCACAAATCGCAATGTCATCAGCCCGTCCGCACCATTACAAAACCGATTCATCGGAGCAATTAAAGTTACTTACGCCGAGTTCTACGGGGATGGAAAAGTAGTCCAAGCCGACTTGGTTCTTGATGACGTCGCCTCCCTGGATGCCGGGAAGGTAGACGTAAGTTGGTTCAACGATGCCGGACTCACCCTTGGAAGCTCTGATGACGCTCTCAGAAAAGCTGGGTTCATTACAAGTCAATGGACAGTACATTTCATACTTAAGATTGAAGGGGTGAGGAACTTACCGGAATCCAGCGTAAGCCATAGATAAGGTGGCCGAACCAGTTCCATCCTTGGCCTTGACCACTTCATCACCACCAAATTGGACGCCTGTTTCCTTAATCAGCGACTAGTAAAATGCATTGATTACTTACAGGCGACAAAATTCCCACTTACGGTTTACAAGAGCATCGTATCTATCAGTAGGAATTTGGACAGCAGGCTTAGCCTGGCTGAAAAGGGGCACGATGGTCTCGCCGGAGTGGCCGCCAATGACGGGAATGGTAGTTTTTGACGGGTCCTTCTGGCCAGTAAACTCTTGAGTGAAGGTCTCGGCACGGACGACATCGAGGGTAGTGACACCAAAGAGGCGTTTTGGGTCGAATACGCCAGCGGCTTTGAGAACCTCAGCGGCGATAGGGACGGTGGAGTTGACGGGGTTGGAGATGATGAGGACAAAAGCCTTAGGACTGTGCTCTGCGATACCCTTGGCGAGGGTCTGAACGATGCCAGCATTGACTTTGAACAGGTCATCGCGGGTCATGCCGGGTTTGCCTATTAGGGTGAAAAGTAGTTAATTCAGCTCGAGAATAGTTGGATATGGTATGTATGGGGGAAGCATACGAGGAATGCCAGCCGGAATGACAACAACATCAGCGCCAGTGAGAGCGTCCTTAAGGCCATCGTCTTTGGGTAGATATCCTTTGACAGTCTGTACAACCATTTTAGCATTCCATTTCTATAGCTATAGTGGTGAAATGATGCATACATACAGCAATGGTGGAGATATGGGAGAGGTCAGAAGCAACACCTGGTGTATTGACGACATCGTAAAGCGCGAGTTCATCAACGAGAAGACTGGCTTTGAGGAGGAGGGAAAGCGGCTAGAGATATTTTGAGATAAAGGTCAGTGTGTTCGTCATCTGCTGGATTGAGCGGGGACCAAGAGGTTATTATGTCTTGACTGTTCTGGGTGTCTTGCAGTCGATATAGGAAGTATATACCTGGCCAATGCCACCAGAAGCACCGAGAACAACTAGTAAATTGGTTAGAAACGCATATTCCCCAGATAGGGCGATAGTTGTTGGGAGCATCACCAACCTGCTTTGACCATGATGGTTAAGTTTTTGGTGGGAGATAGGTGAGCGGGGTAGGTTGAAAAAGCGTATTGAGGGGTATATCGAATTTAATTTAGGTGCACCTGATGAGAATTGGTGGGATTACAGGATGACAGTGGAGGAGCGATAGTTGACTTACGAGTGGAGGACGTGAAGTAGAGAAGAAGCTGAGGAGGTTGAGTAAACAATCTTTGTAGAGGTGTGTCACATGTCGAAGAGGGGCTGTCATTACACGGTATTGGGTAGTTAGTGCTACACATCACTACGGCAGCCTATAGTGACAAATGTGTCAAATGGGGGGCATACAGTTGAATGTGGTTAATAAAAAGTTGAACATGATTAATTTTTGTGATGGGTTAGCACCTGTTGGTAGTTAACTTATGCAACCAACCCCCTGCTGCACACTCACATGCTCATACACTCATGAAGTTCTCCCACACCTTCTCACAATTCTGTTTCACAATTATACATATCTTAATACTCTAATGATTCTTCTGCTCTGTGCTTCTTCAGAGTATGATTTCTAATATTTCTTCTACTCTAATTCTCTTATTTATAAAAACTCTCTTATATAATCTCTTTTTCTAATCTTCTTTTTCTTTCTTTTCTTAATTGATTTGTAAACTGTTATCAGAATAGTGTCAAATTCATTGATAGTACTGTTGAAATGAATTATATAAACTGTGTAGATAATATGAATGATTTAATTCATAATATCAATAACTTTTATTTAAATAATATATCTATTATATTATAAATTGATTTATCTGTGTTGATCTGAGTGCTCTATATTTACAATTATATCTAGATACTCAAGTTAAATTTAAGAATAAATTACTCAAGTTCTATAAAACTGTATTACTGTAATAATATTATAAAAAAATCTGAGTATTTAGAAGTTTATAACTATATATCTGTAAAGAGATTAGAATATCTATAAAATATTTTCTTTAAAAAATAAAAATTGAATTTTCTAATCTTCAAGTTATCAGAATCAAGAATTATAGTTTTATATAAAAATAAAATAAATTATAAATATCTTTATAAATACTCTTCTGTAAATGAAAACTGAAATTTTATAGAAAATAATACTGAATTTTATAACTTTCTTCAGTAGTAATCTCTACAGATAATAGAGCTTCAACAACAACTGAATAATCTAAATATAAATATATTAAAAATCACACAAATATCAATATCTCTTATATATAAAAGAAGAGAATATCTCTCTCTTCTTAACAAATTCATAAAAGAACTCTCAATCTATTTAGTCTGAAAATAAAAGATAAAAATTAAACTTGAAGAAAATAGATCTGTAATAGACTCTCTGCTTTCACAAGCTCACTATATTTATAATCAGCTAGAAAAAGATACTCTAGCTAAGTTTTATTATAAGATATACATCTCTAAAAAAGTCTTCTATCAACTAGATATTCTATTTTTAAATTCTATACTTTAAATATATATAATATAATAATTGAATAGAAACTGTCAGAGAAATATATCACTGATGAATTATCTACTTAACTTTAATAATAAAATATATAAAACAGAAGATCAGAACTGAGATGATACTGTTAAAATTAATTTTTTAAATCAGTATATTAGTTTTGAACTGCTTAAGCTCTGTATTTTATATTTTATATTTATATATTATTATAACTACTGCATTCATTTATATCAACTTGATAACAATCTCATATACTTCAATACTGTTTAAGAAAGATATAATAATTATAGACAGAATTATATATTTATTAATATATCAACTATATCAGCTGCTTCTATAGATATCATAAATTGAATCTCTTATATAAGCACAGAATAATCAAAGATATCTAATTTCTCTAAATAAAAAGTTATTGATTAAATTATTTAAGATATCTGTATTTACTGTAATAAATCAGAGTATTTTATAAATCAGTATATTAATATAGTAGCTTCTACTTCTATACTATAAATGAATATAACTATATTTATAAATAAATAAGAATAGAGAAAAGAAAAGCTTTTATTCTAAAATATAAATAAGAGTTTAAGAAGTAAAAAGCTAACTGAAGATTTGAGTAGAAAATGTAAGTAGATATAATTATAATCTCTGTCATTGTAAATAGCTTAATCAATATATATGCAATGATAGACAGTGATTTTCTTCACTATACTTTTATAAATATTTAGTTAATAGAAAAATATAAACTTCAGTGTATTTCTTTCTCTGAACTGTATAAATTAAATAAATTCAATAACTTTAGAGAATCTATCTTCTACAATATAATAAAATTCAATATTAATATAGAAGAATATAAGAAGAAGAGTGTTTTTATATATAAAATACAGAATCTTAAATACAACTTAATACTCAGTCTATTATAGTTTACAGAATTTGAAACTTTGTTAAATATATACAACTACTGTTTTATTTTCTCAGAAGATAATTATATCTATAAAAAGAATATTAATAAAACTGCTGATTTTATTTAGATATCAGTGAAAATATTCAAATTATTAACTCATCAAATATATAAGAAAAAAAATATTCAGATATTCACTGCTAGTATAACAGATATCAAAAAGATATTAAAAAAATTAGAGCTCAAGAACTTTAAAAAACTTTATAAAGAACTCTCTGAAATATACAGAGACTTTGCAGATATATTTGATAAAAAAATAACTGAAAAACTTCTCTCTCACTGAAAATATAATATAAATTATATAATTGAATTTATTAAGAAAGATGATAAAAATCTGCAATCACTCTGAGATTCTCTCTATAGTATATTATATAATAAGCTTCTTATTCTATAAAAAATACTCAATAAATTACTGAATAAAAATTTTATTTATATTAGCAATTCATCTGCTGCAGCATCTGTACTATTTATAAAAAAATTAGATAAAAATTTATAATTCTATATTAACTACTGAAAACTCAATAAAATTATATAAAAAGACTGATATTCTCTTCTGCTCATCAATGAAATACTTAAATAAATAGAAAAAATAAAATAGTTTATAAAGTTTGATATCTCTGCAGCCTTCTATAAGATAAGAATTAATAAAAATGATAAATAACTAACTGTTTTTTATATATATTACAGACTATATAAATAAACAGTAATTCTCTTTGAGTTAGTAAATACTCTCAATATATTTCAGAAATATATTAACTGAGCTCTATAAGATCTATTTAATGAGATTATATCAGTGTATATAAATAATATTCTAATCTTTATCAATGAATTGCTTACTGAATACTGCAAGTATATATGATAAATATTTAACTATTTACAAGAAACAGAACTATAAATGAATATTAATAAATATAATTTTAAAATTAAATCTATAATCTATCTAGAATTCATCATTGAAGCTGAGAAAGATATACAAATGAATTCTAAAAAAATGAAAGTAATTTTTAATTAAGAAATATCTATTTTAATAAAAGAGATTAAAAGTTTTCTAAAATTCATCAACTTCTATCAAAGATTCATCAGAGACTTCTTGAATATTGTATAATTATTAATGAATTTGATATAAAAGAATACTGTATTTCAATAAATCACTGAAGTGAATGCTGCTTTCAAAAAATTGAAGTATATATTTATAATCACTTCAATACTGCAGTTATTTAACTCAGATAAGTATATAATTCTTGAGATAGATACTTCAGATTATATAGTAAATGAAATACTGATATAATATAATAATAAAAATATTCTACAACTCTATATCTTCATCTCAAAAAAAATATCATTTACTGAATATAACTATAAAATTTACAATAAGAAGCTTCTGATAATTATATAATATCTTAAAGAATAAAAATCTGAGTTTATAAATATTAAGAAGTTCAAAATTGTCACTGATTATAAGAACTTAGAATACTTTATAATCACTTATAAGTTTATAGAAAGATATATATACTAATCACTGTTTCTCAGCTGTTTCTTATTTATAATCTATTACTAATTAGAGATAGAAAATACTTTTGTGAATATTCTATTTCACAGAGAATAAAATATATCCTCTGATAATTTAGATAATAGATGAAAGTATCAAAAATATCAGTTAATCAACTCTGTAATTATAGAAAATTTTATATAATCAGATAATTTTTATATATATATTAATCTATTCTGAGCTCAGAAATTTTTACTTGAAGAATAATAAAAATAAATAGTAGAGATAAATAAATTCTGATAATAGACTGCAGAAGCTGTACAAAGTAAAGTATTTTAATTTCTTACAGATATATATTCAAAAATAAATATTTCAGTATATTTAATCAATAATAACAACTGTTTATATTTTTGAAATAGATGATGAATCTTTAATTCAGAATTCTTATAAATATAAATTATATAAAATATTTACAATTTACTGATAACTGAGTATTCAGAATATAAAATTATATACAGTATTATTATCTGAAAATTTTACTGATTAGATATATTGAAAAATATATACTGATTTATATACAATTATAATTGCTGCAGCTTAGTAATAGTATAATATAAATATTAAAAAAAATACTAAAATCTCTATCTGTCTCTGAATGAATTTGATATAATATAGCTATCAACTTCACAGTTTTCTTATTTGAAAATAGTGATTCTATAAATATTCTAGTTATTATTAATTATCTTAGTAAGAGTATAATACTGCAGCTCTGTAATAAAATGAATATTAAAATTATTACAGATATCTTTATTAGAAGTCTATTCTATTATATATACAGTCTATCTTCATTTATTGTATTAGATAGAAACAGTCAGTTTATAAATATACTTTGAATCTGTATATATCAGCTACTGAGAATTGAGTGAAAGTTATTAACAGTATATTACTCAGAGATTAATAAAATCACTGAAAAAATAATATAAATAGTTAAAAATATCCTCTGAAAGTTCTATAACTATATATAAAATAATTGAAATAATCTGCTACTGTATACTGAGATTGTTATAAATAACTAAAATTCTGCTACAATAGATATAAGTCTATTTTTTCTTCTATATAGTTATAATTTAGAAATTCTGAACTTTTCTAAAATTCTCTGAGAGATTATATATATCTGCAGTTCTGTATAAATAGTAGAGAATATAATTAATAAATTTAAAAAAGTCTGTAAATGAGCTGAAGCTTTAATAACTAGTATTTAATAGAATTATAAAAATTAAATAAATATCAAAAGAAGTTCTGTAATCTGATATAATATAAAAGATAAGATTTGACTAGATTTCAGAAATATAAAAATGAATCACTTCTTATATACACTGAATTATTATTATATTAAATATATAATAGTAGAAGTATTAGATATTTATAACTATCAACTGAATATTCTATCTGATATTCACAATGTTTTTTATATAAGTCTATTTCAATTTACAGCTGAGAATCTATTCTTCTTGTAAAAAACTTCTGACTGATAATCATCTGTTATTATAGAAGAAGACAATGAATTTAAATGAGAAATTGAAACAATTCTCAGTGACTAGACTGACCACTGAGATCATGAATTACATATTTGATTTGATTTGATTTAATCTCAGTTCATTTCTTGGCATAATTTTAGTGAGATCAGAATCAGAATAAAAGTGTAAAGTGACTAGAATTATCAAAACATGAGTGAAATGGAACTAAAAAAATCTTGATATTCCATGTAAAGTGACTGACTATCAAAATCAGAACATGATCTGGGACTGATCATGATTTTGACTCAAGTTTGGTCCCATTCTGATGATTATATAATACATCAATCTGATGATATGATTGGTGGAGATATTACCTCTATCTTGCTTAGTGCTGCTGCCAACCTACCTACCGCTGCCAACCTATCTATCACTGCTAATCTATCGCTGCTAATCTATTGCTGCTAATCTATCGCTGCTAATCTATTGCTGCTAATCTATCGCTGCTAATCTATCACTGCTAATCTATCGCTGCTAATCTATCGCTGCTAATCTATCGCCGCCAACCTACCTACCACTGCCAACCTACCTACCGCTGCCAACCTACCTACCGCTGCCAACCTATCTATCACTGCTAATCTATTGCTGCTAATCTATTGCTGCTAATCTATCGCTGCTAATCTATCGCTGCCAACCTACCTACTGCTGCCAACCTACCTACCGCTGCCAACCTATCTATCGCTGCCAACTTATATAGGGTAAATCATGGTCCCATTTGGTCCCATTTTGTAAAATGGGATCAAATGGGACCAGGATCACTAATTTATTAGTAAAACATGATCTGGGACTAGATTTATAATATAAACAGTGTAAAGTGACTAATTTGCTAAACACTATATGAGACCAGGACTAAGATATCTAATAATGAAACTGAGGAAAAATTTGGTCTCAGTTTCATGCATGGTCATATAGCCAGTCTATCAGTGACAGAATCAATTGTTGCTGTTATAAATATTTTATCAAATAAATAGAATATAATTGTTCAATCTGAGAATTTATATCTATTATAAAGAACATTACTGTATTCAATGTCTACAAATTCTCACTCATTTCAGTAGAAAGAGATAATATAATAGATTAGTATTTATTGATAGTTAATTTATACAATCAACTCTCTGCTGTATGCTTATATACTTATATATATTTATAAAATTCTCTCATATTTTCTTACAATTTTATTTTATAATTGTATATATTTTAATACTCTAATGATTCTTCTGTCTCATATTTTTTTAAAGTGTAATCTTCAATATTTCTTTTACTCTAATTCTTTTATCTATAAAAATTCTTTTATATAATCTCTTCTTCTAATCTTCTTTCTCTTTCTTTTTTTAATTAATTTATAAACTGTTATCAGAATAGTGTCAAGTTTATTAATAATGCTGTTGAAATGAATTGTATAAACTATATAGATAATATAAATGATTTAATCTGCAATATTGATAACTTCTGTTTAGATAATATATCTGTTACAATTTTTCAGATCAGAATAATCTTTGATATAATTTTAATTATAAATCATATCAACTCTTTATTAAAACTATATATAATTAGTTATGTTTTATACATATCTCACACATCTTCAGATATATCAGACATAGTGATTTTATTATATTTAGACTGACTGATAAAACTATGAATTTTATATTTGATTTAATTTAATTTAATCTCAATTTATTTCTTGGTATTATTTTAGTGAGATCAGAATCAGAATGAAAGTGTAAAATAACTAGAATTATTAAAATATAAATAAAATAAGATTAATAAATCTTGATATTCTATATAAAATAACTGACTATTAAAAATAAGAATATGATCTGAAACTGATTATAATTTTGACTTAAATTTAATTTTATTCTGATAATTATATAATACATCAATCTGATGATGTAATTGATAAAGATATTATCTTTATCTTATTTAGTGCTCAATACTCTGATGATTTATTATTAGATTCTTTATCTATCACTATCAATCTATCTATCACTGCTAATCTATACTGCTGCTAATCTATCTATTGCTGTTAATCTATCTATTACTGTCAATCTATCTACCACTGCTAATCTATTACTGCTAATCTATTACTGTCAATCTATCTACTGCTGTTAATTTATCTATTATTGTCAATCTATCTATCACTGCTAATCTATTGCTGCTAATCTATCACTGCTAATCTATCACTGCTAATCTATTACTGTCAATCTATCTACTGCTGTTAATCTATCTATCATTGTTAATCTATCTACCACTGCTAATCTATTGCTGCTAATTTATCACTGCTAATTTATTACTGTTAATCTATCACTGTCAATCTATCTACTACTGTCAATCTATCTATTACTGTCAATCTATCTACTACTGCTAATCTATTACTGCTAATCTATCACTGCTAATCTATCACTGCTAATCTATCACTGTTAATCTATCACTGTCAATCTATTTACTGCTGTTAATCTATCTACCACTGTCAATCTATCTACCACTGCTAATCTATCACTGCTGTCAATCTATATAGAATAAATCATAATTTCATTTGATTTCATTTTATAAAATGAGATCAAATGAAATCAGAATCACTAATTTATTAATAAAATATAATCTGAGACTAGATTTTTAATATAAACAGTGTAAAGTGACTAATTTACTAAACACTATATAGAACCAGGACTAAGATATCTAATAATGGGACTAAGGAAAAATTTGGTCCCAGTCCCATACATGGTCACACGGCCAGTCTAATTATTCATATTTTTATTGTGACAGTGTTTTTATCGTTACAGTGTGGCGCACACACATCAGGTGTGGGTGCGCGCGGCACGATTATTAGATTAGAAAATCAATATAGCTTTATTCAGTGAAATAAGAAGATACAAAGTATATTGCAATTAGATATCATCAGATTTATATATAAATTGTGTCTGTTTAAATCTGTTGAAATGGTGTGTCCATGCATCGATTTTCTATGCCAAGAACTGACAGAATTTTCGAAAGCGCTAAATTCAGGCCTACAATACAATCCCCTGCCCCACACTCTCAGGGTACATAATAATGGCACTTGAAATCCAAGAATGCATGTATTTTAAACTTGTGTAAGACGGCATAATAGTAAAGGAGACAGGAGATTGGTACGCGCAGCAGCACCCAGACTCAATTAATTTACTTCTTATGATCAGCAAGATGATCATGAATCAACTCGTATCATTAAACCAAGGTCACGAATCTGGGGAAGAAAGAAGGCACAAGAACTAGAAGCGAAGAGAAATACCTGTTGGCAACTTGAATAAAGGGAATGATTCCAACGAAGGCCATAAGGTTAATCCCCTTCCGCATCCATTGTCCTAGCATCGAGTCGATATTCCTTTCAGTTCGTCACTCTTGTTGGGTCGCCTTGCTTGTTTCTGCCGCCGTAGACTCAAGGAACATGGCAGAATTGACCATCCGAACAATATCTTGCTGTTTCGCATCCATTGTCTCCAGCTTCTTTTTTGAATAGCTCCTCAGCAGGGGAATAAGGGCCACCACGCTCCAAAATCTATGAGCAAGAGGAACGCTCCCAGTTCGTTCCTCATACATCATCCATGAAATACAGGCGATAATGAGAATCCAGTAGGCGCAGTATGAAATGACGGACCCGTAGGTGCCCGTGTTCTGCCAGCCTAGAATGGCATAAAAAACATCCCACCCATTATCAGTCTTTGGGTTACAGCAGTTGACATGCCACACAGCCTCTTTGACGTTGTAGGAGCCCGGCCCTGACCCAACTTCAGCGACATCGCTTCCAACCTTGACAGCGAAGACGTGATATTGTAAACTCCAAATTGCCTTGGAGAACATGCCGGCTGCGATTAGGTACAGCACGCAGGTCGAGGCAATCAAAAAGATCTGAATTGACATGACGTTGCCGCCTCGGTATATCAGCCAACCAGTCAATAAGCCAGTTATAATTCCCGTTATCACGGGCAGGGGAAACGCAGTAGCCGGATATCCCAATGAGACGCCCCCAACAAAGACAACCGCCTCCACGCCCTCACGCATTGTTGTAACGAACGGTAGAATGAACATCGCATAACGGCGGCCCCAGTCGCCACGCGCCCAGCGGGACGAGCCCTTATTTCGTTCCATCAGTGCTTTGGCAATCTTCACGCGCCATTTTTGCTTGGACTTGTTGATACGTAGTAGAGCCAATCCCATGATCGTGATAATGATCGTTGCAATAAGATAGAATATGCCTTCCCACAGGTCCTCGGAGGATGACCAAATATCATCCCCTAATGCATAGAAGATACCGATGAAAACTCCTCCAATTATCAGGCAGAAGATCACACCCACGATAGAGCCCAGCCAAACTTGTTTTCGCAGCCGTTTGTAAATGGTTGGATCTTGATGAGGCTGGCCCAAGCATTGTTTGAGAAAGGACAAAAGCACGGAGACGATAATAACAGCCTCGAGACATTCTCGGAAGACGATAAAGAATATCTGGACAGCAAAGACATTAACCATGTTGTTGATGAGGGACAGCAAGAATGAGCTTATTGGAGAAAAACGGAGTCGTGGAATAAAAACCAGCGCGGTGTGCTTCTAAAAGGGACTCGACAGTCCACCGGTAACAAAGTCAAATCCACGTTCGTCCCATTTTTAATGCTTGACCCGGACCAACTGGGGCAGACGTGGGCAGACGAAAGGGCAAACTCGGAAATGGGTGCGAGAATCGGTAGGTGGCGCGCTCAGACCACGTTTGAAATACGATCAGATAAAATGAAGGGCGGCCAGTCGTAAGTTTGCTCGACAGGGCCATTCCGCACAGCGTCTGGACAAGTCTAATTCTCGCTTATCCTGTGACCATGGACCGTCGACTTCTTGATCAGGCCTGTGCCGGTCATTGGTCTTACGCTCGCTAGAACGGGTCACGGAACGATGAAGTGCCCAAATAATTTGCGCCCGAACGAACTAAGCTTTTTGCATCCGACATTCTCCACAAGCCGTCATTCCCTTGTCCAATCAAATTCCTAGGACCTGGTTCCACAGGCACCAATGCGAGTTCAACCCCCACCCGATTTCTGATTTATCAGATGGAAAAGGGTTGAAAGCATTTTATCTGATCAAACAGCGAAACTCTATTATAGAACTCCCCACTGTCCAGTTTCTTCTCAACTTTCACCGAAGTTGAATTATCTCCAGTCTCCTCTCCAAGCAAGTAAATGTATAATTAACAACAGATAAATAACCCCGTGGAACAATAAGTGACTAGTGAAAACCATCCATTCCTGGACTGAAAAAAGAACAAAATCGCGCAGCTGGTGGGTGGTGTGTGGGGGAGGGTAGGGGAAGGGGAAGGGGGGGAAAGATTCTCACGTCTGTCAACTAGGTTCTCTGTTCATAATGATAGGAGGGAATAAAGTTTTTATCAAGCACGCTAAGTTAATTGCTTTTCTCCGACACCTGACCTGGGATAGAAGGATGGTTTGAATGCGACTCTTCTTCGATTACCGTCGCTCTCCCGAGCTCGCATTGCAGACAATCACTGCTCGCACATCGCCATGTGGAAATCGATTCTCATTCCCGCAGTGCTCCAGTGCCTGGGATCCTGCTTCGCGAAGACGGTGACATATGACTTCAATGTTTCTTGGGTCACAGCAAACCCCGACGGACTCTATGACCGCAAGGTGGTTGGCATCAATGGTCAATGGCCCCTACCCGTCATCGAGGTTGATAAGGGCGACCGACTGGTGGTGAATATGTACAACGGCCTTGGTGACAAGAACACTTCTATCCACTTCCATGGGATGTTCCAGAACACCACAAACGGGATGGACGGCCCCTCGATGGTGACGCAGTGCCCTGTACCACCTGGAGCCGCTATCACGTATAACTTCACTGTCAACCAGAATGGTACCTACTGGTACCACTGCCATACTGATTATTGCTATCCTGATGGATATCGGCAGGCATTGATTGTCCACGATAAATCTTCATACTTCTACAACGACTACGACGACGAAATCTTCATAACCATGAGTGATTGGTACCACTATATGGCAGAGAACATAAAGGGATCTTTCATGTCACTATATAATCCAACTGGGGCGGAGCCCATTCCGAACGCCTTTCTCTTCAACGACACTATGAACTCTAGTGTCCCAGTTGAGGCGGGGAAGACATACCTGCTACGTCTGATCAATATTGGCGCCTTCGTGGCCCAGTACTTTTACATCGAGGACCACAAATTACGCATTGTTGAAATTGATGGGGTTTACGTCGATGAGGCGGAAGCGGACACCCTTTATATTGCTGTCGCACAGCGATATTCCGTCCTCGTCACGATGAAAAACAGCACAGAGCGCAACTACGGTATGGTGACGGTGGCCGATTCAGTGCTCCTCGATACAATTCCGTCCGATCTCAGGCTAAACCAGACAAATTGGCTTGAATACAATGCTGATGCCCCGCATGATCAGGTTGCAATGACGGTTAGCGTTGTGTCAGACCTAAATCCACTTGATGACATCACACTAGTACCGCATGATCGCCAGGAGCTTTTGACAAATCCATCAAAACGGATTGAAGTATCAGTCATTGCGCAGGACCTAGGCAATGGCCAGAGCTATATGCTGTTAAACAACCTTAGCTACACTGCTCCTAGAGTGCCTACGTTATATACGGTTCTATCCGCAGGGGATCAAGCAACGGACGCTATGGTGTATGGTGACTACACACATTCGCTTGTTCTAAACCATCTTGACATTGTCGAAATAGTTCTGAGTAACCTCGATACCGGTACTCACCCTTTTCATATGCACGGTCACCAATTTCAACTTCTCGATCGTGTCCCTTCCTTCGGCCCTAATTTCTATGATTATTCTGATGGAACAGCCTTTGCTACCTACAACGCCTCTAACCAGACTTCGTTCCCTGCATACCCAGCGCGCCGCGACACATTCGTGCTCCCGCCTGGTGGATATTATGTGATTCGTTTTGTCGCCAATAACCCCGGCGTCTGGATGTTCCACTGCCACATCGACTGGCATTTAGCCCAAGGCCTTGCATTGACTCTCGTCGAAGCTCCACTACAAATTCAAGAGCGCGTCTCCATTCCTGAAGACCACTACCAGGTCTGTAAAGCGGCCGGCGTCGCGTATGAGGGCAACGCTGCCGCAAACACAAGAGACTATCTTGACCTGGCAGGGCAAAACACGCCTCCCGGGTTTTTGCCACCAGGGTTTACAACGCGCGGTATTATCGCACTGGTGTTCTCGTGCATTGCTGCGATAGTGGGCATGTGCTTTATTTCTGCTTATGGTATCTCAGATTTGAAGTTTACGTTGACAGAATCGGGAATGGAAGATGAGGACAGTCCGGTGGAACTAGCAACGGGGTCAGTTCAGCAGAGCCATGATTAATTTGTCTCCAGGAAATAGAGATATATTCATATATTAAGTTGTGTCAATTCTGAACAAAATATTATTGAAAGCCTTCATTTGTGTTCCCATTGAAAAGAACCTGATCAAGAATTTGCTAACATTCTTGCATGATGTATTGACATTATTGAAGGGAGAGGAGAATGCATAAGGGTAAATTTTTGCCACGTAGATCTGATTTTGGAAGAAATGTACGTAGCTGATGCAGGCGATGCGAGAGAGAGAGAGAGATTGGCCGCTAGCTCGGCCAAGCAGAAGGTCTGGTAGCTTACGGATCGACTCAAGCACCATTGAGCCAGTAGGGCTCATATTAGGCCAGCGAAAAAGGTCCACAATACCCCAGAGACGGCTACTCCATGTAAACGTCCAAATGGAGCCACGGTCAGCTAGGGCAATTATCTTAGAGCCCTGCTTAATTGGCTTATTAGGCATTTTGACTGTATGCTTCGTACAGTGAATCATCGTCGCATCAATAGATATATTAGACCCTGGCTGGTAGTACTGCCCAGCTGCTCTCTCCAATGTGGAAGCTGGAGATTCTAGCTTATACCACCAGCGCTTATCTCCTGGCTGGTGGTTACCTGCGCTAGTTGGCCTAGAGATATGCAGAAAGCGCTTAATTTGCTCAAAGCACTTCTGTGACATATAGAGGCGAGGTGTATGAATTGGCCCTTGATAGGGATCCTGGAGCCAATAGAGGTCTATACGTGGCGAAGTGTGGACACCCACATATATCAGAATATCAATAAAGACCTTAACATCTGCTGCTGTAGTACAGTTCCAGGCACGGCAACTGCTAGCCTGGTTCTCAGGACTCTCGCTCTGATCTGCCTCTCACTCTTGTTTCCACTTAGCATATTCATCAGTTGACTGGCTAATATATTCGAAGATATCCTCGCTGAAAAATAGAGAAAATAGCGCGTAGGGGCTATCGATATCAATCCCACTAGGTAGCTGGAGCTGCGGCTGTGTATGGGGTTAAGTGCTCGATTCATGTGTCTAGGTCCTCTTGAGAGGGTAGTTCCGCGAGACCGTCGTAAAGTTTGCGCTTCGGCGCCATTGCGAATTAGCCGTAGGCAGTAGGCAGGTGAATTAGATAAGAGAGAGCTCAGACGCGCTCAAATCGCTAAGTTGAAGCTGTTGATAGCTCACAACTAGCCAGGTCTAGAAGCTAGTGGACCAATAGAAGCTAATATGTTATTGGCAGATCCGACTTGGTGGCTAGCGGGCCAATTATAGCCAATTATAATTGTAAGATAAGATCATAAAAATGAGAGTTTTTATAAATATGTGGAAGTATAGTTATAAGAGAGCGAATAGATGATAGAGAGTTGATTATATAAATTAACTACTAACAGATGAGAAAGCGACTCATTTACTTATATAGCTCACTCATTTGTAAATTATATTAAATATCTTTTGACTTGAAAAACTCCGAAATATTTCAGATAGATATTATATTCACAACCAGATAGCATCTAGTTAATTAATGCCATGCTCATTACAGATAGATATGATTATTAATATCATATAGGCAAAAGAAAATGATATTAAATGACATTTATTATCTTCTATCAACCTTTGCCACCTTACATCTGTCATCAATGGCTCAATCGTTCCCCCTATGCGCCTCAAGCATCAGCCGGAAGCTCCACAGGAGCTCTCGATCTTTCCTGAGCTGCTGCTAAAGTGCTCTCACCTGCATCACTTTTAGCCTTCCCTCCCAATACTGACGAGTCCAGCTCACCAGTGAGAAAATTAGCCGGTAACTCAGATAACGGACTGCCACCAAGCAGCTCTGGCTTCTCGCATGTATCATCGTCCTTTTCTGTCACCGTATTTTCCTCTTGCCTCTTTCCCGCTGCAGTTAGAGGGGACAGCCTTCCTTCCTCAGCTGCGGGTATCTTTATATTAGCATTCCGTTGTCTTCCCAACACAAAAAATAGTACTGCGATAAGACCTATTATGAGCACTCCTGCGGCAATGCCGCCAGCAATGCCGCCTTTTGCGCCTGTCGACAAGCCTGCTGAACCGCGGCTGAGAGGTTGAGGGCTGGTACTGGTGGTGGGTGTAGCGGTGGGAGGGATGGTTGTAGTAGTTGGGATTGAGGGTGTCGCAAGAGGCAATGAAAATGTAGTAGATGACGTCGTAGAATGTGAGGTGGATACAGAGGAGTTATTGTTAATGTTTTCATTTTTCACACAGCATTGAACGTCATTAGGTCCTATACATGGCCATGGCTATATTATTCTCAGCGGTAACGAATATCAAACTTAGCACGTCACTTCGGATGACCATGTGATAGTGACAGAGGGAGAATAGTTGCTGTATTGGGAGAAACGCAGAAATTCTTACCGGACCTATGCCTGCGAAATATTTACCGTCCTTCTCACATCTCCTGCCGATAGTGCTTTGACAAAAACCAGCCCCTTCAGGGACGCTGCAACTATGGAGCAAACAACACTTCAGTGGGAAGGATGTTAGAATACGATGTTGATCAAGTCAAGAATCATGGTTTCTGACTTCTTTGGGACCATCTCCTTGAGGACACAAAGTTCTGTCCGTTTCAAAAAAACCTCTACCTGTACCCGCAGTTAGAAATAATAACTGCAAGGAGATAAAGTGAAATTTCGAGAGTACGGACACGACCCAGCTTCAACGCAGTCTCCTCTTCCTAGCTCTGTTTGGCATTTGACAACGTCTTGTCGAAGGAAGAGATGTTTCGTTTTTGCGAATTGAGCAGGCTGGTTTTTGCTGTCTCCATAGGCTCTCATTCGCAGCATCTCAGAAGTTCTCGGGGACATCGTAGGAATGTAACAGCTCCTTGGGAGAGTGGTGTCAAATTTTTCTTTTCCACTGGGAGAGCCTTTATGGAACAGAATGCCAATCTGATTCTTCAAGCTAGAGGTCAACACAATTGGCGGGTAAAGCGGTGGATAAGAAAGATATTCGCAGCCGCGAGCTAGCCATTTTAGAAAGATGAGATGATCATCCCACATATGTGATTCTGCCTCGCCTTCTCTCGGGGATCATCCCAGCCTATCTATGAGCAAGCGGGTAACTCTAATGCCCATTCCCCAGTCGTCGCATTGTATGTATATGTGACAGGGAGTGTGTCGATCTTCTCGTATTCTTCTCAAACACAACAGGAACTTGGCACTTTACTCGTGTATCATGATTACAATACAGCGCGCAGCGTGTTCAAAATCCTTGTCCGACGATATTATTCGGTGCACTCGTGTTTGCGATCATCAGCCCAGCCTCCAAGCTGAGCTCAAGGCCTCACCAAAACCACTGTCTTCAATTCGTGACTGGTGGCAAGAAGCGTAAAAGTAGCTTGTTTTTTGTTTGTGGTGTTGCAGAAAGGTCCAAATATTGTGGCGGACGTAAAGCTTGCGAAAACAGAATTTTCTGCCACCCCCTGAAAAGTAGTAGCAAAACACCGCAAAAATAACCAAAATATCCACGTATCTCTAGAATCATTCAAATATCATCCAATTCATTCAAATACGCACCTTTATCATCAAATACGCACCTTTATCATCAAATCTGCCAATATGCCCCCCCAGCTCAGCGAATTTACCACCAATGAGATCGTACGCCTTCTAAACGATGGTTATATGCCTGCTCAGATTGCGCGGACCATTGAGTGCCATCTGGCCACTGTATATCGAATCCAACGAAATATTCGCTGCTTTGGAACTGCTAGAAGTCCTCGTTCAACATGGGGTGTAAAGCCAAAGATCACACCGGATATCTTGTCAGGTTTGGAGGATTTTTTTGAGGCATATCCAACTGCATATCGCGATGAGGCTGTCTGCTTTGTGAAGGATGAATTTGATGTTGATATCCACCCTCGATCGATATCTAGATTGTTGAAGAAACTGAATTTGACACGGAAAAAGGTGATTAATTATTGCAATTGTCACTTATAGAACCTGCTAATCCGTCAGTTCTATTTGATATAGGTTGAACCCGTGGCCACTCAACGCGACGAAGAACTTCGAGCTGAATGGCGTATTCAAGTTACTCAGTATCAACCTGATCAACTTATATTTTTAGATGAGAGTGCTGCGAATGAACGTACTGCAGATCGACGATATGGATGGTCAAGCAGAGGATTCCCTTGTCGCATTAGAAGGCCCTGTAAACGATCTCGCAGATGGTCAATCTTACCTGCGATAAGTGTCAATGGATATCTTGATTATGATATATATCAGGGGTCCTATAATACAGAGAGGTTCAATGAGTTTGTACGTGTCCGGATACTGCCCAAATGCCAACGAGGTTATCACTACCTAGTGATGGATAATTGCTCTTCTCATCGTTCACAAGCACTGCGAGATCTCTGCAGAGAAGCTGGCATTGGACTTTTATTCTTACCCCCATATTCTCCTGATTATAATCCTATAGAGGAGTCATTTCACGCGTTGAAAGAATGGATTAGAAGATACAGATGTCAGTTAGAGAATCAGTTTGATGGAGATTTTGAAGCCTTCTTGCATCATGCAGTTGAGAACTTCATGGGAGAAGAAGATGCAAGAGGATATTTCAGATCTGCTCATATAGGATAGTATTGTAAAATCTAGAAAGATTCAGATTGCAATTCAATTATGATGATATATAATATCTAAGTTTCAAATTCAGAAGCAGAAGCAGTATGAGGTCTGCTGCCATCACTACAAACAGCAGATAAAGACAATTTAATCTCCTTCAACCGTGACTGCCAGATAGGACTCTTTAACCCATCTCTTATTATCGAGAATATACCCATTCCAATATTCAACTGAACCACCTGCTCATTTGTCATTGTCCGTATATGATCCAGTTCAAATCCTTCATTCTGAATAATGCTCTTTGCAGTTAAAAGAGCTTCTGCTCTTCGAGGTCTCTCTGTCATCAACCAGTTGAAGAACTCATCAATAAACAGATCCGCGTGTTCACCAAACTGAGGGATTGGACTACTTCGAATAGGAGGCAGGTTTGGATTCGACGGCAGATTTGGATTCGACGGCAGATTTGGATTCGACGGCAGGTTTGGATTCGACGGCAGGTTTGGATTCGATGGCAAGTTTGAATTCAGTCCTCCCATGCCTCCCATTCCTTCCATCATATATTTCATCACCATCACATTGATTATCTCACTTGGAGACACAATATTAGATGAAGAAGGAGTTGAGGGAGGGAAGATAACTGCTGGCATCTGAGGTGTCTGTATAGAAGGGTTAGAAGCAGAGATAGGTTCGCTTTTTCGTTCCTTCTTCTCCTTTCTATCCATTAATCTTTTTGTCATCTTTCTTGACGGATTTTTAACTGTTGCATGTCCACGTTCAACATCATCTATCCAACTGGCAATCTCACTACTCAGGAGTTGAATATGAGTATCATCAAAAGCCATCCAACAAGTGCCCTGCTCAAAGTTATGACAATTCATCTTTTGACAACGCCAGTGAGCAGTTATCTCACGCCCAATCCGCAAAGAATCGCGCTCATTTGACCGTCGATTTCGAGCCTCCTTCAGCTGCTGGCTAGTGGCCGTGGATCTTGTACGCGTAGGCGGCAGCTTTTCGTCATCGGATATTTCATGAATTCGAGGGGATTTGGCAGGACGATAGAGAGGGGATTTGGCAGGTGGTGAGATTACTTCTTCTTTGACATCTAATGCTCTTTTTGATGCCAATGTCTGGGTTGTTAATTGTGAATCCGACACTCCAATGAAAGCTGCAGGACCGCGTATTACAGAGGTGTTTGAGGATAGAGTTGAGATATCAAGAAGATTAAAAGAGGTGGTAATCTCGATGCTAAATCCGCTCATCTTCTCCTTATATAACTCCTTCAAAAGAGTGATAATCTCTCTCCAATCTGTCTCCTTCTCAAGGGTGATTTTGATTGAAGATCCACGTTTGTTTGATGAGATGACTGCTATACAATTTGCAACTTCTATCTCCTTGCAGTTCTGCTTCATAACATACTCTTCAGCTATTCTTTTTGCAGTATATTGAATACGATAGAAGCTGACAGTCATATCATTTGTTGTGACATTCCGTAACTTGATCTTTATAGGCTCCTTTATCCCATTGATAATCACCCGTTCATACAGCCTGAATGAGATCTCGGGCTCAGGGGTAGGTGTTCGCAGAAATCGAGGATCTTCTGACTGTGTCTCCTCCTCCTCCTCCTCCTCCTCCTCCTTCTCATCATCAGTTGGATTCTTGTCATTATCCGGAACATCCGGAACAGGCGGTTTGGGCAGACGAAGGCGCAGGGTAGTTGGAGTCCTTTTACGAGCTTGCGAGGCAGTAGAACGGTGGGTGTTGCGGGGCATATTGGCAGATTTGATGATAAAGGTGCGTATTTGATGATAAAGGTGCGTATTTGAATGAATTGGATGATATTTGAATGATTCTAGAGATACGTGGATATTTTGGTTATTTTTGCGGTGTTTTGCTACTACTTTTCAGGGGGTGGCAGAAAATTCTGTTTTCGCAAGCTTTACGTCCGCCACAATAAGCATGTTGTTAGTCCGGTGGATCCCGTTTTTTGGGCCACAACCCAACAACCACTTACTTGAACAAATATTTCGCGATCCCATCACAACAACGAAGTCACAGGTCAAGATAAGTGCGTATAAACAGAAAGAAAAAGAGACAGTAAAATAGCATCTGAAACTAAGAACCGACACTAGTAGGAATCGAACCTGGGCCGCTGGAGGGATGATCTGTAACAATCTGGCAGATATAGATATGTCCTACCTAACCTACCTGCAGTGATGAAAGTAGTACAGATATGCTGACCGCAGTTCGGGTAGACTTACTAGAGTTTTGTCAGCAATGTGTGAGAAAATGAAGCGATCCCTTTCAACATGTACATTTTCCACTCTGATACAAAAGCTACAGCACGATTCTCATGAGAGGGACAAGGAAGTCAACCGCGAGTGGTAAGATGGACGGTAATTAAACAGCAGCCTGTTGTTGGTACACTTTGTATATATATATTTAGTATGCGACTCTACCATCACGAAAGGCCCAATGCATTCTTAACCGAACTCAGCGTAATATCGGCATTGTCCCTGGCAATTTTTGCACCATCTTCCGCAATGCTGTCAATGTAGCCAGACGTGTTGTTCGTAAGTTCCAAATACCTTTCCCGGATCCCCCTCAAGTGCTTTGTGAGGGTGCTAGCCACATGCTCCTTGAAAGCCCGCATGCTAAGCCGCTGGTGTTCCCGCCCCATTTCTATAAAACTCCTGCTTCCATCTCCTCCCTGAACATGGCTGAGAATCTCAATAAGGTTAGAGACGCCGGGTCGTCTGGAAGGGTCATAACTAATTCCCGGTTCAGAGTCTGTGAGGGCAAGTTTTATCTTTTGGTGGATGTCCTCCGCCGAGTCCGTGAGGAGAATTCGAGATCGGGGGTCATTGTGTGATTTGGACATTTTCAACATTGGCTGCTTCAGCGACATAACTCTTTTCGCTGGGGCTGTTTTTGGTTCCTTCGTCAATATTTCCAAGTGTGTACACGTGTATGATTTATTGATGGATATCATGCTTACATATCAATGGAGCTGGCATGGTGAGCACTGGACCGTATAAGTGGTTGAAACCGTTCGCCACTTCCCGCGTAAACTCAAGATGCTGCTTTTGATCTTCTCCTACGGGCACATCGGTTGCTCTGTTTTTATTTTTGTTATCGGTGCCAACTCTAGCATTGTATGCAAGTGAATTTAAAAAAAAGGCGTTACCCATACCTGTGTACTAGTACATCTGCCGCCTGTAGCACCGGGTAGGAAAATAGTCCCAGTTTAAGGCGCGACTTGGCGTCCGAATTTTCCAACGTAGATTCCTCTGGCAGTTGTAGTTTATTCTGCAAGAATTATTAGTGAAAGAGACCAGCTGTGACGACTCCAATAAGGGAACACTACTCACTTTCCATTGCGTCATCCGTGATAAATATCCCATCGAAGATATGGTGCTTAAGATCCACATCAATTCAGAGTGCGCTGGAACCTGGCTGTTGTTAGCTAGCAAGTAACCATATCACTTTCATTCGTTATCTTATTTCGTTTTCCAAGAGAAAAAAGGTAAAGGCAGGAAACGCCGTACCGCAGACTGAAAAAAGACAGTGGATCGTTTCGGATCAATCCCGACAGCTATCAATGTAGCCAGCAGTTGTTTCCGCCGTTGTCGAAGAATTGTAGGATCTTGCGGAATAGTGAGGGCATGGAGATCCACGATGGAAAATAACAATTTCGTAGGAGGAACAGCTTCATTTTGTAGTAGAACCCATTGCTTCAGTGCCCCCAGGTAATTGCCCAAGTGAGGTTCTCCGGTAGGCTGGATACCAGAGAAAATGATGCGGTCATTAGACGTTGAGGCACTCGCATTCCGACGAGATTGCCGCGAGCAAAGTAAATAGGAGGGGTTCAACCGTTGATATAATAGCCTAGAGGCATTTCGCACGGAATACTCCGGATGTGCTCGTTGGAATATAGTGGGCATATCTCAACTTTTGCGATCAACTGGAACTTTGCGAAGTTGCAGCTGGGTGTGTAATAAGAGGATTTCCATAACCTAAAATTGCCTCACGTGCACCTAGGAATCCTCAGGTTTCAGCAAACATTTGATATGAACATATGTTCCACAGTGCTGGCCTAAACAGATACCATTGTCTTCTTTCCGGGTCTTATTTATATACCAAGTAGTATGGAGTGTTCTAAGGATCAGACATAGCATGTTTGGAAGGGGTGGGTGGGGAACATCAAGTGACCGAATTCAAATTCGAGATGAAGTCTACATAAGGGTGAATCGAAGATATGGCTAAATGAGAGACAAGCCTCATGCATGTAAAACACAGATTAAAAAAAGAACATCCCAAAGTTCACCGGCTATTGTTATTCATAAACTTCCTCCTATCTACTAAATCAGCGACCGATTCCGCCTGCCCAAAGGCCTTCTTGCTGGAGCCAAAGTAGGAAAGTTTTGCCTCAATTGCACTATCCAACTCCGCAGCCGTCTCATCCATCAACTTCCCAATTCCTAAAATTACAACTTAATTAGAGATCCACTACACGCTATTGGTGTATCTAGAAAAGGGTGGGTAAGCTTCATACCTATTGGGCTATGGTCCCAAACATTCGCCTTCATACCAACACCATGGAACGCATGTTTTCGAAGGAAGGCAAGCCACGTCTGAACGACATCAGGGTGGCCATCCTTAATTTGAATAAGTCGACGAAGCGTTACTCTCTCGAAATTCTCCTGGGACTTCTTGTGAGCGAAATTGCTTTTCAGAACAGTCCAGCGTTCCGTGATTCGCGGGAGAGGTGTAGGTCCGAAAGCGGGAAGATTCAGATAGTATGCCGCTCTGAGCGCAAAGTCGGCGAAAAACTCGACATGTCGTGCGCTGTATGATCGGAGCTGGAGGTCACAGACCGGTAGGCCGAATTCAGCCTTTCGTCGCAAAGGCTTTAAGTATACGGCTTGCACACTACGCGGTAATCGGAATTTGCTACCGATCTGATCTAGTCTCTCCCCCCTATGATAAAGTAAGCATGGGTCAGAAAAAACCAGTGAAGAGGAGTTGGTATAGGCCGTTACCATTCCTTCGGAGTGCCATCGAGAGGTGTAGAGGGTGTTCTGCCGGATAGAGGATAGTCATTAGCCATTAGGAATTCAACATAAATTACACAACAACGACCCCTACCTTATTTCATTGGAGGCAGCAGAAATGCTGTTCGGATCCTCTACGCTGCGAGAAGCATTCTCCTGAGCCGGCGGATGTGAGGTTGAAATTGGAAGGGAAAAATTTGAAATCTGCAGATACGTTAGTTAACCGAACGATGCGGAGAAAGATTCATACCACACACTTTTAGCCGCTTAGTGCTTCTCCATGTAGAGCGCATGGCACTCGCAGAAAACATCGTGGGGAAGAAGGAAATCCCCGAGCCTGATATATTCAGGGAGTTTGTACCTCTTGATGCCATTTGATCCCAACAATGAAAGAGGTTACATAAGCATACTGGGATCCCAACTACCCAATCACAACTCCGAGAAGGAAATACCATCTACACTTATTTCGAGGTACCACAAGCCCCACTGCTTAAAAGTTCGAGGAGTTTAAATTTTAGATTCAGAAGAAGGGAATACATCAACATATTCTAGCGATCAATGGTGGGAGCAGAACAGAGAATCTTCCTTGTACGTAAAATGACCAATTTCCTACTAGCAATGGGAATAACTGATTTGGTATCCTCTGTTGGACTCGCTGGCAGGGCTGATCTGGGTAAGCATATATTTAAATACCTATATCTTCAACTCCAGCCTCTCTCTCATCTATATCAAGAAAACGCCGCCGTCCAACTACAAATCCGATCAGCTTTTGCAACTCACGCAAGAATACATTCATTGCCCTCCCTCTTCCTATCAATAACATCCAATAGAGATTACAAAACATGGGCGAGCAATCTATCTTCCAACAAGTGCAGGACACCTGCATCTACCTCCGTGAGCGTTTGCCAATCGAACTTCAAAAGCCACGATTTGCGATAATATGTGGATCTGGCCTGGGTGGACTAGCAGCGTCAGTGAACAAGAGCCCCAGGGCTGAGTTTGAGTATGGATCGATTCCACATTTTCCCATTTCAACAGGTAAATCTTGGATCATTTTCTCCTTGTACATTGTTTCTATCCTTCTATTTCGAAAAGAAAGATAAAAATGGAAAAATACAATTTATTTGTAACCATCATCATCATTGGATGTTAAGATGTGTTAAAATTCTTATGTAGTGCCTGGCCATGTCGGCAAACTCGTTTTCGGAACCCTCGGGGCAGATATTCCTGGAGTATTGATGGTTGGTCGATCACAGTGAGTTTGTGCTCTCCAGAGAACGGTATTCGATTGGTATCTAATCGGCCTGGCAAAAGCTACTACGAAGGCCACACAGTCGACAGAATCACGTTCCCTGTCCGGCTATTCAAACTACTAGGGATCGAAATGATTGTTGGTGAGAACTTTCTGACTTCTATTATTATAACTTGATAGTAATTGTACCGTAAAACTGAAACGCCCACATCCAAATGAAATCTAGTCACAAATGCGTCAGGGGCACTGAATCCTGAATACAAAGTTGGAGATATTGTCGTGCTGAACGATGTATGATACCGTTGCCTGTTGTGTAATAGGCAGATTCCCCCTCAAAAATGAGCTGACGCTGTGACAGCATATTTTTCTTGCTGGTCTTGCTGGAACACATCCACTCCGCGGTCCGAACGAAGAGGAATTTGGTGTTCGGTTTCCCTCTCTATCAGATGCGTATGATATTGGGCTTCGCAGGACTATCCACCATGCTTGGGGAAAAGTGATAGCAGCAGAGAATAAAAGGAGACTGCATGAGGGGGTGTACGCATTTGTTGGGGGACCGAGGTGAGATTTGCTAAGAATCGTTATATATATGTTTATCGGCCATGTCCTAAATGCTATGCTAATCCGTGACAAGCTATGAGACGAGGGCTGAATGCCGACTGTTACGACAACTAGGCGCAGACCTCGTTGGGATGTCCACGGTCCCTGAGATCATAGTGGCAAGACACTGTGTAATCAAGGTACTCGCGCTAAGCCTGGTGACGAATAATGCGGTCCTGGATCCCGTTCCACGTGGAGACGACAGACTTTTGCAAGGTTCGACGGTGGAAGAGCTAGACACCATAGTGGAGGAGGGCAAGGCCACACATGAAGAAGTGCTTGAGGCGGGCCGGCTTGCAGCTGTAGATATGCAGGTACGCGGGTGCAGCTTGTCTTTTTTTTGTCTCTTCCACATCTCTCAACTAATTTGACCTGCGCTTAGGCATTGGTACAGCAAGCTTTAGTGGACATTTTCGCCACAACCGACAATTAATGGGATTTTCGTTTATTCATCGATACAGCTTGATGTCGAATGTCGACCGGGGTTGGATAATAAGGCATCCACAGCGATAGGCGGATACTCCACAAAGGGAGTTTCTATTTAATATTTGAAGCGAAATCACCAAGAACATATCAACCAAATTTGCTCCCTCTGGAACGTTTTGCTTTAATGGATTTGTAGTGGGCTGTCTTGCCGCTCGTTTTGGCGGCCTGGATTTCTTCATATTTTCGCCTGAATCGGCCGCTCTCATGCTCGATCGCCAAGGCTTCTTCCACGAATGTACGTTTCCGTAGTTTCTTGGGAATCCGAGCGCTGAAGAACTCAGTGGGTCCTTCTATGATGGTGCCCACCTGAGAGTACTCGGGCGCCTTCGCTTTGCTGTTATCTTTTTTGTAATGCCGATGAGGGTCGAGTACCGGTCTCATTCGGAGTAGCTGGAGATCCCTTTTCATTTCTGGGGTGAGATTGGTCTTGGGTAAATCGAACCAGTCGGAACCTGCGGTTGGCTTTTCCTTCGGCTAATAATAGGAGTTAGTGCTTCCAACTCAAACTAACAAGAGAAATTAATTGGGTGAAAAATGAGAGGCGAGCTGGAGTGCGGAGTGTTCAGAGTAACTATGAATAAAATGGCTTCCACAGAAGCAGCGTAGCCCAAGACGGACAAATAAGACTGCATCAAGCGCCTGAAGCGGTAAAATATCTTCATCATAACACTGTAATCGTCAAACTGCAAAAGGCTAGGGAAGAGGTGGTGGAGTCGTGGGAATCGAAAGGAGCTGCCAAACCATTTTAATTTTAGAATTGGAGACCTGGGGAATTGAACGTATGGTTTCTGAGAACTTTTTCTGTTCCGCAGTCACAGTCCGAGTCTGGTCAAAGGTAGCAATTTTGTCTTGTTCACGAATGTAAGACCGAACGGGTTGAGTAGAATCAAGGGTGGGAAGCCTATGCGGACACTATTAGCACCTGCACAACGAAATAAACGATCGGAAGAGATATAGCTATACCGCAAGAGAGATGATGAAGTTGCGGGCTCAGTTGAAGCAGGTTGAATGCAATTCCCTTGGGAAGCAGAACGAAGCCGCGCCTCTGCCGCCAGGAGCAGAGACTGAATCTGTTCATCTGACAAAATTCCGTCGTCCTCGTGGGAAGTAGGAGTGATAGTTTGCAGAGACATGGTGACAGGAAGGTTCCAAATATCTTGCAGGGAGTGGCTGTTTTATCATTGATCCATTGTGAGAATAGTAGAATTGGTTTGCTAAAGAAATGGGACTTTTGTATTAGTTATTAGGCTTAAAAAATCAAAAGTTGTGGGAGGGAGCCTTTTGACTTTTTATAGCTTGATTGACCCTAGCGCGGAAACCAATATCTTGGCGCGGCTATTGACTTCCTCACCCGTGGTTTGGCAAATATAACATCGAGTTGAAGTTCTTGTTCTCATTCATGGTTAGTATCATCTTTTTCCCTTCTATAACCACGTTCAACTAAGTGCCCGAAAAAGTCTTTTTGCATGGCTGATAAGAACTTGAACGTTAGGACATGATCAGGAATCGATCACAACAACACTTGTCTACTAATGAGAATGGAGTATCAACTGTGTGAATGCATTGTTGGAAAAGATTGTGCTCAGTGGATCCTTAAAAAGGCCGAGGGAGGAAGGATATACTTACATCTATCCAAGAAAATCATAATTACAACGTCACAGAGGATTGCAAGGTTCTAAGGGTAGAAAAGGGGTTAATAAACTCTATTCATGTCTGTCAAGTTTTAACTTTCTAACATGTTCAACTACAACTTGGATGCCAACGGCCGCCATCAGTGAAGCTAGCTAATATCGCCTTTTATGTATATGGTTCCATCCGTCGATTCCACGGATCATTCTTTATCCCGACGTCCCGCGAATCCATGGTCAATGAGGATTTATCCCAAAGAGCGGAATTGTAGTGCCAACCCCCGGAATCCTGCGTAGCTTTGTCGCAAATTCGACAAGACATCTATGTAGGTATTCATGGAAGCCGAAGCCCAAAGTGCTGCCGGCAACGACACCAGAAGTATGCATTGCCAACGTGTGTGTTCGGAAACCTGGTCGAGTGATGTGTCGGTACAGGGGAGATGGCAGTAAGCGTCTTGGGTATGATGACAGTCTCACTTCCAGTTGGCTTGAAGATAAACTACTTATGAAAGCTACATCATACAATCTCAATATCCTAACACGTTTTACTGGGCTTCTTTTTCAGTCTAACAGCCACCCTTTTTTCTAACTTTTTGTCAACGAAATTACATTATTTAGTTGCATTTCCCTTCCCGCTTGTTTTCATTGCAGGAGCCTTTGGTTGCCTGTTTCTGGGCATGACATTTGACATGAGTGTTGGTGTGGCAGTCCAGTGCATCCTTGGATGGTGCCGCTATGAGCAGGATTATGCGCAAGCAGCGGAGTGGAAACTTCACGGTTGTTACTCCACATGCATGGTATTTTCCATGAAATGTGATAAATGATGGATCGAGGAAATTGTTTTCAGCTGAACTTGATATATACTGGGCACTTACACAAATTATTGAAAACACCTATATAATCATGAATGGCCTTTGCCATACCTGATATGACTACTAGGAGCAATTGCACTGTTAAATAAATAGTCATTAGATATATGTATATAGCAGGAGCTTCATGAAACATGTAGCTGAGTGCCAGACGGAGCAATAAGCTCAGAAAAGCCAAGCGCTTAGATATTATATATATCATCAATATACATCATCACTAGATATCATCAATAGACATTATTGCAGACGAGGATTGTATGTTCATAAAGAAGATTCCAAATGGTCCCGGCGCATGGCATGGTAAGATGATTGAAGAGATGAAGATGACATGGAGTGATAATCTCACTTATTAGATATATACCATGGAAGGACAACATTGAAGTTCAGAGGACTCTGATACAGAGATGTCAGTCAATGAAGTGGAATATGATGTGGGAGCCTTCCTCAGCAAGAAGGTAGAAAAGCAATTACTGACTGTTGACACAGTTGTTGATGAGCATCGCGTCAATATATATCATCGTCAATATCATCATTGGTAGGCACCATTGCAGATATCATCGCTAGATATCATCAATAGATATCATCAGTGGATGTCATTCATTCAAGCAGGTCAGTAGATAGATAGGCAGGTAGGCAGGCAGGCAGGTGGCCAGCCAGTAAGCCTGCATTGATAGGTAGGTGGGTAGCTAGGTGGTGATGTCTATTCTCATAGATTGATGAGCAGGCAGGCAGGTAGGGAGGTAGGTAGGTAGGTAGGTAGTGATCTGTCCAAGTGAATCATGTGACTGCGGATGTCACATGCTGGACAGAACACACACCACGCAGGGTGGTCTAAATAGTAGAGGTGCCAGCAGAGGTGCCAGCGACGAAAGAGTTCCATCACCGCCCTCTGTCATCGCGTGTAGCCGCGTTTCACACTCACATTCAACTCGCATTTTTCCGGCTTCCTCGTCGCCAAAACTGCCTCGTCATCATTCTCTTCTCTTCTTATATTAGCATTTGCCCTTCTTCTATCTCCATTCCCTTCCAATACACTTCTGCTTGAACTCCATTACCCTCTAAATACAGCCTTCCACCAAGCATCCCAGCATCCTCGAATTTGTCCGCCTGAGTTTTAAACAGCCCGATAGACACTCCTCCGGATCCCAAAGTTCTTGTTCTTCCTTCTATTCCAGTAGATCCTCCTAGATGGATCAGACACAACAAGGTAGAGGCCATCATGGTCGAGCAGAACCAGAGTATGATATCAGGAATGGGGGTCATTACGGTTCGTAACCCCAGTTGTTTTTATCCCATCCGGCGTTCTTTGGATCAAAAGATCATTGAGAGGGATTGCTCCTATTGTATCTATTTTATTGTGGTAATTAACAGCTGTGTAACACCTCTGCAGGAGCCAGCGCTGCGGTATGGTTGATATGTTTCCTTCTTTCAAATTAATTCAAAGGACAAACAACAGCGCCATTGTTTTCCATCCATCCATCCATCCCTGATACTGTCCAACCTATAGGCTACTTGGGGGCGCTTTGACCAGTCTGCTTACTTTGCGCTTTTCCAAACAATTAGCTCTCCGCTCAAGGATATGCCCCAGTACCCGAACTATACACAGGATCATGGGCAAACGTAAGTAGGATGCCGATTTGTTTCAGACCGACCATTCATTATTTGTCAATCAAACCAGAAGCATTCGTTTGGCTAACATAAACTGCGCCCTTTCCTTTCTTTCTTTTTATTTTGCAGGTCAGCCAAGGTCTCCAGGGAAATTCGCGCGATATCCTCACTACATACTGGCAGCATACGATTAACCACCTCGAGTCCGACAACCATGACTACAAAATCCACCAGTTGCCCCTGGCCCGGATAAAGAAAGTAATGAAAGCAGACCCGGAAGTGAAGATGATCTCAGCCGAAGCCCCGATCCTGTTTGCCAAGGGATGCGACATCTTCATAACGGAATTGACCATGCGTGCCTGGATACATGCAGAGGACAACAAACGACGAACCCTCCAGCGATCAGACATTGCCGCCGCCCTCTCTAAATCAGACATGTTCGATTTCCTCATCGACATCGTTCCGCGCGAGGAGGCTACACCGCACGCCAAACGATCCGCGCAGACTGCTCCCACAGCACCCACAGTCCCTCCCCCACCCAACGCACCCAGCCAACTCCCTCCACAATCTCAGCCAGGTGTCCAGCACCCGCAACACCATATGGGCCCGCCTGACTATGGCTCCCTTGGTCAACATCCCATGGGCCAGGAGCAGGATTATCGCCAGCAGCAGATGTATGGGGGAGCAGTCCAATCGGACCCAGGATATGGCCAGCCGCAACCGCAAATGTTTGAGAACATGTATGCGCCATACCCGCATATGCCTCCGCAGCAGGTCCGTACACCCTGTCGCTCCATTTCTCACATCAATGATTCTATTTCCTTGACAAAAGTCGAGCGATGTGCTAACACGAAATACAACATACGTAATATAGTGAGAGTCCCATAAGTTTTCCGAGAGTTCCTCTCTTATTTTCTTCTTTCCTTTTTGAAATTATTGATTATAAATACAAAAAGGGTTTGGCGGAATTAATTTCACAAATCCAATAAAAATATATAATTTAACAATAAATCCCCCCACGCCCGCGTTAAAAAACGCAACGATTAACTAATTCATACCCAATACTTGACACATGGCGATAGGTCTCAGGAGTTTCTCTCTTTTCTTTTCTCTTTTTTTTTTCTTTTATTACTTTTCGCTGACGAATGGGTAGCGAAAGAAGCGACGGGTATGAGTATGAAAAGCAGAGGAGCGCAGAGGGTACATATTTATATCTATATACAATGACTTTTTGCTTTTCTTTTCTTTCAATTTGTGGTTTTTGATCCTGTATCACTTTTTTCAATGTCATACACGGAGCATATAATGTTCTTTCGGGTTTTGTGATATTGCTCGTTCGTGGGCAGGCTGCTTAGAGATATAGAGAGGGAGAGCACACACGTGTGTGGGTGGATTTGTGCTTCTCGAACAATAGAAGACCAGCATTGAGGATTTTTTTAACCTCCGTCACTTCATTGGCGTCGGCATGGTTCTTTGCTATCAGAGGCTCAAATAAATGACAAATAAAGAAATAATGGTATTACACTGCTAGTATGTAGGGCAAGCATCATAGGAAACGCTTCCAAAGTTAGGTCGTTGACGTGCACATGCCCGTCCTCATCAAAACCAGGACAAAGCACGCCGCCTCCTATACCCGACTGCGTACTCATTCTCCCATCCCAGCCATTAACGGGGAATTCCACTTCTGCCATGGAATAACCAAATAACAGAGTTACTTCTTACTTCATGCCGAACCTGGTCGACAGCGCACTGAACTTATCCTGCCTCTGCGGGCTCTGTACCGCTGCAACAAGCCTAAACGAAAAGGAAAATACGACGGAAAACATGTTCGTTAGCCCTTCCTGTCTACTATTATACCTCTGACACCTCCACTCCTTCACCTCATTCTATTTTTTTAAAAAAAAGAAAGAAAGAAAAAAACATATTGGAAAAAGAAAAGAGGAAAAGCAAAAGAAACGCAAATCGGAGGGGGAAGAAACATACTTCTCTAACAAAATGGGCCCATTCATCGCATCAACACGGCCATACTTTTTATTCCTCGTCGAGATGTCATAGAACTCATCCGTGTTTTCGGCCTGCAGGAGCTGGACGGTCTGCTGGAGCTCGTCGAGGTTCTCGCGCAGGATGGGCACGCCGAGGCTGTCGACGAATTGGGTCAGGTAGTCGACATCCCGCGCGAGGGCGGCGACGCCGTTGGGGTTAATATTTTTCACGTCGGGCGACAGGGGGAGGGCCTTGCGTAAGAAAGAAAAATAGAAGTCATCGTCAATATAGGTATATATATATACGTTTAGAAGGTGGTGTGTGTGGTGGTAACACTGATAATGACAATAATCGTCAAAAAAATAAAGAAAAGGGCATAACATACCAACACCATATTCGCCGCGTGGCTCAACGCATCGAAATATATCAACTCCTTAATCTCCGTCGGCAAACCCAACAACGTCGAGTTCATAATGTTCGACAAAAACCTCGTCAACGTCTGCATGTAGTTACTGGGTTCCCGTTGCGGCACGGGCGACATCCAGTCATACTCCGCCGTCTCGATCAAGTCGTCTATCTTCGAATTCACGACCTCGAAGATCCGCTTTTCGGCGGCTTTCTTGTTGCTGCGGAACTTGTTCGTTGCGTTTAGCGTTATGGCGGCACCTGCACAACTGGAGTTGGGCGACCGTGCGGCGGCTAAAAGGAGTTCCAGTTCCTGGCAGGCTATCTCGAAGTGCTCGAGGTTTATGAGGATTTGAACGATTTGGCCTAGGTATTGTGAACCGAGGCGTTCGACGAGGGTTTCGCAGACTTTATCCGAGAGGAGCGAGTCGAGGGACTTTTTGTGTGTGTGTGTGTGTGTGTGTTATAGATGTGTTAGTCCGAAAGCGTAAGTATATATAGGAGATCGTGGAGCTGGGTATATGTACCTCTCTCAAAGTCTCATCGATCATGCTTGGGTGTTGGAAATCGTCGTTGGAGAAGAAATAGAACTGGTTTAGGAAGTTTCGGATATCGATGCAACATAGCGGATACATTTGAGAGAATGGCAAAACGCATGGGAATCTGAGAGACAGTTAACCGTGGCCACTGGTGATAACACACATATATATTTGCGTGGTAGGTGGGTCTTACGTCTGCTGCTCGCGCGATTTCTCAGGATTATACCAGCTGACATTGAGGACTTTGTCATATTCCTCAATGTTTTGAATTGGCATCGGCATGTAGTCATCGGTTGAAACAATCTTTGCAGAGGTCATTAGTTTACTGAATTTTTCCCTCGGGTAAAAGTTCATATCCACCCAGTGGCATACCTCCTGAAAGTCGTCGCTGAATCTCCTCTTGAGAAGTTCAGCATATTTCTCAAACAGGTTTATGAGAAAGTTATCAAACACGCTGACGGGGAAGCCCCAGGTCTGTTTGAGACAAAAAAAGATGAAAAGTCAGTCAGCATTTGTATATTTTACATGCGTGCGAGATATTGCATAGCTCACATCCATGGCTTGCATGAACAAAACGACTAAGTTCTTAATTTTCAAGATATTTTCGGCATTGTCGACGGTATGAAGTGCTTTTGAAATCAAAGCAACAGCACCCTGACACATTGAGTCCCAAAGTTCATCCACCTATATAAATTGAACAAAAGAAACGAAAAAAACATGTTAGCGGGCTCCCTAAAAGATCACATCGAGTAGAAAAACTACCACAAAATTATCCCACTTACTTCGACAGGAGATCTGAGATTGGGAATCTTTTTCATAGTTGACCGCTCAACAATGGCAAACCCCGCAATCTCCTCTAAAAGCATATGCAAACTCGCACCATCCTCCTCAACGACAGAAATCGAGGGCGGCAGAATCAGTTCCTTCTGCCTCCTCCTCGTCATCGCATACTCAACGCGAAACTTATCCATCTGCCCCAGCGACTGATGGATATGCAGACACTCAAACAGCGGCGTGAAATCCACCTGCAGGTCATCGTTCTGCAGCAGATCAAACTCCTCATGCTCATCCGAGACCAGCTCGATGGCCGAATTCAGTCGAAACTGGCGGAAATAGGAGTTGAGCTCCGCGCGCTCCTTCAGCCGCGTCTTGCGCAGGTCGGTATGGTACAACGCAATCTCCCCCAAATACTGCGACATTTCCCGGATGCGGTACAGCCACGTATTCAAGTCCGCCATGACGGCCTCCGCAATCGCCTTCTGTGTGGCCGGCACGGAACGTTGAATCATCTCAGCAATTTTATACTGCGTGACATCGCGCAGGTGGACGTTCTGCAACTCGTCAAGAGCGCGCAGGGCGGCGTAGTGGTTCTTCTTGGCCAGCAGGTCATTGACATGATTTGCCAGGCGTAGCACCTCCAGGCAATCCTGCAAGGCGCGCGAGGTCTCATCGATGTTCTGCCGATGGCTGCGCGATTCCACGAGGGCCTTCTTCTGCTCCGCCAGCCGCTCCGTGCTGGCCTGTATGGATTGGTTGAGGTCTAGGATCTCGGAGGTCAAGCTGACGGTGCCTTCGCGGACACGGAGGAGTTGGTTCACGGAAGCGACGAACTCCTGGTGGTTGGAGTTGCAGGCTTTCTCGATAGCCAATTCACGGTCGCTGGCGAATCTGGAGAGGGACTGGAGGAGCTGTGAGGTTTTGTTTCCGCGGCTGTATTCGCGGATTGAGGGGATGAGTTGGTCCAGGTAGTCGGTGTCTGAGGGGGAGATGACGATCTACGTACGTAATTATTTATTTAGCATGTAATTAGGGGATGCTGGTTTGTACATAGGTATGGACTTTTACGGACCTGGTTGAGAATATCAGAGGGGTCTCTATGCGAGGGGATTGCGCCAGGCATGGCTACGGGAAACGCCGCGGGAATAGCTGCGGAGGCCGGAGGTTTGATTGGGTATCAAGAAGGGGGGTTATCGTGATAGATTGAAATTTGAAAGAGGGAGATATCCCAGTGGTCATTGAGTCATAACAAAAGCAAACAAGCAAAGTAATTGACAACAGACTAACAAAAAGGGGGTATCCCAGTGCTTTTGTCCAACGTAGTAGTAGTGGAAGTAACTATATCCAGTTTCAACGAGGTGGACCAAGCTGGGCGGTGAGGGTCGAGACAGCAAAAAAGGCGGCAGAAAAACCACTCTACGGATACTCTATATATATGGGGATATGGATGCTTGTGGACTCCTTTGCTAACGAACTATTCGCTTTCCCTCCCTTTTGGCTTCAACTTGGTGATCCGTCTAGCTAGTTGTACCATCAATAGCCAAAGATGAAAGATGTTGATGCCCGGATGCCAGGATACTGGTGGCAGTATTCTCGGATCGCTGTCCATTTTCAATATATGGCTGGCTGTCTGTTCTTTCAGAAGCCCCCCTGGAGATTTTATATCAATTCTAGTAGTACTTGTTCTTTAGTACTCCATGCTTTCTATATGACAGGGCTCTGGCTGTGAAACAGTTCAAAGACGAGCTGGGGGAATATAGGGATCCATCCCCTGAAGTGCTGAAATGAAAATGCCTTTTTCAGTCTTGTTCACTTCTGCCAATATCACCAGAGACCCCCTTTTCTGTGTGTGATTGTTGTATGTCCAAATGTACATATACAATTGTGTGAATCTTCTGATACCCTGATACTCCTTTTTCTGTTTTGTGAAGAAGGGAGTGTGAACTGTGAGAAAGAGCATGCTATCCAGACAATTCTAATTCTAGTATGCATATGGAAACTTGAAGTGATGAGTCTTGCTGAATGGATATGAAAAACATCTCAAGCCTGTCCATACTGTCTATACAAGGCCCTAAACAGGTCCAATCAGTATACATCCACAGTTCATATATATCCCATATTCACCGCATCCCCACTGTATTCACATCTTGTCTGCTCCTCTCTGCTCCCAACCCCGCTCTTCATCATGCTGCACTCTCTTCTTTTCCTCTCTCTTCAGTGCTCATCTTCACCTCCATTTTCCTCTTTTGTCCTCTTCTGCTGTCCCAAGGTTGGCTCTATATATCCTAACCCCTTCTTTTGGTCTTTCACTCAGCTGATCTGAGGAGATGAGGAGCTGCCTCTTTGCCTCTGCACCTCATCACTTCTTTGTATCTGCCATTGTTCACCATGATTCTCTCCCGCCACCAGCTCTCTCTTCCAGCCTGCTTCCCCGCACTGCTTGCGTCTTGCTCATTCACTGTTCCTTTCCCCCCACTCTCTTCCTCCATCTCCCTCTCCCTCTGTCAGTGCCTCTGCCTCTCCCCCTCCCCAGCCCTCCTCTTTTTCTTTGCCCACGCTCACTCTCCTTTCTCCTCTCTTCTGTTCTCACTGATGCGGGGGCGCATCTCGTTCCTCCCGGTTTCTATATAGCTTAGCCGATATATCATAGGTATATATCTTTTCCATCTACACACTTTTATCCTCGTATATCCTTCCATCCATTTCTTCCAACGCCAACGGGACAACAACAAAAACAACAAACACCTCAGACGAGGCAGCCTCACGCAACGGCTCCCCCGAGACAAAACTCACTGCTTTCTCTCCGGAAGACCTCCGTCTGAAATCCCGCTTCGAGTCCGGAAGGGCCTTTTGTGGTCCTCTTGACGGCAATCAACGCCCTTTCTTTTCCATGTAAGTTAAGTTTTGATATATCGTATAATACTGTCTCGCTCCTTGGGCACTAAAAGGCAACCCATTTTATCTAACTCGCGCCTTGCTTAGCAACAATGGAGTGGGCCATCACCAGGGTCAAGATCCCTTCTTGTCCACTCCGTCTTCTGCTGGTCGCGCTCAGCTGTCGCCAACAGCCACCAGTTTCACCCCGTCTGGGTTTAACATTAATCCATTTGGATTTTCTCCACGCTCAGCCTTCCCTGGAGATCATCATCATCAGCACCAGCCAATGCTGCCTAACATGGGCTACTTGGCTGCCACCTCAGAGCCTGATGCGCCTCATGATGCCAGCAATGTCTTTGGGACGCGCTCAACTCAATGCCTCTCGAGCTTTGGCCCCATCGGGAAAGCAAAACTGGTGAAAACCCCACTTCCTATGATGTTTGCGCACCTGGGGAAATTTGATAGCGAAAACCGCAACCGCGCCTTTGCCATCGAGCGTGTCCCAGCAAATCTCCCTTATCTCACTCTTGCCGAGGTTTTCAACGTAAGTACAAAGGTCCTTGGACATCCGGTGATCGCTGTGTATCGGTAGTAGCTGACCTCGATTCTCCTGATAGCGTCGTGAATTCGGGACTCTCAAGGGCCCTGTGTTCACAGAACTTAACTCCACGGGAACCATCTACGTAGGCTTCACTGACATTCGTGATGCCAAAAACGCTTCTGAAAAAGTTGGGCGTCTTCATCCAGAATGGCGCGTCCGCTTTTTAACAGCAAGGGAGTATGCCCAGAAGTTCGACCCAACCAACTCAGATCTAGTTTCCGATTTCGAAGGTCAAGTTTTTGCCTCTGTTTTCTATGACAGCTCTAACCCCGCATTGGATGCGCGTGTTGTGTCGCACTCGTTCAAGGATCTCTTGGAAACTTTTGGCGACATCAAGGCTTTCCATGGCCTGCCAAGTACTCAAGGAAATGTTGACGAGTTTTTGATCGAATTCTTTGATACCCGTGCTGCCGATAATGTCGTTTCGACTTTGAACGGCACATCAGTCGATGTATGTACTTCCCTTCCGATCGCACTGACAAATACTGTCTGCTAAGATGTCATTCATCAGGAATGCGTTCTGCAGCTTAAACTCCACAAACCAGACATGGCGGAGCCACAAACGCCTCGCCATGGGTCTTTCGAATCCAAAGATTTCTTTACCTCTTCTGACCTGGTGCACAGACGACCATATAGTCGTCGATCTACGACTCAAATGTCTCCTAGTCCATACCATGAACTTAGCCCTACTGGCCGCTCTATCATTCCCATTGATGATCACGCAGCAGCCATGGGTTGGATGCCAAAGGGCGACGACAACTTTGGCTTCCGTCCTCGTCATGAGCTTAACCGCCATGGCGATCCTCGCTCTAACAACCAGAACTTCGTTGATATCGAACGGATCCGCTGTGGTGTCGACGTCCGTACTACGGTCAGTTTCGTCTTGCCTCTCTCCCCTCTTGGCCATTGCTGACGTTCATCACTAGATTATGCTTCGCAACATTCCAAACAAGATTGATCAGGTATATACAGCTTCCATACCCTCGTTTGTCTCAGGTTCCGGCGTGTATTAACATATTGTTTCCAGGCGATGCTTAAGGATATCGTCGACGAAACCAGCCACGGTAAATACGATTTCATGTATTTGCGTATTGGTAAGTTTTCGCCTGCCGATTTCGGGCTATATTCCTAGTACTAACAATGATCTCTCAGATTTCGCAAACAACTGCAAGTTAGTTACCAGCCAACATAGATGCCTTCCCCATAATTGTAAGGCTTTCATTCTGATGCGCAGTTTCTCAGTGTCGGTTACGCGTTCATCAATTTCGAAGATGTGAGTATCTCGCCTACACAGACAAGGTTTTTTTTTTTTTTTGAATCGTATTTGTACTAACGCTCTATAATTAGCCAATTGATATCATTGACGTATGGCCCTGTCTTCCCTTCTCACTATGCTCACATAAACAGGAACTTACACTTCTTCCCCCTTTCTAGTTCGCGAAAGCCCGTGCAGGTCACACATGGTAGGCTTTAATCCACAACTTGGATCCGAGCAAAGACAATTATGCTAACCATTCAAAAAGGAACTGCTTCAACAGCGACAAGGTTGCGGAAATATCTTATGCCAGTAAGTTGAAATATTTTTCCACATTTTTCCCTTGTATCTTTTGTTGTTTTCGTTTGTCATTTGTCTCAGGCTCTAGGCATACTAACGTTGTCACCCTCTAGCCATCCAAGGAAAGGACTGCCTTGTCCAGAAATTCCGCAACAGCTCCGTAATGCTAGAGCATCCTTCCTTCCGCCCAAAGGTAGGGATGCACCTGGAAGCTTCTCATATAACGAAATGAAAGACGCAGACTCTGACGCCACTCAGATTTTCCACACGGGCAGCGGCCCGCTGGCTGGTAGCGAAGACCGCTTCCCTGGGCCGGACAACCCCTCAAAAATGCGCCGCAGCGTCGAGAATGCAGAGCATGTTGGTATGGCTTATTTTCCTCTTGTTATTTCCTCTACTTCTTTCCCTGCTAGGATATCTCTCCCCCCTCCCCGAATCAACAGAGACAAAAAGTAGCCTTTACACTAACACCAATAAAACACCAGGCCTCTTCGCCCCTCGTGTCGGCCAGCAATATCGTGACGAGCAGCGTCGTCGTCGCTCTCAATTTGACCGCGGGACTACTGCCGCTGAGCGAGAGGCATATTTCGTTCGCTCTTCCAGCTCTTTCACGACCAGACGCGGTGCGTTGAATGGAAACGGGAGCGGCAACGGAAACCTGAGCTGTAGCATGATGCTGCCGGTGATGATGTCCCCGTGTTACGAAGGCCCTGTTTCTGGTGCTGGTGGTGATGCTGGGCCAAGGTCTTCTTGAGAAAAAAAGAGGACGTGTGGTTGATTTTGCATGTTTTTGTGTGCATATGTGTGTGTGTGGATTGAGTGGGAAGCTAATGGAAAGGAAAGTAACTGTTTTCGTTTAAATATTCGTTCTTTTTTTTTGTCTGCTTTGAATGTTTTTTTGTGCCTGCTTTTTGTCCTTGACTGGATTCCGATAATATCTCCCCCTCACTCACCACCCCAAAACCTGCAGGGTGTGTTGTCTGGATTTACGTTGTGTATGGCTGGTCGATCAATAATTCAGTTCTTCTTCTTCCCCTATCTCCTTCTTTATGTCATATTCGTACCCACTCTTTCCCCTCCCATCCTCCCTCACACTCGCATATCTTCCGTTTTCTTGTGGACCGAGCAGTTTTCGTGAGATCCTTCCAAAATAACGGAAAAAAGAAAAGCAGAGGAAGAGAAAAAGGAGAGCGATGGAAGGTCAATCAGTCAATATTTTAACGACCGCCATTGGGATTAAAAAAAAATCAAGCGGCAGAAATCCCCCTTTTACCGGCTTTCCCTACCGCGTTATCGGTTGCCCATAATTCCGCTTGGGCACAAGCTCATCAACCCACGGGCAAAGGTGCTTAGTTTGGCTTGATGCGTTTCTCAAGGGCGAAAGGTACTCGGGCGTTTGTTGTTGGGTTTATTGGTGCTGGAAAAGGAGCTGAGTTGAATTGGGCTTTCGCTTCCTCTTTTTTTGCGTTTTCCCTCTGACTTTTACCCACGCTCGCGCTCGCGTCCTCTCATGTGTTATTATTTATGTTCCTTTGTTCTACGAGTCCTGAGTTTAAGACGTCGGTTTTTTTTCTCGACCGGGTAACAACTAATTAATGTAACATGTTGCGTTGAAAAAGGGGCAGATAAGAAAGGAAGCGGAGAGGAGCTAGCTACCATATCTACCCCTACCTTTTCACTAATTTTGACTTTGATATATTTTCTGTTTTGTTGTCACCATATTCGTTCCCTTCCTTTCTTAGGTGATTGATATTTTTAGTCTCTGTATGTATGTAATGCATGTAGGAATGTGTGTACTTTTAACTAATGTAGGCTCATTATATCTGAAAAATCCGCTTTCTCTCCCTCACTGTCGAAGAACAACAGCATTCAGAGCCTTACTTGCACTAACCACTTGTTAAGGGCGCCTAGGTCTTGTCTTCCCTAGGTCCTTGCTAGGCCCAGGGTGCTCTAATCAGGTGGGTTTTATTTGTTCAGTTCCCCGGAATTTAGGGGTGCCTGGTGGTGGGTGTCCTGCGGGTTTCTCCACCCCCGACCCCACCCTATCTATCAGCACTGATCTGACTTGATACGCCAGGGGGGTTCTAGCCTCACAAGATCAGTGAGAATTAGCACCCGGATCTGCACCTCGGTTTGGGGGCCTTTTCTCCTTTGGTTTCAACGGCCGGCGCCGTCCGTAGTACAATAACAGTGTTTCTACCTCTCTAATTCTCCCCTCTTCTCGAGACAATTTACCTTTTGTTCTTGGATGAGATGCCAGAAGACTTGCAATTGGAGCGTGAGGTTTGCGTGCTCAGTCGTACTTAAGCCACTTGCTAATCTCAGGGTCCTCGCATAGCGCCTGTTGGTGATCATACTTGCAGGAGAACTTGGATTCCGGTTCCTCAAGGTGTTTGACAAAGTTTCGTACCGAGTTTTTACCAACTATTGGTGGTGGGTTAGACTCTCAACTGGCAAGAAGAACATTGACAATTTCTCGTACAGTTTCAATCTGGGGGTTAGAATCCATTGAACAAGACATTCCTCCTCAGTAAGACTAGGCTTTTGGTTTTCCGGATGAGCATTGACGAGCGCCGTACGACCCTTCACCCGATGGTTAGGAGCTGAATAAGGGACATTATATAGCTTTGTTGAAGCTCGTACACTTGAAATCTGATGGCTGCTAAGCGCTTCAATGGCTAAAAGAAGCTTTCCCTCTTGACAATGATAGCTTTGCGTGGTTGACACCTTTGATAATTAAGATGTGCAGAAAAGTGTCTCGCTTGCTTGTGGATTACGTTATGCTATAAAAAGTGTTGGGCATCTCTTCATTTGAGCAAGAACTATGCCATCTATTAGAGTAAGGGATTAACCGAGAGTGCCCGGTTAACTACTAGACCGTCTGCGGATTGCAAAAGGAACTTGTGTGTACTAAAGAAAAGCCATAACAAATAAGTAATCTGGTTTATCTACTTCTTTACTGGGACTCTGGTTAGTTAAAGATAGACTGGTGGGGGTAACACCATATGTGGCGGTGAGGGGGGATGTGGCTGACCTTCATGAACAACAGAGTCAACTTCGCTATGAATAGTTCTTCCACCTAAAGGGCCCTGATAACCCGTGAGGCTGCCAGACAGAAGAGACTCTTTTTCATTTCAGATTCAATCTGCCATATGATACGGAACTCTTATACACATTCATTTCGAATAAGGCGCGTGGGGATTTCCCGCACCCTGTTTTGCTGCTCATTCGCCTAACTCGCTAGGGGTTACACAGGGAAGCCAGATTTCTATGTAGCCTAGCAGTCCAGCTGCCCAACTGATTATTTCTATTTCCAGTTTTCTGCACAGTTGCCCGTATTTGCCCTTTTCCCTGGGTACGATTTTATCACTATTTACTCGACTCAAACCTATCGAGGTGCATATGAAAGTATAGCTATGGCAGCTCCCCATTCCAGCTCGGACAACGATTTGACGGGAATCCTGGTGGCACTTGAAAGGATACAGATTGACCACTCTCACTTGTCCAGCTCCATCGAGGATATAAAAGCGAAAGTTGAGTTACTAGCATCTCATGGCGATGTTCCTGAGCATGACACAAGGGATGAAGCCCGAGAGTTGGGGTCTGAGGTAACTCCAGTATCTACACACATCCCGCGTAGGACTTCTGGTACCTCTCGGATTATCCTTACCACATACCCTGGCCAATCTGGGATAAACCCGATAGCTGTGGACTGGGGAAACGCAGATCCGATCAAACGAGGACCCGTTGTAGTGAGCAGGCATCCTGACACAGTCAAGAGAAGAAATGGTCAGTCAGGACAGCTTTTTCCCAATTATGGGATAAGAGAGCATCGTTACTGACACTGCGATGCAAGCAATCGGGGCTCATGGTGGTTCCTATTCCATCTACTACGCGCTCGCGGTAGCTAGCAAAGATCTCAACGCCGATCACCGCCCCGATTTCACGAATACGGAGCCCCCCGTCAACATTGGGCCTTTCCCGCAATGGGCCGATCCGAAAAAGATAGTTTCGATGGATCCGTGGGGACATCGTGCTCCATTCGATTTTGTTGATATGATCAACAAAGGAGGCGTGGATATTCGACCAACTATTGCCATCACAAAAGCGCATATGAAGCTTCCCGAATTGAAGCAGAGTGTTGAAACGGGCAGGTTGAAGGTGGACGGGAAAATATGCTTGAATGAGTCAGGAGAGTTGGCGGTGACGAAAGTTGCTGTTGAACCAGTCTGGTATCTACCAGGTGTAGCCGAAAGATTTGGCATAGGTGAGCAGCTATCTTCCTTCTTTCAACCCCGTTAAGATGCCAAATTCAAAGGTAGCTATTTTTCCCAATGCGTGGATATGATTCTCATGACTTTGCTGCAATCATAATTTATAGACGAAGGAACTCTGCGCAGATCGCTTTTCGAAAACACAGGTGGCTCATTCCCAGAGCTGATCACCAGAGGCGATATTAAGTTGTTCCTTCCACCCATTGGAGGCTTGACAGTGTACTGTTTTGGCGACCCTGCCAAGATGTCTGACCGAAATGTGAAACTCGCTCTTCGTGTTCATGACGAATGCAACGGCAGTGATGTTTTTGGATCTGATATCTGTACCTGCCGCCCCTACCTGATTTTCGGGATAGAAGAAGCAGTCAAGGAGGCCCAGCTTGGAGGAAGTGGCGTTGTCATTTACTTTCGAAAGGAAGGCCGTGCTCTTGGAGAAGTCACAAAATACCTGGTCTACAATGCCCGTGAGTTTTCTTATTCATGCTGTCATCTTTTTCCCCCTCATGTCTCTGATATAGCTGACTTCCTATGTAGGCAAGCGAGGGTCTGATCGTATGTTTACTTAGCCGAGAATGCGAAAATAACATATCTAATTTAGAGTATGTAGGTGCCAGTGAGTATTTTAAGAGAACCGAAAATATCGCCGGTGTCAAGGTATGCTATATATTTGGCTATATAATTAACAACCCCAACCACCATACCCCACTTTTTTTTGACATCCCAAAAACTGATAGTGAGGACTAGGATATGCGATTCCAGGCTCTTATGCCCGATGTACGTAGAACGGAGAAACGATTGACAGTATTCACTCTTTTAATTGACCTTTACTTATGTCTGCAGATTTTACACTGGCTGGGTATTACCAAAATCGATCGAATGTTGAGCATGTCGAAGTGAGTAGATAGTATCGTCCTTGTTGAGAGCCAATCATTGCGTCGCACAGAGCTAATGATCTGTCTAGCATGAAACATGATGCTATCGTTGAACAAGGCATACCGATCCATGAACGAGTTCCGATACCGGATGATTTGATCCCTGAAGACAGCCGGGTAGAAATCGATGCCAAAATCCACGCTGGTTACTGTATGCTGAGCCCCGGTATTTCCCTAGGCTTCGTTTGATAATGCAATGCTAATATGGATGAACAGTCACTACCGGCAAGATCTTGACTATGGATGAGCTTTCCCAAGTGCAGGGACGGGCGTGGGAAGATGTGGATGTAGGTGATCCTTTTTCCTTTCCTCACATCTTGTTCCATCATTTTTCTTACTGGGCGCTACTAGCACTGAGGGAGATGTCGTCGGCCTTCGTCCATCATCATGGAAATAAACCATTTACGCAAAGCGATTGTCGAATGAAGCACACGCCGCTAACGAAGTTATGAAACCAAAATCTTTTTTTCGCGCCTTGATCTGTGCCTAATGTAGTTTTTGGTGGAGACTCCAGGAATACTCAAATATTTCTCAAATAATACAAAATGGAACATCCTATTTTAATATTTCAATTACATAATTATGGTAGTGAGAACAACAATGGGGAGAAGAAATATCAATGTTCCTCTATTTAGTTTCTCCAGGATATCACTGATCGAGTTTCCTTATCCTTTCTCCTTTCCATTCGAACTCATTGTCCTCCGCGCTCTCCCGTACAATTAACGTTCAGCAAGAGAGTTGTATACTTGTGTAACCATAGCATAGCATAGCTGGTGACCAAATTATTTCTCCCTTCCAAACCCTATTGAAGCCTCACACGTACATTCATCAAGCTCAATTATGAGCTCAGATGCAGCCACTCACAATATATACTACACATTCAACATCACAAATTTGAATTTTCTCGATACCAAATTTGTCTATATCACAGAAGAGCATTCATCGTGAAATCTGATTTCACTTAAAATGACTAGTGATTTCAGCTTTAGTTGTGGTGATCGGATCCGTTGACTCCGTCAGATTTGAAAGAGTGTGAAATAAATAAAAACATGCAAATATATTATCAGATGGGTTCCTCGTCCTTTGGTTGTCGTGGTAAAATACCCACAAAAGATTCGTGTTTTGTATGGTTAACTATGCCCAGTAGCGAAGAACAGCACGCATCTATTTCTCTATGCAAGGGATCGACTACGACGGGGCTTTGTCTTGTTTGTCTATGAGTACCTTTTCATAGTTACTAAAACATTGTAAATGCACAAAATGACTTTTTGCCAGGCGTAAGTTGGTGGTGAAAATACACTAACCTATAATGGCTAGTGTCGAGGGCTCGCTTAGTGGGAAATTTGTGTGGGATTCCCATCACACTTGACATGCTCGATTCAAGGCCTTCGGATGCGATAACCTATCTATCTTTCCCAGCTGCGAGATAGGACCGTATCGCAAATATGGCTGTCGGAAAGTAAGTCGCTTCGTTTGTCTCTGTTTCTGGTTTCCTTCTGTTATAACCATAAATTACTGACTAAATTGTTAAGGAACAAGCGTCTATCGAAAGGTAAGAAAGGCCTGAAAAAACGGACTCAGGACCCTTTTTCGAGGAAAGATGAATATTCCGTGAAGGTATGTTAGCCGGGAGATTGGAGGCTGAAGCTGCAATGGAAATGAAATGCTAATTATCTCGTTTTCATTAGGCTCCCTCGACCTTCGCCGTCAGAGAGTACGATGTCTTTCCCGATTCCTTTCATATAAAGCCAGCCTTTGGAAGAAAAATAAGCTAACCAAGGGAAAAACAGTGTGGGAAAGACATTGGTTAACCGAACTACGGGTCTCAAGAACGCCAATGACTCCTTGAAGGGACGGATCTTTGAGGTTTCGCTCGCCGACCTGCAGAACGATGAGGACCACGCATTCCGTAAGGTCAAGCTACGGGTTGACGAGGTCCAGGGAAAGAACTGCCTGACCAACTTCCACGGCCTCGATTTCACGTCCGACAAGCTTCGATCGTTGGTCCGCAAATGGCAAACTCTGATTGAGGCTAACGTCACCGTGAAGACCACCGACGACTACCTCCTCCGCTTATTTGCCATTGCGTTCACAAAGAGACGACCAAACCAGATCAAGAAGACTACTTACGCCCGCTCCTCTCAGATCCGCGCCATCCGCAAAAAGATCACTGAGATCATCCAACGCGAGGCTTCGACCCGTACCCTCGCCCAACTCACAAAGCTCATTCCCGAGGTCATTGGACGGGAAATCGAGAAGTCTACCCACGGCATCTACCCTTTGCAAAATGTTCGATTGGAACCCCACTTTTTCCTTCCCTTTCTTTCTTTTCCCCATCATCGCTTATGTACAGTCTCACCAACTGTAATTTTGTACTAATTACACCCTTCCTTTGAACAGGTCCATATCCGCAAGGTCAAGCTCCTGAAATCGCCTAAATTCGATTTGGGTGCTCTTCTTGCTTTGCACGGAGAGTCAAGCACTGATGACAAGGGGCAGAAGGTATATAGATATACACATTCCAAAACCCTATTCCTTCCTTCTACCCCTTGGCATATTGTATAGATTTTTACTAATACCTCCATCTTCGTTCCGTAGGTCGAGAGGGAGTTCAAGGAGCAGGTTCTCGAGTCCGTTTAACCGGGGCTGGAAAACGAAATGAACGGGGCGTTGGAGAAATGGAAATTAAAACTCGCGTCTGGTTTATATGTGCTGGCTGTTGTTATAACGTGGATTATGGTTACAACTGTTTGATGTCTTTTCTCTCCCTTTCTCTCTTTTTCCCTTCTGGAAAAAAACAAAAAAAAAATCTCATTGAACAAGATCAGAACCTTAAAGCCACACATGTCTAGATAGCTGTATTTTCAATTTTTCTCCATGGGTAACGCACGGTAGTGGTAATGTTTTTTCAATTTTAAATGCTTTTTAAATGTATTGCTTCTTATCCCCCTGGGTTAATGATAGCTCAGTTCAAATCACTTTATATCAGTTACCGGCAGGTAGCAGCTCCCAGTGAATAATTCGCTACCATATATGTTTTTTATCCCATGTTGTCTCACAACTTCAATAACAGCCCCGAATGTGTTGCTGCAGGGTCTTTGCGAATTGAAACGATTTTATATTTGAATATAATCTAGTGCACCTGGAATTCTACCACCCTTGAATAAAAAAAAATACACCGTTTTACAAGAAGGTATACGTATTCTATAAACCGCACACGACAGTGCAGACTAAATTACTGAAGGAACTCCGTAACAGCTAAGTACAAGTAAAAATGCCATTAGTTTCCCTGGTAGGATTTCTGAAAACGGAGGAGGAATTATCAGGAAAAACGAACCGTTTTTGAACGCTTCAGGATTCTCTGAAATCACCCAGTGTCCAGCATCAATGTCTACAAGCCGATAATTGGGAAAAAAGTGTGCAATAATAGGCAAAGTTTGATCTTGCACATAGTGGCTCCTTGTGCCTCTTATAAAAAGCGACGGACCTTCAAATTTGATGTTGTTAGACGTGTTGAAGGGGAAACCTGCGAGCTCATCCAAAGATTGGCCAAGAAGTTGTACTGGGACACGGAACTTTAGCGTATTGTCTTCCTTGGATCGAATAAGGTTGGTGAGGAGGAATTGGCGGATCGTGAGGGACTATAAAAGTTATAGATTAGAATTTTGATCAGATATTTTTTTCAGTGGCGAAGACAGGTGTTTAGAGGGAATATATATATGTAAGTAAGATCTGTATGGGTAATAAGAACGAACCTCCTCATATTGCTGGAGGATACGATCCGCATCACTTTGCTTCGTGAAATTAGCTCTCTCAATTTCCTGCATGCCTTTTACGTATTTCGCGAATTGGTTGCCTAAGGTTGCGGAAATGGGCGCGTTGTCCACTGCGACAACTGATGATACGAGCTTGGGACACCGCAATGCGACGGTCATTGCGGTTTTCGCACCCCTAGATTTCCCCAGGCAATGTCAGAAGCGATCCATATTTCCATGCGTGGCATGCGAGTGGGGACATTAATTACATCGAATGGCCAATTAGGGTAGGCTTTTCGAGCTTCATGTTATGTATAAATTCTTCGACGTCATCCGCCATTGCGGTATAGTTGTGCTCTGGGTGATGTGGAGAGTCGCCATGATTTCGAAGATCCTTTCAATGTTTAAAAAAAACGCGAAGTTAGGTATACACCAACCATATCGAGCAAATAAACGTAGGAGAGAGGAGGAATCCCCTACAAGCGTATAGATGCGAGTCTTCAGATAACTCGCCAGAGCTCTGTAGCCGCATCAGCGAACATTCCGAAGAGAGCAAGGGGTTCCGGCTCCTCCTTACTTACTGATACTCCTGTTATTCTGCTTGGAGCCAAACAGCCCATGCAAAAAAATTAAAGGGCTTCGCCTCTCGTCGATGGCCGCAGGGCCATCTCCAACCGGCCATGTTTGATAGGCAAGTTGGACGCTACTCCTCGAAGGTGATGAACTGAAGGATCTGTAAGGGAAACGCCATACGCATCCACGGGCAATGCGGGAACCCATGGTATTTGCAAGTTTCCACTAGCTGTGGCACGCGGATCGAAGTGACATATGTGATTATTGAGAACGAGAAATCTGACCTCAGTGTTGGTAGAGTTACTTTATCACGTGACATCGAAACGTGTCCAACCAATACTACAGCTCAGACGTCCATATAGCAACATATAGATATAGGTAGTTACAAGGTTTTGTGAATATGCTTCGGTATAAACTATACAACTCGCTGTTGTTGCTATTATAATCGAATTCCCGCTGCTTCCTCTTTTTTGGCCGCATGATATGCCTTCTTAGCAGCCGCAGCCCGATGCGTTACAGGGTGTTCCAAAGCCTTCCTGGCAGCTTCATTTCCAGCTATAACTTTGCTAAACCCAGTACCCGACCCTAGACATTCATTTTTATGGCCCCAACCGGTCAAATAAACCCCGACGAAAAACGTTTGTAAACCCCCCGAGTGGCAAATTGATTGTTTCTCATCCAAGTAGGATAGTTTGATTCCTTTGTCCATAACTAGTTTAGCAAGATCCTCCTTGTATCGGAGCATAGGCTTGTCCTTCTCTATTTGCTCAAGCTTTGGTATCCAGAGTTGTGTCAGCCAATCTTCGGCCAACTGCACGCCGTATTCACGATTAGACAAGATGACAGCTGCAACGTATGCTTCAAAAAGGTCGCCTTTAATTTTCGTCCATGTTTTTGCTTGATCCCGAATATTTGGAGGCACTTGCAATTTTTGATCCAGGCCATAAAGGGACGTGTATTCAGCCAGCGTTTCATTTTTCACTAGAAGTTCCCTTATCTGGGAAAGACGCCCAGCCGGGAGGCGAGGAAAGGTATCCCACACTAGCCGGGTTGCTATAATCTCAATATATGCATCGCCTAGGAGTTCCATCCTTTCGTAATTTTTCTCTGGCAAGGGGGCGGTATTCGGGTTATGGACTCCTTCGTGAGTGAACATCGCCGTTTGTAGTTGCTTATCCAGAACGGGTGGGAGAGGCGGAAGTTTGCTCTGGGCATGCAATTCGAGCGAAGAGGAGCGTAGTCGACTACGGGGAGATTGTGAATAATACAAAGATTCTGGTGTCGGTTTTTCTGGAGAAAGTGCCTTGGCAAGCGCTGTCAGAACTACGACCAGGTCGGGTTCAGATCCATCGAGGGCTTCTTGAACCTGATCGGGGTGGTTTAGTAGTTTACGGGTGAGTTTCCTAAGCTTTTCTAAACGATGTTTGGTTTTATTTGCACGTTTCTGGTTGCTTGAAGCGGATTGTGAATTTGTAGAAACGGTGTCAGACTCCGAATCGCAGAGTTTCTGTTAGGGAGAATCTCTATTAGATAATAATCGTCGAAACATAGACAAAGGGAAATCAAGAGATACATAGTCTGGATGACTTTCGCACTGACCTTACGTCTTTTCACGGACCTCCTTGCTGTCACCATCCCGGAGCTTTCAAGTTCAAATTTCCGCTTCGTGTCCATCACTTTTTCGGTATCGTTATTCCCGAAGTGAGTTTCCGAGAAGTGATCGTTGAAAGAAAAGTACGAGGAATTATGGCATTGTGAACTCTTCCGCTGCAGGATTAGCTCTAATGCCTAGAATTCAAGGTCCTATTGAGGAACGTTTTAACCCGCGTCCGAAGTATGTTGTTATTTGATCAATAAATACTGGCACAGAGTTTGAAGCAGACTGGAGAAGAACCAAAAAGGACTAGCGGCCAAGCTCAAGAACCAACCTCAGCCAAACAAGGACCTTCCAATGTTCTGTGTCGACGACATACCACGACTACAACGAAGAGCGACTCCAAACCGCGGACGAAATGTCTGTCCCTCGCTCTAGAATTCTAGACCTTGTGAAGGCTGGTTCTGTTCGCCGATTGCTAGCATTGATACACTGGCTAATTGTTTCCAAAGGCCCAATGTCGGATTTTCTCCCACACCTACAACCCAGGGCAACAACGACTTGGGAATAAAGTTTTACGTCAGCGATTACGAGGGCCCGCACTGGCGGCGTATTACCCGCAAAGGATAGGCACTCTGAAGGAATTGGAAGATGCTTACGATGCTCTTGGGCTCCGGTTTGTGGATTACCCGGAAGGGAAGCGGCTGGCTGTCATAGAGAAGTACGTGCGGTGTTCGCCGATCAATGCGGATTTTATTATTTAGCTAACCAACGCCAAAATAACAGACTTCAAAGCCGTGGGAAGGGAGCCCCTAAGAAGAGACGCACTGCAGCAGGTAAGAAAGGCTTCGCGTAGCTAGCATCAGGGCAGGCACGGTTCGCTGACTTATTCCCTATCATTTAGAGTCGAGATCGGCCAAGAGACGGTAGTCGGCTACCTACATTCACATGTATACTAGTGCTACACGCTGTCATTTCGGTGGATCATTCATATGTCTATGGGTATTATGATGGTTTTTTCTCGGCATTCTACCACTGATGCTCAGTTTGAGTGGTTAGAAGGAGTTGTCTTGGTTTTGTTTAGGCAATTATATTCTACTAGAAGGTTGGCATTCACAAATATACCCAAGCCCTTGGTGGCGTTTCCAGAAAATTGCTCTTTCACCATTATGGATGCAAATTATCCGCTTGTTTTATTTTTGTGGGATGGTTGATCTTGTTATTGTTGTGGTTGCTAGCTAACTATATAGGGGTAATCACATGTGGTGGAGGGCCACCTGGGCAACTAGTGCCCAACACCCCCCCACATGCCAACATGTATGATGTGTTCCTACAAATATTCCATGCTAGCTATTTTAACCTAGATCATTCTAAAAACATGCTATATACAGAAATTTAATCATTCTCACTGTTGTCAGTGAAAAGTTCTAGTAATTTAATGAAATATCTAAATATCACTGTGTTCAGAGATTTGATTAATTCATCTGCTACTATATTCTCAGTGAAAATATGATTAATTGAAATAATATCTTCATTCAATTACATATGAGAATAGTAAAAGTGAGTATTAATATACTTACTATGCATTATGATCACAGTAACAGTAGCTAGATCAATCAAATCTTTATTATCTACTCTGATAAATAAGAGATTCTTTGCTGTAATAAATTCTAGTTTTATTATTATATTATATAATTATATTACTTTATATACTGCTTTACTGAGTATTATATATTCTATTTTATTTGAATTTAAAAAAATATAAAATTATTTGAATAAACACTATGAAATTGATGTATCTGCTAATTTAAATATAAAGCTTAAAATAGATTTATATTTACTATTCAATAATTCTACTCAATCTAAATTTATATAATCTATTAGTAAATATAATATATTAAGAAATTTATTGATTTTATTTTTGAGATCTTTGTATAAAATATCTAGATTGTTTGTTTTTTTTAAATATTATATAATATAGAAAAAAGTTTTTTATATTTTAGATATAAACACAGTATTCTTCTGTACTAGTAGAAATACTGCTTATATAATATCTGAGTATAATTTAACTATCAGATACTGTAAGCACTCTACTTTATATTAATATTATTCTTTAATAAATTCTTCTTTTTATTCTGATACAGAGGTATTATCTATCTTCATTCTCTTAAATATTAATATAGAGACAGAGATGATATTGTCTAGATAGAAATCTTGCATTAAATAATTAATATAATATCTCAATATTAATTTTATAATACTATCAGAGTGATATTTAATCTTCATACTCAAATATTTTAAAGATTCTTTTAAATCTTTTATTTTTAATTTATTGATAAGAGTATTAACTAATTAATCAGCATCTATCAAATCTTCTGCTATAATATAAAGATTATTTATATAGATTATTATATAAAAATAATTGTAAGATATATAATATTATAAAGCAGAGTTATAGAGACTAGATTTGAAGTTATTTTTACAGAATAATACTGTAAGAAAATTGTATCAAATTTTAATAATAGAGTTCAATTTATATAGAGAGTCTACAACAGTATAAATTATTATATATAAAGTCTCTATTTTAAATCTGATAGATTGCTGTATATAAATTGTTTTATCAAGTCAGTTATATAGATAGATTATAATTATATTAATTTAATACAAAATTCAATCTCACTTCACTGCTATTATAAATATTATACAATTAATAGTATTATTGACAATAGATGTGTATATTTCTTTATATATACTTTTCTTTAATTAATTACTGTATATTATTTATTAAAATTTTTGTAATATATTATCAGAATCTGTATTGAAGTTCTGAAAGCAATCTTTTTCAATATAAATTTAATAACTGAGAATCACTGACTCATCAGAAGAGATATCAGAATATAAGATTATTATTTAAATATTTCTTTATTTCAAATCTACAATTTTACATTTTATCAATTTTTATCAATATTTATCAACTCTTTTATATCTACTAACAGTATTTTTATATTCTTTCAGAATAGAATCAGTGAGAAAAAAAAAATATAGATAGTAAATACTTTCACTGATTTTATTTATTCAGCATCAGCTAATTTGAGAACAGCAGTATCATCAATAAAATAAATTACTAAATTTATAGCTTCAGATATTATATAATTAATATTATTCTATAGAATTGAAGATTTCTTTGCAGAGAAAATAATATTACTAATAATAATTATTTTATCAGTTATAGAACTTCAGAGACAGTAGATTGAGTTACTACAGAATTCTATAAATTTAAAAATTTCTACTCTAATAAACAGCTTATCAGTAAATTTTTGAGATTTATAAAGATATATATAAATATCAATATCTAGCTTTCTAAAATAATAAAATTGAAGTAAGATATTGATTAATACTGAAAATGAAACAGTATAAAGATATTATATAGATACTTCTTCAGTATTGATAGATTAATATTTCTTATTATATAAAATGATAGATATCAGTGTATTGTTGATAATTATAATTATTGTTTTAAAAATATCTGCTCAGAACTTCTTCAGTATATTTATATCTATAAACACTACTCTAACACATATTATTATTATATAAATTTCTCTCTCAGAAATATCATCTTAATAAGAGGATTGAAATATAGTAGATTCTCAGATAATATCATTTTTGATCATTATTATTATCATTTTATTTGATTGAAAGATATTATCAATATCAGTTCTAACTAGTACTGATGATATGAAGTCAAAATTTTTCATAAATTGAACTTAATAAGTATAAAATTTGATAGTTTGATTCTTAGTATATAAAAAATAAATTCATCTATAATAAATGGCATCATCAGTAATAAATATATAATATTTGATCTCTTAATAAGATTCTATAGAGTAATTGAATATATTATTTAGTATATAACTGTCATCAGCAAAATCAATATAAATATATTGTATTGCTTATAATACTTGTGATATGAAAGTTTACAAGAATTTATATATTATATCTGCTTTGATACAGCTATCACAGAAGAAATCTATTTTAGATTCTTTAATACAGATACTGAATAATAGATTCTTTACTAGTATGATGATTGTATCAGTATAAATATACTCTAGAGTAATATATCATTTTATAAATATTCTTATTAGAGAGTTATAATCACTAGATTGATTATTAGATTTTCTTATAGTTGTTAATATTGTATTTCTGTAATTGTAAAATTTGATTATAAAATGAATAATCTAAGATAAATGATGAATATCTATTTGAAATTTTTATTCTATTATTTTATAGACTGATTTTTTGAATATATAAACAGCAGTGAAATTGACACTGTTCAGAGCTTTTATTATAAAATAAAAAAAAATAATATTAGATAATTAATATCTGAAATTTTAATCTTCTAGCTTTATAAAGAATAGAAGATTAACAGTGAGATTGAGAATTTAATAAATATAATTCACTGAGATATCTCTTTTTTCTAATTCTAGAAAAATATCATCTATTTTCTCAACTTATTCTACATTATTATTTACAATAGTTATTTCTAAATTCTTTTTAAATAACTTTGTATATACTAATAAATATCTTTCATCTGTTATATTAAAGCTTATACAGATATTGAGATATTAAGATTTAAATATTATAGTAGATAATATAGATAGAGTAAATACTATATTAATACTAGATTGTAAAATAAAAAGATTTGATACTCTGATACTAGTAGATTTATTATTATTTTTATTTTTTTTTTATTTTTTTTCTTTTTTTTAATATTCTCAGTATTGTCAGTACTCTTATTATTCTTATTCTTTTTTCTTCACTACTCAGATACTTTATCAGAGTTCAGATGATAGTAATTAATCTTTATATACTCTAAAATCTTACAGTATCTGCACTGTGAGATTATAATGATAATTGTATTATTATTATCATTATTATTAATAACTGTATTAATTTTTGAAGTTTTGAGATATTCAGAATCCTCTGACTTACTCATTCAATAAATAATTTATTTTATAAAATTATTAATATTTAGATTAATAATCAGACTCTGATTTATTTTATAGAATATATTAAAATATAATTTAATATAGATTCTCTGATAATCTTTGAAAACTGATAATAAAGAAATTATAAAGATAGTTTTCATTGCAGTTCTCTGTTAATTGTTGTATACAAGTAGATAGATAGTAATATCAATATATATATATCAAATAATCACTGTTCTTGATATATAAATAAGTAAATTTTTTAGAGAATATTAATTCTTTTCTTCTCTAGAGATATTATATATACTGTGCTTATTTTATATCATAAAGCTGTTATATTGTCAGATTAAATGAATTTTATAATTAAATAAATAGAATCTATCAGAGATTGTAATATACAATAAAAGAGTAGCTTTGAATATATCATTTAATATTATTACTCAAATATTAATAAATCTTCAGATAATTTTTATTGATTTTTATTGAGAATATCTATATTATTAATTATCTCTATATTTAAGAAGAATACTATTTTTTATATCTGATAGTTAATGTTATTGAATATAATAATAAACTTTATATTCAATAAGATCTGTACTTTCTTCTGATATTTATAAACCAGTATATTCAGATTTTCTTCTGATATAGAGTTCAGAGAAGATGAAAATAAAGAAGAAGATAATGAAAAAAATAGTATATATATTGCTATTAGTTGCTTGCAGAGTATAATGAGATCTGTTACTGCTATTGTCATTATATTATTAGAATTTAATGTAGAAATCAGTATAGAACTGAGTATATCATCTTTGAATTTCTTGTATTTTAATATCTTATCAGTATTGTGTGCTGAATCAGAGATTATCATATCTTTCTCTACTATTATATATTTAATTTGATCACTCTCTGTTTCTGAAATAGATTCTTATTCAATAACAGAGAGAATGAACTGAAGAACTTTTGATTATAAATATAGACTGGCCATGTGACCATGCATGGGACTGGGACCAAATTTTTCCTCAGTCCCATTATTAGATATCTTAGTCCTGGTCCCATATAGTGTTTAGCAAATTAGTCACTTTACACTGTTTATATTATAAATCTAGTCCCAGATCATGTTTTACTAATAAATTAGTGATTCTGGTCCCATTTGATCCCATTTTACAAAATGGGACCAAATGGGACCATGATTTACCCTATATAGATTGGCAGCGATAGATAGGTTGGCAGCGGTAGGTAGGTTGGCAGTGGTAGGTAGGTTGGCGGCAATAGATTAGCAGTGATAGATTAGCAGTGATAGATTAGCAGTGATAGATTAGCAGTGATAGATAGGTTGGCAGCGGTAGGTAGATTGGCAGCGGTAGGTAGGTTGGCGGCGGTGGGTAGATTGGCAGCGGTGGGTAGGTTGGCAGCAGCACTAAGCAAGATAGAGGTAATATCTCCACCAATCATATCATCAGATTGATGTATTATATAATCATCAGAATGGGACCAAACTTGAGTCAAAATCATGATCAGTCCCAGATCATGTTCTGATTTTGATAGTCAGTCACTTTACATGGAATATCAAGATTTTTTAGTCCCATTTCACTCATGTTTTGATAATTCTAGTCACTTTACACTCCCATTCTGGTCCTGGTCCCACTAAAATCATGCCAAGAAATGGACTGAGACCAAACCAAACCAAACCAAATGTGTAATTCATGGTCCCGGCGGCCAGTCTATATAAATATAGTATCTTTTTATATTCTGATATAAGAATTGAAAATAATTAAGAATCACTCATAATCAATCTGATTTAGAAAGATTCTAAATGAAAATAAATAAATAAGTTTTTGATTTCTTTAAAATAGTAATGAAATCTCTGCAGCAGTCTTGACAGTAATTCTGTCAATTACATCATTTTTATAGACAAAGAGCTCTTTTTTCAGAGAAATAATATCTAACTCATTCAATATAACATCAGTTGCAGCATATTCTAATCAAAATGTGTTATTTTTCTTAAAAAACTGCTATCCAGGCCATAATCTGTGAGATGGTTGATCTTGTTATTGTTGTGGTCGCTAGCTAACTATATAGGGGTAATCACGTGCGGTGGAGGGCCACCTGGGCAACTAGTGCCCAACAATTTTTCACCTAGTGTTTGACGAAATATTTGAAATCACGTGATCCAAGAATTCAACCTAGCTTATCTCTGCTCTACGCGCATCCCTTTGGCATTCTCTTTTCTCTCCCGTCCGTTCCCAAATTCTAGCATCACATAATATATACAAGTGTTAGTTTATATATGTGCGCTGATTGCCTCCCTATCTTCCAAGTAATTCGTGTCGGCTGAGCTGAAGGGTCGAAGGATCCTATGCCAATTCTTTTGTAATTCTCCAATATGCCAGCCGCAACTCCGAAACCCACGAAGAATCAACTAAAGAGGGCTAAGCGCAAAGCGAAAAAACATGAGGTATGTTGGATCTTTTCTTTCTTGGTATGTATGTCTACTGATTTCTTTTTCTCCCTCAGTTGAAATCTAGCAACGATTCTCCGGCTCCGCAAAACCATTCGGAGGCTGTTGAGACGAACAATAAGCAAGATGATCTCCCACAGGAGGCTCCTCCCGAGCGCAAGGGCGACAAGGGCGATGCTAGTGATCCTGAGAACCTCTACGATTCAGTGGACCCCTTATTTGAAATGTACAGAGATGTAATCAACAAGTTCGAGAAACGCGAAAATGAAGAGTCCGCATCCAAAGAAATTGACAAACCCGAGGTCTACTTCGATGACGACGATGATATTCCTGACGAGGAAGAGGAAGCTTCTGGCCCAAAAATATCGAAGAAAAAGCGAAAGGAAATGAACAAACTGTCCGTGGCAGAGTTGAAGGCGTTGGTTCGGAAACCAGAAACGGTAGAATGGACCGATACGTCAGCATCAGACCCACGTCTCCTCGTTCATATCAAGGCATATCGAAACGTCGTTCCTGTACCTACCCATTGGTCGCTAAAACGGGAGTATTTGTCGTCAAAGAGAGGAGTTGAGAAACCACCATTTACTTTGCCGAAGTTTATACAGGAAACCGGCATCGCTGAGATGCGAGATGCAGCTTTGGAGAAGCAGGATCAAGCAACCCTCAAACAAAAACAGCGCGAGCGTGTACAGCCTAAGATGGGGAAATTGGATATTGACTACCAGAAGCTCTATGAGGCATTTTTCAGATTTCAAACTAAACCCGAACTGACTCGCTACGGGGAGGTCTACTACGAGGGCAAGGAGTATGAAACTAACCTACGGCATCTCCGACCCGGCGAACTGAGCGATGAGCTGAAAGAAGCCCTCAACATCCCCCCCGGCGCTCCTCCTCCGTGGCTTATAAACCAGCAACGATTTGGACCTCCCCCGTCATACCCTGCACTCAAAATTCCAGGACTAAATGCGCCGCCTCCTCCCGGCGCAATGTGGGGATATCATCCTGGAGGATACGGTAAACCTCCCGTTGATGAGCACAACCGCCCCTTATACGGAGGTGACATTTTCGGTGTGTTACAAACGCAACAAAATGTACAGCAAGGGGAACCCGTGGAGAAAGAACTTTGGGGAGAATTGCAACCCCCAGAAGAGGAATCGGAGGAAGAAGAAAGCGAGGAGGAAGAAGAGGAGGAAGAAGATGAAAGTGGAACTGGGTTGCAGACCCCGAGCGGGTTGGAGACTCCAAGCGGGATGGTTTCCACCGTCCCATCCGAATTGGGAGGCGCAGAAAGCGTTGTGGGTGAATTTGATGTTCGAAAGCATCATCGCGGGACCGAAACCGAGGAGTCAGCGCTTCCGAGGTCTGCATACCAAGTCATCCCAGAGCACCAAACGCAAGTTCAGGGCTTTTTCGGTGGCGATCGGGCGTATGATCTCAAAGCTGCACAGAGCAATCTTCCAGTGCTTGGTTCAGAAGATCATAGTCGAAAAAGAAAAAAACCTGGAGATGTGGACGTGTCTGTTGACCCTGATGCGCTACTTTCCCATGATGGAATCAGTAAGGATAGCTTAAAAACCCTTTATGAAACCCAACGCCAACAGGAGGAAAACCCTAATTGGGGATTCCAAGAGGACCTGAGCGATATGATTGCCAGCGAGAGCCGAAAGCGATTAAAGAAGGATGACGAGCGACGAGCCAAACGGTAATATCTTAGTTGATCGCACACAGCAAGCATATATCTGATTTTCGGGTTTGATCAGGCGTGGGGAACTTCTTTGTAACAATATCTTGATTTCTTTTTGTTTTTTCTTAGTTATAGGCAATCCATCATGATTCAGTTTCATCGCCGTTTCTAATATTACGCACCGGCCGACCTTAAAAACCCAACCATTATCACCCCCGAGAATTTATATGTTGTCGAGACCAAGTTCAATTTCCACTTCTCTTCTCGATGTTTTCTTTGTTGGGGGTTTGGATTAGCATGGCGCTGGTGGTGATTGAGCTCTTTTGCCTTAGTGGCCTAGCATCCTTTCAAGATATTCACGTGACTTCACTCACTTTCTGTCAGTGAGATCATTTCATTGAACAACGCTGGACAACTCACGAAACCAAGTCGAGCAGGGTGGAACATGAGGCGTACCCCGGTTTCCTTTTTGCATTGCTACGCTGTGGCCCAGCGATAGTCTTCTGTTCACGAATACTATGCTGTGATCGGCTTGCAACCCTCGTCTTTTTAGCTCTAATCAACGCCTTTTTACAAGAACATCGCCATGGATCGCGACCGAGATAGAAGGTTTGGAGAATCTCTAATCCATTTCATTTTGAGATAGTTGGATTGATATCTACAACTTGAGCCAGTTCCCACATCTTATAGCAACGGGCTAATGGTTGGATTTTTGCGTTTTTAGATATGATGACGGTCGTCGCTTTGGAGAAAGCTACCGCCCGTCAGAACGAAACCGTCGACATTCTCCACGTGGTGATACTCGCTCTCCATTGAGACCCGCAGCTGACACCTGGGCTCCTGATCGCGGAAGGCCTCGCAGCCGATCACCAGTTGTCTTTCGGCGCCGTTCAAGAAGCCCGCTTTTCCGGGGAAGAGACCAGGTTTCTAGTTACAACCCCAGAAGCAGGAGACCGTCACCTGCTCGCGATATCCGACGGAGCCCCCCAAGATCACGGCGCTCTAGGTCCCCGCCTCGATATACAAGGGAACGTAGTCCACTTCCTCTAAAAAGAACTCGAGACCCTTCGCCGCTCAACAATTACCACCCTCGCTCTCCAAAAAGAGAGCGCGTCGCTTCTCCGCCTGTACGACCAAGATTTGAACGACCCTGGTCTCCGTCATTCCCTGGATATCCTCGAGGGCCTCCGCGTGCTCGATCACGCAGCTTGGATCGGCGCGAACCGCGGCGAGAAGTTCCTGCTGAGCGGTCATGGCGACGCAGGTCACTCTCTCCACCGAGAGCGCCATCCGGCCACAACTCTGATCGTGTTTCGACGTCTACGTCACGGAGATCATCCCCACCGTTACAAACAAACGACAGATTGAACATGCCGCGATCTGGGGGCGTCACGCGCTCTCCAGCCATTATGCCGACACGAACACAATATGAAGCTCGGCAACCGATAACATCTCCTTCCCGTCCCACCAGATCGCCACCAAGACCAGTAGAGCCGCCGCGGGCGCCTGCTGGTAGGCCACCGTCTCCTCCTAAGGAACCGACTACGCGTGGGCCTTCACCAAAACTACCGGATAAACCTTTGAGGCAGAGTCCTGGAGGTGATAACGAACGGGGTGAATGTCAATCGCAAAATGCAAGACCTCCAGGCCCTTCTGGCACTTCTGGAGGCGTAGGCCCCTCTTCTCTTGGGAATCAGAATGTTGCGCAAGCGCCAAGGATCCCCAGCCAACCCCAAACTTTCAACAAACCGCGATCTGTAACGCCGTTGTCCTCTCCTTCAACCGCCCAACCGCCAACCGGTCCTCAGGCTCGTGGAACTAACTTGTCCTTACTTTCCGCTCCTACCCGCCCTAGGGGTGGCATTCCACACAGTTCTACTAGGGATGGCCCCAGTCCCCGCGACGGATCTTGGTCAGGATCTGTTCGACACCACTCCCCGCCGGTGCATCATAAAACTCCTAGTGGACATCGTGCTGGCTCGAATTACGAGTCTCATCGTCCTCCTCTGTTTCGGCATAGTAGCGCGTCAACTCCACATTCCTACCCCCGTCCTCCACGTTCTACCAACTATCTATCCGGGATACCTCAAATAGTACCTGGTGGAAAGCTGCTGCCATCCAGCTTGGATCCAAGCCGCGAAAAGCGTCTCGCTCAGCTAGAACTCGATAAAGAAAAGCTCTTAGAGCAGATTGAAGAAAAACAAAAGGCCAAGCGGGCTGGACTAAGGGAATGGGAGAAACTCAGTAGGGAGAGTTCTACAGGTGCACTGAGGAGTGAGCTTGCCGAGGGCCATTTGCAACGAATGACAGAAGGTGATGGGCTGGGCGGGCCTGCTTTTTGAACAGTTTCATTAAGACAAGATAAACCTCTTCTAATTCCTGTATTTCAGATTTTCTAGCTTTTCATGAGGATATTCCCGAAGAACATCAATTAGATTATAAGAATCTTTTGCGGTCGACATTCTTTTTCCTCCGATTGAAAGGTGTTCATCGGGAGATGCCTGCTGCTATTTTTATATTCTTGAACAATGTCTCAAATCTGTCTACAATGAATACCCGTGCTCTGTAGAAAAGGCGTTGTATTGGTGTGCAGCGCGCCACTCCGCAATACGAAGCCCAGGAGTGCGTATTAAGTAATTTCTTATGTAATACATGAGTTCATCGCCAACGGATAAAATAAAATCCGACCACCCCCTAAGCTGCTCAATCCAAAGCCGCAGCCAAGTTTCGGCGTTGAGAGGCTTCGTGTCAACAAGTTCAGCTTCAACAATTGTGCTTTCTGCTCCAGCAACGCTCTTCACACACCTCAGATGCCCTGTTTCATGGCGTCCTCTGCTTTTAGAGAATCCATCGAATCCAGAGCCTCCTTTATCTTGGTGGCCCTTTGCCATCGCGTCGAGAGCATTGTTGATTGAAGGTCTTACTGCCAATTACCCCCCTTACAATTCCCGGTTCAGCATTGCTCCGAAACATTCGCTATCTCTCGTCGCCAACATGAATATCTTCAGGTTGTTAGGTATGCGCCGGCCATATCTCCTAAGTGCTTTTTTATTGAAGTGTTTGTCCAAAGTTATGGACTGCAATTGCTCTTGTATATTATTTAATCTCCCTCAAATGGCTGACCCCTTCAAATTTTTATAATCGCAGCGGATTTCTCCCATCTGATCTCTATATTGATTCTTTTGCAAAAAATGAAATCATCTAGCGTATGGATATTCCCCCCTCCCCGTGAGATATCCGTCGAGTTCGTACTATTCCTACCATTGTGGCAGCTGACTTGGGGCTTAGAGCTGTTCCGGAATATCATTTAAATCGCAAGCGTTATATTTTTTCGTTTATATTACACGATACCTAGGTATGTTTTCCTCTATATTGCGCAATCTCCACGAGGCCAATATCAAGCAACACGTACCAAAATACTCAGCAGTCAGCGGTTATTAACTTCTCACTCAACAGATCTTTTTTGGACCTTCACCGATTCAGCATACAATACCGTTTTTAAACTCTTATTTATCTCCTCCTCTGCGTATACTATATATCTTATGGTTAACGACTACAAACCCACTCACGACCCAAACATCGATACGTTTAAAGTGCAATATCTGTTAGGCTCAAGCGCTGTTCTCGGTGTAATATTCCCGCCAAGATATGAAATGGCTGAGGTATGCTTACGAAAAGCCTCCATATTTTTACCTCTCAATACGCATTTATACCATGGCCCCATGCTAATTATTTCCTCCTTCAAGATCCTCTGGGCATTCTCAATCTGGCTGGAATCCGTAGCAATTCTCCCGCAGCTCTTCATGCTACAGCGCACCGGAGAGGCAGAAACAATTACGACGCATTACCTTTTCGCACTGGGCATTTACCGAGCGCTATATATTCCCAATTGGATATATCGATATTTCGCAGACGGCTTTTTCGAACCAATTTCGGTCATTGCTGGCATTATTCAGACTATTCTCTATTCGGACTTTTTCTGGATTTACTATACCAAGTTCGTTTTTTTTTCCTTTCCTGGTTTCTTGGACGTAACAAATTGGGTTTTGAACCCGGTCCTTACTCGTCCAATTTGAATAAGATTATGCTGACTGATTTTTCTCTTTTTTTTCTTTTTTTGAATCCAGAGTTCTTAAGGGCAAAAAGTTTACCCTGCCAGTATAAAAGGGGAGTTCTTGAGAGAGAAACTTTTAACCTGCTATTGGTAGTATCTGAGGATATTATGAATGTTTTAAAGAAATAAGGAACCAGGAGGTTCTGGCAAATAGGGCGGGCTGCCATTGCTAAAAGGGGGAAGAGAGATAACTAAGCTATCCACCATGTATTATCAAATCCTAAGGCCTTTTTTTTCCCCTTTTGTATCATCCGAGAAAAAAATTTCCTTCCTCCCTTTTTATCGTTAAATAATTTTGTTCTCTTTCTACATTTGAAATGACCCAATTTTGTTATTTATTATTTTAATTTTAATAACACTAACGATGGGTTTATTTATGGTGCATGTATTATGTTGTGCGCTATCATCCCACCTGAAGAATCACGAGAGTAACAGCGCTGTGTAGGCGTCAGGGACTCTGTCTTAGAGAAGCAGGTTAATATTATTCAAGAAGCTGTATCTATACACAAAAACTAGAATATCCGTCGCTAGACCAGGTTCTTTCTTTTTGGACAAAGAGAACACATGCTTGTCGATGCTGTAAATTTTTTGTCGTCGCCGCTGCAGATGTTTGTTCCATTTATCCTTGGGACAGCAAAATTGAAAAAAGGGGGTGGCAAAAGATAAGTGGGAATGCCCGAGAAGGAACACAAAGACAAAAATAAAATGTAAATAGAATCTATGGACGAAATAATTGAATTGGAGAAGATAGGAGATATATTTAGTTTATAGAAAAGTTCTCTCCCTCAACTTGTTGGTGTCTGAGCACCCTCACTGCAAGTAACATAAATTTCCTTGCTCGCCCATTTTATTTTACTTTTCTTTGCCAGGTCACCCATACCATGTATTAGATAAGAAATATAGATTTCAAATAATGAGACAACTAGGGCAGGAGCTGGAGTCAGATGTGTTAGAAACATGAAAACATTTTGGTCCCCCCCTCATGTAGCTTTCATACGTGGCAAAAGAAAGTGATAGAAATTATGATTCCCAGCCAATGAAAAAGGAATTGAGCTTGAAAGTTTAAGTGGAAAGGGGGAAATTTTAAAAGAGAAAGCTGAAAAAGAGGAAAAAAAAAGAGATAAAGAGAAGAATGGATCAAGTGCCGTATCCTAACCTATACCGTCCCAATTCAAGATGACAAAATCCCAATATCGATGGCAATCACCAAATGCTGAGCTCGATAAACTAAATATGCTGTTTGTTCTTCATGATATCCTGTACCGCGCACATCTGCGAAGGTCCTCTCTTATCAATATTGCGAATCGGGAATCCCATTAGCCTCCTCGTACGTAGGATGGTAATCCAGATGTGGCAAATGCATCCCCCCGCTTGGTATGCCTTCCATGGAACTCGAAATGGATCTGGGCAGCGTGCCCAGGCCAGTTGGAGCTAATGGGTTGACATGGTGTTGGTACTGGCTGCTGTGGTGCAGGTGATGATGGCTTCCGGGACCATTGTGGCTATTGCCTTGGCCCCAACTTGAGCCTTGGATGTGAGAGGGATACTCATTCTGGGATCTTCCGTTTGCGGCACCGGGACGGTTGATTACAGAGTCGCGTCGGGAACCTGGCGGAGAGAGGAGCTGAGGGTTCGGTAGGGTTGTTAATTTTGGAGAGCATCTGCGGGAGTTCGGGGGTGTTAGACGTGAACCACCCCGGCGGACCTGGCAGGTTGGACAGATTTTAACGAAGCGGGAGATTAGCTCTTTCGGGACCCTATTTGCATATACAGGGTTAGTTTATTGTTGCTTTTTTACTCTTCATCTTGCACATTTACTAATCATTATTATCATTAGCAGCAGCAGCAACAGCAGCATTGATATTGCTATTTGCCTTGCGATTTTTTTAGTCATTGCATCATTCCTGCTGGTCCCCACACGCAACAAACATACCAAGAATACATCCTCCGAACCTGAGCTGAGGTCTTGTCTCGGCCTCCATGTTGGCATTGCTGGTGTGCTCTTGTCAAAATTTTGAACAGTTTCTCCCGAATAGCAACTGGCTTCCCTTCATGGCAGATCAACCGTTTCGACTAGAGAGGGTATTCGAATATCTAATCAGTGGGAAAGCCTAGATACTGGAAGGTTCTTTAAACAAAAAAGAAGGGCATACTTCAGGCGTTCTGCCATCGTTGGGTTCAAGTTTGAACATCTTCTTGACCCAAAATCTAGAACCAGCTACCAGTCAGCATGTGGGAAAATTGTAGGGTTAATGCTAGGTCCGCACAGTCACCACCTGCGTCGTACTGCCAAGGGTAAAGACGTACCGAAATTGTGCAGATTCAACGGCGGTATTTTTAGGGTCTATGAGCACTGTTTTGATATTTCGTGCCCTTCTTGAATGTATCAAGGCTTTGTCTTGTTTTTTAACCGATAGATCCTGGACGTAACTTAGAAGCAACGAAGATATTGCATCAGAAATAGTGCTTCTAAACTGACTATGACAACAGGGAGTTAAAATAATCACCTGGCCACTAGTTGGTCGAATTCCACAACGTCTGGGAAGCCTTCCAAGGGCGGCAGCACTGGTTCAGAGGCCATCGAAAGCTCATTACATGACTCCTGCCTTTCAATCTCAACATCCCGAAGCTGGTCTGGAAAGGCAAGATACCTATGAGAAGTAGGATATCTTGACTGGGCGAGATACTGAGTGGGGTACGGATAGCTATGAGTCAGTTGAGAATGCTGTTGCGTTTGAGAATACACTGCATGCGATGTAGCGTAGTGGGGACCTAAATGGGAGCCTTGGGAAGAAACCGACGATGTTTGGCTGTACGGAGAGAGCAGGTGAGTCGAGTATGAATGCAGAGATGGCTGGGAAATCCCATATTGACTACTCGGAGTGTAGGTGTAGTCCTGCTCCTCGTTAGGTGAATAACTCTGGCTCATAGTGAGATAGGTCGGCCAGTTACGCGGGTGATTGGTCGACGGCAGCTAGTTCCTCCTTCCTGTAAGCGCGCAATCATCAGGAGGATTCTAAAAACGCCCAGTCGCAATATTAGAGCCGAAGCGGCGTCCCAAAAATCACTTTTCCAATATAAAAAGCCGAAGAGGCGGATGAGACGGATGATTTGACCGAGAGGGGTAGAGGCACGAAAAATTCTGGCTCTATCTCGAGTCGGCCAAACGAACCCACAAGGTGCGGAGCACCACAAAACAAAATAGAAGAGTGAGGTACTAACGGTTCAGGAATTTGAATCGGGCTCCTCCCTGGTTTCTAAGAGATCCAGGAATTCCTCAGGCCTGTCGAAAAGAAGAAGATCGCAATCAACCGCCTGGGAGGGTAGTTTGGAAATTGACAGAGGAGGGAGAGGTGTTCAGCTTCAGCACATATGGATACGGTCAAGAAAAAAAAAAAAATAGAGGATTGACTCGTTTCTTATATGAATAAACTGAAGGAACAACGACGGGGATTGACATCCCATGCAGAGAACGGCTAGGAGTTTATTTAATAGTCGTCGAGAGCTCTCCCAGCTGATCTGAGTCTAGTGGTGCCTCAGGGGTAAAGCCAGCAAAGAAGACAGAACGACGGGGTATTTATCTAGAGACAGCAAATGAACCTATGGGATACATCCAACGCTCGACAACTGAGAGGACAGTACAAGGAAGAGAAAACGAAACAAAATGGGAAAGGAATGGGGCAATAATGGCGGACCAATGCCTGCGATGTACCACGAGCTGATTTGCACGATAGGAGCACAAGCGGATATCCAGTGAGGGGAAGCTATTTATTGGCAGATGTACAGGAGGTACACATTCGGACAGAAGTGATATGGCTGACCTCGTCAAGGCTGCTGTTGAAGCATTTGTCTGGTGGCATCGATAGCTTCCGAGCGAATATATTATTATTCTTCAGTGTATTTTTTCCTGAAAAGGGAGAACCAACTAACTGGCCGTTTCCATGCGGCTAGAGTGATAAAGAGCTCGCCGTGTCTTCAAACTGAGTCCCAAAACAGGGCGGTTTCGTCGTCTTTGGTCCCTTGTTTCTGCTGCAAGTCATACCTCCGACGACGACGAAGCCCGCAGGGATGCCGCGGCGGGCTGAGGTGGGCTCGCAGTATTAAGTGTAAATATATCATAGGCCATGGCAATCTCTGCTGGTTATGGATGGGCTTGCGGGAGACAGCCACGTTGAGACCTGTTCACCCAGGGCTTTTTCTGGCCAGCGGGCTACTATACTCGACCCAATCGAGGGCAGTAGAGGTTGGCGCTGTCAGTTATCACCAAGTGTCTCAAATAATGTGTTAGGCTTACTTAGCGTGACGGCGAAGGATGACAATCACCGTTGGCGTCGAGACTCGATCTCTGAAACTTGCACCAGGAACGCCTTGGTTGGCCTCCGTCAGGGTATGTGGATAATTGAGCGTGTTGGCGCTGCACACGATCTACGTGGTGGGGAGTCGCCCAGAAAAGCTGCGGATGGTCTGTCCACGCATAAAGTTATCTTTGACCACACCTGCACAAAGCCTAAAAACTACAGAGTACACCCTCGCAATGCGTTTTCCGCTCAATGAGAGCTGCACAATGACCTACGTACAAGCGAAAACCCTGTGGGGTTTTCCGTTTTCATGCCCGCGGCATACAACGCTTCCTTATCCGGTATTGTTCTGTGGATAGAACTATCGGATTCTGGAGACGATTACACGTATATCAACACAAGCGGAAGAAGCCCTAGCGTATTCACGCTGCTTGCTGGCTAACGACTCGACCCAGCATGCCATACCGACCGTAGACCTGGCTTTGTGGGCATGCATATACAAATTTCCATCCATCCCATCGATTGCTGCGAGAGCGGGAGCCCACATCTGAACCAAGTTCTGCTTCCCTCTGAAGCCGGTGATGCGTCGATGTAGGCGCCTCCGCCCCCCTGGACGAATTGACGGGGTTTAGCAGCCAATAAAGGGTGTGGTGCATATGCTGGCTCTCCGCCTCCGACAAATCCCACTGATCAATCCTTGCTCCCTGCCTGGCTCCGCGCCGGGAGACTGGGGGTATTTGCCCTCTGGCCATTCCCACGCTGCCCAGATCTTGCCCGATTTAGCTCCATTTGTATCGAAGCCTGACCAGGCATCAGTCTCAGGATGCACATCGAAATCATCTGCTGTGGTTCAAAATATGCCTAGATTTCAGAACATCGCTGCGTATCCGTACGAAGTGATGTGAGTGCACGCACAGGAACATGGACTGAACACGCCAAAACTGGCTGAAGACGAGAAATAAATAAATTAAAATCAAATATTATTCCTGTGTTACCTGCATGGCTACCGAGATATTGGGGCGTGGAATGGTGGCTGGCTGGCTGGCTAACTGGCTGCTTGTGGATTGAGGATGGGATGAACCCTTTCAAACACCCCGTACCGCCCACTGGCTTGTCCCTACGTCCTGGCAAAACTTCACATTATGGGAAGGGGAAAGAATCTATGCAAGATGTGTTGGGTGAACAGCGGTGTATACGTCGAAGCATTGAAGAATGTTGTCAGCATCGTCGTGCATAAAGTTACGGAACGAGCCTTTCCTCCCATTTTTCCCATTTCTTTTCTTTTTTTTTTAACCCGAGGTGAGGGAAAAAAGTAAATATCTTCTTATCGAAAACTACTGTTCATTCCTAATAGTAGGCACCTAAGGACTGCACAAAAAAAATTTAAGCGCGACTGGGTGATTGTGATTGAGGCTCGCTTTTTGCAATCTTGAAAACATAAAAATAGGAGTAATGAGCTCCATCAGTGACGACGGAGGAATATGTCCGACGTCTTTTGGATGCCAATCCAAGGAGCGCTGTCCAAGTATTTCTGCTGGTTTGCTTCACTGGTCAGACTGAAATTGGCATTAGTCGGCAGACTCGTTGGGCACTCACAGAGACTTTATTTCTGCCAGCATTGCTCCGTTGAGCCAAATACCTCGTTTGTGATCCCCCCACTCACCACATATGTTTTCTTTTTCTCTCAATTTTTTCTTCAGTCTCGCCCGTCTTTTTGATCAGCAAAGCCGTGCCCTAGAGCTATCTACCTTTGAGATTGCATCAAATCATGTTGATGTTGTCACAGCTGTTGTCAACCTGGCTTCAGTAATTAGAGGTTCTGTTGTCGGTTTCATCCTCCACACATCTATCAACCCATGGCATCCTCCTCGACGGAGCAAAAACAAAACAAATTGTTTGGACTTCTTTGCTTGGACCCTGGAGCAAGACATGAAATGCAGATAAAAGCACGATTGTTGTTTGTTTCCTTTGCGAAGGAACTTGTGGCTTTGCCGGGGTACGAATCCGCACGAATCAGCTAAGTAAATTGTCGTCACCAGCTCCCTTCTCTCGCCCCAAAGAACTAACACCCACGACACCATCCTTGAGCCCGAGGTTGTGCGTTCAGTTGTCGTTCAGGCCGTAGGACCTGCATCTCATATCGGGACCTCATGGACCGCAGCCGCTGAAGATCCAGAATTTTTTTTGAAACTAGGCTCAAAATGGCGGAGGTCACAAAACAAGGAGCCAATTGCAAAGAACGAGGCTTCCCTGAAGATTTCCTTCCTTGGCTCCTGGAGTCACGGCCATTGTATTGTATGTCTGGTCAATAATACGTTTGTTTGACCAAAGCGGCACTGGCACAGGCATTCGAGCGCGGTGCATTGTGCTGTGCTTGAGTGGCTTCTTCACGAAGTTACAACTTAATACGAAGTGCATCATCTGAACGAACCTCCCATGCCTGCTCTCCATTATACAATTCTTTTATGCGTACCTCTAGACGTCTTGACTCGCTTTGCAACAGGTATGAATTACGGGAAAAATTTCATTTTATCATCGATTGAGTACGGATCTATATGTCATAACCTTTGACCCCCCAGCCCAGAGACGCCTTCGGCTGAATCGCTGGCGGTATGCTGGCTCAGAAGAAAGCCAACAAAAAAAAAAAAAAAAAAAAAAAAAATCCAAACGCCCTGCATCTGAGCAATCCGAGAAATAGGCAAGATCATCGCATTTATTAGTCGAGATTTTTGCCGGTCACCTATGTTTGCCAACGCGTTCATTGGCTTTCCATGTTATTTTTAATTCTGATGTTTTTTATATTTTTATTGTTTTCTGCCAAACAAACCACAAGAAAATATAATTCTATTTTGGGAATCTTGACATATATGTGGAACAGTCGCTTCTTGTGTTTCGTCTGTATGCCAAGTGTGCATCACAAGGACAAGGGCTAAGTTTCTGGTCGCTCGGCCTCTTAAAAGGAAAGGATGGCTCTCTGCAGCCTCTGTCCCAAGCTTCCAAGTTGCGGAGGCTCGGATTGTCCGTGGTAATGGTCAACAATTCACAGTATGAGTTTTTTTTTTCCCCCAGAGTATCACAATCATGTAAATCTAACCCTAACCTAGATATTGGAAACCTCTGCGGCTTTTGGAAGACGCATCCGATCGGTTCATCTCGGCTACCTGGGTCTCATGCTCGACAATCCCGATAATCTGCATTCCGTTGAGCAGGCTTCACATACCGTTTCCTCTGGTAATTGGCTACCACTCACGGTTGCAAAAAGTCTGCAATTTGGAAGCTGTGCTCCTTGAAGCAGAGTATTTGTATTGTAATTGAATATTATTTAACCTGAGTCTTCTGTATGAGTACTTACCGCCTCTACTGCACCACATATATCTAGTGCCAGTGATCAGGATTTACTCCTGAGAGATATTTTTCCGTGAGCCTCGCCCGCTGGGAACAGTGGTTCCAAAAAAGACGTTTCACCTTTTGATGTTACTATTCATCTCTTCGTCTCTACTGTTTTATTAGGAATGAAAAGATTGCCAATTCTGGCTGATGATCTCATTGGCTTCATTATTTCATTATTCCAGGCACCTTCGGTTGCATCATGTTTCACCAGACATCCCCAGCAATGGAAACCCTGTCACCATTTCTTGCAGCCAACGTTTTTTGAGGTCTGACACAATGGACTAACCAGGCATTTGGCAGGTTGCCCTTTGGTGGTTGGATGTCTTATGGAGTTACTTCTTATTGGTACAGTACATATACCTCAGGCTATTTTTGGACTTTTTTAACCCAGCTTTTGTTTGTGCCCGTCTCTAACAGCAAATTTTCGATCAGCATTGTTGGGTGATCTCGCAAGAGGGGAAGCAGATGTATATGTGGGCTTTTGTCACACTTCTGAGATGACATGCATAACTAACTGTTAAGGTAAGAAGCTATTGCGAGGCCTTGACACATGCTGAAGCTCATGACAAGGAAGGTTACGACAATGAATACACCTGGAAGCGAAACGGGATTATATGCATGTCATCATCCTCACTTCAATAGCCATTATTATTATTATTATTATTATTATTTCCAACGAGGCTCCGCTTAGGCTGAAAATTCAGCATTGGGCGGTATTCGATATTGTTGGTGTTGTGAAACCCAATCAACATGCGTCATTCTAATTTTTCGCCATCGATTTCACTTACCAAGCAGAGAATCATTCTCGAAAACAATATCTGCTGCTATCCTAGATCTGGAGATCCTTGAACTCGGGCCTGCAAATTGGAATCACACTTACGCCGTGGTTACTCAAGCTACGACCCCTGCGTGGGTATGTGCAGCAAAGTTGACAATAGCAATGTAACAAAAGCGCACCACAGCTACGAAGCTACCTTTACCCAGCCCTTCTACTCTCTTCTCCTCTCGTTCCCAACCGTGTTCCCCGATGGAGAGAAACAAACGAACAAAAAAAAAAAAGAAAACAAAAAAAATCCACAAAAGCAATCCGTCCAGATATCAAGATTGTTGGCCCCTCCACTCACTAGCACGGGTTATCTCTCCATATCCTCCCCCACCAGTGTCTCTTAATGTGCCCTCGTGCTGCCAAAGAGGCGCTGCTCGATTTCCATTCAAGCTCAAGCGTCACTGTCCAATGGTTTATGGGAAAGCACATATTCCATTTCTCAGAATGCGATTTTCTCCCCAGCCACTGTCATGTCAACCAATGGCTGAAAACAGATTGTTCTAACTCTGACAGGGGCACCCTTGCCTCCGCAACCAAGTCCTTTTTCTTTACACACACACACACACACACACACACAATTAGCTATATGGAGATGACGAATTTCAATACCCCTCAAATGGGACCTCCTTCAACGAAACCAATAAATGTTCGGCAAGTTGGTTTATAGTGTTGGCTTCCATCTGCTACAAATGGATCGATCGAGGTGGGTCGTTCCCATGGGAGTATGCAAGTCCAAATCGAAAGGCCTAGTCCGATCTTGCCTACGCTCAGTCCTTCGCAATCCAATTAGCACCCATTTTCAGCTCAGTTGCCGTTCTCTTTTCTGCGCGTCCTCAAGCGTTGGGCTTCGGCTGAAGTGGTCATAGGATGACAGTTTGTTCCTTACAGTTTCTGTCGTTCCTTTCATTTCTCGCTTGCTTTGCTGGTATTAATGAAATCGTTTTGCCTAATGTTGATTCTGGATAACCGAATGGCCACATAATGTAGTGGTGCCCCTAATATTAATGGGGTTCGGTTTTATGGCATTAAGTTATCGGCTACATGTAATCGGGTACCTCCGATATGGGTCCTCAAAATATATGATACAAAACTGAGAAAGAGATTGTTGTTGCTGAGTGGGAATTCCATTCCTTCTCTCGGTTTTCTGGTTGCGGATCCGTTCTACTAGAGTGAATATGCTACTATGTCTGCATGGAAATATATATATGTAGGAACCCTTGCATGGAAAAAACGTGCGCGGACGTACTTGAGTAACTCAGTGCCATTCTGCATCTCCTGTGTTCAGTGCATCCTGCTCCTGTCTCTCGTGTCCGGAGCTGTTACAGGCACACCATCTCTTCACAGATATCGTACAATGTGTAACATTGCACAGAACTTTATTTACATACGACACCAACGAAAGTTGGACACAGTGGACGAGGCAATATTAGAATATATATAAGGTAAAAGCGAGACGGAGAGCGTCAAGTAGCTATGAAGAAAAATTAAAGTGGGTACGATTAAGAGGGATAGAATGTGGCTCATATCGTAGTCCTTCGAGGAGAAAGAGAAGCAAACAAATTTCTCGTCATAAGGTCCGAGAGATGTGTGCATGACTGTAGAACGTAGTAGCCGGTCCGAGATCGAATCTTGACTTGAGTGTGACTTTTTTTTTTTCTTTTTTGGTATGCCTGAGGTCATATATAACATAATACATGGATTGATTGTGGCCGGGTTTGGCGCTACTTCCTTTCATCTATTGACATGTTGGAAGTAGGAGGATGTGCGTTGGACGGACAGGATGAGAAGTTGAAAAAGGGAGCCGGAGGGCGTAACTGAATATGGCTTTCACGGAGATTGATCAAAAGCCAGTTCTTAGGGGAGTTAACTTGTGTTTCAGACCAGAGGGAAATACATATCTTTTCGTATTTAAATTGGCTTCCATAAATTTTTCTTCGTCTAGACAGAACTCAGAAGGAGCTGAGGATAAGAAAGAGAGAAAGAAATTTCTCGCCTGGTACGTAGGTATGTTCTGGTCATGTATGCAGGTGACAGTATGTATACGTCCCCCAATGCATACACCTGCATCCTGTGTAGTCCTCACTTGCTGAGGCTGTGTGTGGGTTGGAAATGCGCTCCTGGATTGTGGGCAGAAAAGAGCGGAAGAAAGTCGGATCATATCCCATACTTTGTCCAGTCGGCTATTGATTCGGGAGGTGTGTTCACCATCCAACTGCTAACCGAATTTCGCTGGCAATTGGCCAGAATGAAAAAAAAAAATGACGTCTTAAGCTGCTTTACTGATGTAGATATCCGGCGAGGCGGCACTTGTTTCTTCAAGCAGCATTCGATAATAAATGTTGAGAGAATGGTGGTCTAGGTGTCATGGGCCTGGAGAATATATTTAGACTCAGTGATAACTACACCCACCCGTCCACGGCTGATGGTGGACGTAACTTCAATGGATATTGCGGACGAGTGACGCACAACAATAGTAACCGAGAAAAGCTGGAAGCTCTATGGTAATAGTAAATGCAAGATGAAGACACCCAATTAATAAACAAAGGGCCAACATAGTTAAAAGTTACTAAGTACAGACAATACATGCATCGAAGATGAAGGGGGCCGAGGACAAAAATAAGTAATAACAGGAGGAAGCAACACAGAGAAAGAGGCAACTAGAACTGGAAAAAAGTAAAAGATAAGTTAAAATGGAAAATTCGTTAGCAGGAAAAACATCGATCGATAATACACGACTGTTAATCGAGGACAACTTTTGGCCTGTTTTTTTTTGGGGGGAGGGGTTCGTAAAGTCATCAAGGGCATGCATGATATGGGAATCGGCCCTGGGAAATCATGGCGGCATGTTCGTCGTAAAATTTCTATCGTAACCAAGTACAAAATATTGGGATGCGGAAAAAAGGAAATGGGTCACGGTAAAATCCATGAAACCATCCGGGAGTATACAAAGACGGTGGCATGAGCCCATTTCTCTCGAGAACGCTATATGGGGATGTTATAAAAAGAACAAGCAGCAAACCAGTGTACTCCGTTAAAGTTTGTGAATGACGTTGGAAGGGACAACAAGAGTTCATCAAAAGTGGGTTGAAGAAATTAAACGGGACAATTAGTGTCTACCCATCGAATGGGTACCTGTGAGATCAGATCTTACCATATCTCGAATCACCCACCTCCATCCATCACCAAGTGTTGTACGGTCCGGAGTGATCCACTTACTGACCTTCCGTCTCCATTTCTCCTCTTCCGCACGTTGCCTCTTGATGAACTCTGGACCAACATCGAATTCCTCTGTAATTGGCCATTCATCGGATGATTCGCCAGCGCTCTTGTCTTCCAAATTAGCGATGTTGTCCAGCGCTGCCATATCATTCGAGATTTGCGCTGTCCTGGAAGCATTATTTGACTTTTGCTGCATTTCCTTCAAATCATCTAGGCCTTCTAGGACGTCTTCTTCGTCAGGAGCGAGTGTGATGACCTCTTTGCCGGATTGGGTTGCGGCAACTTTTAACCAGCACATGCGCTGAGGATCAAATACCATTCCGCCGACGACTTGGACGCCCGAGGTAGCCCCAACATTGGTGATGAGGGCAGGGGCAGTCCTGGGTGATCTTGGCGATGGGATCGGTTCAAATTCAACTGTTGCATTTTCATTACCTTCCCACTTGTATGTCGCCGGATTGTATCGCATTCCTTTGACGGCTGGAATGGCGTAAATTACATTAGTCATTGAAAAGTGGCAAATTGGATTTCAATGTACTTACATTTTGCTTCGTGTACGCCAGTACCCATAGGCTTTATAAGATGAGGCTTATGGTCACCAGAACCCTTCTCGCGGCGATTCTTTATTGACGAATGAGATAGGGCTCGCACAGAGGTCGAAGATTTCCAATTTGTGCTCAGTGGGACTAATGGAGTAATTTCGCGATTTTGAGTAAAGTTCATTGAAGCAATTCGCTGCTCCCTGGCATTCCTCGAGGCATTTGTATCTTGTGCAAATCGAGGAGTAAAGTCCTGCTTTGTAGGGCTAGTATGGGGACGAGGGATTGGGTTGTGAGCCATAGGGGGAGGGACAATATGAGACTGGCTAAGTCTGCTTCTCATAGACCTGGGAGCACCATGCCTGATTGGATGTTTGACAAACTTGCTTTCTAGGGACGCTGAGGTTGGAAGATCATCGAAAATGTCCAATTCTGAGCCATCACCAAAATTTCTTCGCCTATTAGGTCTAGTAATCGTTTGTTTGACCGTAGCAGCTAGAGATTCTGGGCCTAAATCAAATCGAAAACGACCTGGAGTATTGGGAGGGTCGCGGTTGGAGAGTCCAGATGTTGAACGCGGGTTCGAAAATAAGTCTGTAGAACTGTCCGAATCAGTGCGTCGATAATGTCGGGGAGTCTTAACGTTGACGTGGTGAGACTTATTGTGTGCTGCTCCAGCTGGGAGGAAGGGAATAGAAGGGCGACGACCGCTAGCAAGGCGAGATTCAGCGGTGGGTGTTTTAGGCCGAGACGAGTGTGTCCTCGTGGTACTATCTTGACGAGAAGGGGGCCATGGAATGGGTGTTACCCCGGACTGATGTACGTTACGCAATGCTGGTACAGATCGCTTCGCCTTCATGAGCTGGGCATTGGTAATAGTGGGCGAAAGCCGTAATGTCTCCCCAGATGTCTTGTTTCCTGGCGACCTACGACCCGGAGTCTTCTGGGGTGGGGACATTGATGGTGGACTGGGAAGAGGAATGCTTGAGAGAGACGAATGCGCACTATGGCCACTCAAACGCGAGCGTGGCCGTCGATATTTGGGGAGTGGCACACCACTTTCCGAGACGGGCTCAAGATGTGTAGAACGAGGACGCTCATGGCCGGATAATCTGGGAATACGAGTAGTAGGGGGTACTGGAGTTTTGTTGGTGAAGGTGATGCTGGTGGCGGTACGCCTCGCAGGGCTTATAGGCCTGCTATTTTTGCGTTTGATATTGCGGTTCAAGGTCAGTTTACCTGAATCAAAAACCTCGCCATCCCCGATTTCAATGCCAGAAAAGAAATCATCATTAGTAGGGGAAGCACGTCTTGGGCTTTGGTGTGGTGCAGAAGTTTGAGGCGACTGTGACAAATGAGATTGCTGTCTCCTCTTGATCGCTTGTTCAAGATCCAATGGGCCATCAGGCAGAAGGAGGCCATCAAGTCCATCATCTTGACTTTCAGCAGTTAAACAACTTGAGACACTTGGGCTAAGTGCTGAGACAGTGGAACTACGATTAGAAAAGCCGTCTCTCTTCGTCCCACCAAAACGCACTCCGATACTGCCCTCAGCCCATTCCGTATCAAGGTCATCAAGGGAAGGTTCTGGGGATTTGATTCTATCCTTCCTTGTTGAGAGCTTCAAAGGTTCACCATCAGCAGGGAATTCCAGATCAACCTCAAAGCTTTCACCATCCTCGATTGGTTTTGTCGAAGGTGCTGGGAGGATGGTCTGTTGCGGTCGTGATTTTGCAATTTTGATAGTTGGGACATCGTGGAAAGAGCTGTCATCCTCTGTATCACGAAACCGATCTAAATTGGCAAAGTTCGGTTTTCGTGGCGGGGAAAGACTATCGTTGTTAATGATAAACGGATCCGAATCAAAATCGCGAGCTTTAACAGGGCTCAAGTCAGAAAACGACCCAAGCTGGAGTAGAGAATCTGGGAACGTCTCTTTGCGATTAAATTTCAGTTCAAGGTCCCCCTCAACGCCAGATAACTCAAGATCTTCTGACCAATCGTCTCCTATGGCCTTTTTGAGTTTTCTGCCTCCAAGGCGCTTTATCGTACCACCAAGCAGTGCCGAACTTGGGACATCAGTAGGGAGGGGGATGCCTGCGCTTTGGGCAGAAGCGATTGCGTCCTTTGTTGCAGCCTCATCATTGTCATGTAACAACAACTGCCAATCTTCATCGCCAGCATTAGAATCTAAATCAGATCTGCAGGAACGACGAGAAGATATAGAGTCACGGTGGCCGGATGGCCGGAAGGAAGACGATCCTGTCACGGAAGTACCGGCAGAAACAGTACGGAACTGGATATCATCATTACACTGTAGATCTTCGTCGTCGTCCCAGCATTCGATTGCTTCGTCTGTTTCTTGAGGTTGGCGCAGCCTCAGAGGAGATGTCTCCATGCTGAGATAATCCCCAGCTGAGCTGGCTCCTCTGTAGCTGTGGTAGCTTGTGTATTCAAGATAATTTAATTCTATCTCCGTAAGATAGTATTAGGTAAGACTTCTTGTGCTTGATAGTAAACTCGAGACGTTGACCTCGGCAGACACGATACAAGGGAGGATGACAAGTCATTCCGTGCCGGTCTTGCCACCTCTTTTGAATAGGATTCTAGTAGGCTTGGGGTGGTTGGACCGAAAACAAAAGAGGGAGTTGTTCGATAGAAGAAAGTTGATCATGAGCCTGAGAAGTCGATTTTGCTGCTTTGGGATTTGAACGAGATACAGTCGAAAGCTCCCAACCTGGCTTTTCTCATGTATAGTGGATAGAATTATCGTGGACAGGAGCCGATTAAACAGGTTATACAAGGCTGGCCTAGATTATTGAGCTTGTGTGGAACTTGGATATTGGGCAATGGGCAACAGAACGAGGACAGCTGGATATAGTTGGGATCGAAATTGTTGCAAATTGGGAGGGCAACAGCTGGGACGGTGGCTGGGACGTAAAGTATCCAAGAAACGGAATGGCAGTGTTGGGTCAAACGGTGAGTCTCAGTATCACATCCTTCGTCATCGTTGCCCGTCGTCGGTTTTGTGGTCCTTTGAGCAAGGCCAGATCCCAGATTCCCGAGCAGGAGGTTGGGACCAAGCGCGGAGATCGAACGCGCTTAGGCGGCTAGTCTGGAAAGGGTTCGTTAAGCGAGGGTCAGCGCGTCGTCTCACGCGTAACCCTGGTTTTATATCATGTGATTGTATGGTAAGTTTGGTAACCTTGAAGCTATTCCTTGACAGTAATTACATCACTGCTGCCTGCAATATCAACTTCTCTCAAGCTTGCCTCCATGTGGCCGCAAACAACAGCATTTCCGTCAGCCAATTCAGTTCTCCATATGAATTCTTATATTTCTGTAAATCATGACAAAAGAAACGATTTTGCGCATACAAAGAAGTGATAGTCTTGGTGACTTTGTCTTGGTTAAAGTTGCTAGGTCAGGCCGCTCAGAGCTTGATCTAACACTGGTTGCCACAGAGGGGGAAGCTCCGTATCGAGGTTTAGGTATAGCTGAACATTGGCACTTATCTGTAGCCAATTTTGCTAATATCATTGCTCTAGTGAAATCGACTCAGATTGATAAATTGCGCGCCAAAAATTACCAGGGCACTGTCGACGAGTGGGCCGGCATTCTTGCATACGCACTTGGGCAGAAACAGCCTGCATCGGTGCCCGAAGAGCATAAGGCAGGGTTGGAAATTGCAGCCACAGTTAAACAAAACGAAGATGATGAGAGCGACAAGGAGATTGTCGTCACTTTGAGAAAGAGAATCGATACAATTACTGTATGTATCCTCTGGTTCGAACTCGTTGACTTCATTTGACAAAGTTCTGACACTCATCTATGCTCTAGCAAAGATTAGGAACCATATCTCTCAAGCAGGATGATGACCAGGCCATCCAGCTTTTTGACTGGACTGGTCTGGCGGTGACGCGGGCGGATGAACTGGAGGAAGGACTAACCTCCTTAACTGCTAAATATGATGCAGTAGAAACCACCATTAACAAGCTGAACTCGCAATTGCAGGAATTAATAAAGATCAAATCGGAGCACGATGACCAGTTGATTGCTAAATTCGCCCAGCTGTTAAATGAGAAGAAGTTGAAAATTAGGAATCAGCAACGCTTGCTAGCGTCTGCAAAGATTGATCCCGCGACAGGTTCGCGTACCCATCTCTTTTGTTCTAGGTTCCCTTGCCTTGTTTTCTATGCTAAAGTTTTTCATCTAGTGGATGAGATGAGAACTTCTGATCCCTCAGAAATTGGGAGTTCAAGGCAACGCGGCAAGCGCAAAGCAGAAGAACCTTCCATATCGTCAGAGAGCGAGGATGGTTTTGACACAATGGATATAGACAATATTGGGAAGAAGGGTACTGCTAGTCGAGAGAATGAGGAAGAGGGCGCGGGTGACGAGGACAATTCTACGGATTCAGAAGGACAGGAAACCCCGGATCCACTCGAGGATGAAACTGCTAGCGAAGATGAAGTAGAAGCGCCGACAAAAGCTCCTAGTCCTCCACCAGCTATAAATGGTGGAAAGAGGGCTACACGTGCGTCGTCAAAGCAACCGACATCTTCGGCAACTACGACAAAGAAGACGTCCAGCCCTCCACCACGTCGAGAGCTTCCCTTTACAAGGAAGCGGGGTCCCATGAAACCCAACCCTGCGGAGCAGGGTGATTCTGGTTCTGATGATGAGTTGTGATGATCTTTACAGATTGATTTTAGCCAACCATACCATTACTCTATTTTGAGAGATTCTTTATGCTCTGTGCCGGAATCAAATGGCAATCACTCATGCAATCCCGGCAGACAGAGCGGGACTGTCTATACCAATATCTGATGATGGTGTACATGATCTAGTTTGTAGCCTGGTTCTTCTATTCATTACTTATGCCCATCATTGGGTAAAGGCTTCACTGTCAATATCATTGGTGATGATTAAAAGGAGACACTGACCCCCATCTCCTACTGCTGTATAGCCATACTTATACAGGACATCCCCTAACATCCCCCCGATTTAGTTCTTGTGCTCTACCACACTTGCAAACCATGCCTTGGGATTTAATTATGTCATGCTGGAGGATATCCATGTATCTCCCCGAACGAATAGCTTGAACACCTTAAACGAAATCTAGTTGATCCATACATTCCTGTACTAAGGGTTCACAGAATGATTTTGTCATCATTCCTCATTGGCATATCGTGGTCCTTCTCTGGAACCTGAAAGTAAAGGTATGATGAAATTGGGAGTATGGAGTAAGGTACATGATAGAAGCTACCAGAGTAATACATATAGACAGTCACATCCTCCACCAACTTCTTCCACCCTCTGGTTATTTCCCCTTTTTCTCCGCCTGTCTCTACTTTCCTCTCATCCTCTCATCCTCTAAACCTCATTTTTCACCAGCTTCCAGCCTCCCCCTTTTGTTGTACATTTCTCCCTCGCCTCTCTTTCTCCTGCACTAAAACAAAAGGCAGTCTATGCCCTCTCACAATCTAGCATTTTCCTGTAGACAATATTTTTACATAGGTACAAAACTACCTACCTCTCCTGTATCTAGAAATCGACAAAAGAAACCAGAGAGTAAGTGAGAGTGAGAGTGAGAGAAAGAGTGAGAGTGAGAATATGATAGGTGAAGAGGTGCAGGGCGTAGAAAACAATGTATTCAAACAAATACACACACACACACACACACACAAAACCAACCAAGCGAAAGAAAAGGCTTAAGAATGAACCATTTTAAGCATTGGAGGACCGCTTGAATAAGAAATGGAAAAATGCTTTGCTCATTTGTTGTGGTTTTTGTATTGTTTCGTTGTTTCTTTGGTCTTGATTTTCTTCTCAACAAAATAGGAATGGAATAAAGTAGAATAGAATAAATACAGCGCGAGAAAAAAAAAGTTATATTATTTACTATGCACTTGAAACACCACCAAGCCGTTGCTGCTCCTCCACCGCACTCCCAATCATGAAGTTAGTATCTGGGTTTCCGGTCTCTTTAGCAGCCGAGCAACGTGCCATTGTCGGGGAGCTGTGATAATGGTTAGCGTAAATAGCCGAATGGAAAAAAAAAAGGATGGGATGGCAGGAGGGGAAAGAATTGGCAAATATCTCACCTCCTCGATATCGAATCTGTGAAGTAGAAATTATCAATGGCCCTCCTGAAAGGCTCATTCCCCACCGCAGCGCCTCGATTCTGATCCACCAGCTGCACTTTGCTCAATGCACTTATGTCTACTGAGGTATTTTCCACAACATCATACCTGCGCAGCACTGGAGAGATCATCTCCATACGATCCCGCAACATTTCCACATCGTCATATGGCAACGGCGCGCCAAGGAACTCACTGGCTGCACGGATGATCTTCCAATCATCGCGGGCAGCGCCGGGGGGTGAAGTGGCAGCACGCGTAATCTGCACCCGACCCTCTGTGTTAACATATGTACCGGATTTCTCCGTGTAGGCAGTACCAGGGAGGACCAGATCTGCGAGTTGAGCACCGCGGTCACCGTGGTGCCCCTGGTAGACAACGAAAGCGGACTTGGGGATGTCTGTTTCATTAACTTCGTCCGCACCGAGGAGCCAGATCATCTTTGGCTGTGTGGCAGCGACATCAGGGGAGGGAGTTGTGAAGCCAACTTCGTAGGCGCCGGCACGAGAGGCGGCGCGTTGAAGGACATTATAACCCTGCCATTCGGGGGTGTTGAAGGTCGCAGAGTTCTTATCAACGAAGGCGCCGATGGTTTCGAATATGGCTTTTGCATCTGGGTGTTCGGCAGCGGCAGAACCGACGATGACCATAGGTCTCTTGGCGGAGGCAAGAGTCTTGCCGAAGGGGCCTGTGAGAGCAGACTTGAGGTTTGCAGCTGTCGTGCCGAGGTGCTCGAAATCAAAGGTGCTGGCGAAGGTTTCGCCAACGAGGGCGATTTGGATGTCTGAACGGAGATATTGCTTGCGGATGCGGGCGTTGAGGACAGCAGCTTCATGGCGAGGATTGGTAGCGACGAGGAGGATGGCATCGGCCTCTTCTATGCCATGAATTTGAGAGTTGAAGAGGTAGTTTGATCGTACATCAATCCCGTGTGCGATGGGGGCGTTCCCACCCGGCTGGTCGAGTGCCAGGTTGTCTGACCCTAGCTGGTTCGCCAGGTCTTTCATGGCAACTAGGGACTCGGTCTCGACGAGATGTCCCGCGATGGCCTTGAATTCATTGGCCTTCGGTGCAATCTGGCGGAAAGCGCCTCCGATCTCTGTCAGGGCCTGCTCCCAGGTAACCGGAACAAATTTGTTATTTTTCCTGACCAAGGGGGTGGTGAGTCGTTGAGTTCGCAATCCATCACAGGCAAATCGAGTTTTATCATTGATCCATTCCTCATTGACATCGTCGTTCAGTCTGGGAAGAATGCGCATGACTTCCATTCCACGGGAGTCCACACGAATATTTGATCCCAAAGCATCCAGGACGTCGATAGATTCAGTATGTTTGAGCTCCCAAGGTCGGGCTCGGAAGGCGTATGGTTTCGACGTCAGAGCACCGACGGGACATAGATCGATAACATTGCCGGACAATTCCGAATCCAGATTCTTTTCCAGATAAGTGCCAATCTGCATCTCATTTCCTCGACCAGTAGTCCCAAGCTCTGGTGCACCAGCTATGTCGTTTGCAAAGCGGACGCAGCGTGTGCAGTGAATGCACCGGTTCATCGAAGTCTTGATCAATGGCCCAATGTTTTTATCCTCCACTGCTCGCTTGCCGCCTACTTCATGGAATCGTCCACGGTCCGCACCATATCTCATCGATTGGTCCTGTAGGTCGCATTCGCCTCCTTGATCGCAGATAGGGCAGTCCAAGGGATGGTTAGCGAGGAGGAATTCCATGACCCCTTCTCTCGCTTTGTGTGTAATGGGGGAATTGGTTTTAACTACCATTCCTGGTTGGACTGGCCACGCGCATGACGCTACTGGCTTCGGAGCTCGTTCTACCTCGACTAGACACATCCGACCTGTTCTGACCGTTAGAATGGCATTCGCTACTTCAAAGGAGTAGTCATACGCACAGTTTCCTGCAATCAATAGCTTCCTGAAACCATACTTAGCAACCAAGTTTACCCGGCAGGGGAAGGAAATGGAAAAACCCCTCAAATAAATTCAACTTACTCATGATAACAATATCTGTAATTTCAGTTAGTCAGTAAGCTAAATAAATCAACGTCATAAGGCCATTGGTTGGACATACCGAGGAATTGTAACACCTGCCTTCTCACACGCTTGAATCAAAGCAGAGCCAGCTGTTTATACCAACAAAAGTCAGCATAATTCCCAACCCTCACCACCGCCATTTAAATCCAATCCGATTCATTGCTAGTATGTCCATCCCGAACGATCTACAAGGCACCAACCTTCTATCGAAACCTTCTTCCCATCTGTAATAGAAATTCTGCAGGTCAGTAATTCATCCGTATCCAATTCAAATCCATATCAATCCCTCCCCAACGCCCCTCCCGAGTTGAAATCCACGCACCAATAGTAAGTTCCACCTCTGCTGGACGCGGCACCGTAGTCGCAAACGACCTCGACCTCCCTGCTCCCGCCGCATAACTGATGTGACCACAGTAATAACCGGATCCGCCGCAAGAGTGGCGCAGGGAGGGCGAGTGCTGTCTCCTCGACCTGGCCGCCGCACGCAGGAGTTGCGGCCGCATCTTCTTTTTGAAGGTTTAATTTGGGGGCGTCCCCAAGCAACAACAAAAAAGATTATTGACTCAATTGACAAAAGAAAAGGCGTAGGGGTAGCGTGGGAGGGTGGTGTATATCTGACCCCTCCGTCGTCAGGGCACAATTGATATCCTTCCTCTGTACCTCTTTTTTGGTATGTGCAGTCTGCAGTTGCCGGGAAAGTTGGGATTGGGAACTCGATGCGGCTCACGTGATAAGGTGCTTACCAAAATGACATATCCGCGGTGCCGATTGGCCAGAGGGGAACAACGCTTCTCCGGCCCGCAAACGGGTCGATCACATTAAAAAATTTCCTTGTTCGAAGTGTTTTGTTCTCCTTTTTTTTTTCCTTTTCACGAAAAATTATACTCATTACGGACATGATTTATTGTAGGAGGAAGGGAAGTTTATACTTTGCCGCACCCTTCCTCCTCTACAGTATGCTCCAAGAGAAATGATAAATGGCGCCGTAGCTGGAGCGGCTTAGGGGTTCTTTTCGAAGAGGCTCAATGAGGATGTTTTTCTGTTCCTTACCGACGGCTGCTACATACGTATGTATTTATATTCTGGATCGGTGGATGATGGCTGCTGGGCAGATGATGAATATTGAAACTCTTGGGAATGCTCAGGATATTGATGAGTTGATCTTGCGGAATACTACTCGGATTGTTTTTCCCTCAGCTTAACTCGTCTTATGTATTTTTACTCAGTCAACAAATAAGTGGAAGTAGCTAGAGCTCACTGGATTCTCTAACAACCAACAACAATCAACAAAACAAGTTGATCATTCAGCAATATCACAATATTTACAAAAACCTCTCTTTTTAAATAGTGTTGTCCCTTTTGGAAATCATCCATTGATTGTGATAGGCCTTACAGAAAGGGTGATATAAAATAATACAAGAAAAGGGAAACCCTCATCAGAAGTCAAGGCAAAATAGTCGCGTTGAAGATGAATTAAAGGAATAAAAAGCAGAAAAAAAAGTCCAAAAATAGGGCACAGAAGAAGTATTAGGGAAAAGAGGAAACCGCATATCTATCCAGGAGTCGACCTCGTTTAGAGTATAATAAAAAAGAAAGAAAAAAAAATTAATCCGAACTTGTAAAGGAGAATACATGTAAATAGCAAGTAGGGCCATAATGCGCATTTAAACGTTGGAAGGCGCCATGTAAAACGGAACTCAGAACAAGAAGTAATAAAATAGCAAAAACTCCGCCCTCCTTTTAGATTAATTTTAGCTCAGCTGATCTTTGTCCGCCCTTTCTAGAAGATAAGAGGATATGAAGTAATAGAGGATATGATAAACGGAGATTCTGTCAATTTGGCGTGATTGGGAAGAGGTGGAGGGGAAATCGATCAATTATACAAATTGAGAAGGAGAGATAAAACCGGGAGGGAAAGGGGGAAAATATGAGGAGGCAGGTACTCTCATGTTTATATTGTATCAGTTTTTTTACAAAAAAATGAATGCCAAATAGGGGAAAAAAAGTTGTACAGCGTTAGAAAAACAAACTCCACTGTTTCGAGGAAGAAATGAAAGCAAGCCCTCACGAAAGAAATGAAAACTGGGACTCCTTAACAAAGCATCAATTCTATTTAGTTTTTTGGTGGCGTCGCCTGCGAATCACCTTCCTGCCACGTCGACTCTTGCTTTGTCCCCGGAGGCAACCATACAGCACTTGTCTTCCTCGCATGTCCATTTCGGCTGGGCGACACTTGATCCTTCTCCTTCTTCGAACTGTGGTGACGCTCAGCTTGCGACTTTGATACCGACGGGAACAGATACCCGTTCGCGTCCCACGGTCTGCCGTTGCTGGTACTGGGGACGCCGACAGGACCGCCGTTGCTGCTCGTATTGAGCGGTAGTAAAGGCTTCTTAGTGGAGCGGTGGAAGCGGTCTGCGTTTGCGCGACGGTCCGCCGCGTCTTCGTGGCTGGTTCTATCATAGAGGTACAGACCCAGGAAGGTCAGGGCGATACCGAATGCCTGGACGGAGGTCGTGGAACTCCCGAACCAGACAATGGCAACGACGATGACGAAGACACGCTTGATGAGGGAGGCGACAGAATAGGAAACGGGTGAGATCATGGAGAGGATTATGAAGGCGAGGATGTTCTGGGCAAAATGGGAGACACCATTGAAGACAAATTCTAGCATCAGGGGTCCGTGGTCGAGGGTGCCGGACTTGGTGGAAAGGTCTATAGAGAAGTCGTGTAGTAAGTCTTTGGTAAGGTTGTAACCTTCAGAGATGAACCAAATGGGTAGGGTGAGGATGAAAGCAAGGCCAGAGCAATAGTGTAGGAGATTGAGCTTGTCGAGTTTGCGGGCAGCGCCGAGGCGGCCCTCCGTTTCGGCACGGTTAGATTCGTTGAAAAGCTTCTTGGAGAAGATATTCTGCGAGACGAAGATGAGGGCGGCGCAGAAGGCGCAGAGGATGCCAAAAAAATTGGTAGAAAAGCCAGAAGAGCAGGCTAGCATGACGCCGGTGGTGAGTGGGACGAGGGATAGATATGTAGCTCTCGCATACTTGATTCTGAAGACAAAGCGGTAGGCCAGTACTGTGAACAAGGGCGACAGGCCCTTGATGGTATGCACCATGGAGACGGGTATTTGAGACGTGGCCATTGAGCTGAGGATGTGTCCTAGAACCTGAAACATGGCCAGAGGTAGTGTGGTCTTTATGACATCAACGGATGGCTTTCGCAAACCATTTTTTAGAGCGGGAATAGCTCGTCGGAGGGAGGGGAATAGGGACGCGAGAGACGCAAGGATGGAGCACCATATCGATACAAAGGCGAATTGGATGATTGTAAGAGTAATTGGTTTTGGAAGAGTATTCAGGATGGACTTGGAGGAAGTGTTGGTGAGAGCGGAGGTCATATACCAGATGACGCAGAGACCCTACTCGGCCATAGATCACGAATTGGATTAGAATTTCTCAACCTCCGCAGGAAAAAAGAGTGAACACAGCCAAAGAGAAAGAAATAAAAGAAGAGCGTACAATAAGTTTATACGACACAGGAGCTTTCAAGGCCTCCGCGAGCTCCTGGGCATTGACACTGACGCTTGTTCCACGATCTCTAAAGCCGTCGATGGCTTCACTGATACTTTTTCGCGGGCGCTGTTTAGGACCCACTGGGGAGAGAGAAGCTTGTTTCCGCGGCATCCATCTGGTAGGTTGTGAGTAGTGTAACGACTGATGAGCAAAGAGAGGGTCATTGTTGAGGCCGTTCTGGTCGGCCGTGACGGGCGCAACGGTGTCGTCGAAGAGCGGGAATTTATCCAACGGCGAGTCCTGGGTGGTGGTGGACGTGGCCATCTTCGTCTTCCAATTGGGCGACAGCGCAAACAAATGCAGGCCCGTACCAACAACTGTTGTGGTGCTCATGCTCGGGCCGGGGTCAAGCAGCGAGGAGACAGTGTGTTGGTGGTGGTGGACGTTGAAGGTGGCTGTTTGAGAGGTGTTGGAGAGAATGTTCTTGAGAGGATGATGACGACGAGCGGCCCACCTGGTCTATCACGTGACAGTAGATTGAGTCCCGTTCGCGAGCTAGTGAGGGTTGTTTTAGACAACCCCCGGCCCAAGCTAAACCGGACCTGGTAGCAACCATGGATGTAAATGTCATCAAATCTATCTAACTATTACCACCGTTCTGGAAACTTGGCTGGAATCGCCCGCATAGTGATTATCACCCCTGAATATTCGTTGAAAATCCCTATTAAATTAGCACGGGCGCCGCCCAAATAATCCAGCAAAACGGAATTTAACTATCTACCTCTTAGGCATGATGAAGCATAAAAGTGATCAGCCTTTTTTGGGGGGAAATTAAGGAACATCGGTTAGCCATTGAGGCACAACCTCGAGGGGAAAGAGGCGCGGCAATGGCATTTTAATGGCTCCACCGGCAAATCCGTTGACCAGGACTCGCAAATAACGATTGCACCATCCTTCTGCTACTCTACTACTATTGGAGCTTGGGTTTTATTAGAAGCTATTAGAATGCGCTTGGCGGCACAGCTCCTGGAGAATAGTTATGCCGTGCCGTCCAGTCGACCATTTTTCTGAGAAGTTTTGAATTTAAGCTCAATGAGATATACCCAACACATTCTTAGATCTCTCTCACCCAACCGCCAGCCTTCTTGCTGCGTATATTCCAGGGCAGCACGCTTTTGCCGCCGAAGGACATTAGAGCGAAGCATTTATATACCCAAGCACCTAAGTACTACGCAGTATATAACACTTGAGAGGATAGCCCTGCTATTCATTTTGTGTTCACTGATTGACCATGTCTTACAATTGACGCGGCAAAATGAGTCTGGCGGACTTTATTGGTTTTGTATTTTTTAATTCTGACTCTCTGGTATACCCCATATCGTCGTATCTAAAAAAAGTAGTTACTAAACAATGATGATGATGATGCTTTACGTCGATGAACGGTAAAGGAAATTAAAACAAGCAGTGTGTCTTCCACGGATAATGTATCCCTTGTTAACCGAGCCCCTTTTATTGTCACGCTCATCGTTTATTTTATTATTATTTTGGCTTCATTATGCATTAGGGGCAGACATCAATGCAGTGCCCATGCTACTGCCACCAGAATCGGATATGGATGTGAATAGAAGTCCAGCATCAGTTTCTATCTTGGGAACATGGCATGTTCTTGGTCCGTTTAAAACTGGCACGAGAGGTAAGTAAGTATATCAATTCATATACTTGCTGTTAAAGCAACACCAACAGGAACAACAACAAATACATAATAGATATGCTGAAAAACTGATTTCCGTTTCCAAAACACCTGCAGAAGCAACATGGGGCGCAGATCCGCTCGAGGTACTCGGCGGATTCCGCAATATTTCGTATGACTTCGACCCGGCTGCTAGATTCAGCAGTGCCTTGGGTACTAACGGAACCGTTGGCTGGTCTGTCCTGGGGTTGATCGAGTCAGAACAGGGCAATCATGCATCTGCCAAGGCAAAGGTTGACCTCGACATCGGTTTTCCGGATGTAGACTGGGAGTTTCTCCGGTCTGTTTATGGCTGGGCGGGAATGCAGTATCAGGCCTGGGCGCGGGGGTGTTTGACCGTGGCGTCTGCAGCTGGAGCTGATGACCGCAGCGGCGGTAATACTGCTACTGTCTCCATGTTTACAGACGGATTGCTAGAGGTATGGGTTGACGGGCAGCCGTATTTCGGCGGCGATTTTTATACATATCGGCGGGCGCCCGTACTTTTGAAACTGGTGCCTGGGCCACATGTTGTGGACCTGAGGTTGGTGAGGGATGTGAGGGCCTTGGGTGGGGTGGGCGAACCACGGATACGAGCTGTAGTGGAAGTTCAGTTGATGCAGCCTTCCCTGTCCAGTGACAGCACTGACGCCGGTGAGGTGGTGCCAGGTCTAGATGTGGACGAGGATAGTGTTCTTGTTGCAGAAGTCGTGGAGGGGAAACTTGCTAGTTCCCTTGCTTCTGTTATCGTACGGAATGTTCGTGATGAATGGGCCGATATAACGGATATCGATTCTGTTTCTGATACGCAATCCGCCAGGCCTATTCTCTCATTGGTCTATAGTCCAATTACCCTCGCTCCACGCCAGTCGCGCCCAGTAGCTTTTGAGATCGATTTCCACGGCCAAATCCCCTCAAACTTCTCCTTCCAACTCACTTATAAGGTCCAGTCTGCGGATCAACCGTGGAAAACAAACCCTGTGACTGCGTCCGTCACAACGCGGAGGATGACAGATGCCCAAAAGTATACTTTCCTCCACCCCGGCGGCATAGTATCCTACGCCATCTTACGGCCCCCGTTGAATGCGTCCTGTAATTCCACCGCCGGCGGCGACGGTGATCATACACTCTCCATTCTAGTTGATCTGCACGGCGCGGGCCTCGAAGCTGCTAGTGAGCAGGTTAGACATATGCTGGATGCTGCCTATGGAATATGTGCATGGATGCTGTTCCCGACAGGTGTCACACCATGGAGCGGGGATGATTGGCGTGAGTTCTACTTCCTATTCCATGGGATAGAAGAGGTCTATACTGATTCTTGCTCACGTGGATGATAGATACTTGGGGCGCCGCCGATGTGCAGGCTGCGGTTGATGCTATTCCAGCTTGGATGCAGGCGGTGGGCTGGGAAGGGTTGGGGGTGTCTTTGGACGATTGGCTTGTGTCTGGCCATTCGAATGGAGGCCAAGGGACCTGGTTCTTCCTCACCCATCAGCCTGACAAAATTATCGCCGCTGCTCCGGTTTCGGGATATTCGTCCATCGAAAGTATGTTATAACCTGATATTCTTGAATGACATATTCGTGGACATTGAAAAGGAAACTAATGCCAACACTTCTCCCCATCCCATTTCAGATTACGTGCCATTTACCATGTGGCATGATGGACAAGCCGCTATCGCAAGCGTCATCCAGACAGCTCGGCAGAGTTTCAAGCACGAATTGCTTGTGGAAAACTTCGCTGGAATCCCCATTCTCCAACAGCATGGGTCTGCAGACAATAACGTCCCTGCATACCATTCACGCCTATTGCACCAGCTAATCTTGGAAAATGGCCTGCACTCCGAATACTATGAACTTCCAGGAAAGGGACATTGGTTTGATGGCGTCTTAACCACGCCCCCACTACTAGATTTCTACTCTCTCCATACTAGCAATACTTCCGCCTACAACAACCTTCTGCCCGAGAAATTCTCCTTCTCCACCCCTAACTCAGGAGATATGGGGTCCCGAGGCGGCATCATGGTGGACCAACTGTCCTCGCCAGATAAATACGGACACATGCAAGTGATGCGCGAAGGGGGGGGCAGGCAGTGGCGCCTGAAGACTCGTTATGTGCATCGTTTCCATCTCCTCCCATCAAGAATGCGCGGGATAGCATACCCCACGGATATCGTGGTGGTGGATGAAGATGATGGTTCTGAAACGCCATTTAGAGCCCCGGCCGCTGACACCGCTTACTCCACATGGTTCGTCAAAGATGAGGCCACGGGCAAGTGGACTGTTTCTACCGATAATTCATGGCAGGACGATATCTGGCAGCGGTACGGTCGGCAGAATGGCGCTATGGACGCGATCTTTCATTCGATGGGTAGATTTACTATAAGGATTTGCTCGCCCGCCAGCAGTGGAGAGGAGCAACTAATGAACGTAGCGCTGCAGATCAGCCGTAATTTGCTACAGTATTTCGCGGCAGATTCGCAGATTCTACCACCACAAACTACATGCAACAGCGACGACAATGATAATCGCATGATCGAAGAGGAGGAGGAACTGCGCGGTTCGGGAAACCTCATCACCGTTGCAATTGGGAACGACTTGCCACCACCACCCTTATCCCCCCTCGACTTGTTCCCTATCCACATCGCCCATAACCACTTGACAATCCAGACTGCAGCCTCAAACCGCCACCCATCCCGCACAACCACAAAATCTTACCCCTTCGTACCAGACCTAGGCGCCATATTCCTGCGTCCACGCTCGAGCCAACGTCTCGAGCTGGTCGTATGGGGCGCCGACGTTGGCGGGTTACAGCAAGCGAGCCGCCTCGTACCACTTCTGACGGGCGTTGGGCAGCCTGATTTTGTGGTTCTGAGTGAGCAGTGTCGATGGCAGGGTTTTGCTGGCGTGCATGCTGCTGGATTTTTTGACTTCCGGTGGCAGGTGTCCTCGGGGTCGTATGTGTACTGATTTTAATGCGATGATTCTCTGTTTTTATTTTTTTTATTTTTTTATTTTTTTATTTTTTTCGGGGTGCTTCTTCACCAATGTTTTGCCCTCTAATATAGGAGTGGCTAGTTGGTTTTTCTTTCTTTCTTATTTGGCCTTCCGCGGATAGAAATAGATACCCATAAAACAATCATCCGGGATGTCCAGCTAGCTGTGCGGTGCCTAGCTCCCAGGATCGGTCCATGGAAGGAAGCCAATCTCAGGCTTGTTCTTTTCTTGATTTTATCTGATTCCACTGCCTACAGGGCTCAAAGGAAAAGCAGGGAGGCACACATCAGTATCTCTTCAGCCTTCTGTTGTATTCTATATACCTTTGAACTGTGGAGTGTATCCACATGATATCTCACAGATTTCCTTCTTAGTCTTCTGTTGCGCTGTTCATTCTTGTCATTCAACTCTGCATATCTATTTTCCAGTCTAGATACTGTTTGTCCACAATTTCTTACTCCCTCCCTGGTATTCCGGTTCTAGGAGGTGATATCTCTCACACACCATCTGTCTAACTCAGACAATATAGAAAATTGCTATTGTCTAGATTGTCTAGATAGATCACCATCTATCAGGATTTATGGTTCTCCTGCTAGTTATTACAGATGCATCGTCCCTGGTGCAGTGTCTCAAGGCTGTTCACTATTTAGCTGCATGGCAGTGCACACACACACACCTCTGCAGACAGCCCAAACCCTAAGCCGGCTCAAAACAGTTAAGCACCTCATCCACCCGCACAGAGCTCTCCTCCCCCTTTCCCCCTTTCCCCCTTTCCCCCTTTTGTCCTTCCTCTGCTCTCCTCTCCTCCTCCCTTTTGCTCGTCCTCACAGTCTCTTTCTTCTTCCTCTCTTGCCCCACGGGTCATAGTCTACTCTTCCATTCCATTCGCTCCTTCAGCCAGTCTAGAGTCTCTTTCTCCAATCTTTCTGTCATCTTCGCCTGTTCTATCGCTCTTTCTCTTTCTATCTTTGATCCATTTCTTTCTATTTTCTTGCCATTATCTTCTATTTTGTCTTTCTTCTTCTTCCTCTTCTTCTTCCTCTTCACCAACTACCGCCCCCTTCTTCTGTTATCTCCCCCATCGGTTCCATTTTCTTCTGTTCTGTCTACTTGCTCAGTAACATCCGTGTTTACTGCTTCTTTCAGGCTTCAATAAGACCCCCTGAAGAGATACACAGGGGGACGCGTCGGGTTCATTTGCGTCTTCCCCTACGCGTATTCTTTGTCTGTTTATCCCCCTTATTTTGCTCGCAAACAACCTTCATATCTTGTTTTCGTGTTTCCACTATTCCCATATCAGGTATATCTTTTGTAATCTTATTTCCAAATTGGCTTGTCTTGTTGCTTAAGATCGTGGTGTTTTGCCGCTTTATTTACGTGGATCTCGCTTCTCTCTGTGCAAGACACATCTACGTCTCAAGGAGCTCACAAACGCAACAACGCAGAGGGAGCTGCAAAAGAAGAATTACTGCCATCAAGATGTCGTTTCCTACTACTGGGTCTCCTGAGGCCACTCGCAAAGCATCTATTCAGTTCCAGGCTCGTGGTGATGTTGGGCCCCATGGACGTGTTTGCTCGGTCAGAACTCCCGTTCTTCTTCTGCCTACTTTTACATGCCTTATAGACCGCCCTCTATGCTTGGTGACATATTTTACCTTGATTTTGACACTGACTTCTTCTCCTTTGCAGACTTCGAAATACTCTAACCCCACCGAGTGTGTGCCCAATCCTCTTGTTTCGTCCAAGCTCGGCAACATCCAGCCAATGTCTCTGAATAAGGATGATTCTGGCCCTTCTAACAAGGTCAGATATATCCACACGTAGTCTCCCTTGGTTCCCCCAGTTATCTTAAGATATTGAAAATACTGACAATCCTAGAAGCAGAAGTTGGAGCACGCGAGTTCTGCCTCTCGTACAGAGCTGCAGCCATCTGCCTTGGATCAGATCTTAGCAAAGTTATCCCCAAAGGGTGGTGTTTCTGTGGAACAGCCATCTACCCATGATGAGATCCTGGCTAAGCTGTCTGAACACCAAACTTTGTTGGAACAGCAGCAGCAGATCCTAATTGACAAGCACATGCGTTCTACATCCCAGAACGAGGGTGCAAACACCTCCCTCCACTTGAGCTCTGGAAACTCACCCAACTCGGTGGATAATACTTCGTCCAAGTCCAATGATGATAAAGTGGATGATATCGAAATGCTTCGTTTGAAACGGGAGTTGATGGCTGCTAATTCTCGCATAGCTCTTCAGGAACAAGAGCTGGCTCAGACCCGTGTAATCAAACACACCTTGGACCAGGCTCTTGGTCCACCCTCTGAGGCCGATTTTGGTGGCCGCGAGATCACAGAACATACTATAAGCAGCCTGCAAAATGTTTTCAATTCCTCTACCCGTCCATATAACCAGCGTCAGGATGCCTGGGCTACTCAGGACGATGCTCACTCAGACATTTCGGATGCTCTGTCCGCCGGTGCTTTCAACCGTGCACGTGGTATTTGGAATAATTCCCACCCACCGTCCGTAAAGAATGCTGTTGGCATATATGACAAACCGTATTGTGAGCCTACTCCCTTGGGAAGTCCCACAGTTACGGCTGACCCCAGTCGTAACTGGGCTGGTAGATTCTCCCAGCCGGGTTTTGGAGGGCAAAACCCAGGCTATATAGCCGGCCAGCGCGTTTTATCCGGCCCAGGTTCGCCTACCTTTGGATTTGATGGTCGTTTTACTGGCGAGCAAGCTCAGTATCTGCAGGCCCCTGGGAATCGCCGTTCCTCAGCGCAGCTTAATCGTGGCGGGTCGTGCTTCCCACCTCAAAATTCTCCTTGGGGAACATTTTCAACCGTGGCCCCTGGTGGACCAACTATGCGAGCAGTAAGCAACCAGCATGTCAGCCCCTATCCCGGAATGTTTCCTGGCCCTGGACAGTATCAGCAACGGCCAATCGGGACCCCTCTCTCTCCGACTGCAGCAGAGTTTACTGTCAATTCTGCTCCTGACACTTGGAGTACATCAGTGAGTAAGTCACCGCCGTTGTTTATTTCAATTTTACTGACAATTGCAGTCTACCTCTGGTGCTGTTCAGACATATGTCTCGCCTCTTGAGCCATTGAACTACCGCCGCCTGTTAGACAAGAGTGTGTCCTGTGACTGGAAGTACATTGTGGACAAAATTGTCTGCAGCAATGACCAGCAGGCTTCTATTTTTCTCCAGCAAAAACTCAAGGTTGGAACGGCGGAGCAAAAGTATGAAATCATTGAAGCAATTGTTAACCAGGCGTACCCATTGATGGTCAATCGTTTCGGAAATTTCCTTGTTCAGCGTTGTTTTGAACATGGCACTCCTGAACAGGTCATTGCCATCGCAAACGCTGTTCGTGGAAACACGTTGAGCTTGAGTATGGACCCTTTTGGCTGTCATGTAATTCAGAAGGCATTTGATTGCGTGCCAGAAGAGCACAAGGCGGTCATGGTTCATGAGCTGCTGCGTCGTATCCCGGAAACGGTTATCCACCGCTATGCTTGCCATGTCTGGCAGAAACTCTTCGAACTTCGCTGGAGCAATGAGCCTCCTCAGATTATGGCGAAGGTTAACGAAGCACTCCGTGGAATGTGGCATGAAGTTGCTCTCGGCGAGACTGGAAGCTTGGTCGTTCAGAATATTTTTGAGAACTGCGTCGAGGATGAAAAGGTCTGAATTCTTCCCCATTGCTTCTCTTCTTCTCTCGGACTTCTTACTGACAGCCACCTCAGCGCCAAGCCATTGAGGAAGTCCTCGCCAAAATCGATCTTCTCTCGCATGGGCAGTTTGGTAACTGGTGCATTCAGCATATTTGCGAACATGGAGCGCCTCATGACAAAAGCCGTGCCATTGAACATATCCTTCTTTGGGCCACTGACTATAGCATGGACCAGTTCGCCTCCAAGGTGGTTGAAAAATGCCTGAAGATTGGCGGTTCTGAATTTCTAGACCGCTACCTTGCTCGCGTTTGTACCGGTCGTCCTGACCGCCCTCGCATGCCACTGATCGATAGTAAGTTTGGGTGATACTCTTTCGGATGGTTTATATGAGACTCTAACGTGTTTGGGTAGTTGCTGGTGATCAGTACGGTAATTACTTGATCCAGTGGATCCTTATGAATTCTGCTGCTCATCAACGAGAAATTGTTGCTACCCATATTCGGTCCGTCAATTTTCATTCCTTGAGCCTTTGTTAACATTAGTCTAACTTCTTCTACACAGCAAACATATGGTCTCCTTGCGTGGTTCCAAGTTCGGTTCCCGCGTTGCAATGCTGTGTTGCAACCCCAGTCATATTACTCGTCCTGGCCCAGGGGCAGGAGTCCAGGTTAACCGCTTCTCGAACCCTGGAGGAGAGGATCGTTTTCCAGCAAGCCAGCCTGCCGGGCGGTTCAACCGCGGCGGCCAGTGGGGCTCCAGCTACCCACCATTTCGTTGACCATCTCTAGACAGACTATTATCATTAGGATCCTTTGATATCCCCCACATTATATCCAACGTTTGTTGCCGCTGACTTCGGAATAGTGGAAGCAAGATCATATATCGAAAAGTGCATTTACAATTATTTTCACCAGTCTAGGATTCTCGGATGTGTGGATTTTTCCTGCTTGGTTCGAGCTCTCTTTAAAAAAAAAATCCTACCATCTGCTCTTTTGTTTGTTGGGGCTGCTACCGACGACCAACAACCATTCTGATTCCATTTTCTCTTAGATTCTTTTTGCTTTCCCTTGACACTTCCTTTCCTGAACCTCGAGAACTACACCTATTTCATTCGTTTAATTTGCCATATTTCTTTGAAGATGATTTTATTCTAAAATAACTAATAGGCGTGGGTTGCCCCAGTGCTTTGGTTTACCAGAAAAAAGCAGGTTTTTCTGAACCGTTTTTCCCAATTTTATTTGTAAGGTTTATTGTTCGAATTTCGTTCTCAGATTCGGTTTTCATCCTTTTATATTCTCCCCCATGGTCCAGTTCTTCCTCGTGCCCTTCATTGCCGCCAATCTGTTTTGATTCTCTGGCTGGACATTCACAATTTTGAGACTAGAGGCAATACGGAAGTTGATCTGACTTGGAAGGACTGGTCGTTGGCCTTGTTTAAAAGATATTCTTTTAATAATGAGATTACAGTGTATTTTAGCCACGATTCGGACAAAGGTAGTTATAGTTTAATAACATAATCGCGGGAGCAACATTATCCGAAAGAGTCTAATGGTATCTATTATAGTATGTAGTTTATAGTTAGGTAAATATATCAGTTATAAATTATATATACACGTTCATGGGGGAGTTCTTAAAACCTTGTTCATTAATTCACAACTCTGTCCCCTTTTTTCCCCCTTTCCTCGTTACTTTGATCGTCTACCCGGAACCGACATAGCGAACGTGATTCCTCCCTATGCCTCCCTTGCACACAATCATCACTACGGCTGCGGTTGCTCTTGGCGTTCCACCTCACCGTCTCTCTCCTCACGCTCAACCCCAGTAATACCATTACCATCTCCGCCAGTATCCCCGACAGCCGTAGTTTCCCACGGCTTCCGCCGCTGCGGGGCCAGGCTCGGCTTATCCTGACCGGTCAGAACGGTATCGGGGATCTCCTGGATGCCGGGGATGGGTTTGTTGTTTGTTATAAGGTCGACGATGTGGGAGAAGGGGGTTGGGTAGGTTGGCTCTTTTGGTTGCGGTTGGCGTTGCGGTTGAGGTTGAGGTTGAGGTTGAGGCTGGTGGGGGGTGGTGGTGGTAGAGGTCGGGGCGGTGTTACTGTTGGCTCTTTGTTGTTGGAGGTAGGCTTTGTAGCCTTTTGGGGTGAGCGGGGTTGAGGGTTGGGTTCGCGAGGGGAATTTCCTGGTTTGTTTTGCGTTGTGGTTTTATTTTGTTTTGTTTGTTTGAGTGGGATATATACTTATATAAAAAATATGGAGAGAGGGGGAGGAGCATAGGGGGTAGGTATTCATATATATTCATATATATATGTATGGAAATATATCAATAACTCACTCACTTCGTAAAGTAATAAATCTTCGCTTTTAGCAGCAACTCGCCGCCCAACTCAGCATACTCATCCGCATCGCCGCCGCCGCCAGTTCCAGCCGCAGGAGGCCTGCTTCTTCCAGTCACCTCATCCTCCGTCGCGGGGGTCCCCGCCGGCTTTCCTAGGATCAGGCCGAGGCCAAGTTTGAATTCCGGATCTGTGGCGAAGGGGTATGTGTCGAAGAGTTGGTAGGGGGATGCTGTTGCTGTTGGTGTAGCTGTGGTTTCGGCTGCGGAGGAGAGCGGGGCGGCGGCAGCGGCGACATTATTTTTGGAGGCAGCATCGATGGGAGTTTTTTGTTGGTGTTCCTGAGGGGTTAGTGATGGCGGCGATGACGGTGATGAGTGACCGGGGACGGAGGAGTGGCCAGGAGGAAGAGGAGGGGCGGGATCCTGACCAGTGGGCATTGCGGCGACGAGATCGGAGGGAGTTGTTGAATCTGTACCAGTAGTAATATTCTTCTTCTTTTGTCCCGCTTTCCTTTCCTTCCTTTTCCGTTTATTTTTCTTTTATTTTTATTTTTTTTTTGCCAGCCCCTTATTGCGACATCGAGGGTCTGTACAGTGCTATTATTATTCCTATTGTCGGGAACAATTTAATGAGTGTCTGAGGAGGAGAAAATGAGGGACAGAAGGCGGGGGAGCAAAGTTCCCTTTACTGACCGCTTTTTATTCTGCCGCGCTTACTTCACCCCTTTTTTTGCCCCTGAAAGAATGAATGACAATGTTTATATTCGTTACCTAGCTTTCACATCCGCCCTATTTCTCCTTTTGCAAAGCAGTTTGCTGCAAGCTCAGATGTAAGGAAATGTATTCCGTATTGGAAGTTCATTCCCAAGCATATCATTGTAGGCAAAAGGAAATACAAGAGTTAACGCCCAAGCCCAATGCGTGTACCGTGGATGAGTACTTGGTAGAGGAGAAATTAAACGTAAAGGAGGGAAGCGAGAGGGGGACCAATTGTTGTGCTACAATGTAGAACATAACAGCGCCCGTCTTGTTGCTTTATTATTATTATTATTATTATTATTATTATTATTATTTATTTCTGGCTTTAGTCCCATCACCGTACCTAGCCGGTGTCCATCTCATCAGCTACTCCATTCCCATTCAATCGCTGTTGCTGCACAACCCCACTCTGACACCCCGGGCAATTATGTACAACCTCATGCGCAAATACATCGCAATCAATACAGAAATGGCACTCGCAGACCGGACACTCATATCGGCCGCTAACGCTAACGCCAACTCCCACGGCGGCTTTGGCAGTCTCCTCCGGCTCGCCGGAAACCAGCTTCGGCATCCGCGGAAACCCAACCCCACACGCAAAGCAGCTAGCGCTCCGCTTCCTCGCCGCGCGGCGCCAGGACACCTCGACCCAATTCATCAGCGGGAAGAGATGGTGGTAGGAGCGGGCGAGGTGGGTGGAGAGGATGAGGGTGAGCCCGCAGCAGGGGCAGGAGGAAGGCAGGGTGCAGACTTTTGCGTTGCAACGGCAACAAAGGTAGCCGGCGCGCGAGGGTTTGGAGTGGCAGGCGCAGAGGCTTGGGGTAGGCGTTGTGGTGAGGGTTAGAGAGGGGAAGCCCATCATGAGGAGGGAGCTTGCGGTCGTGTTAGTAGTTGTTGTTTTGGGGCCATTTGCCGAGGAAGCTGTGGGTGTGGAAGTGGGAGCGACAGTTGTGACAGGGGGGGCTGTGACATCCATGAATAGTTCACGGAAATGCTGTTCGTTCAGGGCGACGCCGTAGACGGTGTCGTCGCCGTTGTTTGTGCGGGCGCACAGGTCGCGGCAGATGGCGACTTGCGCTGCGAGGCCGATTATAGAGATGCGGATTTTGTCTGCGACTAGCGCTGTTATGGTTTGGTGGATGTCGCCAGGGTCAGAGGAGAGTAGGGCGCCGAAGATGATAAGGACTTCGCGTGTGCCATGGGTTGGCGTGTGGCTGCTCGGATTGAAGATGTTAGTATTATGTTCTTGATGTTTCCTGGGAGTGAATCAGTAGAAAGGGGAGCAAGTATCCTACAAAAGCGCACCACGGGCCATCTCTAACGCATTCTGCAGAGATGGCATGCCCTTGGGGTCCTTGGGACGGAGGGCCTGGATAGCCATGATATGATCGGTGGGGTTGCCGCTCATGTCGCTGATGCGCACAGCTAAGCCGTCGCGCATGCCCAGCACGCCTAGTTGGGAGATGGGGTTCTGCTCGAAGAACTCGAGGACAAACTCCTGGGCATAGCGGAGGGTTAGGAGGTAGCGGGTGGGACGGAGGTCCTTTTCGGCCATGGCAGAGGAGAGGTCTAGGACCAGGATGAGATGTCTGATGATGCCGCGTTGGAGCGGGGTGGTGTCGCGGAGTAGTCTGTCATCGGGGGGTTATTCTATTAGCATAGCGATGTATTAATCAATTGGCCTAGGCTGGATGTTCAACTGTGATATACCGCTTCCTTTTCCCGGCCCCCAGCAGATCCTCCACAGTAGCGCTGATGGTGCCATCCGCGCTTTCAACCAGCGTCTCCCAGGTCCTGGACACCTCCCACTCAGCACCACCACGGCCCTTTTGCTTCTTTCTGGCGTCTCGTGACGACCTAGTCGTTGCTGCTGCTGCTGCTGCTGCTGCTGGTCGACGGCGCCGGGGGCCAGAGGCAGAGGGGCGAGCATCGAGCTCATCGTCATCGTCATCGTCGTCCTCGTCTAAGACGTCGTCGAGGTCATGATCCGAAGCGTGGGCGACGTATTCATCGTCTGAATCGGACATGCTCGTGAGGGTGTATATGGCGGTGATATGATCCTCTGATGGTGGAGAAGAAGTTTGCCAGGAAGCAGGTCGAAGCTGGTTGGTATAGCAAGCCAAGCTTGGAGCACTCTGGCTAAACAGCAACTTAACCCGCAAATGAACCTCCACGAACTAAATAACACTAAACTAGTTAATTCGTTTAGTTTGAGTATGTTTTTTCCTCCCTCTTGTAACACTGTATAGAAATCAAACGCCAAGGCTGTAGAAAATATACCGACACAAGGTCGGAAGCCAATTGGCACCACACAACAAAGACAACTAAATAGTTAACTACACAGGACTTCTGCGGATGTTGGCTCTGGGTTCGCTGCGAGGGCAGGGAAGCAGAATAATCAACCTCCGCGCCGTTGCAGGGACCAGCAGCACCAGCAGCACCAGCAGCAGCAGCATTATTCCTGTCTCTATACTGACGCCGGCTATTCGAGGCTCTGATCGCAGCTTGTTCCCTCCCTCGACCACCGTCCCCGCACGTCATCGCCATCATCGTCTGCCCCTCCTCGCGCGCTTCTTCACCTCCGCAACCACAACCTCGCTATCTTCTTCTGCTTCTGCTTCTTCCTCTTCCTCTGCTCCTCTGACAACCCGCTGTATTTCCTCGTCTTCTGTAATTTCTTCTTCGTTTGTCCCGCGATTTACTATTCTGCCTGGCTACCATCGCTACTACTCCACCCAATTGCGCACCATGAGTGCCGCTGACAGAGATACCCTGCCCGATGTGTATGTCGACTGTCCCTTGTCTAACTTACACGGTGTATATCTGCCTTGTGTGCCCTCCAATAACATCAATTGAATACTCTAGGGCCAAACCGTCCCACTATGACCTCTCCCTCTTCAACCTCAAGTTCGGCCCCTCTTGGGCCTACGAGGGACAAGTCAAGATAGACATCAAGGTGTCCCGCGAAACCAGTGAACTCGTCCTCAATGCCAAAGAGCTTACCGTCAACAATGCTGAGATCTCTTCTCCCGCTGGTATGCCATTCCTCTAGCCCTCTCACTCTCCTGTGCAATATGTCGCAGACGCCTGGTTGAGGGACACATGGCTTATATCGTACTGCTGTCGTGAATTCCAGGAATCGTCCTCAAGGCATCCAACATCTCATACGACAAGGCCTCCCAACGTGTTACTCTTGAATTCCCTTCAAATATTCCGCTTGGTACTTGTGTCCTCGCCGTCGATTTCGCAGGAACTATCAATAACCACATGTCCGGCTTCTATCGATCCAAGTACAAGCCTCTCGAGACTCCCTCCCCCAGCACCCCCAAGGATGCAGACCACCACTATATGTTGAGCACCCAATTCGAAGCCTGTGATGCTAGGCAGGCCTTTCCTTGCTTCGATGAGCCAAACTTGAAGGCCACCTTCGACTTTGAGATCGAGACTCCCAAGGATCTGGTCGCCTTGAGCAACATGCCCGTGAAATCAACCCGCGATGGATCTTCCGCGGACTTGCACGTCGTCAAGTTTGAGCGCACCCCGATCATGAGCACCTATGTTAGTTCCACTTAGTCCGTGCTGTCATCTGTCATCACCAGTTATATGCTAATTATCGGTATCGGTGATGATATTAGTTGCTCGCATGGGCCGTGGGTGACTTTGAATACGTCGAGGCGAAGACGGAACGCAAGTATAACGGCGTCAACATCCCAGTTCGTGTCTATACCACGCGAGGTTTGAAGGAGCAAGCTCGATTTGCGGCCGGATACGCCCACCGAATTATTGACTACTTCTCGGAAATCTTCCAGATCGATTACCCATTGCCCAAATCTGATCTGCTTGCTGTCCATGAATTTGTGAGTCCACCCCTTTCTCCCTCCCCCCTTCTCTTTTCCTTTCCTTTAACCTCTTTTTTCCCCTTTTTCTTTCTCTTCCTTCATTTAACCGTTATATTAATTTTTCGCATAGGCCAGTGGAGCTATGGAGAACTGGGGTCTGGTGACTTACAGAACCACTGCTGTTCTCTTCGAAGAAGGCAAATCGGACAATAAATACAGGAACCGGGTTGCTTATGTTATTGCCCACGGTAAGAATTGATATATTTTTTTTCTCTTGCTGGTCTTTAAACTAACCACTGTAGAACTCGCTCATCAATGGTTCGGAAACCTTGTTACCATGGACTGGTGGAATGAGCTTTGGCTGAACGAAGGTTTCGCTACATGGATTGGCTGGCTGGCGATTGATCATTTCCATCCGGGTAAGCAAACATATTTCTTGAGAATAAGATATGTGGGCATTACTTACAAGTTTGACTAGAACGAAATATTTGGTCCCAGTTTGTGGTACGAAATGCCAGGGGTACCTTGAAAATTTCTACAATCCGGCCTTTTGTTAACATGTTTATAGGCTGAGGCACTCCAATCAGCGTTCCAACTCGATGCGCTCCGGGCATCGCACCCAATTGAAGTCCCCGTGAAGAATGCTCTCGAAGTCGATCAGATATTCGACCACATTAGTTATTTCAAAGGCAGCTCGGTCATTCGAATGCTGAGCAGCCACCTCGGGCAGGAGACATTCCTACGCGGAGTGTCGGACTATCTGAAAGCCCATGCATATGGTAATATACTTCATTAGTTGCCCATATTGAGAAATGCCATGGTGGTTAATATTCATACTGCCAGGAAACGCCACCACCAACGACCTTTGGTCAGCTCTAAGCAAAGCTTCCAACCAGGACGTGACAAAATTTATGGTTTGCAACCTTATATTCCTCCCCTATTTGAAGCTGCTTATACTAACCTGGATACACCACGCAGGACCCTTGGATTCGCAAGATTGGGTTTCCCTTAGTCACGATAAAGGAGGAGTCTAATCAACTCAGCATTTCCCAGAAACGTTTCCTTGCATCTGGCGATGTGAAGGCCGAGGAAGACGAGACTGTTTGGTGGATTCCTCTGGGCATTAAGTCCGGAGAGACTATTCAAGAGCAGAAAGGCCTCACAGCCAAGTCTGACGTTGTTCAAAACATTGACAACAGCTTCTACAAGATCAACCTTGACCAATGCGGCTTCTACCGAACAAACTATCCTCCAGACAGACTTGCAAAGTTAGGTAAATCACAGGAACGCTTAAGCAATGAAGACAAAATCGGTCTCATCGGGGATGCTGCGGCATTGGCTGTATCTGGCGATGGAACCACCACTGCCCTCCTAGCCCTGGTTGAGGGTTTTCAGAATGAACAAAGTTACCTGTAGGATTACTCGAATTCTAACACCAAGAATTGCAGCCGTGTCTACAAGTGCACTAACAGTTCCATTTGTTGATAGTGTCTGGTCGCAGATAGCCTCGTCTCTCGGCAACCTACGTTCAGTGTTCTCAACTAATGAAGGCATGGCTACCGCCTTAAAGAACTACGTGAGGAAGCTCGTCACGCCCGCTGTGGAGAAAATTGGGTGGGAATTCAAACCCGAAGACGACTACCTCACCTTCCAGTTACGACATTTGCTCATTTCGATGGCAGGAAATTCCGGTCATGAAGCGTGAGTACCCACCTTTTATGTCCTCTTTCACTATATATATGGTCAATTAATGAATCTGTAATCAGAACCATCGCGGAGGCTAGAAGACGCTTTGAGCTCTGGGCGTCCGGAGAGGACAAGGCAGCCGTCCATCCTTCCCTCCGGTCCGCTGTATTTGGCATAACCGTTGCTGAAGGCGGAAAGAAGGAGTACGACGCGGTGATGGAAGAGTACCTCCGTACTGACTCCATCGATGGCAAGGAAATCTGCCTTCTCTCTCTTGGCCGTACCAAGAACCCTGACCTGATCAAAAGCTACGGCAACTTCCTCTTCTCATCGAACGTGGCCATCCAAGACCTCCACACAGGCGCTAGTGCAATGGCTGGAAACTCTCAAGCGCGTCTTGTTTTCTGGAACTTCATCAAGGAGAACTGGCCGATGATTGAGCAACGGCTGACGAGTAATAAAATCGTTTTCGATCGGTTTTTGAGGATGAGCCTGGGGAAATTTGCGGAACATGATGTGGGGAAGGACATTGCGGAGTTCTTTGCAGGGAAGGATCAAGACGGGATTGACCGGGGCCTTGTCATTGTTGCGGATACGGTGAGGACGAATGCGAATTATAAGCAGAGGGAGGAAGCAATTGTCGCGGGGTGGTTGAAGGAGAACGGGTATGCTTAATGTGTAGTGTCCCCTAGGCATTAGGCAGTGACTTGTCCTTTATTGCTATGATCATGGGTTCTGAGAGGAATGGCCATAAGGACAAGTCAAGGATGATCAGATGGAAGCTCTGAAAGTCACGATGTGAGACCTAGAAAAAGGGGTTTATTGTCTGTCTTCTAAGTGTACATTCCAATATAACCAATATTTTTTATCAATTGTTGTGTTGTGCTGTCCATACGTTCTACGTGCCCACGTTATTTATCTATGTGCCACCAGATGTTTGGAATGTAAGAACGGAGCCAACTATTTACTAAACAAACCCTTGTGCATATTTTTTTTTTTCAGCCTTTCGAAGAATAAAGAGCAGATGCTGGAAAAATGCAGATTAATCGTCTTGCTTTTAACTTCCCTTCTCTAATGCAAAAACCTTTTCACCTTCTCTTCGCCAACATTGATTTTGTGCTGATGTTGGAAGATTCAGTAAGCACTTCTATCTGTGCATTTTGACTTTCGCAGAATACAATTCGTTCAACTGAGCCCTTGTGTAGCTCGGCCATCTCATGACTACTATATATTAGAAAAAGATCACTAGAGTATTACTTTTAGATTCAATTGACTAGTTACTGATATATTATGCTGTGATTATATGAGTGGAAGAAAATAGATAAATATTGCGTGATATATATATATATATATATGCTATGAATTAACTTTAGCATCAGATGTAATTTTTCAACTCTACTTTATAAATAACAATGAGTACTTTGAGATGTTATTTGTAATGTGATCGTTAGAGAGTGTGTTTATGTTTCTACTGAGCTGTTTCAATATTTTTTTTGATATTCTCTGATATGTTTCGATTCAATCTAGTATAAGATAACTAACAATTATATACAATGACTAGTGTATTCCAGCTGTGTCCAGCACATGACCGTTTAAATGATACTTGAAAGTAGTTTTTAATATTGCAAAAGTTATAATAGTTTGTGAGACCCAGACAGTTTGTTTACATATCTTCCTAGAGCCATGATAGGGAAATAGTGCCTGTAGTAATCATACTCCATATATAAATGGCCTGGAAATCCAGTTGCCGTATACCTTTCAAGAAGCCATGTTGCTCTGCTCTCATCCCCGTACTTCACCTGGTTCCGGACGAGATAGGAAACACCCCTTTGAATCACTTCATCAGTTGGTGACAAGTAATTCAGGAGCGCCATAGTAACCCAGGCCGACTGTGAAGCTGTCGGCTGCCCGCATCCAGCCAATTGAGCATTGTCATACGACTCGGGCCCTTCTCCCCAGCCACCGTTGGAGTGTTGACGAGCCTTTAACCACTCCGATGCTCGATCCACTGCGCTGACAATATTGCTGTTGCTCTTGACGTCACCTTTAGAAAGGCTGGACCGGTCATAGTAGTATGCAAGGCCGCACAAGACATTGCTGGTGCCATAGAGGTAGTTAACTCCCCACCTCCCCCACCATGACCCATTGTTCTCTTGACAACCGAGAAGGTAAGCAATGGCGAGCTGAGATGAAGCTCGCAGCCGGTTTTCCAGCTGGCAATCCAATGAATATCCGTGTCGGCCAGCCATCATCATCCCGAAGCACTCTATAATTCTACCGGTAACATCCGGGGTGCTTGGGTCGCAAAGACTGTCCATGTCGCTGAAGGGGATCTTGTTGAGAAAGAATTTGTCGTTGTTCCAGTCAAATGCTCCCCAACCACCGTCTCTATTCTGCATACCGAGGATCCATTGTGCCGCACGTCTAACGCAGCCCGATATCAAATGCGCAGGATTGCTTTTAATAAGGGCCATGATTACAGCCGCAGTGTCATCAACATCCGGATAAAGTGTGTTAAATTCTTCAAAACAAAACCCGCCCGTTGCTAGTTTAGGTCGTAGCACTCGCCAATCTCCACGGTGTGAAGCCACTTCGTGATGCATGAGCCAGTCAATCGCCTGGGTGGGGCTGATAATTCCTGTACTCGGAGCAGAGTCGCTGAGTGCAATACTCATCAATGCTGTATCCCATACCTGAGAAACCGTGACTTGTGCTCTCATCCCCGTCGCATCATGGAGGACAAAACTTTTCACAGCAGCGATGCCACGCCGCAGCACGGGATGATCTAGCGAGTACCCTTCGAGTGAGAGCGCCCAGATGTTGTTGTGTTGAGGAGGCCAGTATCCTGCCCATTCGCCGGACTGTTCTTGATGGTCGAGTATCCAGTTAATAATCTTCCTGCGAGAGAGGTTTCGAAGGGGCGAGTGGAAGTATTGACCAAGGAAACGGAGTCCATGATCTGCACTAGTGAAGAAAATGCCAGCATAATCTCCAAGCCTCCACATCCTGCTCAGAGGCGTCGTATAGCAAAAGTCCCTTGGAATATCTTTGGTCCACAGCTCGTCTAAGAAGTCATTTTCAGCATGACGCCCGTTTGGTAGGCTGTGCAACGGTTCGTGGTGCCTGATTAAGAGCAACGGGACGCAAGTAGCCCGAGCCCATGAAGAGAGGTTGTAGATATTCACGGGGAACAGGGTAGGCAGCAAAATCAGCTCAGCAGGCAGAGGTGGTACGGCGCTCCAGGGAATCAGGCCAAATGAAGCCAAAAATACGCGGGTGAACATCCTCGTGGCAGGTAATGAGCCGGCCTTTATTATCGATGTACGTGCCGCCGCCATGCGAGGGTCCTCTGGGGAAACCCCCAAGATTTTGAGGGCAAGGTAGGTCTCTGTGGTGGTTGATACGTCTCCCCCAAGACCAGGCCCCAAGCCCCATGAGCCGTCTTCATTCTGTTGGGAGAACAGCCATCGACTCAGTCCTTCGATTTCGGTGGGATCCAATGGCAGGCCAATCTGTTGTTGTAGAAAAACGTATTGAGAAGTGAATGTGGCGTTGGAATGAACCTCTCCGCACCAAGCTCCATCCGCCCTTTGCAGATCCAAGGAATGGCCGACAGCTAATCTTAGGGCTTTCTGAACTTCTGCTAATAACATCGCGCTGAAGCGTTGTGTTGAGCTATGGCTAGGGGGCCAGCGTAAAAAAGAAGAAAAAAACAATCGGGATTAGGGATTCAACGACCGGATTTGCGGGGTGGCCCTATATATGTTTGTCTGATGAGGACGGAAGTCGAAGCTGAAAGAGACAATATAATTCAAATACTGCCAGAGGCGAGGTGCTGCTGTTGAGCAGCTTCTCTGCCCATGCGAAGCAATAGTCTTGGTGACCCCAGAGAGGACGCCATCTGGGCCATCACGTCTCACCATTACCTTGAAAAGATGCTCACAACGGCCCATTGAGATCTGAAGCCCTGATTTGAAATTAGATATTCCCCTTGCCTTCGCCCCCAAGTCGCTTCCATCCATCGATACCAAGTGGCTGGGTTAGAGACCCCTTTCAACAGGGGGTTTAAACATTGATTGCTGTAGGCTGCGTAAGGCTGTCTTCTTGGCTTTCCCGTTCCGCAGCTTGCTTCTATTTTTGTAAATATCAGCTGCCTGTTTGCTCCCTTTGGGTAGCATTTCAGTTCAAATCCGAGTTTTGTAACATGGCGTAAAGGTTGACACTCCTCTGAACACCGTGAGCAACGAGCGGTCGATCCTACCGCTTCTAGATTAGTTCAAGGATATGTTAGTTCCAGTCGGCAGGAAATATTCCATGAAGAGCTGTTAGCTTACAGAGTAATATTGTTGCTAAGATATCCGATTTCTCCAGACTAACCCCCAAGCTCCAGGGATTAGCTTATTCAGAGGAGTTGTCGTCAGTCAAACGAATCCACGTGTGCATAGTGCGGGTCAGACTGGCGTTTGCCAATGCTTCTGGGTCCTAACGGCGTGGAGTTACGCAGGTATGCCGCGGTATTCTCATTACGAAGGATTTAGATCCTAGTAGTTTACCAAAATATTGAGGGATTTGTAATGAATTATTTTATATTTCTATTTTTTTTTGGTTTTTAATTTTTTTCTCCATTTCAATTTATACAGTTGATCAATGATTCAGAAATGATTTCTTGGAAGCCAGAAAAGTGAAAATGAATACAGTCTATTAAGCATATATCTCACTTCTGCTGTTCTGGGAAACAAAAAATGTCCGAACTGGACAATTTTCGAATATTGAATTGATTAACTATATTAACTCTGATAATTAGTTACACAATAAAAAGGCAGTCTTTATCAGGAAGGACGGGTGACCAAGGTCGATATCATCTCCGAAAAAAACCGTTGTGTGGTGGGCGATATTACTAGTAATCGTTCAGTCATATTTTGAGTTCTACCAAAGCGTCAAGCATTAAGTTTAAATGTTTTTAAGTTTTCACCCTGTTTCAAAAACATACTAAATATTTAGTCTACTAAACTGCCGAGAAAGGGTTTGTTGACGCGTTAATGTTAACTAACTGATTAGTTACAATACTACTAATCATTATACATCATCTCTCTTGCATCACTCTATCTCAACACAAGGAATTTTTGTACAATTGAAAAAATTAAATGTGGGAGATGTATATAATAGATAGTATATATTTTCAATTCCCTAAGCTTTCAGAAATCATTTCTGAATCCTTGATCATCTATAGAAATTGAAATGTAAAAAAAAAAAAAATCACAACAATGTCTCAATACACTAATGAAAATACCAGTGCAATACCTCATTTCTACGCTTGTGATGATGAGCATGGAAAGCAGCCATATAGATAATGTTATCTAATTAGTACAATCTCTGTGGCTGCGGAGGGTTTCAAACTTAATGCCCCCACCACTGTAACCAAAATGCTGAGCATACCAGAGTATCTCCAGGGACGAGGCTCCGAAACCTGACTGCAGGGAGGGGCGGAGTTCATCCTCAGTCAGCCGATTACAAGGTGCAGACAGAGAATAAGCCAGGGTAATACAGCGTAGTGCCAGTAGCAGACCCATACTGGCTCTAGAACACCGAAAGAGAGGCTGGACAATTCATAACCCGGCGGATGAGAGTTCTGGGATTGTCTGGACACAGTCCTTGTTGATAGCCCTGGAAAGAAGTGAATCAAATAAAAGGGGAATTCCAGAAATAGAAATGAAAGGTCATCCCATCGTTTAAAATAGTGCCTTGGAAATCAATATGTTGAACTAACATAGATTGCCCGGGCGGCAAGGAGGGATCTTTTCCAAAAGATTTATAGTGGGTAGCTCTGTGGCTAAATCGGAGACTTCCTTAAATATAAATATCATAATTAAGCCCTGCTTGACTCATGGCTCCCTCTGATTTGTTCGAAAAGTCGACCAGCGGTGATTGATTTTGATATTTTGCTGTTGCCAGGCCGACCCGAGTCGATTAATGCTTCGATAGCTTCAGTCGGCTTTTCTTTCTTTCATTCTTTCTCTCTTTCTTACTTACTTTATTTCTTTCCGATATTGATACTTCAGTCGGCGCAGACATAACTTCCCTCCTCCTTCAAGAGCCAGCGCTCGACGGCCTCTTTCATTACCTTGCAGCCAAAATGGCATTGTACATTCCAATTCTCGTCGCTGTCGCGGTCATTCTCCTTGCTTTAGCAAAGATAGAACAAACCCCCTTAAGCAAAAGCGGATATATCGAACCGCCGTTAGTTCGAGTCAGCCTTTGGCAACTCTGGACCCACGGAACCCAAATCCTCGATCAGTTGGCCGCAAAGCACATAGACGACTTTCCCGATGGGATTTTCACCGTCTCCATTTTCGGCTGGAAAATATACGTCGTTAATTCTCCGCAACTTACTCTTACCATCCAAGCAAGATCGAAATATACGGGTCTCGGATGGATTTCGGTGCTCGTTATGGCGAGCATGGGCGGCCAACCAAAGAAAGCTACCGAGCTCTTATTTAAGGGCGTTGACCGTGGTGACGTGGGGAACGGTATCGGTTTTGTACACGACTATCACAAAGTCGAGTTGCGAACCATGTCACTGGGCAATAGTCTTGATGCCATGAGAAGTGACTTCGCCACAGCATGGCAGCCGATCCTCGAGTCACTTCGGGATTCGGTGAATAATGGGCAGAAAAACGTTAACATATGGCACTGGCTGCGTATGTCCGTCACAGTCTCCGTATCTCGAGCAGTTTGGGGGCCCACTAGTCCTTACTGCACCAAGCCCGAGTTGTGGGAGCAATTCTGGACTTTCAATAGCGGATACAACTTTTTGAAATACAGCTTCCCACGTCTGTTCGCGTGGCGTGGGGCGGTCGCTCGTGAAAAGGTTGTTGATGCTTTCGTTGAATATGAAAAACAAGGAGGGTTTGAGCACGCAAGCGCGCTTGCTCAATCACGCAAAGCCGCCCTTGACAAAACTGGGCTTGGAATTCGTGAGGTGGCTCGGATGTCACTACCACAAAGCGTGGGGCAGTTCGATAACGCCGCCACCGTCTCTTTCGCGGTCTTGTCATTTATTCTCCGAGACCCCAAACTCCAGGCAAGAATCCGGGAGGAGCTTGGACCGCTCACTTCAACCGACCATCGCGGAAATCCCTCCGTCGACCTATCCCGGGTGGAGTTAGAATGCCCCCTGCTGCTCTCAACATTCCATGAAGTACTGCGTCTGATTGCAGTAGGAGTGACAGTTAGAAGGGTCGAGCAGGATTACCCATTGGAGGTGAAGACTGGCGGCAATCAGACTCAGTACTTCCTCCGCAAAGGTAGTTTCATATGGAGCTCTGGCATCGCCATCCACACATCGCCCAAGTTCTACACCAATCCGGAAGAGTTTGATCCTGAGCGATTCCTAGGCGTACGGTTTCCAGAGACCCAAATCCCTGATATATTCCGGGCATTTGGCGGCGGTGGAAATATCTGTCTAGGGAGGCATTTTGCTCGTACCATAGTGCCAGGAGCGGTTGCCAGCCTGTTGATGTGCTTCGACTTCGAGCCAGTCAATGGGGTACCATTATGCGTGCCACACCGGACAGATCTCTTGCTTGGTCATGCCACCCCCAACCCATTTGGAAATACGAATATCAACCTCAAAACTAGGGTGCTCGCTTGAGCTGCTGGATTGAAGGGCCGTGAATTCAAGGGGTGTTTGCGGTCTCATTGGATGGCTAGCGCGTGTGTGAAACTTCGAAACCTCTGACGTCGCATTTAAGTTGGGAGGGATCTGTCTTGGCAAATATCATGTGATATCAAGCTTACCTGGGCTCCGGCAATAGGCTTCGTTAGTTTCTGCTTCCCCCGGCCACCACTTCAATCAAACACACAAGGAGTTTTTCTTTTGTCGAAAAGTAGAAGTGAGATATATGCTTAATAGGCTGTATATATTTGCAATTTTCTGGGCTTCAAAAAATCATTCCCGAATCATTGATCACCCACATCAATTGAAACATTACAAATCATGAATCCCTCGATATTTTGGTTAGCAGAGCACTAAATATTTAGTGTATCACCAATGTATGAGTTCCCGAACTTTATCTTTCAATCGGAATGCTGGCTAGTTTTGATTCGAGATATAACACCTACAGATTCGAGGTAACCACAACAAAAGTCGGAAATTTCCTCAAGAAGAAGCAATACATTTTAATTCTAACGAGTGGGAGGGTAACTAAGGCATTAGAATATCTTTCTAGAATTAAACATCTTTGGAACAAAGAATATATATGTTTGCTACGATAGTGGAGTAGAGTAGTTTCCCCCCTACTCCGTACAGATCTGTACATATCCCGCCCGATCGTGTGTTGGAGATACTATCGACCTGGTCATCTCGGTTGCTTCTTGAAACCCGAGCACTACCTTGGTTGTCCTTCCTTATAAATACTGCCTTTTTATCATGTAATCATCGGGGTGATCATGGTCAATTCAAGATTCTTTTTATTTTTGTTTTTGTTCGGTGTTCGGACGTTATCCGGTTCCGACATCGTGCCGCACCCCTGTCTCTGGTGATAATTTCATATTTTACAGATTGTTACGGACCCTTTTTTATCAACTAACCCCAACCGTGATGCAGGGGCATGGATTTTAAGCTGTGATCTGATTCTAGCGCAACGCAGATCCCTCACCCCATTGAGCCCCAGCATTGGTTCTGCTTAATCTGAGTCTGATCCTTGACTAGAAAAGAACTTGTTGGGGAGCCCAGCCACTCTTAACCGTTTGCAGTAGTTACTTTGATTTATTTCTTCAATCCCTGGGTAACTAATTGAACTACGTCTCGTCTAAAATTCACTTGGCGTCACCCTATAACTAGGGTGTTAGCGTTGGTTGTCTGATAGATAAATTACTCTAACTTTTGTGATTGAAAGAGCGCACGCAGCGCGTACAGCATGTCTACCTCTATTTCCGTCGTCGCACCATAACCCTGGCATCTTTAGGGATGACTGAAGCTTCGGCAAGCCACCTATTCTGCGGTCGCTGGTTGCCATATTCTTCAGGGAAGCGAATGTCATATTTGAGAAGAAGGTACGAAACAATCATCTTTACTTCAAAATCGACAAGAAACCGTCCAGGGCAGGCGTTGCGACCCCGGCCAAAAGACAGCAACTGGGAAGTAGACACCAGCGAATGTGTTCCGGCAGCTTCAACGGTTGCTGGGCTTGCCGTGGCACTTTCACACTGCTCCCTTGCCCGGGAAAATCTCCAGGGATCGAATTTTAAAGGATCTCCGAAAATATCACCATCGGTGTGCAGAGGTTGCGATAGGAATGACAGAATGCTGCCTTTAGGTAGAGAGATTCCATCCTCTGTCTGAACGCCATCTGCCATGACCTTGCGAAAGAGTCCGCGGTTTGCAAAGGAATGGAGCCGCATCGTCTCGCGGGCAATGCTATCAGCCTTGACCAGTTTCGCAATCTTAGCCTTTGTCCACTTTGTGTCATCGTCGAGGTATTCTCCGGAATCACCACTCCCACACCCCAAGTGAGCAGTAGTTTCCCTACGGAGTATTGAAATGGTGTCATACTCCGCATCCGAGGAAACGATATTTAGGATCATGTTTGTGATAGCCATGCTGGTCTGATGAATCGCTTCAAAGTTGGCCATGCAGAGGCGGTTGGTCAGATCCCAGATATTGAGTTCGTCAGGCCGCTCCTTTCGCGCGAATCGAAACAACATTTGAAAAAAATCAGTACACTTGTCATCGGCGGTGTCATGTGCCATACACTCTTCGAAACGAGGCTCTATTAACTTTCGAACCCGAGATATCAGTCGACGGAGTCTCCAGCTTGCAACAGGATTAATCAGAGGCTGTAGGATGGCCGGGAATGCTCCAGTTACAGCAGCACTAATGATCATCTCGTCCATGATGTTCAAGATAAGGTGGAGGTACTCTTCATTGCGGCCTACGGGTACCATTAGTCTATGTTTCGCTCTCAACGAATAAATCAATAAATGCTCGAATGGTGTGGCCACACAAAGACTTTCAAACTTACAGAGCGGTTTTCCAACATGGAAGCGACTCGTTGCCTGCACTATCATCATTTGCACTGTTTGCTGCAGATCCAGGACTTTCCAATTCACGGTATCTCGTCCAAGCCGAGACTCCAACACATACTTCAATTCATCATTCAACGACAGGACAATACCGTCCAACACTTTATTAAGTTCTTTCGATACTAGCATACCCTGCCAATTGTCAAGCATATACTTGCTACTTCCTAAGCTCCTTTTGATTCCATTGATGTCGTTATAGGCATGTCGAATGCTTATAATATTTGGCGGTTGGGCAAGCACCCACGCTAGGTCTTTGTGAGGCATGAGAATGTCATTTCTTGTCCCAAGACTGGGTATCCATACTGGCAATCCTTTCTTTGAAAACTAGTTGAGGAGGGTAGGTAAGTAACAAACTCCGTAAACTTTCAAACAAAGGGAAAGAGGCCAGCCTTACATTGTTGTAGGCATCGTTGAAGAGCCCAGCACAGTCAGTGTAATAAGCCCAACGGGTCTTAAGACTAAAATGCTTTTTTCCTGATGGCTCTCGGAGCCGGGGAATGTTCCCGCCACAACTGGCATGGGCGTACGCAAAATATGTTATGAAAATGAGTACAATTGTAGAAACTGAGAGCAAGAAGCCTGCAGCATTCAATCCGTGATCGGGAGGTGATTCTAGCCAAAAACCTAACATATTTGAGTCTAGAAAGAAATTGCTTTGTAATTCCGAATATGGTTGCGAGTTCACAAACATACCTAAGTAAGTTTAAATACACAATTTGGCCTGACTTTAACAATTTTTTTTTTCAAAAAAATAGTTCTCTCTAAATTAGTATTCGCGGCCTTGACTAGAAGACTGGAAGAAGCTAAGCTCGTCAGCCGGTATTTTTACGCGGACTTTCAGAGACCTTGCGACATAGATTCAGGGTGATACAGATTCCTGGTGGGTGGGCCGGATAATTCACACCTTGCCGTTCGAGCAATGTTGTTTGTGGCTTTCATAAGACCTATTCAACAGAGGCTAGTCATGCCGCTGCTTACTTTCCGCCACCTAAAATAATCTATATCGTGCAGGAGGCGAAGCACGAGCGCGAGATGAAACATTATCCCATATCTGCTTGCAGGCGGCCAGGACATCCTCTCCCAGAACCAAAGTGGGTCGAAGGATTGCCTCATACTCTACTATGTAGTATCCCAGAACGCCTACTCATCCCTGCCTGGTGTCGAAAATGATACAAGGCCCATTGTTTTACGTGCCCAAGTATAGCGACAACTAGAGGGCATTGAGCCCATCCCCCGTAGCAGGGGATTGATTGGCCAGGGATTTTAAACAACATTTACTTCATTCTATTGTGTCAACAACAATTGGCTTGATGCGAGATTGACATGTATGTCCAATGGGCCTAATGGAAGTTCTGGAATCGTGCCCCTTACTCTCGGGTTGATCTTATTGTGGCCATGTTTATTTTCACCCTCGAGGAAGCCGCCGTTGTGACGGCATTTCTGAAACTCGCTGCAGAATTACTTGCCTTGCCCAATTTTGGATGGAGTAGGTTATGAACATATGATTTTCTAGCTACTAGTTGGCCATTTGTATGATGGAGAAGTATCTACAGCCTGTACACTGTTTACACCTTGCGGCCCCCTTTTTTGGAAATATTTACAACAGTCGTGTGAAACGCTACTGGTGAGTGGATTATTCGAGTTGCTGCTGCTGTTTGTGCATTTAGAGGGATGCCAAATTAACTTTTCTATCCGCTATCCAGATCATCAATGTTGGCCCCGACATAAGTATAGCATCAAGCTCAAGTATGCCCATCATGGTATCTCTCATCCCTTGGGATTGGCCGCTCAAGTTGACCAGTTTTGGGTTTCTATCAATTATGTTGGGCGCACCATCGACGCGCATAGGTTTCGTGACTTTGGTACTTTTGGAGGAATCCCTTAGTTAGAGCCTGGCAGATGTTGTGGTCATTGCCTTTGTCTAATGACTGATACGGCATGCAAGCACGCTGAAGTCGAGGCAAAAGACTTGGGAGTTGCGATCTAGTGGTGGGCAATTTGCAGTAGCAAGTACCAGGCGCTCACAGCGGTTGATAGTCTTTATTTGTGGGTGCACACGTTTTCTACGGATGTTACAGCAAAGGCAATGGATAATACTTGGACGGACTCTCAAGAATATAGGGACTACACTACCGGCGAACGGGTTTTCCTTGGTGCAGGGAACGCTTCATGCCAGTCATTGAACGCTGCAACCTACCACATACAAAATCTAACCTTGAGAATAGCTTTGTTGATCCACCAACCAACGGGTTCAGTCAAGGGAGAGAGCCGTCATTCCCAACTCATAATGCAACGAACGTTTTTGTATCATTCAACTTTTGCTTTCTCCCAGATGGTCACTGATTGAGTGTTGGAAACATTCCGCCTCACTTTCTCTTCATTTTAAGTTTTTCTCTCTATGCTAGGCATGTCTCTTCTCTCCTTTCAGTTGATCCAAGGGTTCAGCGCTCGTCACCCGGCGGTTCGCTCAATTTCCATATCTGCTTGTCAATGTCATCATCCATTTTATGGGGGTTTAAAAGTAGAGCTCCTGCCGCAGCTACCCCGGCCCCGAATTCTATAGATTATTGTATCGGAAATGATATCTCTTTTCCACAACTTCAGCAGGGAGGAGGGCGCTCCACTGCAATATCCATCGTACAGACGACTATCGAAAAGGTCGTGCACACCATCTTGGATTTCAGGAGGATGCGATCGACGCCTGCATGGCTGCTCTATAAGAAGCCTTTTCTTTCACTGTTCTGGAGGGCATTCTGTAAGTGTATATAAAGGCGACAGCCTGTGCTTTTGCTCTGCCTATTACTATCGCTGCCCTGACAATCTTTTTTGCATGTTCCGTAAAATAGAAGAGCGTGGCTGGATGATAGGAGCTGCAGCAGGGTGTAAAAGAAGTCTCACGTTATTATCATTGATTTCGTGAAACGTCAATAGCGCTGGGGTTGAGTAGGCAAAAATTTATATATAGATCTCGGAGTAATATATGTGTCGTACATGCATTTTTCCCCCGCATTGAACATACGTGCGGAATTCCAATCATAACTAGGAGCAAATTTCGCTTGTCCATCAATCACACCCAAAAGTGGTAAATTTTCACCGAAATACATTCCATCTCTTCTCTCAATTTACCTTGGCTTTCTCAATCAAAGATGACCTGAGTCGAGAGAACATATCCACCCACATAGTAATCGCTAAAAGGGGTTTCCGTCAATTAAACTAGACTGACTGACAGGCAGAAGACACCAAAGGGGATGGAGACATACCAATGATGAAATAGCCAACATATCCAGGTAAGTTCTTGTTAATATCTTCACTGGGCCAATCCTTGGTGTTCCACACCTCCACAAAGCAGATGACAGTGGATATAACAAGATGCGTCGCCAAGGGAAGGAGATAGAGTGGCACCATGCGGTTATCTTTGAGAAACTCAGCTACTGCCTAAGCAAGTGCATTTGGCTCACAGCAAATGCATCAAGGTAGGAGGAGACGACAGTGACACACCTTGGATAAACCCTCGTATCGCCCAAAGGCTCAACGGAACAGCATACAGAGCTTCCATGACAACAAACAGCTGAAAGAAAGGCGGGTCCTTGACGTAGAGAGGATCATTGTAGTTGTTGACATAAAAGTCGTAAATTGCTGTTGTCCACTGAGGAAATAATCCCGGAGGATAGAACGGCACGAAATCGATCGCTATTATTGTTTCAGCAATAATCATTAGGTTGTCAAATTGCTAGCAAAGAGGGGATGGGAAAATGGTCCTGGGCTAACATGGCAACGTACAGAAAGCAAGAAAAACGGTCGCTGAAAGAAAGACAACGTAGAGAAGATCCAACTTTCGACTCCAGAGTGACCTGGGATGGACGCGGTGAGGTGGCGTGCCAGCCATAGTGTTGAATTTGATTATGCTTTGGGGGTGATACGGCAAAAAGGGACAGAATCAATGAAAGTAGGGGGAATGGCGTTTCGTGGTTATAATTCAAGAGGATAAACTGATTCCCGGGGGTTCATGGTTAAAAAGTGATAGTTAAAATTTAGTCTAGCCTGGTTTTCAGCGGATTCACGAACTATTTAATAGGGCTGTCAGCAAGTGGCTTGGTGTATTATAATACAAGGATAAGATAGTCAACTCATGACTCTGAGAGAGCATAAGCTCTATTAAATCATCAAAATATTTTAATACAAAGGGGTAGAGTTTGTAGAATATATTGTGAGTGGTGATTGTATACACTTCATCTTTGAAAACTTAGAGATTGATTGTGAACTGGCTGAGATTTAGAAATATTACAATTGACATTACACTTACATTTAAATCTCATATGAAGCAACCACAGCTTTAACAGTCAAGAGTAATTTTGATATTATAAATTCTTAGGTCGAAACTTACATTGAAAGTTGAGTGACTTGGACTGAAACTACATCTTTTGACAGGTCTGCCACACACTTCTAGAACAAATAATTACAACCTGAGCGATTTCAATTCTTGCCAGTCATATTGGTGGCTATACATATGTATGTAAGAGGAGCTGCTCATTTGGCAATCTTACTCTCTTAACTAATGGGGTACTGGCTTCTAGTCTGCAAGTTCATAATCATTTGATTGATGTGCGCCTTGAACAACACGAAGCTCTTATTCACATGTTATCTTATCAATGCAATATGATCTCTCAATGATGCCAAACTCCTTTTTGTAGGCAAACGGTTCTGATGGATCTCTGACCGCAGTCCCATGGCATGTGTGTTCTGATGATGCCCTGGGTGACCACGGAATGCAATCCCCCTAGCAAGACAAACCAACCCATGACGACGGTGCTTATGGGCTTATATCAGTAAACTTAACGGTCCGAAGTGTCGTCTCGAATACATTTTAACGCAACTCAAGACTTGGAGACATTTCGGCAGGGAACTTCGGCATACCGAGATTGTGGCAAAGGAGAAAACGTTCAAAATTAGCTCAGCGAATGAAAAAGCCCCCCCAAAGCCCACTCAAGAATTCAAATATCTCCAGCAACAGACGTCTTCCAATTTAACGCCTACCCTAGATGATTTTAAGGGGTCGACTCAGCCCGATGAATATCATTGAAGATGCCGAAAGGAGCTTCGTGGAAATCCCAAATCACTAAATATCCGCACCCGTGAGTCCGTTGATACGGATACAAGTTGGCGACACGCCCAGCCAAACAATTGGTTATAAGGCTTCGATGTTTCCAAACCGAAGACAACGCACATGAATATGGTTCCAATCAATGCTGTATATTGTGTTGTGATCATACCCAGTTTTCGTGTATTTGCTTCGGTTGTTCCTGTTAGAGGTTTTAATGGTTTCTTGATCTTTCCGCCCCAGTCACAGCGCAGGAATAGTAGGAAACCGCGGACTGCACTCACTGATATACTCTACCAGGGTGTTCACATATATTCTTGGGATACACCAAATACATCTACACCCTTTTCTAAAAGGAATATGGATAAATTCGTTGAGGTTATGAGGGCTATTACTGGTGTGCTAGTCATTGATATAATGCAGGCACTGCCAGTATTTTCCATTGTTGGAGGAACCTGCTCATTACTGTCAACACTGCAGAATAGCAAAATCAGATTGCGTAGCTGCCAAACTCCAGCGAGTGATGATAACAACACTTTGGATGTAGAATTTCCCTTCATGCTGGTGCCAGTTAATCCTGAGCACTGTCGTACAAAAATTTATGGACCTCTCATGCGCCGCCGAAAATCTGAATCCTACATCAACAAATATCCTGCAGCTCTCAGTCTGTTGCAATTTTTCTTCAGATTCTTCTTCACCTGTGCCATAAACATGGAATATGATTCTCTATGCTCCCTGCTTCAGTGTCATTGCTGAGGGCGGAATAATGGCTAACTGGCAAACGCGAAGCGGCCCTATATCCAAACTTCTTTTCCAGTCAGGACCAATTTCCAGGCTGCATATCTGTGACCTCTTACAACAATGGCAACTGCTTTGTTAGCAAGCAGTAGCTGACTATCAGAGCAGCTTGGCTGACGGTGGTTATAGAGCTTCTAACGACTTTTTTTTGACCATACTCGCGGGCGTTAAGAACTCGGTGAGAATGATGAGGGCTGGTCATCCACTGCAATAGGGGTTCATATAAGTGATTGCCACTTCAATCCCAAACAGCTCCTGTAAAGCTTCTGCTGATATGCATTTTTCAGTTTTCCAGCGAGCCCTGTTGTTAATTACCGAAAGGCAATTGGCGACCACAAGACAACAGCTGTTAAAAAGTTCCAGCATATACCAAAGCAGCTGGCCATGCTCGATGACCCGGAACCACTAGATCAATCTACTATACAAAAAGAAAAAAAAATAGAGAAAATTCGAGGCGCTACAGTACTACATGTAGATTCTAGAAGCAAGCTTCCAGATGACCCATCGCTTACAATAGCATCACGAGAGTATATTTGTCGACCCGGAGAACCGGCAGATCTTGAGAATAACTGACTGGCAATCGATCCAAATCGCGCCCCTGAGCGACCATTGTTTGGATGACTCTTAGGATACGAAGGTCTTGATGTCGGCGATAACCTTGAACGCGCAGAGATGCCAGCTGAGATTAAGGCTCTCGAAAGCGAAGAAAAAGCTGTTGCTCTAAAACACTCTATGGACGGAGCGCTGTGATTGCCTGGCGTAACCTCGTGCGCGACAGGAATTCGGCCCAATATAATGCTATCAATCTTCAACAGTCGGCAAGCGGTAATCTACCTCGTCTTTCCCGCCGGATATTTGAACAGGGCGAGGCTCATTTTTGTGCCTTTCTGCTGGATCTTCGGGCTGAGTGGGCAGATGCTGGCATTCCTCACTTCTCGCTGAAGTTCAGAACCATGAAGACGATTGAGCAGCGACTAGGAGTCTCTGGCCGGAGAAAGGCGTAGTGGAGCATGAGAACTACGATGAAGCGAAATCAACGCTTCGTGGGGTGAAGGCAGAATTCATCGCCGGGTACGGGCCTCATCTTGGCTGGGATACAGCAGTCTTCGAGCAACTCCGGCCATTTTGAAAAAGAAATTTTTCAGTGGTCATCCAAGACCTGCGGCGTTCTTATTTGGAAACGAAGCTATAGAGCACACTCGTATAGCACTCAACTAGCAGCGGTAGTATGCATAGTATACATATTCGTAGGACAGCGTGAGCGACAGCAGGTTCCACCCTTTTACGGTCAGTTTCTTGCGGTATTGTAGTGTGCTTTAGGGAAAATAGGATGTTCCATCACTCAACAAAGTCTGGTGAATCACATGATCTGGAAGGCCTGGGCATGACCACGTATTGACTACTGACTTCTACCTGCTGCGTCCAGTCTGCACGGGTGAATCTGCTTGCCTGGATAAATCCAAGTTGTCTTCTTACTCGTCGTCAGTCAAGCTAACTTTCGCTGGTTCATCAAGAGCTCTTAAGGCTAAGGCTGGAGTGTTTTCCGCGCTTCCGTCGTCGTTTTCAACGGTTGGCTCCAACCCATTAAATCACAAATCTACAACCATCCGGCACCTACAACCTTCCTCACCCCAACAACTACGACAACAACAACCTACTACCGCTAAACATACATACTTGTACCTCATCCAAACGCGCTGCCTTCGCCTTAAAACATCCTTCCTCCATAACATCCTTCTGTCGAAACCGTATACGCTGCGACACCCAATTCTATATAGCTATCTCACCCTCATCTTTCCCTCGCTTTCCTCAGTCGTCATACCTATCTCCATTCCCATCAACCAAGCAGCCTGTTATCATGAATCCCGAGTGGTACGTTGTTTTTACCGTAGATTCTATCTCCACCCTTTCATTGTCCGTCGTTATCTATTTCCTGCTCCAAACTTCCTTCCCTCTCCGCTTGCTTGGCTGCTGTGTGCAACGCAGGACTGGACCCGTGACGGTGAGGGACATAGCGATGGGTCACACATTTCGACAGTGAGATGCATGCGGACAGAGAGCGTGGCTCACATCACATCGGTATTCACCTTGGCTTCGGGTATCAGTGTCAACTCCTGCATTTGCTTTGGTTGAACTGTGTCTGTTGTTGGTCCGTTGCGATTTGCTTTTGCTCAGTTCAGCTCAGCTCAGGCCCGGCCAACAGTGTCCATCCCCCACTCTACCCATCTGCGATCTGACTCCTTTAGCCGTAATCCGTGGGAAACTAAAACTGAGAAGAAACATGGAAGGGGAGAACGCTGCTTTTTGCTAACTTTATCTGGTCTTGCAGAGTTGTTCCTTTTTTTTTATCTCGATCTCCCTCGTTTTTTAATTCCCGTTATCCATCAACGCGATTCATCACGGCTTTCTTGAACTCCCCAACATTCCCGGATAATATGTTGAGAAGGGTCCTGCTTGTGGCCTGGTCGCATTCGCTTTCCTTTGTCTAGCCGATATGGTGCAAGGTGGTGTGAGGCTGTAGGCAGTTGTCCTATTCGTTAGCAGAGTACCAGTCTTCCGGCGTCTGAGTCGTTGCTCCGGCATGATGGTCACGTCGGAGCCTCTGCATTCAATTCCGGTTGCGGTTATACTCTGTTACCCCATATTGCATATTTCCATCCTTCCAATCCAATCCTGCCCCGCCCTATCTCACATCATTCAATCAGCTCGAAAATCCGTCATCATGCTGGGTTGTAGGGATACAACATTTCAGCAAACCTCAAAATGAAGTCAATACTATTACTAAACAAACCAAATTTACAATAGATACGATTACCTCTTCAAGCTACTCCTCATCGGCGACTCCGGTGTGGGCAAATCATGCTTGCTTCTGCGATTTGCGGATGATACTTATACGGAGAGTTATATTTCGACCATTGGTGTGGATTTTGTGAGTGTCTTTTTTTATTCATTTTTGGTCCATGGGAGTCGTACTTAAACAAAGATAAACAAAAATGGTTAAAAGTGTCTTTACTTTTTTCCGGGATCTGGGTTATCTCATCCTCCATGTCTTTCGGGGACTTTGGAGATAGATGCGAGGCTTACGACGGCCCATCCTTGGATATTGGAATGGAAATAATTTGGTGAGGTGGCGACTTTATGCATAGTTGCTGATGGTTCATTTTTTTTTTCTCCCAACAGAAAATCCGAACAATCGAGCTTGATGGCAAGACAGTCAAACTTCAAATCGTATGCTTTAACAAATTCCCACTTCTCTATCTCCCCAGCTCTCCGTTCTCCCCCTCGTGATTCAAAATTGCACTAAACCAATCTCTTTTCCTCATTGCCTTTTTATAGTGGGATACCGCCGGCCAGGAACGCTTTCGAACCATCACCTCTTCCTACTACCGCGGCGCACATGGCATCTGTGTTGTCTACGATGTGACCGATATGGATTCCTTCAACAATGTTAAACAATGGCTGCAAGAGATCGACCGCTACGCGACTGAAGGTGTGAATAAGTTGCTTGTGGGCAATAAGAGCGATATGGAGGATAAAAAGGCGGTTGAGTATACCGTTGCTAAAGTGGGTTTTCTCGGAACTCTCTGAATTGCTTTACAAGGTATTTTGTATGAATGCTTGCTAACACATTTGCTACCTTTCTCCATTAATAAATAGGAATTCGCCGACAGTCTTGGAATCCCATTCCTCGAGACTTCTGCCAAGAGCGCGTCGAATGTCGAGCAAGCTTTCTTGACCATGGCTAGACAGATCAAGGAACGCATGGGCACGGCGACTGTCAACAACAAGCCTACTGTGCAGGTTGGGCAGGGGCAGGGCGTGCAATCTGGCTCTGCGGGCGGATGTTGCTAAAGCGTCTGTTCTAACCGGAGTTGGTGTTCGTACTGGGAATGGGAGGTGTGTGAGGGTGGCGGTATCTAGCGGTGATATCAGTCATGCGCTGATGGGATATATGGGATGAAATGATTGTGATATGCTATGAGATTCTATTTGTCTCTTTCCCCGCCTCCCCTGCATTGCCGTTTACAGATCACTGTCAAATTTCCCTGCCTGGCATAAAGCTGGAACTGGAGCTGGAAAACGCCTTGTCCACCATGGACCGAAGCGAACGAAAAGAAAATAGTGATATTTTCTGACTTTGTTGCCAATACATAAACCAAGGGATTCGGAAATGATTCTTTTTTAAACCGGGATTTGCGGGTTTTTTTGATTGTCATGTCGTCGAGCAAGCTGGCATTGGACCCCTTTTCCCTCACCGTTTCCACCTGCTGTTTGTTTATATTTCAGTCCTCCCCAACTGCGCTGTGCCAAAGATGTCCACTTCGCCCTCCCATTCCAGCTCGGATCCCATCACCTACGCGTCCGCTAACACCCTTTTGACCATTCAACTTCCCCGCCTCCCCTCACGAGATTAACGATGCACGCCATCCCCATAAAAATCTTCAAAGTTCCCATTTGCCCCAACCACATCCCCTACCGCTGCGCAAAGCCAATCCTCCTCTTCCCCGCGTCGAGAGGATTGGCAGGGTCTTTTGTCCCATTGGCTGCCTGTTCTTGCGTCTACTTAACTTCTTCCTGTTCTTGTTCTTGTTTTCTGCTGTTGTGTTTGTTTCCCTGCTTCGATCTTCATGTTAACTTCACCGAAATGCTTCTTTCCTCCCTCTTCTCCCTGAGATGTTGTTCTCTCATGTTCTCCTGTTACTGTTGCTGTTTTACTGTTGCTGTTTTACTGTTGCTGTTTAGGTCTTGCTCTTCTTTGAATTCCCTTCCCCCTTCCCCCTTCCCCTTCCTTTCTTTTTTTCCTTTGCCTCTTTCAAGTCCACTTTACATGACTTATTATTGTCGATGTTCGTTAGAATGCTTACTTTATTTTATACTATTCATTTTTCTTCATTTACTTATTCCTCTTTATTCCACTCTAATCTTACACCCGGTATCCTCGTGTCTTTATCCCAAGCACGGTGATGATCTTGTCACTCTACATTTTTGTTTGTATTTTTGGTATTCTAATTATCTGTGTCAAAGAGGAGTCTATCAATAATCATTTTTGACAAGTAACCTCATTTCTCCATCTCAATTGAATAGACCTGGTTTTAGTGATCCTAAGGATTCATTGTGATAAATTCTTTGAGAGAGCAACATCCTCTTTTTTCACTGATAACACAGGCCGAGGAAGTTAGATAGCGTATTGCAAATGTGAACACTTTCAATGATCTCAGGAATCTCCTGTGCTGTTGCTCCACTCTCCTACTTTTCTTCTTCAATATTTATAAAACCAAAATAACTTTGAATTTTTTCTCTTTTGCTTCTCTCTTCTGTACTAATTCTCAAACTCCCAGCAAGTGGAATTTGAATAAAATCAGACGAGGTCATGCATATGTATACCGCCGCTAACAGAGTGGAGGCGCATGAAGACAAGTATATCCAATAATACAAGGGTATCAGAATGTTGTCTTTTTATGCTCTTATTATCATGTGAAAAATGTGGATATCCCCCTGCAATTCTCCATGTCAGTTGGTGAATACTAGTACTCGCCCTATGCTTCCTCTACAATTGTAAACACTGAACAACCCGGGAAAGAGGAAATCACATGCGATTTCCGACATTTCCACAAGCGTAAGGAAGCTTGACTTGTGTATAGTTAGTTACAAGTAGCGGTCTGCCCTCCCTTGACATACAACTTCTGATAATACTCAAGGATGCTCTCAAGAAGACCGAGGACACGCACTGGCGCAGAACAAAAGGGAGGAGATTCGGGGCCGGGAGAACGTGCATTTATTGCTTTCCGCCATCCTTCCCGTCGTTTCATTAGTTTTGGGCGATTGAATGTTTCTCCCAGCCGCCACGCGCTCGTCTGAGGTTCCAGCAGTTATAAAGCGTTGAAGTAGTTATCTCAAGATGAAACTTGCTTGAAACAACCCGATCCATCCAGCCTGGCGTTTTGCATAAAAAGTTATATATCTACCAACTGGCAAAAAAGAGCTATGTGGAAGCAGAAGGGGAAAAACAGAAGAGGATGTGCTAGTACATGGACATACCTCACATAGATGATCTCGTTGCTGGAGTATATTTTATGTATCGTGGTTATTTATCTTGTCAGGGTTTCGATCTTTCAAGCCGAGGCACAAGCTCCAATCATCCGGCAAACCACAAGATGCATACATGCAACGGGCCAGAATATCGGACTGAAACACGGGCCGCTGATATCTTTAAATATTTATCCACATATCCGTCTTGTGTTTTTGAGTTCCGTATCGATATTTTCTTCCGCTCCCTAATTTCCTGTTTTATTAGCAGACTGCCTTCCCGTGCCAACGACACCGGGATACATTCTTCTCATATATTATCCCGCCCCGCCATCTGAACTCCTTGAAACTATATCGTGAACATGTCCCAACCGGTCCCGAGAGCAGAGCAAAAGGCGGTTGTAGCTGCCGCTGCAGCTCAACAAAGCGATAATATCGCTCATGCGCTCGCCGGCGCCGGAGGTGGCATTTTGTCCATGGTCTTAACGTGAGCCCTCTCTCTATCCATTATGCTAACCGACAATCCAAAGCGAAAAGCCTTACTTACATAAAATAAAACCCTGCAAAATAGCTACCCTCTCATTACCCTGTCCACCCGCGCCCAAGTAGAATCCAAGCGCGCGCAATCCTCCACCCTCGATGCCATCCGCCACATAATCGCACGCGAGGGGTTCCGGGGTCTATATGCCGGTCTCGAATCCGCCCTCTTCGGCATCTCCGTCACCAACTTCGTCTACTACTACTGGTACGAGTGGACGCGCTCCGCCTTCGAGAAGGCGGCCGTCAAAGCCGGCCGGGCGTCCAAGAAGCTCACCACGGCCGAAGCGATGATTGCCGGCGCCATTGCAGGGAGTGCGACGGTGTTGCTCACCAATCCGATCTGGGTGGTGAATACGCGGATGACGGCGGGGAAGTCCGGGGACGAAAAGGATGGGCTTCCAGGGGGGGTTGGGGATGGGAAGTCGAGGTCGAGGTCGAAATCGACGCTGGCGACGCTGATGGAGCTCCTGCGCAAGGAAGGGCCAGCGGCGCTATTCGCGGGCGTCCTCCCTGCGCTTATCCTGGTGATCAACCCGATCCTGCAATATACGTTCTTCGAGCAGTTGAAGAATGTCCTCGAGCGGCGGAGGCGGCGGATCACGCCCACCGATGCGTTCTACCTAGGCGCCCTAGGCAAGTTGCTTGCGACGACCATTACGTATCCGTATATCACGGTGAAGAGCCGGATGCATGTTGCAGGGAAGGAGGAGAAGGAGGGCCAGAAGGCTAGTTTGAATGAGAGTATGATGCGTATCGTGAGGGAGGAAGGGTGGAGTGGGCTGTATAATGGTATGGCTTCTCTGGGCTTTTCTGCTTTCAGTCCCAAGTTACCATTATTACCTCGTCGTTTATATTTTTGAATTATTTTCCCCTGATGATACTAACAATTGCGGGGGTTTCTTAGGCATTGGACCCAAAGTCAGTCAGAGCGTTCTCACCGCCGCGTTCCTATTCGCTTTCAAGGATGTTCTATATGATAGCATGGTCTCCCTTCGCCGACGGAGCTTGCGGAAATGATGCCAATGGACGGATATTGCATTTCCGGCGTAGAATAATCTATACATTTCATAACAAAGAAGCGTTTTTTTCCTCTTTTTTCTTTTTATTTTTTGTGATAACACCGGCGCTTCGTTTCCCCTCTTTTCTTTTCTTCTTTTGCATCTTCCATTCCCACCTGTTATACAAAATCAATCTACTTTTTTTTTTGGCAAGCCTATTGGCTGTTTCTAGGATGGAATATTTATATGGGAAGTTGGGTTGGCTGTTTCTTTTTACCTGCCATAATTTTTTTGGTTTTCTCTTTTTGTCGTCTTCTGTTTCATGTATACACAGACTAGGACATATGAACCATACGGGGAAAGAAATGAACATTGGTTTGAAAGGCAAAGTTGACCGTGGTTCCTAATCGGGTCTACTTCTCGCGAACCCTGGCACCACAATTCACTTATTCTCGCCCCCTCTAGCCCGAGTCACTTAATGCGACCCAGAATGGCCCAGGGACCCTTCCAATTCGAGTGAACAGCACCAGGAGCTTTCACGTGACCGTTTTAAACGCCATCTTCGGCAGCTAAGTGTCTCCTAGATCGCTCTTTGTTTTGGCCGTCGCGTGCAGCCTGATGTTGTCGGATGGGCTTGCGGTGATCAAGAGGTAGGTAGTTTTCGTCAGGGATGCATTCCTCTGTTCTCCTCTGGTATTCTTCTTCTTCCTGCGTTTGACGCATTTGGACTTTGCGGAGGGGGATACGTGAATGTTGCGCTTGCATGCCACTGCTGTATCCACGCGTTAATGGATGTTTGCTAACGGCTGTTTTGGGGACTTGGATAGGCTCATTTCATCTCCCCTCTTGCGATAGCCGAGTCTCCTGCTCATAACCAGCCGCTATAGTTGCTTGATTTGTTTTCCAAGCGCTTTGCATTATCGACATCCTAGCAAGATCGTGTGTGATATTGCCACGGATTTTGCAAGCATAGGCGCTACGCACAGAGAATTGTCGTATTATTATCCGCCCAGACGAAGCATTGTACATATCTGGGGTCTATCTATCATTTTGTCCCCAGGGCGCAGTTGTATTGGACGGTTCGCGAGTCTGGATTACAAGCCACGTGCCAACCTCAGGGCTAATGTCTATATCATTTTACAATTTGCGCTCGCTATTACGATGTCAATAGCTTCTTACCAAGACAAAACAAAACCCTTCGTTTCATATTCTGTTGAACACGTCTTAAAGTGTCTCTCCTCTTCAATCGGACCTTGATTTGGTTACGATGACGTACTTTGCTCCTTATCCCATTCCTTCATCAGCAGCCTGAAATTGCCAAGGAAGATGTCGCAACATGCCACCCCGGCGGACGGGGAGAAGTCCGTGGTAGGTATCCCAATTACTTTTTTTTACACTCCAAACTTCCGCCCGGTCAGAGCGCTAATGCATATGTATTATATTGTTGCTCAGGGCCCCATGAAAGCTCGACGGGGAGGTATTAACTTAGGGGGGAGGCAGAAGCTGTCCCGAAGTGAACTGCTCCGTCATCCCGGGACCATACGTTTCGCACCGTACTCCGCCCATCACCGAAAAGTGCCTTCTATGGATACCTTTAATACCACTATACAACAAACATTGGAAGCTCCAGGTATGTGGAACGGCGTCTCAACAAATCAGCCGAATGCGGATGCTCAATCAGAGCCTTTGAGGAATTTCTCTCCGGAGCCGGATTTGGATGGTAAATTACTAGATGAAAAGGCGCAGTCGCTACTCGATCAGTTTCTTTGTACTAGCTCAACAAGATCTTTGAACAAGGTTGATTCTGGGATAGGCCCGGAGCAAAGTTGTGTACACGTACAGCCATCTAATGGCTTGAAGCGGACTGCTGATGGACAATTTAAGAATTCTTTTCTCGGGGAAGATATTCTTTCTCAAGGAAATGAATCCTGTGGCTCGAGAAGCGATTCGTCACTATTTCAAATTGCTCATTCAGGTTCAGATAAACGGCTTCCAGAGAGACCCCACAATCATCAAACTTCCAGTATGGTGAAGAATACCGTGATAACAACAACCACAACACCTGCATCAAGAACATCAAGCACCCATTTTCATTCACAAGGGGGAAGTACTTCTCAGGATTCAACATCAATTTCACAAAATGATGTACAAAATCTCAAAGATAAACATAACACAATTGACCACTCCACCATTTCACATTCCTCTAACCCCCCTGGCATTTCCAATTCTCAAAATTACCCAACTGGCATAGCGACTACGTTCCCTTCTTCTGTCAATTCCTCACCTGTTGTTGTTCTCCCGCCTCCTTCCATCAGGGAGTTTGCTAAACCTGAAGTACCAGCAAGTTCGACTTTAGTATCTACGAAACATCGAGAGAAGTCGCCAAAGAAAAAACCCAGTCCAAAGCTGAAAACAAAAGCCCCTACGATGTCTCAGTCTGACTCTGGTTCAAGTTATGTCCCATCGGATGCAGCCAATTCTACTCATGAACGACGCACTAGGCGAAATCGTAGCGGCCCCACAAATTACTATGCCAAAGTTCGGGGGTTCCCCGGCTACGAGTCAGACGAGGATGAAGAGGAGATTGAAGAACAGGCGAACCCCGATGATTTCAGCACCCCACGGGATGACGCCACCCACCAAACTACACATGAACTGCTCAACCCAGTTCCTGAACCTACCGTTCCATTGATTCGCTCAATATATTGCTCTGGTTATCTTCAGGTTCTACAGGAACCTTTGCCTGCCCCAGTTGATGAACTATTCGAGGAATATGCGCCGTACTCTTCGCAACATGATAGAACTGGGTTTGGAGAGAGGTGCGCGAGTGAGAATCTTGAAAAGGATGACCCCGAGGGACGAGTGATACATGCAGACTTTGATCAAAGCGAAATGGAGGCGTTATTCCACGTTATGACGAGGAACCTTTCAACCGAATCAGATATGGCTTTGCCAGATCTGCTAATACAAACCACTCGGAAATTTTATCCTCACCGCGACCAACAAAAAGTCCTTGCGCAGAAAATTTCATACCTAAACGCTCTTCGCAAGTGCTTACTCAAGATCACAAATGACCCAGTCTCATTCCTGCTCCATCACCGTAACGAACGAAGTTCTTGGAGGGAAGGCGATAACAAAACTCCGCAGCGTGGGACAATACGGCAAATTTTATTCTATCTTCATATAGTCCTCGGTTTACCGCCGCCACCAAACCGTGTCTATCATGTTCACGATATCCTACAGAGTTTACGTCAAATTAATAAGGACGACTTTCAATATTTACTCTCGGTCATAAACTGTTTCAAACACCGCAGGAGACGGCATGTCTGTGCCCTTCTTTCTGACGCTGCAGATGGGCTGCTTTCCTCCGCGCCATATCTTTTACGAGCGATCTCATCCCATGCGTTTTACTCATCCCCCGACTTCGAGTGTATGAAACCTTCCGCCTTACTCCGGGAACGTGAATTGGGTCAAAAGGCGTATCGGCGAAAGACCCCTATTTACCATAACATCCAATCGAGTAAAAGCTTGGAACTCTGGAAGGAATGGAAAGGCGCATCGAATGATGTAATGGTCCTCGCTTGGTCCTCGGACGGAACCCGATTTGCTGCTGGTGCCGCTGCCCAGTCTGATGAACATAATATGATTTACAATCGGAACAATAATCTTCTTCTCGGGGACCTAACTTGCAATTCCCTGAAAGAGTTGCCCGATCACCGTGTCCGTCGACCTATACCAAACAACGTCGCGGATCCCAACCTGTATATGACTGTCAGTGCGGTCAGTTGGCGCGGGGAGACTCTTTATACCGCTAGTTACGATAACACAGTTAAGATATGGGACGTCTCTACACACACTGGTGCTAAATGTGTTAATACCCTTCCACACCGTGGAAGGGTGATGGTCATGGCTGTATCTAATTCCGGACCCATTGCAACAGGGTGTGACTCCGCTCCTCATATCAAACTCTGGACAAAGACAAGTGGCCATGGCTATATACCGGACGTTCTAATCTGCAATCCAACGAGAAATGTTCCAATGATACCTTCTTCTCTAGCTTGGGGCACACAGTCTGCGGATAATATTCTTGTAGCTGGTCTCGCTGCTCGCGAGGATGAAAAGTTTCGAAACGGTCATCTTGCTGTCTGGCAGATGGGAGAATCGACTGTCTCTCCCCTGGTAGTGTCGCCTAATTCCCAGAACGTGTTCGATGTGACATGGCATCCGACGGCTCGTATATTTGCAACTGGCAGCACTGTCGAGTCCTCACCTATTGCCGTGGGTCGCGCGAAAACAATTCGCTCTCTTGTCCGTGTCTATGACCCTTTTAGACCAAAGGCCACTTGGGGAGCTCACATTACTTATGAATGCCCAGCTCTGGATATCAATGACGTCACATTTTGCCCTGCCGATAGCAATTACATTACCGCTAGCTGCACGGATGGGGTTACATACGTGTGGGATTACCGTAGCCCCGGCCGGATCCTTCACAGACTTGCCCATGGCGCACCCATTTCCGAACTGGATTCAAATGTTTCTCGAGAACAACATGATACCGGAGTGCGATTAGCCCTGTGGAAAAATAATTGGGTTGACCAGTTTTACACCGGAGGGTCAGACGGAGTCCTCAAAAAATGGAATATCCTCAGAGCGCCGGAAGATGTCCTTGTTGAAAATACCGCATACTTTGACCAGGGAATCATGTCTGGTGCATTCTCCCCTGACTTCACTAATCTGCTCATTGGGGATAGCTGTGGCAGTATCCATGTTCTATCTAACGCCCCATTTTCTCACGGAGATATCAACATGGCTTACGAACCTGCTAGCAAGGAGAGAAATTTGGAGGATGATGGTGATGACAAATTAGGCATCAAAACCGCCAAAGAGCTCTTATCATCTGGAAAACTACGCCGTCATCCTGTATTCGGCGTTGGCCAGGGTCCGCGCTATGACGGCCCATACGCTTCATGGGCAAGACAAGAGGGAACTCCGAGAGAAGCGCTCGCACGTACACCCTTGCTGCCGGAAATCCAAGCCACGCAGCTGGACGGCTCGCTTAGTTTACGACATCAGCTTGAGAGGGAAGATAAAAAGCAGCTGGACTTGCGAATACAGGGAGCAATTGCTCAAAATCAGCAGCGCGGGAGAAATAAGCGGAAGGGGAGTCATGATATGAGCCAACCTTCCATTGTTTCGTCTTCCACCTCCTCCCTTTCCTCTCCCTTCTCCCCTTCGTCCCTCCCGTCGCGGGTCTCCTCATTCTCCCCCTCCATCTTTGTTTCTCACAACCATTCCGAAATGGCTCATCAGTACATCATCAGCCTTCTTTCATCAGATGACGAGTCTGAATCTTCTTCTGCCCGGCCTTCTTCCTCGGCTCAGATCAAGTCTGAGTTCTCGTTTCCAGCGACGTTGGATTCGCCCGCTTGTATTGATCTTACAGGGGACTCAGAGGATGAAGCACAGTTCCTGCCGCCGCCGCCGCAGCAGCAGCAGCAGGACGAACAGGCTGGAGTTCTAAGTTCGATTGATGAGAACGTTGACTGGCCTAGCGACCAATCGGAGGACGATTACTGGTGGCCGCGCAATTGTGATATTGATCCTAATCTTCGGGGGGACGGGGCTTGAAGAGGAATGCAAGAATCGTTGGTGCACTTGCGTATATATTATCGGCTCTATTCATTGAAATTTAGAGAGTAGCATACTTTCCTTGTTATCTTCTCTTGCCATGAAGTTCATTTAATCAAATATTGATATTTTCCATATATCTAGTTCTTCGTTTTGCATTTATATATAACCTACGTTTTGGTTTGCATGACTCTTTTTGTTCTTACGGATAACACGTTTTTTTCTATACTACATTGAGAGGAAAATTGACCGGGGAGGATCCTGATCATACAAGTCCGTAATCCTCAAATCATATCCGCTCTCCGCCAACCTCCCCCCCTTTCCTCCAATACAAGCGGAACCATCACAAACGGTGAACCGGCCATGCTCGCCAACCCTTTCCAACACTCCGCACTCATTCAAGATGAGGAACGCCATCTCCAAGGCCAGAACCTCCCCTCCCGTAAGAGCGGGTTCGAAGCTTCTCGAGGTTGACTCGCGGCACTTTCCACCCACATACTTCACTCACTCACTCCCGCCCTCCCTAACTCCATTTTTACGCCAGAGGACGAGGAAGAATTCCAGGCTATGAAGCGGAAAGCCAGCGGAAAAAGCAAGCAACACAACACCGGCCATTGTCTTCCTCTTTCTCTATCCTGAAGCAAGAATAAGCTCGTTGGCTGTGCCAGAGGGATGCTGTCGTCAATTGACAGCCAAGTTTTGAAAGGAACTAGAAAGTTAAAAAGCCAAAAAACAAAGGGGTGGGGGAAAAAAGAAGAGAAAAAACTTTGTGTTTTCCTCAACTCTTCTTCTCTTTTTTCTCTTTTATAACTGCAATCTCGAGCCCGCGTCTCTTTCTCTGAGAGATTATTTCTCTTTTTTTCTTCTCTCTTTGCTTCGGTTTATAAACAAACGGGTGCAAGCGTAAGTGGTAGTTGCTACACATGATACACACACATACGCAGCATAAAAAAAAGTAAAATAGCAGAGGGGAGATGTAAGGCGTATAGCCAGTCAGATGGGCGCAGAGCTGAGAGCGAAAAAAAAAAAATACCGAAGCAAAACATGCGTATCCAAAGAAAGGGAGTGGAATGGGGATTTCCAAATGCAATAGGAGAATAGGTTGCCTCTCAACCTCATAAGAGAATATAACAATAAAACATACGGAAGAAGAGAAGAAAGGAAAAAAGAAGATTGCGTTGATATGTACTCCGCAGTCATGTTGATGTCGATGACGATGAAGATGACAGAAGAAATTGGCTGGTCTCTACTTCATCTCTTTTTCTTTTGCTTCCGTTCTTGTTTTCTAATCTACATACAACACACACCGACACACACACACAGTAGAAAAAGGGAAAGGGGTTGGGGGCACAAGAGACAAAAAAAATACCAAAAGCTAGAGGAGCAGGAGCATGGAGGAAAATGAGGAAACAAGTTTTTAAAATATTATATCACATGACAATTACACAAAACTCTATGACTTCTGAAGTTCAGCCAGGATCTTCTCTCCCTTCGCTCGCGCGGACTCGAAGTCACCAACCATATAGAAGGCAGCTGTAAAAGAAAAAAAGTATGTTGTTAGCAAAAATATCATTTTTCAGATAAACCAAATGGAAAGTAAAGGAAATAAATAATTTATTTCAAGGGGCAAGAAAAAAACATACCCTCAGGAAGGTCATCACCCTCTCCATTGATGATAGCCTTGAACGAACGAATAGTATCCTTCAGATCGACAAGCTTGCCCTCGATACCCGTGAACACCTGCGCGACAGTGAACGGCTGCGAGAGGAACCTCTGCAGCTTTCGCGCACGCTCGACAGTCAGCTTGTCAGCTTCGGACAACTCGTCCATACCAAGAATGGCAATGATGTCCTGCAGCGACTTGTACTCCTGCAACATCTGTTGCACGCGCGTGGCAACGTTGTAGTGCTCCTCACCAACGATACGCGGGTCCAACATGCGGGACTTGGAGTCAAGAGGGTCGACGGCAGGGTAGATACCCAGTTCGGAAATTCCACGGGACAAGACGGTGGTGGCGTCAAGATGGGCGAAGGTGGTGGCAGGCGCGGGGTCAGTCAAGTCGTCTGCGGGCACGTAAACGGCTTGCACAGAGGTGATGGAGCCCTTGGTGGTAGTGGTGATACGTTCCTGCATACCACCCATGTCCACGGCGAGGGTGGGTTGGTAACCGACGGCGGAGGGAATACGGCCGAGCAGGGCAGACACTTCGGAACCGGCCTGAGTGAAGCGGAAAATGTTGTCGATGAAGAGAAGCACTAAATCCGAGCGTGAGTGAAGCTCTGTGTTGATTTGCTACGGTGTATACTTATACATACCGTCTTGGCCTTCCTCGTCACGGAAGTACTCGGCAACGGTCAGACCAGTGAGGGCAACACGGGCACGGGCTCCGGGAGGCTCGTTCATCTGACCGAAAACGAGGGCGACCTTGGACTCTCCATCGAGCTGGATAACACGGGTTTCCTGCATTTCGTGGTACAAGTCATTTCCTTCACGGGTCCGCTCGCCGACACCAGTGAACACGGAGTAACCACCGTGGGCTTTGGCAATGTTGTTCTATTCGAATTATTAGAAAAAATGACCACTCCCAAAAAATTTGTTTCTTTCTCCATTGATCGTGTGTGGGGCGGAGGAACGTACGATCAATTCTTGAATGAAGACAGTTTTTCCGACACCGGCACCTCCGAAGAGACCAATCTTTCCACCACGAGCGTAAGGAGCGAGGAGGTCGACGACCTTGATACCAGTGACAAGGACCTCAGCGGAGGTGGCCTGTTCGACGTACTCTGGGGCTTCAGCGTGGATTGGGGCCTTCTTGGTGTGCTTGATGGGCCCTCGCTCATCAATGGGGTCACCAGTGACGTTCATGATACGGCCAAGGGTGCCCGGGCCGACGGGAATCATAATGGGGGCACCAGTGTCGGTAACAGCAGCACCACGGACGAGACCCTCGGTACCTGAATCCACGAGTGAGATCGCTGTACTGTTTTTGACACGGGGGTCAAAGGCTGAAGGGAGAACCTACCGTCCATAGCAATTGTTCGGACAACATTTTCTCCCAAATGTTGCTGTACCGTGTTATCAGCAATGAACAATTGACAAGCTAAGGGAGAAAAAAAAAACAAGGCAAGAAAAAGATGCAAGGAGGGAGGAAAAACACATACCGCAACCTCAAGGACAAGTTTCTGACCACCATTGGTAGTCTCCAAGGCATTGAGAATGGAGGGAAGTTGGTCACCATCAAATTTTACTGCAATCGATCGCAACAATTCGTCAGCAGCTTCTCTGAAACGATCGAACCATCACCGTCGTAATCAGGCAAATACACAAGCCAGAAGCCATTGACCTCCATAGACGATGCGACACATCATTCCTGAGATGTGAAATGGCGTTGCAGGGCCCATTGGAGGTAGATTTAAGTTATGGACGTGATAAAAAGAAAGAGAACGTGTCTGCTTTCCACAAAAAAACAGCAGCAATCAACAAATCAACAGACAAAAAACATACCGTCGACAACGGCACCAATGACCTGATGGATCTTGCCAGACTGAGCGGTGCTAGTGGAGGCATATCTCGCGGCCAGAGCGCGCAGGGCCGTGTTCTTGAAGGGCTGTGCGAGTCTGGAGGTTGGGAGGGAGGTGGAAGGCCGCGCGAAGGCAGCAGATCTGGCGAAGGTCCGGGCAACACCGCTGTGGGCAATTGGTTAGCAGGGGCCAATTGAGCAGAGACAGGCGAGGGCATTGGGGCTGGGCTACCTCTTGAACATGATGGGCGTGGATGGTGGAGGAGTGGAGGAGTGGAGGAGTCGGGAGAATGGCAGCGAGAAGGGCGAGGAAGAAGAGTTGAGGTTGGCGAAGTGCGAGACGAAGATTCTGAAAAGGGCAAGGCGCCAAGGCCACGCATCGGGTTAGCGCGGGTGGGCTCGGGGGCGGCGTATGCGTATTGACAGGTATTGTTACCGCAGTTACGAGCATTGCCCGCCGCGGGTTGACAGCCAGGGATGCTGTACGGGGGTGTAAGGTGACATTAAATTACAGCACCATACGCACCGTCCATCCCGAACCCAGCAAAGATTACATATCTTACCACGAAAACAGCTCTGACCTCAAGTATGTAACTACAGGATCGTTATAACTTATTAGAACAATTTCCATAACTGACTAATCTGACAATTAACTATTCGAACCAGTCCCTCTAGCCATTGTTGCATCGCATGGAGAACGCATACAACTACATTATCCCCCGGTCTCCTCCTCGGGCGCCAGCACCTATCCTCATGTCAGCATTAGCATGGAAAGACTTGCACCTTGGAAAAGACAACGGGGGTTAAACCTACCAGCGCCGTCCTCGTTGGCACGTATACCATCAAACTGTCCTCCCTCCCATCCCACCCTTCCCCTCTCGTAAAGAACCTCGTCCCCGCCTCAACCCTTCCGAAGCCCCCAAAGCCCTCCGCATCCGTATCCAGCACAATCCTGTACGTTCTCCCCTTCCCCCCCACCCCAATCATATAGTCCGCCCAGCTCCTCGTGGCATGGAAATTAAACACCCACACAAGTCCCGCCCGCTCAAACACGATCACCTTGTTCTCCTCGTGCTTCTGGCTCACAAATGCCTGCGGCGCATGCAGCCAGCCATATTTCTCCTCGGCAACCTGCATCGCCCGGTCGAAGTCGTTCAGGAACTTGTAGCGCAGCAGCGGGTCCTCGGTGAGGTTGAACTGCCGCCGCGCGTACCAGTAGCTGTTGTTGTTGCCCGCGCGCGGAAAGTCGAGCCACTCGGGGTGTCCGAATTCGTTGCCCTCGAAGCTCAGGTACCCTTCGCCGCCCAGGCCGTGGGTGAGCAGCCGGATCATCTTGTGCAGGCTGAGGCCACGCGCGATGACCGGGGTTAGTTCGGTTAGGACGGACATGTGCGTATACAGCTCCTTGTCGCAGAGCCACATCATCAGCGATTTGTCGCCGACGAGGCTATAACTCATTCAATTTGTCAGGATTGGTTGGGGTTTCCTTTGGAAATAATATTGCTCTTTTGTCTTCTTCCTTGGGCGGGATGTTTGGATGGGGGAGGGGACAGGGACGCACGCTTGGTCATGGCTCTCGGCGTAGGCGATTGTCTTCTCGCCATACCGTCGGTTGGTGAGAGTAAAGGTGAGATGGCCCATGTTCCATTCCTCGTCCTTTTGTTCCTTAAGCAGCTTGATATACATATCCGGAATCGCCATGGCGAGGCGATAATCAAAGCCTTGCCCGCCAAGGGTAAGCGGTAGGCAGAGCGCTGGCATTCCGGAAACATCCTCCGCGACTGTGATGCAGTTTGGGTAGATCTGATGGAGCATTTCGTTGGCGAGCATAAGGTAGGTGATGCCGTCTTCGTCAACACTGGGGCCGAAGTATTCGTGATACCCACCGGAGAATCCGCTGCAAAAAGAACCGTGAGCACCACAAACAATTAACACAATAGGAAACAGAAAAGCTACAATAACGTACGTCCCAATTCCATGATGCATATACAACATACTCGTAACCCCATCGAACCTAAACCCGTCAAACTGATACTCCTCCATCCAGAACCGCAAGTTACTCAACAAGAACCTCAACACTTCATGATTCCCGTAATTAAACAACCGGCTATCCCACAACTCATGCTGCCCCTTGGGACCCGCGTGGAAATACAGATTATCCGTCCCGTCAAACATATTCAGCCCGTCCAACACATTCTTGGATGCATGGCTATGCACCACATCCAACAACACCACCAGCCCCAGGCCATGTGCGGTGTCGATGAGCTCCTTCAGCTCCTCTGGCGTGCCGTAGCGGCTGCTGGCTGCAAAGAAATTGTTGACCTGATATCCAAAACTGGCGTAGTATGCATGTTCCATGATAGCCATGAGCTGGATGGCATTGTATCCCAAGCCGTGGATGCGCGGGAGCATGTTCTTTGTAAACTCCTTATAGGTAGCCACGCGGGTCTCGGGGGAGGAGATGCCGACGTGGGCCTCGTAGATGCGCAGGCTGGCAGGTTTCGGCGGGTGCGGGTGTTTGAAGGCGTAGCGGTCCTGCGCGGGTGGGTTCCAGAATATGGCGTGGAATTCAGGAGAGACGGAAAGGTTTTGCGTGACCCGTTTGATCCAGGCTGGGAAGCGGTCGAGTTGCTCGCTGGATGGGGTAGTCATGGTTATCTGTTCAATATTTTTAATAGGTTCGAAAGCGTTTATTTAGTTCTTCTCTGCACGGAATCCATCCATTCGAGGATGGCTGGGCGGAAGGGAATCAGAGCAACGCACCTTGACCTTGCTGTTATGCGGAATGATGGGAATCCCGTCCTTCGCAGGCACTGTTACCTCCCAAACTCCAAAGTCATTCTTCTTCATGGGCGTCGCCTTGCGATCCCAATTATCTGGAAAAAGTCGCAATCACCCATCCATTAGCTGTTTACCATTATGTAGCCCACCAGAAAACAAACTCCGTAACCCCGCCCTTCCGTCCTCCACTCCCCAGAACTCCTTCCAGTGTGAAATTCCCACTCACTGAAATCCCCAATGAGATGTGCATCCACGACATTAGGCGCCCATTCCCGGTAAACAATATCTCCATTATCCCTAACATTGAAACCGAATTTCTCATAACCCTGCAAATATGTAGAGCCAGCAATTAACACAATCTGGACTGTAGCGAGGGGGGGGAATGCCAGGGACACCGTGTGGCTGAAGATAGAAAACGCACCCGACTGAAAACTTCCAATCCGCCCTCCGTCTCATTGATTGTCTGGATCCATTGATTCGTATGGCTGAATCTGCTCCGCAGCGCATCTTTGAACGGCTCCAGCCACGGATCTAGCTTGACGACTCCTACATGTTTATCATTCCACGGGCCCCGCATCAGCTATGAGACAAGGATAGAACGCATCCAGCCAACGAAGTCAAGCAATGAGAGGTGCTGCAGGTAGAGCAGCAAAGAAAGAATTGAGTACACTGACCAGTACCATCAGGGGTTGTCTCTCTGGCCACTGCGGCCGCGACGACATCGTCGAGTCCTTGCCCTGCAGCCATCTGGCGGGGAGTATCGCAATATTAATATTAAACTTTCCGCGGGGTTCCAAAAGCCCGGTGCCGTAAGCTCGAGGAAAAGTTCAGTCGCAAATAACTAGTTAGTTAATTAATTAAGATTGGGTTAAGCAGATTGATTCCGCGCGGGTTGGAAGCCAGCGAGGATGGGACTCATAATCGAGATATTTTCCATCTTGTTTTTTTGCGTGCTGGAGATGAATTTATTCCAGGTTTGTCGGCTTTCGCAAGGATGTCTGTTCCAGAGCGTCATCGCCCCCGCGATCAATAGGCCCGGTTAAGTTTGTGCAAAAGGCCAAGAGTGTGTTTGCTGAACGGACGAATTGAGTATATGAGCTGTATAGTTAAGTCTTCATACCGAGTTGTATATTCATCAATAATGATCAATTATCATGTAGTTACTCTAGTATCCATCAATCTATCCTACAGAAATTGTGGAGAAATAGCACAATTTATAATTTTTTAGCTTTAAATTTCTAGAGAAGGTAGAGACACACATATTATCATAGATTCTGCAAAGAATGTGCGGTTAGTTGGAAGATAGAGGGAAGATTAGTTCGTGCCATATCAGAGTTCGCCATCGGTAGTAAATACTTCTGTGGAACATCCCCATGAGCCGTAAACAACATCATCCTCACGATCCCGCGAGCTCTGTCACAAAAGGTCCAATATCTACCCCCATCTCAGCTACTATTTCCAGCCTTCTTTGACTTTGCTTTTAAGTAAGCCAAAAGTGTCGACACAGATCAAGCCCCAGAAACGGAGGGAAAGTGAGCCGAACGTGTTGGCAGGGATAGCCGAGTCTTCCTCCAAGAAGGTTAAGCCAGTAGGTGATTCTATCCATCACCATCATCACCATCATTTAATCTGCCATTGTGCTATTGCTTGATATTAAGAATCCTCAGAAAACAGTACCCGCCTCCTCAATTCACCTCCCAATGTTGCGATCTCGCCTGAGGCAGGCATGTCCATCATAGCCGCCACAAAGACTTTGCTAAGCTGACACTAGCCGGGAACTGTTGGGGGGTTTGGATTGGTTCGTCCCCTCTACTACCAGCATGGCGCCGGTAACCTAGAGGCGCTTGCTGCCCACAAGCAGGCGCTCAATGCAGAGACTGCCGTTGGATTTCCGCACCCATTTAAACCAACTTGTAGCTGGAATTTTCGACTACGTCTTCGACTATGATCATCGAGGCAAAGTGGGACCGTTCATCTAGGTTACTGGGGCAAAAGAGCTCAGTTACCACCAGCGCCAACCGGTAGCAGAGGGGATGAGCCGCCCGATCCAATCTCTCCAACAGTCCACTCAATGGAACTGGCAGTTGTCTATATGGGCATGCACCTTAGACTTTTCTTCCTCATTAAGCTTTGTAACATGGGGACCCCCACTGATAAACCATGGCTGGCATTCTGCAGGACCGTATGGAACTATCCCACCCGAAGCGAATCGTGCAGAGTGTTGAGAGGATAGTACCGGATTACCGGATGGGTTTGAATGGTGGTTTGTGCTTTAACGGCAAGCAACTATTTACTTCTGGCTTCCGTGATATACGCAAAGGCGGCTTCGCCGCTGCCAATTATGACGACCGCCTTTGTCTGTGTGGTCGAGGTGCTCAGGCCGGAATTGAGGAAACTTGGACGTGGGACTCAAGTTTGGATGTGATTTCTTCCCGACAGCACCTTTGTGAAACTCTGTGTGAGGTGCTGTTGGAGCTTCTGAGCTGGTCAATCACGGTTTTAAAATTTTATTGCTCTTATCTATAACTACTTATTATATATACAAGACATATTTCATACTGGTTCGCTACTGTTTCACTTCAGCTTTGCTTCTGCATCACTTACAGCTTTCAATTCCTTTGAGCACACACCCCTCGCCCTCTCTTGCAACCATGTTGGGAACGCTCTCAGCAAACTAACCCCAGACCGCGACGACGGAACAATAACCTGCCCGCTCCGCTGCGACAAGACCTGCTTCACGACCGCGCTGGAGACCACGTCAACCGTCATCACAGGCATACTGAACACCGACCCGGGCCTCGTCAGCTGCTCGATCATCGGCGTGCTCACCCACAGCGGATGCACGATGCTCGTGCGCACCTTCTTCGCGTTATACCACAGCCGCAACTCCTGCGTCAGCGCCTCATGGAACGCCAGCGCACTCGCCTTCGAGCCGCAGTAGTCCGCCATCTCGCCCACCGCGATGAACGACGCCATGCTGGCCATCGTCACGACGTGGCCGTGGTTCTCGCGGATCATGGCCGGCAGGAACTCACGCACCATCCAGAAGTGCGAGATGGTGTTGACCTGGAAGGTGCGCTGGATGCGCTCCTCGGGCTCGTCGAGGATGGTGGCCCCATAGCCCACGCCGGCGTTGTTGATCAGCACGGTCGGGTCGCCGTGCGCGGCGCGGATGGCGTCACCGACAACTTTGATGATGGCGGTCGAGGTGACGTCAGCTGCGTAGAAGAACACGTTGGGAGCTGCGTTTGCGTGTAATGTCAGGACATATCTTTACTTTATATTCCATTTTATCTACTTCAAATTCGGAGAGATATGGGGGGATGGCATACGCAGCTTAAAGCTCGGCTCAACCACGTCTAAAATGACAACTCTAACCCCCTTCTGTGCGAGGTCAAGCATAATCTGTTTTCCAATGCCGCTGCACCCGCCTGTCAGGAGCACGAGTTCGCGCTTGTTGTCCCATGGCCGCTGTCTTTGCCAATTGTTCACAACCAGGCTTGAAAGGGTGCGGTTGGCGGAGCGGAGGATACTGAGCACGAGCACAGCGAGAAGGGCCTTTGTGAGGAGCGAGGAGTTGATATAGGAGAGGAGTGGGTCAAGACTATTACCGAGATAGTGGTGGAGTAGGTCGTGGGATTTTAGCAGGGCAGACATGATAATTTTTTTTCCCTTTCTTTCTCTATTTATGTAATATCGCTATCTCCATATGTTCATTTTTGTTCTTGATAGTTTTTTTACGGACTGGGAAGTGGGATTTGGTGGATTTGGTGGTGGTGGTGGCGGCGGTCGTCGGAGTCAAAATCGAAGTCGGTGTAGAGTATTACGACTCCGTTGCTGGTTTCCTGAGCTATCTGCCTTAAGCAGGGCTTGTCGCCTGTCATTCTATTTCTATTGATAATTGTCATTTTATAGGGATTCGCTGTCCGCTTGTAACATCCTTGTGTTCGTCTGCTTGCGCCCGTGTCTCTCTGTGTGAATAACATCGCAACATCCTTGGCTTCCTGCTGGGCCTCGGAAGAACTCCTGGAGGATTACCTTTTCACATGAACCCGATGAGCGACGGGACAGTGGGGTAACTAGCGGGTTTTCTCAGAATTCCTGGCTTTTGTCATGGTGTTTGGCTGTCTTGTGGTCATAATGATGGTCATCGGTCACAAAGATGGCCACAATTATCCCGCCGAGCCGCCGTTCGGAGAGAAATTTGAAATCTCGACCTGGTCTAACGGGGCCTAATTTTTTGATCCGTGGAATGCCGCTGCGTGTTGGACATATCGAGGGCGCTTCCCCCTTCACGAATGCTTACCCCGATGTGATCGATGGTTCGGCCATTTCGTCCCTTGTATCCATATCCAACCACCATGTGCTGAACCAACAACGGCTTACGATATTTGGGGGGTTGGAAATCGAATTAAAAAAGCGAACAAACGAATAAAATGAATAAGTCATCAAAAGAGGTTAAAAGTGAAAGAAAATAAAATAACGAGGATGCATATACCGACACACAAGTCAGAACCAGAACCTGGGTCTGCATAGTAACTTGAAGTCATGCACAGCAACAGTGCAGCGATTGTTATTCTTAGCTGACCCGTGAGGAGTTATTTAACTTGCGCAACCGACTCCCTACCGCGCGCCTAAGAACGCTCCCCTTCTCTGATCACATAGTCTCTCATGATTCTCCTCTGTGTAACCCTTGATGTTCTTCTGCCCTGCACTCCACTATAGCGCGACCTCCAATATTCTTCCATGCTGATTCCTCCTCTATAAGAACCCCCTTCATACAGCCTTTTCTCCTGATCTCTTTTCTCTTTCTTTTCTTAATCAATTTGTAATCTGTATTAGGATAGTGCTTAGTCTGTCTGTACACCCGTTGCAGATAGATAGTGCAGATGGTACAAACGGTGCAATCCGCAGCACGCCCGTTACAGACTTATTCGCGCTCACTGCTCCGGGCCTAGCCCAAATTGAATGAATATTAAAGACCACGCTCCTGTCGCCAGAAAACACACAGCATTGCAAGATATATCAGATTTCTTCAAATTGCATAACATCGCTAGCTATCATCGCTAGCTATCAACCCAGACACAAACTGAGTTTCCTGGACAACGACCGAGTACAAGAGCTTCTGGCTGAACTTCAAGAAGAGAAACGACTCCGAGAAGCTGCAGAAGCTGAGGCGAGAAAGGAAAGACAACAACGCAAAGAAGCAGAAGCCCTATCGGAAATTTCAGAGCCTACATACAACCCTGCTTCCCTTCCTTCATGCATGCCACGAACTCTTGCTCGCGATTCGCATCGTGGCAGACCCCTACAAAAACAACCAAGGGTCCAGTAACAACTCGGACAGTTCCCTCACTCATCAAGATATGGGTCAGCTTCAATGATGAGCAGTCAGAAGTGTGGCAGACACTCAATAGTTATCCATCCTTTTTGACTGAAAAACTTTTTCCACCAAAACACCAGCTTGATTATGTTCGCCAGTGCATTGCGCCAATCACTTCGGAATGGGATCTTCGATACTACGAACGAGGCACAGTGGAGAATCAAGTCCAGGATATAGTTGACAAGATCACAAAAGACAAGGCCCTTAGAGATGCATTTGGGCTACGAGGCCCGATCACTTTTGAGAGCCATACAAACCTGGGCCATCCAGCGGGGAACCTGCCAAGTGGAGGCCAACAAACCCCCAGCGGTCCTGTGTCAAGAAACCTAAAAAGAAACACAAAACCCAGAAGAGTAAGGAGAAACCTGCTGCAGTTACAGTAGGGCAAGCAGATCGATTTTGTATCTATCGACAGGAAGGCTGTGAACACATTCCCGCAATTGCAATTGAATATAAGGCGCCTCACAAGCTCACACGCGCTGAAAATGGGCAAGGGCTTAACCAAAGAGATTCGACCCGCCCAGGATGTGATCAATCATGTTAGGCCACTGGGGCAAAAAAGCTCTCTCACACCAGCGCCATGCTGGTAGTAGAGGGGATGAACCAACCCAAACCCCCAACAAATCAGGAGTCTGATGACGTTGAATTCTGCTGCAGAAGACTTGTTGCTGCAGTCATAACTCAATCCTTTTCTTACATGGTGCACAAAGGCGTACGTTACGGCTATGTGTGCACTGGAGAAGCTTTCATCTTTGTACACATCCCAGATGATCCATCTTCACTTCAATGCGCGCTTTGCATCCCAAGTTTGAATGTCAAGGCAACTGATGGCAGTGAAATCCGGTTGACTGCTGTTGCTCAGGTTCTGGCATTTACATTAATTGCCTTGAAATGTCCCCGAGTTACGCAGCAATGGCATGATGCTGCCAAAAGGCTTGATGTTTGGCCAGTGGAATATTCTGAAATTCTGGAGCAGACTCCACCGGCTGCTCGCCTAAAAAAAGCCTCGCCCTTGTATCATGGTCAACGACCTCGTGACCTTTCGCCGCTCAAGATTTCATTACGATCAGGGAAAGGAGGATGCCGACCCTCTGAATTTGACCGCCAATCAACAAATTCTCCCTCATCATCACCTCCTTCATCTCCTTCTTTTGCTTCACGCCCTGCCCTAGCTAAAGGGGGAGGCTCTATCCAGCCTGGAGAGCCGAAAGGGGCTCAAGGACATGGAAAACCCAGTGATACACACCAGGCTTCCCATGTTGCCAAACCACCAGCGATAAAAACTCGCCCCTACTGCTCTCAGAAATGCCTACTTGCACTTGGAGATGGTGGCCCATTCGATCCATCATGCCCCAACTACCAGGATCATCAAAAGGGCCAGATAAATGTACAAGAATTCTGCTCTCATATGCAGACACAGCTTGCCACAGGTCGTGGGCCAGATGCGGACTGTTGTCCATTCTACAAGGCAAGAAGTTGTGGGGCATTGTTCAAACTGAGGCTATCATCACATGGATACACTCTAGTCGCCAAGGTTGTGGAATACGAGAATCGGCATAAGCTTGAACACGAAATGTTGGTCTACAATAGGCTTCAAGATCTCCAAGGCGAACATGTTCCAGTCTGTCTGGGTGTTGTTCAGCTGGAGTCAGAGTATCCCTATTACTATGATGGAGGAATCTACACCCACATGTTATTCTTAAGTTGGGCGGGAGAACCAGTCCAGGAAAGCACGAACTCCAACCACGCCGAAGATATTTTATCCCTGGTGTCCCATGCCCTCCAATCCATTCACTCCAAAGGTGTACTCCACAGTGATGCTGAATTACGAAATATACTGTGGAATTCAACTTGCAAACGCCCAATGATAGTTGACTTCGAACGAGCAACAATACGCCACACACTGTCAGATGTGCCCGGTAACACAACAAGAAAGCGGAGAAGGGTGGATGAGACAGGATTTAGAAAGGAGATTGAATGCATCGAAACTGCGTTTGGGAGATGCGTTGCATAGTTTAGGATGCCTTCAGTTTTTGGCAGCACCTTGATGCATCTCGGCCTCCGATGGCGATACATCTGCAGCCATTTCCGAATTGCAGTTTTGCACTGTTACATGATCCATTTTTTACTATTATATGACTCTGTATACTGAAACCGTTTTTTCCTAGAACCTCTTTGTGTCATGGAGCCCTTCTGTCGCGGAGTTAATAGCGGACACCCTTTATTGGCGGTGTCCAATAAAACTAATCTATATTTCCTTTGCCAGAGCCCAGAAGATCATTACAGGGTGCTCAACCACCAAATAAGTGCTCAGGCAAGCCAGTCTACCAATATGCTAGAACTCGCACCTATCCCAAACAAGATCTCTTTTTCACTTCTTCCGCGCCCCAGCATGATATTGATTAGTGACTTTGCCCGGCGTTCTCTAGACTTAACCACCCTGTCCACGGACACACATCTGTCAAGCAAACTCTGTTCTGACCTGGGAATATAAGCTTATCCACCTTTGGCTTTGGCCTGTACATTTTGTTTTTTATGTAGTTTTCCTACATGGGGCTAATCACATAAGAACTTGTCATAAGCACTGTATATATATTGAAAGAAGAAGAAGAAGAAGAATAATAATAATTCCAAAGATCTCTCGTCCCCATTGCATCTGGGAGAAAGAGAACAGAGTTCCGTCTCCGTCGTTGATTCTCGACATCGGAGCGGGTTTACATATTTCCAGATCGACCTTACCACAGAAATCAGTCTTCAGCTCCAAATATTAATTCTCAGCTTCTCGACAAAGCAAGGAGCCGGAACAAGCCAGCCACTTCACCTTGCTTCTGCCTCCCTTGCACTGTCCGTGCTCTTGAGCGACTATGTCTTCTTCAAAGTCGTCACCTTTCTATATCCTCCTCCTCCTCTCCGTCCTAACCTTCACCACCGCCTCCATCCTCGCCATCACAATCCCGCCCTCAAACCTATTACCGAACCCCAATTCCCTCCCAGCTTCCACACACGCGACCCTCACTACCCTTCATTCATCTCCTTCCTCATCTTCGTCTTCGTCGGCCTCCTCCGGAGCTTCTGCGCCCGCTCGCCTCCTCAAAGCACCACTATCACGCAAATCAAATTTCGTATTCAAGATCCCCTCGGGACAGGCTCAGGGAACACAGTCATTCCTCCTCGATATCCACTCACGGGACTATATATTTGCGCCGTATCGCGTCGATGTCGATGCGGAGGGTAGTGTAGTGGGCGTGTGGGAGACCTTCAGGGGGAATGCGTGGGAGAATCGCGGAGTGGAGAAGGGAATGATTCAGGTTGAGAATGCTGTGGTTGTTGAGGCGAAGGTGATGGGTAAGAGGACATTTTATGAAGAGAGGGTTGGGTGTAAGTTTCCTTTTTCTTTTTTCTATTTATTTATTTGGCCCTTTCATGTCACAGGAAGAACGTTTTTTTCTTTTCTTCTCTTATTTTTTATTTTTATATCTATTTTTTTTTTAAATCAAACTTTTGAGGAAACCATATACACTAACGAAACGATTAATCTTGGTTTTACAGTTTCACCGTTAAGCATGTTAAAGAACCCGATGATTCTACTCGTAGTCTTTGCTCTTGGTGTGACTGTGGGGATGCCTTATCTGATGGAGATGAGTACGTGTTTATCTTCGGCCCATGATCCCCAACCATTTTCCATCACATCGTTGGTGCCATCTCTAACAAAATTACTTCAAAATACAGTGGATCCAGAGACACGTGCGGAATTTGAAAAACAATCCCGCAAGGGCCGAAACGCTGCGGCAAACGATGTAAATGCCAGAAGGGCCGCTGGTGCTGGACGTGGAGGGGGAGCTGGAGCGGGAGCTGGAGGGTTTGACCTGGCTGGCTGGATGGCAGGGACGAGCCAGGGACCAATGGCCGCTCTGGATTCGACAATGAAAGCGGCTGCGAGCGGAAGAGAAGCCGGATCGGGATCAGGAGCGCGGAGGAGGTGAAGATGTTGTATATGAGTTTTGCACGGTGCATATTGGTTCTATGCCGCCCTAAACAACCAGTGGTTCGTTGCATATTTCTGGCTGTCTTTTCTTTCTGTGTAAACGGATGTAATGTACAGGTTATACGGAACCATAGCTGACGGTTGATGACAAAAGACATGTAATATCATATCTATGTATTTGAGCATTCCTTGTTGAATAGATTTCTGCTCGTTGACGCCATACAGCGCAGAACCATTTGCTAAGCTGCGCCACAATCCGAGGCTGAGCAACTCTCCGACGACGGGAATTACGTCAGCGCCATGTCCCGCTCTGCCGACTTGCCGCATTCAGACTCCAAGCCCTAATTAATTTGCCAACATCGCATCTGTCACGAACAAGAACAGACATCCAGGGCTGCCCCTTCTCGAATATATAGTATATACCCGCCTTGAATCCTTACGCATACCCTGTTCTGCCAGCTAAGCGTCGCATCGTATCAAGATACTACTATATCGATTGCAGAGGCATGTCATTCGCACCCCCAGCCGGTCCTCCACCTCCCCGTGTCCCCGATGGCTGGGTAGCGCAGTTCGATGATAAGTACAAGGAATGGTGCGTCCTATCGCTTATTGCAAGCCCACAGAGCACATGGAAAAGGGAACGCATCCGCCATAACACACTAACACCAAACTGTGAAATACAGGTTCTACGTCAACTTGAAAACTGGCATTTCTCAATGGGAACGGCCTCCAGTTCCTGATACACTTCCACCGTCATACGACCAAGCATCTCCAGCGACGACCGGCGATCCAGCCGCTGCCTCAGTCACCACTGCTGCTGGTGAGGAAGCTGCAACAGGCGATGTAAAGAAGACATCTACCACCACCACCTCCTCGTCCACACGGCTGGAACTGGGATCGAATAACCCATATAACCCAGCGCGCCAGCGGAGCAGGAGTCCTTCGGCACCTGCTACCCGTACAACTGCAGATAGCCAGATGATAGATGAAGATGCCAAGTTAGCCGCAAAGTTGCAGGCGGAGGAGGATGAACGAGCACATCAGAGACACGAGCAAGGGCAGCAAAAATATGCAGGCAGTCCACAGTCACAGTCACAACCTCCACCACAGCAACAATATCAACAACAAGAACAACAACAACAACAACAAGAACAACAACATCAACAACAACACCCCCATTCATCGCCGCCGCCGCTGCAGCAGTGGCAGCAACCACAGGAAACAAAAAGATCCAGCGGCGGCGGTTTCTTCGGCAAATTACTAAACAAAGCGTCTGCCAAAGTCCACCACGGCAGCAGCAACAGCGGTAGTGGCAGCGGTTTTGCCCCCCCGCACAACTACAACCAACCATACCAACAACAGCCATATCAACAATATCAGCCTCCCTACCCGGGCCCACACGGATATAACGGCTACCCGCCCGGGGCCGCCCCCGGCGGCGGTGCCCCCTTTTATGGCCCGCAGCAGCCATATGCGCCCGGACCACTGCCGAAACAGCGAAAGGGGTTTGGCGGCATCGGGCCCGGCGGAGCGGCGGCACTAGGCCTCGGTGGTGGCTTGTTGGGCGGTGCGTTGTTGGCGGATGCGATTGGTGATCATTATGATTATCAGGAGGGGTATGAGGATGGACTGGCGGCGGGGGATTTTGGAGGGGGAGATTTTGGAGGGGGTGATTTCGGAGGAGGGGATTTTTGATTGGAGGTCTATAGAAAGAACCTGTCCTCGTTTTCTTCCTGTTTTTTGTTGTTTTCTTGTTTTTTGCTCCTTGACTGGGTTTTTTTTTTGGATTGCGTGGAGTTTTGGGGCCTGTTGGTTTGTTTCCTCCCCCCCTTCCTTTTCTTTTATTTATTTATTTTTTATTTTTTTTGTATGTGTTCAAAGTATTTTTACTAGCTTAGCTGTGTATATATATATATATAAATTTACCATAGCTTAACCAGCGATATATTATATATCTTCTTCTGCTTCTTCCGACAAAACCTAAGCTACAAAACGTCACTGGTGCTCTGCTGTATGCATACAGTACTCAGCTGGCCCGCAACGATTGAGAACGGCATCCATGATGCACGGAATCCGTTTAGCTGTTTTTTCGCCTTCCGCATCACTGAGGACGTATATATATATATATGTGTGTGTGTGTGTGTGTGTGTACAGTACAAATCGAAGGCACTGGGGGCCTGGCAAGTGAATGGGCTCAGAGCTGTGAGGCTATATATACTTACTTCGTCTTCGCTTTTGAAGTGACCAACAAGAAACGACACAGTGACTTGAGGGGATGGAGGGTGGGATGGACATGTCATTCAGCGATATCTCTTAGCTTCTTGAGGAAGTGTGAAACTCGAGAAGTGCATTGAGCTGAGTGGAGGGAGGGGGGGGGGGGGAAAGGAGGGACTGTTGAATATTATATATATATATTATATATGTACTGTAGAAGTTGGCTTTGTGCAGGGGAGAACAGGATCTGGCGCAGTGTTAAATAACTAAATGCTGCACAGATAGATATACGTTGAAAGGAGAATGGGAGAATGGCAATTCTTATATAGTTAAAATACGTGGGCAAAGGAAGCAGAAAGCAGACTCGGCCCCTTTTTCCCATTTCCCCCTTACCTCGATACATCCGATCACATCATAGTTATCATATCATAGTTACCATATAAATCCCATTTTTATTTGTTTCCCCCACAGCGAACAAACCTCACCCCTCCCCCACCGTCCCCGCAATCACCATCTGCGCCCAGAAATACAACCCAAACCCCAACGCCGGCCGCAGCCACCCCGGACGCTGCGCACGCCCCGCCGCCCCGCCCCGCCGTCGTCTCCCAAACATATCCTCCGCCACGAAGAGGTCGGACGCAACAAACATCGCCGCGCCCAGCGCACGCTGATACGGCCATGCAGTCGCAGTCGCAGTCGCAGTCGCAGTCGACACAGCAACCGCCAACATCCCGCTGATGATTGCGGCGTAGCCGCCGACGAGCGCGCGCATGTCGGCTGGGATCGCGAGGTTGAGGACGTTTGTGCGGAGCAGGCGCTGCGGTCCGTTGGTGGTGGTCGTCTTGTGCTGCTTCCGCTCCCCGTTCCCGTTGGCTGGCGGGTAGATGACGCCGAGCCATCTGGCGAGGAGCATTGCGGCGGCGAATGTGCTGGTGAATATCGGGCGGGAGAAGGAGGAGCTGGCGGCGGCGGCGGCGGCCGTGCTGGTGCTGGTGCTGGTGCTGCTGTGGCTACTATTGTCTTGCAAGAAGGCGAGGATATACGCGGCGTGGGCGGCGGCGAAGGCGCAGACGCCGACTTTGACGGAGGTGGATGGTTTCTTTCCCTCCTCCTCCTCCTCCTCCTCCTCCTCCTCCTCATCGTTGTCATCGTTATCGCCGTGGCCATCACCCGCCCGTTCCTTGCGCGCCGCCAGCGATCCGGTGTGTTTCTCGTAGTACTCCGCGCGGGCGGGGATGAGGCAGTAGTCGCCGACGGCGGAGAAGAGGAGGCCGGCGGCGATGCGCAGGTGGTAGGGGTGCCATTGTCGCCAGTCGAGGGGCGAGAGTGAAGGCGAAGGCGAAGGGGAGGGCGCGAGGTAGTAGAGCGGGCCGGCCAGGAAGGCGGCGGAGGAGACGAGTTTGAAGACGCAGCTGCCTGGGTAGAAGGCGAGGCGTTCTGAGAGGATGAGGAGGGGGAGGGAGGTGTTGAGGAGGCGGATGGTTGGGGGAGGGGCCAGGGAGAGGGCGGGCATTGTTGGGTTGGTTTTATGTTGTGTGTGTGGCTCTTCTATATTGTATATCCATGTGATGGATGGTGGGTTGGTGTTGAGACTCCCTTTCTTGCTCGTGGATTATTTTATTTTATTATTTTTCATGTCATTTAGTCAAATCTATTTGATGGGTTATCTTCGGGTGCTTCGGGATAGGAAATAGGAACTTCACCTCGGCTGTTCTGTGCTCCATTGTCAAAACTGAGCCTTTAAGATACGGTTCCAAGGTTCTTCATCTGTCTTCTCTCACGGTGTAGAACCCCCCCAAGAAATGTAAGTCCTGTACAGAGTTGCGTGTATGAATGCATACATACATACATATACGTGAGGAGAAGAGGTAGATCGATAGGTGGTCATCAGAAACGAGAAAGAAAAAGGGAGGGAGTTAGACGAGCATATATCACAGAAATGCAACGGACTATCGGCAAGGACACACATAAAAGAAGATGGAAATGGATGATAAAGAGGAGCAGAGGAAGACAAAGAAGAGCAAGAAAATGAAAAAGAGTAAGAAAGAAAACCGGAATAAGAAAAAAAAATCTAGACAAGGCATCAAAATAAACCCGTCTAGAACATTGGGAAAAAATGATATCGACAAGCATGTAACATAACAACACACATCATGCATTTCAAACCGGAAAGTAAAAGAAAAAGATCAACCCAGAAAACAAGAAAGAGAGGGAAATAACAAGAAAAGAAAAAGAAAAAGAAAGAAAATGAGGTAAACCACACCCATACAGAAAAAGATCGCGAAACGCCAAAGCCAACTCCATCCGTTTCCATCGCCTTGGCCATCTCCACCTCCATCTCCAACAAACAAGAAACCACCCCTCTATATCCCACAGCCAACATAGATCTGTACATAGGACATCATCATCGAGAAGCTTCTCTATGCAGCGGCGCCGCTCATCCTGCGTTCCGCATACCAGGCAAAACATGTGACGGCAAAAAGGGTATGGTATTTGTGGTTTTTGTGCTTTGCGTTTATATGTTTTTTTTTTCCTATTGGTTTTAATTATTTTTTTGGATTTTTTTTTCTTTTCTTTTTATTTTCTTTAGACATCTATATATACGAGGACACGACGGGTGGATGGATATGTGTTACAACTTGGCCTTGGCGCGGCGTCTTAGTGGTTTCTTCTCTGCGGGGACCCGTTTGTATAGCTCGTCGAGCAGCGCGCGGTATGTGGTCACGGTCTGGGGACGTTTGAGTTTCAGGCTTGCGTTTGGATGGGGTTGTTAGCTAAGGGTGTGTATAAGGGGGAAAGGGAATAAAAAATATATATAAGAAAACCACTCACGTTGGCGTCAACAGCCCATTCTCGATAGAAAACGGCTCAACCACCATCGCGACGGCCTTCACCTTCTCAAAGCCAGCGAGGCGGTGCTCTTTGCCCGCGCGGTCGAGATCCGCCTGCACGGCGCTCACAATCCTCTCATCCGCCGCCGCTTCGCGGATCGCCTCCATGTCATCTGGTGCAATGGTCTTCTCCAGCACGCGGCTTGCAAACGTGGCAAATGTGTCTGGCTGCACGCCCATGATGGCCACCAGTGCCGTCTGCGCGCTGTCCCCGTGCACGAACGCCTGCGAGATGTACGAGCATGCTGTCTGATAGATGCCCTCCAGGCGCTCGGGCGAGACGTACTCACCCTGCGCAAGCTTGAGCAGGTTCTTTCGCCGGTCGATGATGGTAAAGTGGCCCAGATGGTCGACCTGGCAGACATCGCCGGTGCGGAGCCAGCCGTCCTCTGTTAGGGCGTTGGCAGTCTCCTCGGGGTTCTTGTAGTATTCTTTGAGAATGGAGTTGCTGCGGAGCAGCAGCTCGCCGCGCGGGTACGGTTTGTCATCGACGAAGTACTCCATGTCCGGCAGGGAGACGAGGCAGGCTTCAAAGCCGGCTTGCAGCGGGCCACAGTGGCCTGCGGTGAGGTCAGACCTGATCTGGCAGAGGCCTGTTGCGTAGCTTTCGGTGAGACCGTAGCCCTGCATAATGGTGCAGGCGAAGGCGACGCGGAGGAATTGGTGGAGGGATTGGTCGAGCGGTGCGGAGCCGGAGACCATGTTGCGGAGCCGGTCGAAGCCAAGACCAGAGCGGACATTTTTTGACCAGATGCGGTCGTAGAGCATGTGTGTGTTCGTGGGAGATTCGGGGCGTTGGATATTGGCGATTTTGGTGTTGACGACATGCCGGGATAGAGTGCCCTTGAAGCCGGGGGCTTCGACGGAGGAGGCGCGGATAGCGCTTCCGAAGCGGTTGTAGAGGCGCGGGACGGAGGCGATCAAGGTGGGTCTAAGGACTTTGAAGTCGTCAACGAGCTCGAGAATGTCGCCGTGGAAGTAGCCGATGCTACCACCGGCCCACAGAGACATGTGTTCCATAAGACGCTCGAAGATATGGGCGAGGGGCAGATAGGAGGCGAGGATATCGGTGGGATAGTGCATGCAGGAGCCCATGCCGGACGAGGTGGCGGAGACGGCGTTTCGATGCGTGAGGACGACTCCCTTGGGATTGCCCGTGGTGCCGGAGGTGTAGTTGATGGTAATGATGTCGTCGGGGGAAGGAGGGTTGTAAGGGCGGTTCAACGAAGCGCCCAGTTCTTCCACCTCAGACAGGGTGTAGATCTCCAAGCCGGCTGCGGCGGCCAGCGGCGCAAGGATGTCCCGCTTGGAGTGGCCTAGCTGTTCGCCGGCATCCAGTGGATCCATGCAGACGATGAGCTTCAGCAAGGGCAAATCGCGTTTCAGCTCGATCAAAGTGGAAACATGGGGCAGTGACGTGACGACACAGCGGAGTTCCGCATTGTCAATGATATATTTCGTGCCCTCAACCCCGAGGGTCTCGTACATCGAGACGGTATACAGTGACTGAGACATGCATGCTAGATCTGAAAGGTTACAAGAAAGGGCATGTTAGCAACTGTTAATTGTATTCATTCACGGGAACGAAAACACACAGCTGCAATTCTCTGACTTCACTCACCTGTGATTTGCCATTCCGGCCGGTTCTGGCACCAAAGACCAACACCATATTGTGCACCCTGCACACCAATGCGGGAATGAAGCTCGACCAAGCCGACGCCAAGGGCCGCACGACGTTTCTGGACGGTCTGATAGTCTATCCACTGGTACGGACCCCAGGTCTTGGTAACGGGATCCCAGGCACGAGCTCCCAGGCATCGGTTCTTCGGGTTTCGACTGACTGTTGATAGTAGTAGGGTAATATGATCAGCAGAGGAGATGATAATTGAAAAGAGGGGAGAGAGAGGGAAAAAAAAGGAAAAACAAATAGAAAAGAAAAAAAAGAAAAGATAAGAAAAAAACAAAAATTCCCGTTTCCGCCCGAATTGAATGAATTGAATGAATTGAATGAATTGAACTGAATTTGGTCCGAACTACTTACCACTGGACTCGAAAATATCATGGGCGGTGAGAACCTGGAGAGAAAATAAATATCCGACGGAAGGATCAATTGAGTTAGCTAGCCTGCGACCAGGGGGTCATGTCGCGCATTCTTCACTCGACAGGGTTTACTACTATACGTGCATCTGAAGTTTCGGACACGAACCTGAGGATCCAGCGTCTTCAGCAGCTCCCCACTGCCAGACTGCCAGTGACGGTATATCCTCGAGCGACCTGGCCTTTCGGTGCCGGGGAGGGCGATGCATTCGGGGATACCCTTGGGGGGACGCTGGGCGTAGGCCTCGCCGACGGCCTCGTACTCCCGCTTAGGCGAAAACATGACAGGCTTCTTATGGCAACAAATCCTCTTTCCCCAGCGTAATTCAACGGCAGTGAGTTGGGGGGGCGAGAGAGGTGAGTTTAGGTTAGGTTAGGTCAGGTCCAGGGGAAACAGAGATTTTGTTTCGCAAGGATGAGCGCTCGCGGGAGGACGACTCGAGGGGTTCGCAGGGATGAAGCAGCGACACACGATGAGGGAGGAGGAAGAAGAGGAGAAGCAAAGGAAAAAGGAAAAGAAGAAGAAGAAGAGAAAGAATACAACAAAGAAAGAGGAAGAAGAAGAAAAGAAGAAAAGAAGAAAAGAATACAACGATCCAAAGTCGTAACGAAGCACATGCCACACAGGGTTGCAGCTGCCAGATTTCGCCGGCGGGCGTACGGGTAATACGGCGGCCGTGGGTTACAGGTACATACATACTGGGAAGCATGTGCTTTGGCTGTATGTATGTGTGTATGGATGTGTGTATGTGTGTATGGAAGTATGGAAGTATGTGTGTGCATTATCGCTGCTCCTGCAGCAGCAGCAGCATAGTCGCCAGCGAACCACGGTAAGTATCGTATCATACCGTACGGCATAGATTACACGGCCTGGAACCAACCCCAGACGGAGCCGCCAAACGCCAAACGCAGGCCTCGGCACAAGCCCTTGCAGTGTCCCCCGGTACTGATTGGTTGCCCGTATGATACCCCGGTAACAGCAGGTAACAGGCCCCCTCCTGTGACCGGCTTACCTCGGCCCAGCGCCAAGACGATCGTGCAGAGTCCGCTGTCGAACCTCGGTAACTACGAACTACTCCAGATCTGCATATGAACAGGGGGCTTCGTGAAAGCATTGTTGAGGGATAGTCTGTATCCGGTGCTTTCCTCATAGATTGTATATATATATATATATATATATATCCATGACTATGACTGGGGGGGAACACGTCTGCGGGGCGCTTGAGAAATGCGGTAAGAAATGCGGCAAGATATTCTGTAGATATGATATTGGGGCTTGAGGGCGTCTAATGGAGTCGATACTATCTGACAGAGATTGGTTTGGTGATGCTGTCGACCATACCCGATTGAAGGGAGGGCGAGGATCTGCAGTAGAGAAACCCATACACACCCATTAATTAAAGAGTGAAGAAAGAAACAGGATGTGATATATATAACAGGTGAATGAATGAATACATTGGGCAGATAGATATTCGGTTTTTTTTTTATTTATTTACTCATTTATGTTTGTGCCTGCTCCCACGTTTTGACGTCCCATTCCATGTCCGATCCAGACATGGCCGGGCTTGTCCCCATCTCACTCCATGTGAGGGTGGGGATCCTTGCCTATGCTGTGGCAGGGACAAAGAGCTGTTTGTCCACCCTTGCCTGCGGGAGATTGGTTGCAGGCCGATCGGGCCCCTTGCGTGCCCGCGTTGGCTGCGTCTCATCCTTACCTATTCCCATCTCATCCACAAAGGCCCTGCGGCGGGATCGACGGAACACCTCGTTTATGAGCCGGATGTCCAGAATCTCCAGAATCAGAACTGACAGGGAATGGTATTTAAACCTTGTCGACGAACCGGGTTGAGTGACCTTTGGGGCAAAAAGTGCACAAAAAGCTTGCAGGAAGAGCTGATATCGGCATTGGCTTGTTCATCTGCGGATCTGAGGCGGTTTTCTTTGTAGTTACTCTGCGGCTAATGCTGGTGCTGGTTCTCGTAATAAGAGACGGCGCTGCTCTGCTTCGGAATATTTCTCATGGCTTCAACAGGCTACTTCGAGTTCGCCAGGCCCTAATAGTTGGTCAGTGCTAGTACGGAGAGGAGGAGGAGGAGGAGGAGCTCTTCAGCGACGCCAGCAAGGCAATGCACCAGCGAGTTAGCCGCCATCTGCCCAGCAGTCGCGGGAAGAGGGACCGGGATCGGGTTCCTCAACGTGCCTCCGGCGTCGAATGTCTGATCCTGTGCCGGGAAACCCCGGCGAGGGGGTCCCGAAGACCATGGGCATCTCGATCCCCCAGCAACAGTATGGGTTAACGCTGGCTGTGGCGGTGGCTGTGGCTGTGGGGGGTGCGGGAGACAGCGAGGGGGAAATCTTGAGCCCCATTTGGATGGAGTGGATGGGATGCTGGGGCGGATTCTCGGTACATGACTGACTGACTGTATTAGAATTTTTCTTTCTTTTCCGCTCACGGTTATGTCCACTTTCTCTCTTGTTTGCGTTGTGTGTGTGTGTGTGTGTGTGTGTTTTTTTTTTTTTTTTTTTTTTTTTTTTTTTTTTTTAAGAATAAAAAAACAATATCTGTATAGCTACGTGATAATAACCCTTCAATGAGTCAATATATGTCCCTACGCCGTGATGCGCATTGGGATTGGGTTATGTTGGCAAGCGCGTTGAGATAGCAAAACACTTCCGAAGCAGACAGATGAACATCGGCTAGTTCGCAGCACATACATGCATACATACATACATACAGGCGACAAGCCTGTGCTACGCAGCCGCTGTCGTGTTGGGGCGTAGAGCGTACCCATATGTGTCTGCTCAACTTCGCCATGAAAGGAGTGAGCGGTGTGTATCATGAAATGAAATAGCTATCGACCCCGACCCTCGGGCAGTGGCGGGTATATATATCTTTATAGAAAAAGATAGAAAAAGAGAGAGAGAGAGAGAGAGGAAAGACGAGAATAGATGTTACATACATGGCCCTACCAAGCCGCCCGCAACCATCATCCCCTTTCCGAGACAGAAGCTGGACCCACCAACTCTTAACACGACCAAGTCATCAATCACGAGAGATGAGATAGTGGGGGTAGTAGGGATAGCTGCTCTCTTTACCCGTGGGCATCCATATCGAATCCATCAACAGCCAAACCAAACCAAACCTATGCGGATATGGGGGCTAGCAAAGGGAAACGAAAAGGGCAAAACATCAGTATGTTGGTTGATTGATATTCGTATTCATATTCATAGTCATACATGATATCGACGTTCTTCCTCATGGAGGTTTTTCAGATACAGCTTTCTTCTTGTCCTTCTTTCTCCTTTCTCCTTTCTCCTTCTCCTCCCCTCACACAGCCCCCGTACTTCTCATGCAAAATTTCCTCACCTTTCCTCCATCCCTCCTCCCCATTCCCCCCCTTTTCCTCAAGCGAACGAGGACTAGCGGGGTGCGAAAAAGCCGGACATGAAGACGAGATGTAAATACGGATAACCCGCGCAGAAGCATGAAGGCTCCGACAAAGAGGAAGAGGAAGAAGGAAGAGGCAATGACGCACGAAACACAAAATGAATAATGTAACAAGCGAAAAAGAAAAAGGAAGATATCATCAAGTGAAAATATGAGATGGCAAAAATTTTTTGTTTTTTAATTATTTGAAAAAAAAAAGAAGAAGAGGGAGGGGAGCTGTGAAGATGCACAACGCACAACACTAGTATGGATGTTAGGATGAGGGCAAAAGAAACAAAAGATATTGAAGACGGATGGGATGGTATCGGATGTCTTTGCTTGTTTTCCACTTTTTTCTCCTTCGTTAGCTGCTTACAGGGTTTTTCCTCTTTTCCTCTTCTCTCCTTTTCGACACACCAAACGGATATAAAAAAGTCGGCAAAACGATACACTGGAGGAGAAAAAAAGAGAAGGCAAGAGAGAGAAAAACAAAACCTTGTAGCTATATTTACTTAAACATGTCTTTTTGTAATGTAATGGTAACAAAATTATATGCCAAAGAAGATGAGAAACAAAAAATGAAAAAATGAGAGAAAGGGAGGGAAAGGAAAAGGGTTAAAAAGGAAAGAAAATAAAGAAAAGAAAAAAAAACCTCAACGGGACCCTCTCACTTTCATTTCAATTTCCTTTTCTTCGACTTTTTTTTTTAAATTATTACCAAAGTGTTCTCCACCACCTGACACCTGATGTATTCCGCTCATGACGCCAAGGCAAGGATGGAGGGAGAGGAAAAGAGGAAAAAATAATATATCACGGGAGTCGCGCGGGGACGACAAGAGCAAGAAGATGGGGAGGATGAAAGGGGAATCTATTATTCCTTCTTAGCGGGGGCGCTCTGGATGTGACCCTTGCCCGAGTAGCCTTCACTGCTGATACCGGTGATGGGGTCCATTTTCTCTCTCTGTGTGTGCGTTAGCAAATATATATATATAAACATATAATATGTACAAGAAAACAGGACGGGAACAAAATAGGGCAAGGGTAAGGTAACGGGGAGGGAGTCGTTGATGAACGAAGTGATGGGAATCATATATATGAAACGCACCTTGGCATATTCGTTCGTAGCCTCTTGCCATTCCTTGGTCATGGTCTTGGGCGGTGACTTGGCAAACGAGCGCACGGTGAAGAAGATTACGCTGGAGATGGCGAGGTATTTCAGGACTTGCATCAAGACGCGGAGGCCTTCGCCCTTTGGGGTTTCGGCGCGCGGGCCGTGGGGGCCAAAGGCGATGTAGTAGGCTGGGCAGGATTTCGTCAGTATTTCTAGATATACATATATACATATACATATATATACAAGTTTACAAATTGTGGCGGGGGGCGATTGATACGGCTTCAATTGCAACACGGACGGTTTGGTTTGTCCATACAAAATCTCGGAAAAATCGGCATACAGAGAGAAAATCAAAGAACGAAAAAAAAAATCAAATCAAATCTCCAAAACGAAGAGAACAAGCAACACATACCAGCTTTCTTCTCTTGCAGGGTCATCTCACGCCAATCGACCTTCATGCGGTCCCTCAACTGCATCCACAGCTCCGCCTGCTCCTGGGGCGGCATGCCCTCCCAGCGCTTCTCAATCCCAGCCAGCGTTGGGTTGGCAATGGCATGCCCGGCGGCAGCGGCAGTAGCCATTGAGCGGGTCTGTTGGCTCTTGTTGGCGATCGTGCAATTGCTGCTACGGCGGTAGGCATAGAGGCATGCTCCAATTGTCTGGGGGGAGGAGGAGGAGGGGGATTGGCGGTATGCGCGGGCGGTCGTTGATCGGGTTGCAGAAGGCAGGCTTCTGGGCAGCGCTGTGCGGAAGGACATAGTTGGAGCGAGGGAGGAGGAGGAAGGGGTTTATGGCAGGGGCACAGAGGGGAGAATTGGCGTGGGAGGAGGGCCAATGCTGGCAGACAGACGGACAGATAAACGACGGGGCGGAATGGGAGCCAGCGAGCGTTGTTTGGAGGAAGTTGGAGATGGAAGAACGTTGTGTCCTTGGGGCGGGTTAGGTAAGCGGCGGCTGGCGAGTGATGAGTCAGCAGAAACTGAAATCATACGACGCGGATGTATACGAGTAATACAAAGGAGCCAGCTCTGTGGACGCCGGATAGTTGCAATTATTTACGCCTAGGCAAGACAATTGGATAGAGATTGCGAGCGTAGAGGGCAAAGAGACAAGCCAATGCGACAGATAACAGGGAGGAAGGAGAGCAACTACCACATAAGCCATGAAAAATGCCACAGATCCATCTAGAACAAGCCGAAGCGGAATCTGCCCCCAGGAACCCTCCATACAGGACAGCACAACACCTAGACAGACCCTGCATGCAGGCGAATTCAGCAGAGAGAGATGAAACTAAAAAGAAATCAATGCACGAAACGAGGACAATACAATGATTTTATACTGGATGCGCTTGCGCTGCTGGGTGTGGCCTGGCATCGATTCGGCGGCCCTCCTCCTTTGCTTCTCCTTTGCTTCTCCCCGCTTCTACTACATACACACATTCACATGTCCTGCTTACATCGCGGTATAACTTCCTCGTTCTATTTAACTCTTGTCTCTCCCCTTTTTTGTTCTTTTTTCATCCTTTCTTGCTTTTTTTGCCTCCCGCATCATCCCGCCACTGTCCACTTTTGCCCCATATTTCATCCCACTATCAAAAACAAGGGGGTAAAAAGGGAAGAAGATAAAACAAGCAAGTACAAAAAGCGAAGCATTAAGAAGAAAGAAAACAAAAACATTCAACATCAAAATCAAAATCAAAATCTCTATTTCTTCACGCTAGCTTCCTTCAGGGTCTTCCACTCGAGCTCATCCGTGTCGTCGGCGTGGATGCTGACATGAGGGTTCAAGGCGTTCTTGAGCGTTTCTCGGGTCGTGGCGTAGATCATGGATGACTGGTTTGCGGCTCAGTTAGCACTTTCTGGAAAAATTGGAAAGCAAAAGGAAGGAGTTTTGGTGGAGAGCCGGGTTACTCACGAAGGTTGGCGTTTCGCTGGGGACCCAAGAGATGAAGATGATTTTTTTTCTATTATGCGGTTGGACAGAGACATATCAGATATATTTTATACATATAAACGCGCGCGCGTGTGTAATCGGATTGCTTTGGGGGAAAGGACATAAACTAACCGGATACCCTCGCTCCCAAGGTCGAACTCGCCATCGTACAGCGCATACCGTGGCGCGGGCTTCCCATTGCTATCCTTGGCCTCGACCAACTTGGTGCGGAAAGTTTCGTAGTCGGTATCCTTCGACGACTCCTCAACGACGATCTCCTTCTTGTCATCTGAGATCTTGAAGATGATATATTTCAAGTCTTTGAATCGCAAGTTGTTGGTTGCTTCCATGCATTCTGCGCTTACTCGCACTCTGCATTTTGGTTAAGAATTTTATGTTTTGGCTTTCTGTTAGCACATGCGATTTTGTTTTCTGGCAAAATTTGTTCAATACGAGGCGGTGTAGAGTCCAGTTTATGTTTGCATCTTGTCATTCCTGCTAATGGCGACACACTTGAAGGTACCCCTGGACGTAGGCCGGGAGAACGATAGGAGAAACATGGAAAGAAGAGGAGGCTTGTGAGGTACGAGAAGAAGACGAAACATGGTTAACATACCCGGAGACCTAGCGCCAGCCAAGATACACGCATCCGATCAGCAGCTGACTCCAGAACATCCACAAAATGCCGTACATAAGGGTCGAACTGGGGCATCGTCATCACTCGCTTCTCTCTCCTCCTTCTCCACTTACCGACATGATTGCACACTGAACGTAGAGGACCGGACAAGAGGTGACGGGTTTACTTTAGTTCTGTGTTCGTATTTCAAGGAAAAACGGGGGAGGCGGTGGGGATCAGTGTGTTTCGTTCCGGGAGCGTGAACACTAGATAAATGGATAGATCCGCAGGACGGAGGGGAACACCTTAGCAAAATTGCTGCTGCTGCCATGGAAGCCCGTGGGCTGTTTGGGTAGATAATGCCATCACAAGACAATGGCCAGGGGCAGAGCAGGGCTCTGAGTAGGGAAATGAGGGGAGGATTTTGCAAGCTGTTGTCGTTTGGAAGATGTTACAGCGGAGCGCAGCACGTACCTGTGTAGAAGGGTAAGATGGTGTGGGGAAGTGGGAGTGGAAGATGTGAGAGACGGACGTTGTTAGGAGTCGAAGGGAGAAACAGAAGCGCACTGAGGAAAGATTGTTGTTTGTCGGAGGATGCGTGACGAGGGGCTGAGAAGGGGCGCCGTTCCCGACGAAACGGGGCGGCGGGCTGTTGTTGCCACTCCCAGGCATCTTACCACCACGACCCACCAGCGCCTAGTCGGTAGGCAGCCATCAGGAATGTTGGAAACTCGGCGGCCTGGAATGGAAGACGCATGCAGGGGGCGGACAGACAGACACGGAGATTACATCCTTCTTCACGCGCACAGTGAGGAAGCACCGGTTTTGTTCTCCCTAGTTAAATAGCCAGTTTGTTATTTTTATATATCCAACAACCAGGTACTTCCCCAGAGTTGTGTGGCCGTGGAAACCACTCCCTTGAGCTGTCGTCATAAACAAGCGCAATATTCACGTGAAAATGACTAAGCCACACATCGAGTTATAAATGATAAGGGGATAGAAATTCACCGAAGCAAGCAGGATAGTGATATTTCCGCGATCAGAGGAAAACTAATACGGAAAAGAGAGAAGGAAACAGAAATATTCTCAAAAAAAGTAAAAGTCAATCCAGAAGTCACATTTTTAGCTAATATTTGTCTATCCGAGATCCCAAGGGTACTATACAGAAAGAAGCGACTGTGGGAGCAGGAGGAGTGGAGAGGTTTCTCTATGTAGGTATCGCTCTGTCTCTCTCTCTGTCTTTGGTGTTTGGTGGATGGAGAGAGGAGAGGAAGAGAGGTGGGGGGCGAAGGGCTCGGGGATTCTGGTTCTTGCGTGCCGGTGCTGAGTAGATCAAGACTTGATGAGAGGAGACAGGATAGACGAGACAGAGGGGAGAAATTGGGGAAACGACCAAATGGACAAAAAAAAGGGCGGAAACAAGATACTAATAAAAGCTGGAGTAAACCAAATAAAAGTAGTATAAGACAGGTACACATAAAATTACATGAGAAGGAGAGAAAAACGACTATGAAAAATGGGAAAGCAAACCAACTGAAAACACTTCATCAAGACGCATAAACGCAAGGAGATACATCGATAGGCGAGATAAAGATTTCCACCCCGCGGCTCCACTCCCCCTCCCGGCCCAACCAACACACACACATACACACACGCAAGCCACACATAAAACATAATCATACAATGAATCGCTAAAAAGTATAGCCACCGAAGAGCTGACTGCTGTGGATATTTTTCTTCCTTTTTTGTACACTGGTCAAGTCAACATGTCATCGATGGATGACCTCAAGGCAGTAGCCTGGGATGAGCGCACTAAAAACAGTTTCTGTTTTAGAACATTCCACCGCCCATGCCGCCCATGCCGCCCATACCACCAGGAGGTCCAGCAGGGCCCTTCTCCTCTGGCGCCTCGACAATAGCCACCTCAGTGGTACCAAGTAGCGACGCGACGCCGCTCGCATCCACAAGCGCGGTACGAACAACTTTGAGCGGATCAACAATACCAGAAGCAATCATATCGACATACTCGCCCTTGGCGCTATCGAAGCCCCTATTGAAGTCGCTGGCGTGCTCATCGGTCAGCTTGCCGACAATGACACTCCCTTCCAACCCCGCATTCTCCACGATGGTGCGTGCGGGGCGAGTGATGGCGGACTTGACGATGCTGACACCAAGCTGCTGGTCGAAGTTGGTCGGCTTCACGGACGCGAGGCCGTTAGCCGCGGCTTTCAGGAGAGCGGTGCCACCACCTGGGAGGATACCTTCCTCAACAGCGGCGCGAGTGGCATTGAGGGCGTCAACAACACGGTCCTTCTTTTCGCCTACTTCAACCTCAGAGGCACCGCCAACTTTGATCACAGCAACACCGCCGGAGAGTTTGGCGAGGCGTTCTTGGAGTTTCTCCTTCTCGTAGTCGGAGGTTGTGGGGTCGGCGATGACGCCACGGATCTGTTCACAGCGCTGCGCGATGGAATCCTTGCTGCCATCGCCGTTGAGGATTATGGTGTCTTCCTTAGTGATGGTGATGGAGCCAGTGGAGCCGAGCATATCCGCAGTAGCCTTCTCAAGTTTCATATCGAGCTCGTCGGTGAAGACGGTAGCATTGGTGAGAATGCCGATGTCGCCGAGGATGCTCTTGCGGTTGTCGCCGAAGCCGGGAGCCTTGACGGCGGCGACCTGCAGTTGGCCGCGGAGCTTGTTGAGGATGCAGACAGCAAGAGCCTCACCCTCAATGTCCTCAGCGATGATGACGAGGGGTCGTCGCAGAGTGGTGGAGGCTTCAAGGGCGGGGATGATGTCCTGGACGGCGGAGATTTTCTTCTCAGAAAGAAGAATCAGGGGCTTCTCGAACTCAACTTTCTGTGCCTTAGTATCGGTGATGAAGTAAGGCGAGACGTATCCGCGGTCGAATCGCATGCCCTCAGTGACTTCCAGCTCATCCTCGATGGTCTTTCCGTCCTTCACAGTAATCACACCTTCTTTTCCGACTTTCTCCATGGCGTTGGAGATCAGCTTGCCAACATGGGTATCGCCATTGGCAGAAATAGTAGCAACCTGGGCAATCTCCTCCGTTGTGGTGATATCCCTCTTGTTCGCCTGGAGGTACTCAACAACAGCCTCAACGGCAGCCTGGATACCCCTCCGTAGGTCCATTGGGTTGCATCCTGCCGCAACATTCTTGACAGTTTCGGAGAAAATAGCCCGAGCAAGGACAGTTGCGGTGGTAGTTCCGTCGCCGGCAACCTCGTTGGTCTTCGACGCGACGTCCTGTAGCAGACGAGCACCCAAATTCTCGAACTTGTCTTGAAGGGTAACTGCCTTCGCAACAGTGACACCGTCTGTAATTCAGATTGTTAGTGTGATAGAGTAAAAAAGAAGAAGAACAGGTACAGGTGGAACGGGAAACAACCTACCCTTGGTGATCTTGGGGGAACCGTAGGAAGACTCAATCAAGACATTTCTTCCCTTGGGACCGAGTGTTGTGCAAACAGCCTTTGCAAGAGTGTCAATACCCTTGAGGAGTGCAGCACGACCTTCTACGCCGAATTTGAGTTCCTAGTACAGCCAATCTATTAGGCATCGACTCCACGGATACATGTAGGAGAGATCTAACAGCCACTGCAATTGGCTGCGGCGAATTGCAATTAAACCAAGAAATAGCATACCTTATGGGCGAATCTCTGCTGCTGAAGGCTCAAACCAGCGGAACGAAATCGAGACACAGGCGCGCGTGTGGGGGCAGAGGAAAGGACCGAAGCCCTGGAGGCAGACGAAAGAGCTCGCTGCATGATGAAGCTATTTTGAAAATATATTAAAGCTATATAGAATAGCGGGAGGGAGAGAGAGAGAGAGAAACAGCGCTACAAAACCCAAGCGAAATCCCACGAGGCAATGAGAACGGAGAGAGAGAATGGAAGAGGTGAAGCAGCGAAGCAGCGAAGAGATGAAGAGATCAAGAGGTTATAAAAAAATTGGAGGTTGTTTTTTTTCTTCGAAGGTTCTCCAGGTTCTTGGCGTAGAAGCCACTAGAAATGTCATGTGATATATGGATGAGTAATCATGTCACGTGTATATATCCGGTTGATTTTCAGGGACCACTCGTCGTCATCCCAAGCTTTCGCATCCATGGACTCAATTATTTGAAGGTGTGTGGAACTTAGGCTACAGCATGCATATCGCTTTGGGCTGTTCGCTGGGCTGCTGGGCTGCTGGGCCTGTGGGACTGTAGCATGATCCGTGAGTACCCGCTTCAGTATACGTCCATTCACACTGTGGAAGTTCCTATCCGGCCAACACCTCTGCATTGTCTGATATATGGACATGAAAAAAATCCAGAATGGAAGACTCCATGTGTTTCCTTCTGGAGAAATTAAAACAAAAGCAGTGACTGGTCATTAATTGCGTTAGGAATGTTTTGAAAAGGACAAAAGGAGCTGCAAACCGCAAGGAAAAGGAAAGTAAACGGGGAAACAAAGAGAAAAGAAAAAAAAAAGGTCCAAAAAAGGAGACCATAACCAATATGCAGCAGTACCTCGTTTCAAACCATGCGTCAGTCGATAAGAATGTAAGTTCAACCTTCTTCTCTTTGATGTGAGAAAGCGCGGCATATAGCGTTATGCAACCAGATGTCCTTCTCATGTGTCTTTAGTTGAAAAAAAAAAAAAAAAAAAAAATACGATCATTAATCTCATGGCTCATGGCTTGCTTCTTGGTAATATCAGCATTTCCATATCGCAAGCTGAAAACCAGTGGGGAATAATAACATATTGTCCAATGCAAAGAAGCAGAATAAAGCTAGTTTAAAAGGGGGTGTGTTGTCCACATATTCTTTTCCTCAGGAAGGGATCAAGCAGAGGCAACGGGGTGGAAGATGTAGCCAGCCCGTGGGAGTACGTTTCTCCATTTCTTCTCCTCTCTCTTTGCGACTCGGACTCAAATTGAAGAGAGATAAAAATGAGATGATAAAGGAATGTGTGAGGCAACTGCAAAAACTTATATAAAAAACAGAGAAAAAGAAACAATACAAATATGGACGACCAAGCCAGCGTCCCTCACGCTACGAAATATACGAAATACCCAAAATGGGACGAACGAAATCCAAATTTTCCCATGCCCGTCATTCAGACGAAAAAGACTCCTTCCGGCCGCATGGCGAGAGAATCCCTCTGTTCGGGAGCAGCTGAGCCCTGACCCACGCCACATCTAAACCTCAGGCAGGCGCTTATTCACAGTGCCGACCGAAACCGCAATCATTGGCTACCCTGTTTCTTGAACCTGTTTAGAGCCACGCTTCGTCGTACCCATACGCGCCAAACAGGTCCTCAACATGGCCCCCACCCATCTGGGCGAATTCAACGTCAAAATTATTTATCTGAGGCAAGTTGCTCAATCCATCCATTATTGCGGCTTGGTCTGCTAGTGCTGCAGCATCTGTCGCCCGGACCTGTTCGTGTTGTTTTTGCTGCTGCTGCTCAGGTATCTGTGTATGCTCTACCAGGGCGGGAGATGCGGACGAGAGATCTGCGATCTCACTTCCCCCGATAGTTCTGGGTTCGGTATCAGTTCTGTATCGGTATGGGATGGTTGGTGGAGATGTGTACGTGGGTGGATCGTGGTCGTGTGCGGAATGATGTGGCCTTTTGCTGTTTGTAATATCAACGTGATATGGGTTTTTGCTATGCACATGTGGGTTATTGTTATGGCTATTATGCCACATTTCTTCGGCTGAATAGTCTCCTTGTGTGGGAGTCGAGATGGGAATGAGCCGATTGCGTGGGGGCAGTGAGTGGGCCGGCAGCATGCCGCTATTCGGGTACATACGTATATTGTCATGGTATCTTGGAGTGGCGCTGTGCCCCATTCCTATAATGGCGTCCTGCCTCATGCTCAAAGAATTGCCTTCCTGCTGGAACCCGGTACTGGCCATGTGGCTGTTGTGCCTGTGGTTGGCAGAATCGATATGGTGACCGCGCCCCCGGAACATTTCCGCCGGGGATACATGCGGGGACCTACTGTTGGATCCGGGCCAGCCATACGGGGACTGGTGATGGTGGTAGTGCTGTTGGTGCGGATGCCCAACTGCCCCGGAGTCCTGTATCATGGTTTGGATATTCCTCACGTCCGTATCAACGGTACCTGCAGGGCTACTCAACATTGTCTCCCTTGATGCGGGACTAGTATTTTGACCCGGAAACCGGCGTCCAAGAGCATCGACCTTGCCATTGCCATGTTGACCGTTACCATCACCCACCACAGCACCATTACTGCCACAATTGTCCGTGCTGCCCTTCGGTATACGAAGCTTAACAACTTTCTGCTGCGGCGAACGCCCACTCAATGAAGTAGTTTCTGTGTGGTTTTGAACTCTAACTTTATACTTGGCTTTTGATCCAGCATTGCCTTTTGGCTGGACCTGGTTTTTATAGGCGTGGTCGTGATTATTGCATTTGTAACTCGGCACCAACGACGCAGCACCGTCGTTTGGGAATTGGAGGAAACTGGCTCCTGCAGCAACGTATTCGCTACTGCTTTCGCTGTTGTTGTCTTTGCCAATTTCACCACCTGCGTCCGCGTCGTCTTCCTTCTCGATGTTACTGTTGCTGTCGTTGCTGCGATTGTACGTGTTTCTCAAGCACGCAGCAACCACCGCGTCACCATCGTCCGAATCATCTGAATCATCCGAATCAACATCGCAATCACCATCACTCCATTCGTCAATTCTCATATTGGCACAACCTGACTTAGTCGCCGTAGAACCTTTTGGTCCATCGTTACTATTCGCGCTCCCAACAACGGTTGCTCCCCCACGTTTCAAAGGTGGCGGCACCTGTTCCCCTTCCTTTTCCAGCCTCGCACGAAGCTTGGTGAGATGCTGTGTAATTGCTCCATCTGAGATACTACCTCCCATCAGCTCTGCAATTGTTTCCCATGGCAGTTTGATGCTCTTGGTGTTGCAGGCGCTCTGGATACAGAGGAGGAGTCTGTTGTTTAGAGTCTCTATATTATTTTTAGATTTAAAGGTTAGCTATCCCTGTTAGTAGAGCTGGCAGAAGAGAGCAAGCGGAGGTTGTTGGCTATGGGGCGCAGGGATGGGTGGAGTGAAGTTCATGAGCGAAATGGCGACCACTCACGATTCCATCGTACTATGTTCCGCTTCTTTGGGCGGTTTAGATTTGGTTTTCTTATGTTTTGTCTGTTGTTTTTGTGGATTGCGCTGCAGTCCTTGCGCGGTTTAAGGGGCTTCGTTGCGCTGACTGAGGCCATTGTTGTGGTCGTTGTTTGTTGCTGTTCTTGCTATTCCTGCTGCTGTTGATGTTGATGCTAATCCCCCTGAAGTGAATGGCAGCCGTTTATGTTAATGTGCACGTTTTCCTATTTTTCTTCCCATGTTGGCGACGGGTTTAGCCGCGCCTGAGTAAGAAACGAATTCAAAGGGGGAGACATACACGCACACGCATTCCTATTCGTTGCTTCTTCTGATGAATACGACGCGGGTGTGATTTTGATATATTCAATCCCTGCGTGTCCCTTCTTTCGTCTCCGGTTTCTTTAACCTGCTTTATGAAGTGCCTTCTCGCCCCATGGATGAATGGATGGGGTTCGTTGTCAGTCAGACAAATGATGGAGGAGAGGTAGAGCGGAATATGCACAGCAGCTGACGGTGGCCGACCACTCCAAGTTGCGCTTTCGCAATTCCGCTCTTGGATAAGTGAGGGATCGTTGAGAAGAGGGGTTCGTCCCTCTCCTCAATGACGAAGAGTCCGCTTTACTAACGAGTCAGGAACTTATGTCCTTCTCTTTCGTGTCATAGGATCCCTCCTTATGACTCCTTATGATGCGGTTTGTTAAGAAACGAACCAGGTTTATATTTAACGAGCAGAGCTGGTATGAAAGAAGAGCTGAGGGGAGTGGAGGTGTCTGGTGCAAAGGGTGATGAGAAGAGACGGATGAAGGTCCAAAGATGCCGATGGACAAGTTGGTTGTTGAGTGTTTGGAGGGCGTGCGAGCTTGGCTGCCGTGGTGGCAGCTTTGGAATAGGAGGCGGTAATAGAGAAGGTCAGACACGATTGCCAGCGTGGTGGTTTTCTAATCTGGGGGATGGGGAGGGTCTTCCTTCAACTATGACGCAGATCATTGATACGACACGATACGGTTTTTGCTTCTCACTTTTACTTTCGTTTACAGCCGCAGGAACCGCCGCCTCTCAGCTATGGTAGAGTTCAATGGACACTGCAGATATATTCCATGTTTGCTGATATCAGTAGAGGGCATTCTTGGTATAGATATTGATGACAGGTAATGCTGGGGCTATTGAGGTGAACGGATAACCATGATATAGAGAGGGACAAGAGAGAAAGATTGCAGCTGGAGTTTGTCAAGTTCCCAAAACTACCTTCAAACTCATCCATGCAACCACTCCATTCCTTCACGTCTAATTTTCGGGCCATGCATCAAAAAGAGAGAGAAAAGAAAAATGGCCAAAACATCCTTTCCCTCCCATGCTCCCGGGCCATGGAAGCGGTAGAACCACGCTTGCGGGTTAAGTTCCATTTTCCATATTCCAACACACAGAATAATATCCTAGCCAGCCAGTCAGCATTCCATTGCAATCTGCCCTTGGCTCATTCTTCTCTCTGCAAACAAGGCAAGGAGAAAGACACAAAACGAGGGCAACTGGGGCTCCCCTTCCACCCCCGGGAAGCTCTGTCATCCTCGCTGAGTGCCAGGTTTTATTTTGGTTTTAGCGTTTCTCTCACCGCCGCAGGCATACTCCATCCCTCTGAGATTGCTCGCTTATGTCTTCTAGCATTTGGAGCTTGCATGGGGTGGTAACGACCTTGCATGGAATGGAACATGATGGTCTGCGAGGGGCATGTATACTGCGCATATCCATGGACATGAATGGATGACCCCGTGGATTGGAACCACGGCACGGGAACCAGCGCCGTGGGCATGGTGCCGCGCTGACCCAGAGCAGCGGGACCGGACGGGGCCGGCCGGTGCAGTACAGCTTTTGCTGGGCTAGGCTCGACTGATATTTGGGGCAATGAGGGGGATTCTGTTCTGCTCTTTTCTGTTCTGTTCCTTTTTTTTTCTTTTTTTGTCGAGAGTCAGTGCCAAGAAATTTCAAAATACGTTCTTATCTGGAAGTAACGTATGCTGTGGTTGTTCGGTGGATACATGTATATGCAGTTACCAGCAACTTAAAACAAACAAATAAATAAAGAGGAAGAAAATATCACAGATCCTCAGGAGCAGCAATTAACTTTCATCCAACAGATCCACTCAGCCAGCGTGTGCTGTCAGGTTAGACAGGCCCCAAACCCCGAGGAGAGACGGCCGGACACACACCACGCCCTCCGAGCGCTGCAGAGTGAAAACCATTCGGCGAACTCGTTTCGGAGTGGCTTTCCCGCAGCGGGTCCGTGGCAGCGACCATTTTTCTTTTTTTAGGTGTTTGTATGCATGCTTGCAGCACGCGTGCATACTGTTTCCTTCCCGGCAGCATGGATTGTGGGAGGCTCCCTGCCCAGCTGGCATTCATGGGCTTATGGAGGAGAGCACGAAGAGAGTTATCCTAGCGCAAAAAAGTTGAGGGCGGGCAACTGACGGACCTCCGGACTGGACGAGTCTGCTGTTTATATACTGCATACATGCGGAAGAAGTTAGTGGGGAACGGGCCGACTTGCTTGCTGGTGCATGAGACGGTTTGTGAGGGGTTTGACGTTGGAAGGGACGGTGAGAGAGAGAGAGAGAAACGAGAGGAGGCGGGTAACCAGGCGCTCTGCTTGCCGCCCTCCTCAGAAAAAATTATTATCTCTCGAACGTGCACCCCTGGAGCACCCCTGGAGCACCCACTGAGCACCCACTGAGCACCCACTGAGCCAGCGTGCAATACCATCAAATAAGTGACAACAATTACAGCAATATAGGAGGGTCCAGGTCTGGTGAGTATTAGCGAATAATGCGCTGAGCTCGTGTGATGAGTAGCGCGGCGAGCACAGCGCCTGGTTACCAGGTGTGATGTGGAAGTGAAGTTGCAGGCCATCTGTTGAGGCTCTGTGCGCCGTTTTGCTCCACGCAACAACATCGCCAAACATGGAGAACACCGGAGGCCAAGAACAAGGAAGAAGTACAGTGCATACAGTACTAGTGAGTCACTGTTGGATCGGATCCTTTGTTGTTGCTGCCAACTGTTCTCTGCCGGTCTGCGTCTCCTCACATTCCCTATTACTGCGAGCTGGGGAGTCCCGAACTGGCGGGGGGGCTTCTGCAGACTACAACACTTGGTTTGTACGAGTATCTGAACACAAACAGCATTTTGTTTACTCCCTAGTCTGGTCCTTGTTATCAAAATACACCAAATTGACCATTTGTCACTAGAAATTATTGCTATTGCGTCCCCCGAGGCCATAACAGACACACATGCTTAACCTGACCATCTTGGCCTTGTTTTGCAGCAGTTACCAGCCTTGCTGAACGACCACAACAGCGTCTGTGCGGCAGCTATATATATGGCTAATGCAGCTGACAGGCTCGGCATTGGTTCAGGGGTAAATATCATGCCGTAATTCAACGTGGGCTGAAATGCTCGGAATGGCCCTGCCATGCCATACTACTTTTCATGTACCATATGACGCTCCTAGCACGCTCTGTACTAGCAATCTCCGTGAGCCAAACACGGATGTGGTTTCAAGAGATTCTGAGGTCTTTCAGCATCCAAGGACTCTTTGCTGTTGACATGATATTATACCACAGTCTGGTGAGCTGCCTCCCTCGCACTCAGAGCCACAGTTGACAGAATGCCGCAAGTCCCCAGCTACAAATGCGGGAAAGCAAAATCTGACCCTACACAGACATTGAATCCTGCCAGAGAGTTGTTACCAAAATCAAGGGTAGGAATTGTTTCGAATGAAAATGAGAGCTTCAGCCAAGTGGTCACTTCCCCACCTAGCAAGTGTTCATGAGCGCGTCAAGCAGGCCCTGAAAAACAACCAGCCAGAGCCAACATACAGCAAAATACTGTACACAGCAAGAAGGTGAATTGAATTCTTTGTGTCTCACCGTCGACCTTCTTCAGAACAACCAGAAATGGTGACCGACATCCTATCGATGCAAAGCAACCACTGCAATTACTTATGGAGAAACTGGACCATGAGTCTTGTTCATAACTGTACTGTACACCTCTTGAAATTTCCGGAGTATTGGGCGCAGCGGTCAAGATCACCTGTGTTGCATATGGACAACATCCACTCGTTGGATGCGTGGCTCACATGAAGCAGAGATATATTGGATTTTCAAGAAAGCATGGAGTCCTTCCCACTCTGTATTCCTGAGCTCAATTATATTGAGATGGTTCTATTCTTTCTCATGAGGCTGGGTGAATTCTCCATATGCTTCTCTTGGGCTGAGCAAGGATTGAATATGAATGTGAGTAAATCAATTCAGCGCCATGAAATCTCCTGATCGAAGAGCGAAAACCTGTAGCCTGGATATCATACTTGGTGGCGTGTCGGTTGGTAAGATGCTATAGCCCACTGCTGCAGCTTTGAAGAAAAGGCCGCTGGATCAAGAGGGCGTGTCAAACGGGCCCGTAATAAATGCATTGAAAGACGGCATGCTTCCTGCCACAAAGGAATCTGGCATTGCTGCAGCGCTGGCTCCTGTAATGGGAATGTGCAACGCTTGCCAGGGCATGTGGCTCCATTGATCTACCGTTGATCGTGCTCGGGACCTCCATCAGATCTAGCTACAGAGCCCTCGAGTAATGCTTGGTAAAACGCCAAAATCAGTGATCTATAGTATATTCGCGAAAGGGGGGTGGAGGGAGTGTGAAATGGTGGAAATTTTCCTGGTACTTGACTGAACGGGATTTAACTACTAATACGGCTACTTACTCTGTACTTAAAAAAATCAATATGGAACATTATAGAGTATTTAAAATGCTACAAATGAAATCAGACAAAACGTCCGACATTCAGAAGATACGGTTACTGTTCTGGTTTTCCGGTGCTGTCGCAGCTCAATAGTCCCGGACCAACTTGAAATATCGACAATTTATGGCAGAAATCCAATTGCCATCTGAATTGGGTTGAGACACTTAGGCATAACTCCACGATTGAGGTATGTAGACAGTAGAGCTCCGTATACGCATCATAATCCCGTCTTCCGCCTTGGTTGCTGGTAAAGATCAGCGTCCCTTTTCGCATGAGGTTCAGAACAACTGCCTATCACGATAAATTTTCTGTCCATATCCAGCTCAGTAAACAGTATGTCTCGCTTGTATGTGCTTCGAACATATCTAATATATCCCACAGATGATTACAATTCAGAGACAGTGAGTTCGAGAATAAGTATCTGAATCATTGCTGAAAATATTTGCTCCCCACTTTGATTCAAGTGATCCGTCAAGGATTCAATTCGGCTCCGCTGCTTGCATCGGCATATTAAATATTAAACTCCTTTTCAGGCAATATTGTCAAATGCTAGGCTAGTCACTGCCCGCAATTGGTCGAGTCTTCTCCCCTACTTGCTTAATCATTATATCTTGATCTATAACTTAAACGGTGGGTGGCGGCAGCAATGGGGTCGCATTGATCATCCCGGGTTGGAACCTCGACTGATAACCCGAAGCTGTAAGGGCGATCTTGCAAGCACTGTTCTCGAATGGCCATCCTGCCTGTCGAGTCAACTTTAAGGGCTCCAGGTTTTAGATCTCAAGTGATTAGCTACTGGTCGTTGTCGATACTTCACTGGTTGATGAAATTCCGAAAGGATAGGAATGTCTGTTCCCAGGACTAGCCCCATGAACAGCTGCCTGTGAATTTGCCAAAAGAAAGGGCATATCGAGCAAAGTACAGAGCAAAGCACAATTCTGACTTGGTTCAAACGCTGTTGTTCGAATCGGGTAACATCCATGGATTTGTTGGCTTGTCACGGGAGGCCAACGCTAACCCAAATAGGACCAATCTGTTCCTTTCCATCGCTAACCAATTCAATCCCAGCCAAACCCGCGAAGACATCTCAATCCCAGCCTACGCTTCCTCCCTCCACTCCATTCTCGCTCTCTCTCTTTCTGGTATTACTGAAGAACAGTACACACACAGCAAACCATGGCATTTTCGTGGAAATCGGCCGGGCTCACGTATGTTCAATCGTCTCTCCTCCCACCGCACCATCATTCTATACCGCAATGCTTGCACCCATTTGCAACATGTCCATTGATATGCTGACAATATATCCAACAAATTTACCATAAAAACAGATACAACCGCTACCTCGCCGTTTCCGCTCGTGCTGTCCGCCGATCTCTCAAGGAAGCGCCCCGCGCCCAGGCTGAGCGACGTGGGGAGATGGATTTGAAGTTTTCGCAATGGCAGGTGAGTTGTTTTACCTACAAGCGAAGCGATTAAGGGTGTTTGAACATCGAGGCAGGGCTCCAAAGGGTTACGGATCTGCTAATGATTATTATGTGATGTTGAATGGCAGAATGGGAAACAAGGAGAAGTAAATCAGCTTTCCGCGTCGTCGGCTGCGGAGACCCAGGCTGCCACTGCTGGGTCTAAATAGATGGTTGTTATTTTCTTCCGTTGGTGCTGTACGAGTGGATGGGTGGACATGGCGGTATATATGAAGCTGAATCTGGCAGTGGGTGGTAGTGGGGATGTGGTTGATAGAATTGCCGCTGTGTGTGGGATTGATGCATGCAAAGATACATCTTTCCTCTTTTTTGTACATGTATAGTACCCTGATCGATCTGCCAATGGATTTATATCTCATTTTTTGTCAATTTGATGACTGGCAATTGCGATTGTCAATTGGAGGCTGTTGTATCTCGATGTGCGGCGATTCCCGCTACATAACTCTTCCTTCGGACGGTGATCAGCGCTGTAAAAGAAGTCATAATTCATCAACAACTGATTATTGTCGAACCCCGTATTCCACCTGCTTTCCCTGTTATGTTAGTAGTGGCTGTTGTCGAATACCCTTAATGATATACTTACTCGCTGCTCGTCGTCCGATTTTTTTTTCGGTGGCTGTTCTGTCCCCCTCCAACTTCTCTCAACATCTTCACCACCAGCCATTTGGCAACCGCATCAACTATACCAGACACAACACATATACCGTCGTCTGCTATTGATACCAAATTTCTCCCTGCCTCCATACATGGCCATGGCTTAAGTTTCTGTCATCTTCACTCTTACGCCACACCTACCCACCACCGCCTCTGCTTCCCCGCGCATCGTCTCCGACAACGAAATGTCCGTCAAGGACATAACCGCCGCTTTTACAAAGGCCAGTTCCGGTGTGTAAATCAATATCGCTCTGTCTCCATTGGCCCTCTTCTCCCCTTTCCGTCTTCAATGGCTAACTCACTTACCCCCGCCTCTGCTATCGTAACTCCTTTGTAGTCCTGAATACCGGCCAGCTCGTCAAGGATGAGTTCTTCACGCTGTTCGAGGCGGTAGGAGCGTTGGAAGTGCGTCTTCTTTCCACTTCCTACAAATTTACTTGTATACCGATTTATATGATGCTTTTGCTACAAACATGCTCCATTGGAGCTTACTCTCCACTCTCTAGAGCAGATGGGCCCCGCGCGTTCCGCACCTAGGGTGACCGATGCGATTTATGCCAGTATTTCCTATCTAATTATGGGTATTTCATATACATAGATCATGGACGAGAAAATGGACAGCGGATACCTAGCACCCGGCGAAACACTGGATGATGACTACGATATCTCCCGGCGTCTGTCGCCAGCGGAAGTGGTGGGGATTATGGATCAGTTGTTGAGCCATGAGGTGCGTTTTATACCTGCCGGGCATTTTGGGTGTTCATATTAGAAATACGAATCCAAATTGGGATATATATTGATACGGATATGAATACGCGTGGGGTATGGAATTTGGGCTGGGGTGTTGATGTTTAGGACAATATGTTTTAGGTTGCCTGGCATTCGGGTCATCCCCTTTCTCAGACGCTGTTTACTTCTATATACCTCGATCGAATGTTGTGGCCGGTGCCAAAGTCATTGAAGGAGGCGAAGTTTGACCGGTCGGGTATGACTGAGCATAAGAAAGAAGAGGAAAAGGAGGGGGACGAGGAGGACGGTTCGAAAGGGCAATGGAATGAGCTCGTTGATCTCGTGCTGAGGGCGTATTGCCTGGCCCTCATCAAGGCGTGTGACCGCATAAACTCCAAAGTTTGCTCGGAGTATTTTCATGAGGTGAGCTTGAACACGGGGCTTCGTTTTCGAGCCTGGGAAGGGCTTAAGGGGTTGTTCGTGGTTGACGTTTTCATCCGAAAATGGAACATGGTACAATAGGAAGAAGATTTCGTCACGCAGCTCTACAATCGCAATTTACTCGCCGATGTCGGATCGGATCCTATCCAACTTATTCTTGACGATGCTCTGTCATGGCTGGACAGGCAAAAGCAGGAGCAAAGTGGTGCCGTCGACGAGCCTATCAGGGAAGCCCTCGTTCACCGTCTGCTATTCCGCCGGGAGTTACTCTCTGGCCTGGATGTGGATACCATGCCTGCCAAGCAACGATCCATTCAACCGTTCCTCGCCGCTCTTCGTCACCTTGGACGAATTGAGAAGTCAATGCACCTGGGCAAATCAGTGCCAGAGGCGTTTAGTTGGAAGATCCAGCGCCGGTTAGCGAGCACCGTTCCACCCAGGCCGATGGTCCATGTGAGTGCCGCTGATGCTACTGCGCATATGACGCGGTTTTGTCAAGATGCGGTGGATGTGCAGCAGATTCTGGAGTATCGGGGACCGTATAATTTACAGGTATGCCTCTCTTTCATATTAATTACTTATCTACTTGAAAAAAAAATAAAAATAAAAAAAATAAAAAATCACATTTTGCTCTCTCCCGCTATTTTCAGAGATAAAGTCATCTGCATTGCATTTTGACTAACGAATCACATCCATCTTCACACTTTCTTCTTCTGAAATAGACATTTGTTTGGGCGTTGCAATCCCGCAAACCGCAGCCATGTGCCTACATCCGATCTCTTGTCCAATCGCTCATCGTGAATGACATGGAAATCCTCGGCTCTGTGGATGTGAAAGATTTCTTCTTTGATAGCCTTGCTGAGCTTGTTTTGCCGCATAACCAGTTGTTGGACCGCAGGAATGAGGAAGTGGAAGCACCGTCAGATTCACGGTTTCAGATCGCGAAGCACATGGATAATTTTGTTAAAAAGGCTGCGCAGGTAAACCGACCTTATCTTAAGTTATTTTCTTTTGAAATAAGCTTTTGTTATTTTGCCCTTCTGGTCTTGTGTTTGCTAATGGTACCACCATATGTAGCCATTTGTCGATACCTACCGTACCACGTGCTTGAACCGATGTCGAGTTCGCCGCACGCTCTGCCATGCCATTGTCGATTGGGATGCGCTGCAAGCAGAGGTATGTTAATTCGTTCGCCCCACTTGAACCGCAACGGCCAGCCCCCGCTTACCTATACCGTCCAGGCCGAAGATTTTGATGTCCATCTCTGCACTTTAACCTTAGAGCCGCCCATCGTCCTCCACGGCAATGAACCCACTTATTCATACCCACTTAGCAGTTGGGCATATCATGAGAAGCTCCGCCAGATGCGCCTCATCCTCCAACTAGGTTTTGAACTATCGATATACTCACCCGAAGAAATGCCCGGGATGTACTGGTACCTCGCGCATCTATCTTCAACGCACCTTGCCCACCTCGATCGCATACGCTCTTGTGTACAAGCTGCAAATCAGAGGACGGCGCCAGCTCCATCACGCACACAGTCGCAACAAAGGCCCGAAACCAATACCAACACCACCGCTGCGGAACAGCACCAGCGGCCTTCCACAAAACCCTCTCCCTCCTCCACAGACTCACAACTGAACTTGTAGCCATCGACGCCTTCGCCATCGCTTTGCACGCCCTCTACGTCCTTTTATCCCGCTACCAATTACTCCAATCAACATACATTGCCTCCTCAACTCCTTCCACACAGACACATCCACAAAGGCAGCGCCCGTCATACTCGTCCGACCACCTCCGCTACGAGCTGCGCATGAAACCCTTCCTTACCATCTCGCTGCCCGAACTTGTCCCCTTCGACGCCTTCGAGCAAGAGTCTGGGTTAGTTGGGGTTAGCGACGCTGACGTGCTGGAGAGGGCGTCGAGGGCCATTGCGGAGGCGAAGAGGGGTGTTGAGAGGTGCTTGATGGCCGGCGCATCTTTGGAAGTGGAGAGCAATCAGGCGGGTAGTGCAGATGGCGATGGCCGTGACGTCCCCGATGAGGTCCCCGATGAGAAAGAAAGGAAGCGCCAACCTGCCAAGATGGACGGAAAGGGCAAGAGTGCCAAACCAGAACCAGAACCAGAACCAGACCCCGAACCCAGACCCCGGCTCTTGCAGGATGACTGGACCGGTGATATGAAGGATTCGCTACGCGCGTGTATTGGGGCCAGCATCGCCATTGGTACAGTGAAAAAAGCCATTTCTGCATCTGCGCCTGCCGGTGCTAGCAATCCTGACGGGGATGAGAATCACCGGCCGAAACTAAATCTATCCGTTGACATCCCGCCCGTTGGCTCGAAGGGGCGCTGGCATGATTGGTGGGCTGTACCTCGGGTTACGGAGGTGTTGCCGCTACGAGGCAGCGGGTGATACATGGGTGCACCGCATTTAACATGGGTAAATGCGTGTAAATGCGTGGTTAAAGAGTTCCCGGCCCGCCCCCCAATAACCCCAGCGCCGCTCTTCCCTTCAAATAACTTATAGTCCCCTCAGGATCAGGATGTGGTGGAATGGTGGAAGGGTAATATGTGGGAGTAAATTCGGCGCCTGGTTTTGGATTTTACATGCAATTGCCAAATGTTTCTTTCGTCGTCCTTCCTTTTCCTTTTGTCATGCCGCAAATCTATATGCTCGCGTGTGTTCGGGACCAACGGTATTTTGGTGGAATGTTGCCGTCAGTTATGTTCCTTGGGTTCTAAGGAGAACACATATATATATATATATATATTCGTGTCCTTCGTGGCAATGAAGTTTTGTGTTCGATAATCTGGTAATTTGGTAACTCTCGCTCTACGACACCAATATGATAGATAACATTATCCGTCACCGATGTATCATTCCGGAGGGATTTTTTTTTTTTGAGCTGGGTTGGCTGTTCACACAGTGCGTGCCAGTGCAGAACGTTCACCATCTCATCCACAAAGCTTATTTACTTTTTCTGCACCCGGTGTATATACATGTACTGAACTGTAACATAAAACATAATCCTTTCAGAACCGCATAACTACATAGTTGGGTTTGACACTCGAACGAGGGGTTCAGCACAAGTGGTTACCCCCTATCCCACCAAATGATTTTACTCGACTGCGGGGAACAGCAGTGTTCGATTTGGGACAGAATATCCCCAACCCCCCCCCCCCCCCCCTCTTCTACGCTGTGTTCGCTGCATTTTCGGCTCGGGTATATACATCCATTTGAATCCGTTTGGTTTTTCTTACCTCTTCGATTCTAGCCAGGATGCAGACTGTGCAGTACTACATCATAGCTGCATCCTGGGCTGTTTTGCTTTGTGGGTTCTTATCTCGGAGGAGCTTGGGGTCCTCAGTCCTGGGGTTGAGGCTGGGACGAACCTCCGTTCTCCTTTTGGATTGAATATGTAATGTCTGTTTATGCCAACTCGATTTTTTTTTATATGTATAGACGGGTGGTTTGAAATGGGAGTTGGAAATTTTTGGGTACATGATCGTCTAACCAGGGAGGTCTATTGGTGAGATGTATCAGGATGTAGGGTACACATCCGGTAACGAGGGTAAAAAAAACCCCGAAAAAAAAAAAAAAAAAAAAAAAAAAGAACATCCCAACCCCAGCAGCCGAGCCGGAAAGGTATAATTTCAAATCGCTCTCCGCCCTCCACTCCTACGGATTTCCCGCCCTATTCGTATTCAATCTAGCCCCCCGGCCAAGTACTCGCCAACCTCAACCCCAATTTCCCTGGCCATCTCCACAATCCACTCGCTCGGCTCCGTAGAGCTGGAGCTAACTGCCACGCCCGCGTTGAGACACCACTTCTCCGCACCGTCTGCAGCCGCAGCCGAAGACGCGGGGACAAGCAGACGTAGTCGCTGCAGGGTGGCTAGCTCTGAATATATTGTATCGGCAATGGAATTATTTGTGGTTAGCACGGTGGGAGGGTTTGGGTCGATGGCGTGGTAGATGGCGAGGAGGCGTTCGAGGGGAAACGGGCGGGGGGTTATGAAACCTGCGCCGGCATTGCCGGCGGAGGACGAAGATGCCAGCGCCGATGACAGAGCCGATTTTGTGATTTTTGTGTGTTTGGATTTACGTCTTTTGGTCGTGCTGGGTGTTATTGACGGCGCGGTTGCGCTGTCTGGAATATCTAGGTCCTGTTCTTGAGTTTGGGCTTGGGAGAGAACTTTCAGGCGTCGGCGGTGGTGGGCGCGCTTGTTTCGGGCGGAAAGAGAGGATGAGGAGAACTTCGAGAAGAAGATTGTGTCAAGGCGGGGTGGAACGTGGGCTGCCAGAAAGGCAGCGGTGAGGATTAGGGTTGGGAGATAAGGGAGTGATGAAAATGGCGACAATGATCTTGACCCTGCGAGGGGCTGAGGTGAAGCTGAAGTTATCGTGCTAGTTTCTGATGCGGCCGTTGAATCAGTAATGAGGTGATGTACCAACACCTCTTCACCCTGATGCTGGAATAAAGCCCGATTTCTAACAAGGAGACGGGAAAAGTCCCACTGAGCGCGGGGGTTCAAACCCGGAGGTTTTTCGTTGTTGATTATAGGAGATACAAACCGCGGCCAGAGTTTCTCACACGCAGAGCGGAAAACAGGGATAGTGCTGGCGGTTGGTCCAATGAGAGAGTCATAGACAGTTGATGTGAAAGGTGGGTATATCTTCAGAGCAGGTTCCAAGGGTAATCCAGGCAATTCAGGCGGCGGGGAAGCAACAAGTATCGAAATTGCTTCATCCCGCGAATACGGAGGGAAATGAACATGGGGAATTCCAGCGACTTGCAGCAAAAGCGGTCGTGGGGAAGATCGCATGACGAATACCATACATATCGATGGGACCTAAGAGAGGATGTGAGAGACATCATCATTTTATGACAGCAAAACGGGAGTAATCCAACATACCAATTCGCCCAATCTCCCCAGAGCAGCCAAGAGCATCTGGCCCCCTTCCTTCAAGGCATCGATACCATCCATAACCAGGACAAATTTTTCACAGCCAACACTATCCAAAATATCCGTGAGCACACCGGGAAGCGAACTGATATGGTCACACTTGGCTTTGGCACGGGCATCCTCATCCGGGAAGGAAGCTGAAGCTGAAGCACATGCGGCTGATACAGCCGCCGCCACAATCTTGCCCAGTAGATGTCGCACCGTAATACATTCCGCGCATTTCACAACCGCGTAAGGTAGTAATAGTATTGTGTTTTGTTTCGGCCCTTCAAATCCTTCGTCCCTCCGACCTTGTGGATTTACCGCTGCAGGTTCGTTAAGCGCGGCTAGCAACACGGCTAGGATGCTTGATTTCCCCGAGCCCTGAGGCCCATGGACTATTATGGCGGGCGGAGATGGGAGAGCGGGCTAATGAGAGATTCGGAGAGTACTAGTTAGTTGCGCGCAGTCTAGGACTCTGTATGATTTCTTGGGAGGGGAGGCAAACATTTAACAAGCACGCAAGCTGTCGGATTTGAAGTTCCCTGCAAGGCCATTGGCGTGAGAGAGTTATGGCCAGCTCTTCAGGCAGGCCAGGTAGAACTTGTTTCATGTTCGCTTGCTTGTTCGTAGCCAGGCCCTCATGGCATAAGCTCCGGGCTCCGAGACGAGCGATCACGCCAGCCAGCGTGTTGTGGGGATTCAAGAAAGTGAAAGGACTACTGCCATACGGCCAATTCCCCTCCGTAAGCCGCCCACAAAGCTAAGTTAGCTGCATGTCGGATTTTTGATTCTTTCTTCGTTTTCCTTGATGTTGGAAGCTCGTGATGAGAAGTGGCCCTAGACTTCCTATTACGGATTAGCGCCCATCGCATTGCGTGTGTTTTGCTTGTAACATGGGCGTATCATAATTCAATAGAAAAAACAAATTGTTTTCTCTTGATTTTCCAGTTGATAATGCAGTGTGTAGTTTTGTAAGTACAAAGCTAGGCAGCGTCAGATAGGACGCTAATCACTTGATTAAAGGATTCAGCGCTGCAGCTGGCTGTAGAGATGTATAGCATCCTTGAAAGCAGAGAAGCATTTTATGTCTTGGCAAAGGGTCAACTGTTAGTAATCAAACTGCCCCTTAGACACTCAACGATGGAGATATGGAATCTGCCCAAAGATAAAACTCTATAAGATCTTCATTGGAGAACATATGGATAGGTAAGAGAGGCTGAGGCTGAGCATGTTGAGGTGCCACGGAAAGTCAACATCCTCAAGGAACCTTGCAAACACACTAGACTTCATTGTAACAGTAAATTATCCGGCCGGAAAAACTTTCGGCATTGTCAATCCTGTCCAAGATCTTGTATAACGAATTCCCAGATCTCAGGATATTCCCTTCTTCGAGCTGTGTGCGCCACAGCGTCCGTTTTCTATGTTTCCCAAGCCCACTAACTAACCCCTGATCTTACCCTTCCCACACTCTCAATAAATGCTGAGATTGGGCGAAATTACCGGGCAAGAGTTGAACATGGCTTCATCGAACCTCGTTCAACTGCTACTACAAGAACTAGTTTCGAAGAGGAACTATCGAAATTTTGAATTTTCTTTTTTACTTCATTCTATTCAACATTTACGGAGACTCGATCCTCCGTTTGGACCCTCAGCCCCAGCCCCAGCTCCAGCCCCAACCCCGATATCAAAGAATCATGGTTGTAAAGGGGCAAACTCATATCAGTGCAATTAGTTACAGTTACTGCTGCTGACACCCATCCCGCCCTCATCGGGTCCCGTTGCTTTTCCTCGTTGTCCAAGGGACAAAACATCCAGAAAAAGTCTCTTTTGAGCAGACGGAGAACCAGAGAACCTGCAGTCTACAGTCTCCGTCTGCGCCTCCGTCTCCATTTTGGTTGCTGTTTTCGATCCGAGTCTCGTTTTCTCATTTCTAGCTACTATAGGAGGGAGCCTTCTCAGTCTTCCCGATGTGCCATCAGAATTGGAGAACTTCGCTGAGGACGGGTCAGCGAACTTACCTCTGCTATTTTCTTTTATTTTTATTTTTATTTTTTATTTTTCCAATTCCTCGCACATCTTAATAGCCGGGCCATTTCGTATACACCCAGCAAGTGTGGGGCTCAAATACTCCACCACAAAACATATCACCCGGCGAATGGTGCTGAGAATGCCAGCGGTTAGCTAGCTTTCCCTCTTTTTCTCCCCGTATGTATGTATATCGGGGTCAGGACGGACATAGTGGATGGGGAACATTAACTTACAAAAGACTTCGAGATGCAATCCGGAGCTTGTTGGCAATCCTCGTTTTTGTAACACTGGAGAGGGACATCGTTGCGTGAGTTTCAGGTACGGGGGGTGTCTTTTGAGAGAATGGGAGGATTGGGGACGAAAAGGCATACCGTAACATCAGGGGCACATTTAACCCAAAGTGCGGGAGGGTGTGCAAGGATGGCGATGGGAGCAGCCAGGAGGATGGAAAGGAGGGCAAAAAAGGCCTTCATGTCGGCGGCTGCAGGAAGGAGTTTCTACAAGCAAGTACAAGTAGATGCAATATACTGCTTCTTATCAGCGAAAAAAAATAATGTGGGTATCTTTTTTTTTTATTTTGTTTTGCTCTTGGGGCCCCCTTTTTTGTCCCCGGAGGATTCTTGGGCCTTTTAAACCCATATGTGGGCTGTGGGCGGGTATTCGCCCATATCCGTTCTTTGGTCCACTGGCCATCTCTTACCCGTGCAGCCGCCTGTTTGCCATGAAGAGAACAGAGAAGGTTAGATCGCCCATACTAAAAATGGGACTATCAACCACCCCCCAGACTATGACCAGAAGTACAAGATGGAGAACCAAATCTCCTAGCCACAGCAAATGCGGGCGCAAACGTGGTTTAGAGTTTAGCCCCAGAACCTTGTAGATGTACTCTGTAAACATATGCTAATTATTCATTGCCGGCCATTTCGAAGAATACTGGCTAGTTGGTAGACCCAGCCCGGGTGATGGGCGCTGCTGAAAAGTTATCGAATGAGTTCAACATTAGTTCTTCTTTGAAAGAAGACCTTATTCCCCAAAGATATTATTTAGATTCTGCAGTCACTATTCTGAATAATTCCGATTCATAAATATTTTTAGAAATTGGATTTCTCTAATTGAATTAGGGTTTTTGACTGCTGTCTGATTGACGGAGACTGTTTAACTATACTAATATATATATATCTATATTCGGATTACTTATAAGCTCGAAAATAGATAAAATATCAAGAATATTTGATTTTTAAAATATTGCCGTTTGTTGTAATTGGTATTGCGAGTGAGATGTGCAAACGTGCTTTCGATCTACTAGTATATCTTGATTCCTCCACCAGACCCCCATGATATAGTAGGCAGTGCAGCACACACAAAAGCACCGCAGAAGCAAACGGAGCGAAGCCCTGGAGGTTGTGTGTATGGGGGGGGATATACAATGCAATGACAGTTCAGTATACATCTTTGCGCTGCGAGTACCTTTAAACTTCCATCTGATCTAAAGTTTGTCGGTTCCGAGGATGAAATAAAACGGATTCCGGCATCGCCACAAATTTAACTTCAAAGGAACTTCAACTTCAAGTCTGAGGAGAACGAGCACCTCTTCTAGAAGGGATTGATACTTACGCCACCTACAGGGAACCTCTCATTGCACCATGCACCATGGTGAGGCTGCTTATCCTAATAATCATTCATACTCCAAATCATGATCGTACCCTGGACGAGAACATCATGCCTCCAATCCTCCGGGAAGGGACCAAGTATTTTGGCCATTAAAGTGATAGCACGATCATCTGCCATGGTAGTAACGGGTTAAATCCAAGATGGAGCCTGCCATTGAGCCGAGTCGCCAAGCTTCAGCACCAGGCCGGAGTAATCTGGATAGAACGTGTCTGTGTGGGTCTGCGGGAAGGCCCCGTGGCTGAGCAACCTCCCTGGTTTCCAGAGTCCTGCAACCCATGGTATGGAGGTGGGGAGGAATCTAAGATCTGAAAGGCAAACATTAGCAAGTCAGAGTCTTGTTATTTGTCAGTAACTGCCTAGCATGCCTAGCAGCAGGCATTTGGGCAAGCCATTGATATTTGCCTCTGCTATCAGGCTGTCAAAGCAGGAGCCCTTGTCAGGGGAGAGCTATGTGCCCAGTAGACACGCACAGTCTGAAGCACTTCCTTCAGTATCTGAATCTCAAGTTCTTCCGACTTGTCTAAAGCCATGGGCAACCTCTGTCTTGTTCCTAATCTCACGCACGCATGGGCGAGCCCAACAGGTGGCAAACAGCCACCACGACTAAGTTTATCCTCAAATGGAAACTCATATTTGTCCCAGGCCTCTGCTAGAGGTCCTACCTGATGGGAGGACCCTGATCTCCTAGCCTCGGTTTTGTCGCTTCCGCATCGAGCGATCTCGCACCCATCATCACTTTATCCATGGTCCAACACCACAATCGCTAGCTACACCTCCCTGCTCGAGATGCGTAGTTAATAGCAAAACGCCTGTTAATGCCATTTGCGAGCGTAGAGCCCAGCGCAGCCGCAGCATTAGCCCACTTCACCGAAGATGATGATGGTTGGATTGTATTGGGAGACTTTGTAGGCACAAAAACGAAATCGAGGAGATTGCTGAGCCCTTCTATGTGTGTACGGTGAAATGGAAGCCCCGCGAGTGCTGCATGCTGGTCAAATACATTGGAGAAGTGCTTGATAGGAGGATTTCAGAATTGGAGACTCTGCTTGGGGGGGAAGGGGGTTGGGGAGGACATTCCACTCTCCACCATGATCCCCAGCCGTTTGCACGAGCGGCCGGACAGACAATTCTCGTGATATGCTGGTATAGAAAACTGTTGGATGTCTCAGTGGTTGTAAAGGATTAAGAACAGGATGATTCCATGTTATTGCTATATGATTCCTTAATGATCCCCCCTTCTAAGAAAAGAGAAAAAAGAGAAGAGAGAAAAACTACAAGAATTTTTTTTTTTTTTTTTTTTTTTTTTTTTTTTTTAGGAAAACAAGAAATTAACAAATAAAAAAAGTAAGCAGGTAAGAACATAGGAGCTTGTAAAAGTGCAAGGTGGCAAGGACTGATAACAAGAAGGATGGAGGAATAAGGAATCAGGGAGTTAAGCAATCCTTGGTTCGGCTTGTGTATTGAAAACAGAGCCACAGCACTGACAAAGATTAGTAAGGTGCTGTTCCATTCCTCCAACTTGAACAGCAACCCCGATAATCCTCCTGCATTTATCTGCCGAGTCTCTCAAAACCCCAGTGCGATAGCCAAGTTGACAACATGACAGCGCTAGACGAGTGGAGGAGTGGGGATCCGAATATATGTTTCGCGCAATACTTAGCATCAAGCCGAGGTGATGTCAGGGTCCTCAACTGCGACAACGAAGTCATCCTCAAGGCTGGAAGCAGAGTTCGTCCCTCTAAGGAAATCGTCATGCGCCTTGTGAAAGATCACACTCATATCCCAGTTCCGGAGATCGTCCTTGCCGCCTACGTTAGCGACGAAGGCCGACTGGCGATGAGTGCCATTCCTAGCGCGCCGCTGATAGAAGCTTAGGATAGTCTGAACGATACAACAAAGAAGCGCGTATGTTTGTGGAAGAATTGGCAGAAATTGGTGGATATGAGAAGCCCCGAAGAAATATGACCTGAGTGGTATTATAGCAGCAAGGCATATCTTGTTTTAGCATGCTCTATTCAGTTGGAATTGATAGCCTTACTTCGACCTTTGAGTTCACGACGACATTACACATTCCTCTTTGGACGTCTTTTGGTCGGGCTTCTATGGTAGCTACATATATCAGCTGCTTGAGATATTGCCCAATTTGCTCTTCTCATCTGTCTTTCTTGAACAGAGTGTTGTTGCAACCAAGAGTACCATACTTGTCCAACGCCATCACCTAAGCTAGCCATAAGGTCCGGCCTTTACTGGAAATTCTATATTCCCCATTTAGCACTCTATGCACTTCATGTGTTAGGCATGGGATACCTACTAATTCCCCCGTGATTCGAGAGCGGCAGTGATTAGCTGGCTCGGGGAGCCAGGCAGATTGTCAGCACCCCTTTTGCCCTGGAGTAGTGTGACTGAACAGGGTTCAATTGATATCCATCCCATTCACTGATGGTGCCAATAAACGCTTGCCATGATTGGGGGTTTTATGATGGCCCTGGCGCCACCGCAGTCTGGATGCGTTACCATTTTTAGTCAGTCAAAGTTGGTAGGTTTTCAACGCTTGAGAACATGCTACTATGAATCACCGTGACTGTGATGTTGGGTGGCAAGCATCCGAGGGTGTGCCCATGGCATGAGCAGCTTCCTCGAGCAGGACAAATACGATTATCTAGCTACGGGCCCAAAAGAACTCAGTCACCACCAGCACTAAACTGGTAGTAGAGGGGACGAGCGATCCAATCCAGTTAAATCCCTCCAACTGTTCTGTGGTTGGGGATGAATCCTTGGAACAGTATGGATATGTGTCTGTTCAGTGTAAGTTCCTCTGGTTACCTAGTTACATAGCTACTTGATCACTGGCATAGAAAAATTAAATTTCTCATTCTTAAAAAAATTTAAGATTAGTGATTGTAAATCGCACAAATTTGGTTCAAATTATATGTTAAGATAATATGAAAAGTATTTCCACTATATATATTGTTCAATTTGACAGCTAACTAAGTCTACGCCTAATTAAGCATTTTGGATCTAGTAGGAACTACATCACATTCTCAAAAATCAAACATATACCTATGCTATGCACACAATCAGAATGACAGCCAGTGCGGACATAGTCCCTGACAATGGAATGCTTATCAATTGACGTTACGCGCAACCGTATAGAGATGATGGAGAACTACGTAGGGACAAAACCCATTGCTCCAATCGACCCAGCGGCTTTTGTACGTAAATTCGAGACGGAGATATTATAGATATCGTGTGGATTTCTGCCATTAAAGACGCGGGAGTCGAAGAGCTGTCCCCCGGCGATAGGTATTGACCGAGTGTCGCACCCCGAGTTGTTGGTGTGGGGAATATATAGACTGATGATATCGTGTCAGTTTGTTTTCTCCCCCAGATAAAGAGACATACACGGTTGAACCTACTTCTGTTTGCAGCAAGACGATGTTGCCAGCGGGACCCCTTCCATGCACTTGCAGCTCACCTTCGATTCTGTTGCCTTTGGTCTTTGTCCACTTGATCAGCAAGACAAGTTGAACGGCTCCGCTTCCACCCTCGAGCCAAAGACCCTTCCTTGGCTGCATTTAAGTGAGGCCATGATTCTGCCCGGCCGGTTTCTATTACATTACCACTATTGGCAGAGGCAGGTCGTCAAGGAGAAAGGACAGTATATGGCTCGTTTCGAGGAGTCAGCGTACGGAGCCGCAAACCCGTCAAAAGCTAAGCGGAAAATTAGTAATGTAGAAATTTAATGAGGGACAGGGGGCCAATGTGAAGGATGTAGGTAGCTCACATGTTCCAGCCTGTACCTTAAGATCATCCATTTCTGCAGCTACCAGAAACCCTGTGCTGCCCATACGGTACAGGTCTCTGACAGCCCGATCATGGTGGCAGTCGTGAACTCGGTTGGGCTTGACGCGGGCAGTCAAAACGCCGGTCACTGAATTTGTACGAAATCGTGGAACACTTGATATCAGGCATCTCAGAAACTTCTTACGGGGATTTGTCACCAGAGACTTACCGAAGAAGAGCCCTTTCAATATCGGGATCCTTTGAAAATGAAGTAGCAATTTGGAGTCCAGCAGAAAAAGGGGGATATCCGGACAAGCCAAGTCCGTATTGTCCTGAGGTTCTAAGATTCTGTTTCGAGTTCTGTTGAACGATTGTTGAGCGGAAAGCTCCTCTGATGGTTGTGTTGCTCCGTAACGATCGCGTCGTTGGGCGATTGGTGTTAGCCATAGTTATTGGAAAGTGAGAAATAGAGTCGAATTAGCAATACATTGGATGGAGAGAGTGGAGCACAGCATAGAAAGAGTTCCAGAGGAAGTTCCTATGTCAATATCATTATTGTTTAATGGAGTTGATTGCTAACAAGGCCTCGAAACAGCTACATGTAATAATTCGAAGTTGAAGCAAGAATAGCTATCCAAGGTGGTGACCTCAACTCAACAGACTCCCGCTGCTCATTTCCAACTAGGGATGGAGCCTTGAGCTTCCTGTTATGGACTAGCAGCCCGCACGTAGCATATGTAGGATATTCTTTGTGTAGATAGGAGGCAACCAATAGAGCCAAAAGCTGAGCGGGGCTCGGATTCTTCTTGATGAAATTTCGAGTCCCCAGCATACTCCATTAAAAGTACATACACCACTTGCATTGTCTCGTGTTTCTCTCTCTAGCTGTATCCGCATATCGTGTGTCCGGGATAAAAGGAAAAAGATAATGCCAAAAATGGAAAAAAGAAAACAAAAAAACAAAAAAAAGTTGAAATTGTTTACAGATCTGATGTAAAAGTCTGAAAAAAAGGCGTCAGTTAGTGGGAGAGAAGATATTCACAAAAGAGATGTTTTTTCTTTCTCTCCCGTCCATGAAGATACTTCTTTGGATCAAAAAAATTTCTCATGACTCGTGTCGTCGTGAATCTGGTGTACATGCGCGGACGGACTAAAAAAAAGGTAAATAAATAAATGAAAAAAAGGGGGGAGGAAGACAAAATTGAAGAAGACTAAGTAACAGATCTGGTCTGCAGGTTGTATTGTAGACCTGGGGTGTGGTATAACCTTCAAGTAAAAAACGGGTATCCCTGTATTGGAAAGGCACTTATTCCGTTCGTAGCTTGTTGCGGAATGGGACTGTAGATGGTGGGCGTGTTGTCGTCATTGCCGTTGCAGTTGCCGTTGGCAGGTGGAGCTTTGACAGCATTGCCATTGCCATTGGTTGCGGAAGACGCTGCAGAGGATGAGTTGTTGGTGCTTACCACCACATTGTTAACTATACTATCACCGACATTACTAAATTGCTGTTGAGGATACTGTGTAATGATGGAAGTTGAAAAGGGATGAATCTGGTGGTACACGTTCGTCATATCGTTAGGCGTAATTTGGCCGCTGGAGCCCCCACTCACGCGGCCTTGGTTCTCCACACTCAAGATTTTGCCGGCAATGCGGCGCCCGTGTGGCGTCTGGCGAATTGCTGGGAGGATCGGGCGGATAGCTTCGACCAATTTCGTGCGGTATTCGGGGTCAGCAAAATCCATGGCAGTTTGAACGACGTAGTTCGCAAAGGAGTCACGGAGCATTTTCTCGAGTTCACTGGGGACCAACATCTCATCCACCAAAGCGGAACGTGATTGTGGGTCAGCTGTTCTAATGCACTTCTCAATCACGTTCGAGCTGAATTTTTGTTTGGATAAGGCAGGGATGTTCCCGCGGAAGCTGCGACAGATGGGCTCAATAAAATGAGGCTCGTTGAGATCCACTATAATTAAGTTGCAAGAAAATTAGCCTTGGCCTGTTATGCAGGTAGTGGAATCCCTTACAGATATACTGAACCACGTAATTTCCAAACGGATCTTGAACCAAGGTGAATGCGTTATTGGTGATCTGTTCGATTAAGCGAGCCCGTTGGTCACCAGAAGCGTGGTCAATACAACGCTGCAACACGCAACAGCCATGGCGATGGGTTCCGACTGGCACGCAGCTTGCTCCAACGGCATCATAGATAAACTATAAAAAGGGTGTCAGTAGGCTGGAGAAAAATATAATTTGACGATGATTTGGAATACCTGAGCATCCGTCGCAGAGAGGCGATTTAAGCACTTCTGGATAACATGGTTTCCGTTCAAATCTTGCACAAGCTCCACTACTCGATCACGTAACGCGTTGATCACGGTTTGAGTCTATAGCGCTGTCAGTAACGGATAATAGCAGATACACACAACGGCTTAAACGGTACCTGTTCCGGGGTGGAGATGAATTCAATCATCTTCTGCAAAGCTCGAGTCCCATGTTGGTTCAGTGCGATCTTAACAAGTTGAGGAGCAGCGTTGTTGATGAGTGCAGTACGCTGTTCATCGTTCGAGAATTCAAGCAACTTCTGGCAGAGGTAGTTTCCGAACGGATCTAAAGAACAACACAATAGGGCATGTTAGAAACGCGATTACTGCAATTTAGTAGGAACGCAAAAAACTAACCGGTCATAAGTTCTACAACATGGATATGTGTCTCCAAAAATATCATCTGCACATGTGCTGGATTTTGCTCCTCCAACTTCTTCTGCAAATAGCGGCATCCGTACTGGTCCTTACACATGCCATATAACTCGCCTTGGTAGGTTTCCAATGGAGCGTTACCGAACCGCGAAAATTGGCTAGATTCACCATCTCCGCTGCGACGACCCTGGCCTGGGTTTCTTGCAGGGCTTTCTGGGAAACGAGAGTAAGGTGAAAAGGGAGCAGGGTTGATATAGGCACCGTAGGGCGGGTTTGGGTGGAACGCTTGAGTGTGTCCATTGGTTTGGATGGGGCTAGTGATGAACGGCTGCATGGCGTATCCATAAACAGGATTTTGGAAAGCGCCCATAGTGGAGGTGCTATTTGGCATCCCATTGCTTGTGGATGTCAATTGAGGTCCAAATGGGGTGGCATTAGCCTGCAAAACTGACTGAAGGGGTTGGAGATTAAAGGACTGGTCATCACGATCAGGGGACAGTGGGGATGTTGGAGTGTCATTTCCATGGGCGTGAGGGGTAGCCGGAACTCGACCGACACTAGCACTATGAGAATGGAAATGGTCTGCATGGGACTTTGGAGGAGTTACTGCGGTATAGCCATTACTCTTGGTGGGGATATCATTAGTAGAATATGACATTTGGAGGGAAGCTGGCCGCGACTGGGATCCATTGGTAGTGGAATAGAGACCTTGGGTGCTATTATACGTTGAAAACCCAGGTTCAAGTGAATGCCTGTGAGATTGGCGAGTGTCACTTGCAGGTGAGAATGGGGCTGAAATTTGCTCGCCCTGTGAGCGACTGCTCCCGATATGCTGAGACATGTTCAATGAATTGTGAGGAAGTGAAGCGTGATGACGATGACCATATGTCTCCGGCCCTGGTGTACGTGAGTTGGCTAGATCCAACGCAGCGGAGTTGGCGGATAGCTAGAAAAGCAAACAAGGTTAGTTGATATCAGCCTAGGGGGAAATAAAGGCTGCAAAAACTTCACTTACCAAGCCGGAATTATCATCTCGGCGAATCAGGGTGGGGAATTTGTCGTCAGGATCCGTTAATTTGAGATAACTCTTCACGTCCGGAGTTGGAATACGATCTTGGTCCTTTAAGCCCCTCCTATCTTCGTCGTCATCATCCCCGAAAGCAAACTTGGCAGGATAGAATGGATTGAGTCCAATGGGCCTAGTAAAGCCGTTGGCTGTGGCTGCAGTTGTGGTGAAATTGGTCTGAGAGCCAAAACTGGATGTGGGCATGGAGTATCTGTTAATGCTACAGAATAACGGTAAGTGAATGACCCACGGTGCTGCAAAGATATGAATGTGAGGTGGAACAGTTGC